CTCTACATTGGGTTATCAATTAATTGGTGGATTTGATATCTGGAACACAACTAATCAACAATACCTTAGTATTCCTGTAAGTATTCAAATAGTTATAGATTCTTATTTTTTTTTATTTTTTTTTTTATTATTTTTTTATTTTATTTTAATTTTTTTCAAAAACAACCTGTTCCCGCCTAAAAAAAAAAAAGATGAAAAGATGATCTTTCTTTGCAAAATGATTTTAATTGTAAATTTTGATTTTTTTTTGAACTTCTTTTAATTTTAGTTTTTTTTTTTAATATTTGGGAATCATTTTGATCTAGAGATTAAAAAAAAAAAATTAAAAAGGGGAGCTAATATGAGAGTGTGGTGTGTTTTGATTAATTTTATCAAATTTCTAATAAAGTATTTATTTTTATTTTTTATTTTATTTAAATTTTCATTTGATTCATAATGCTGAATGACGAAATCAACTAATTATTTTATTTTTAGTTACAATATAAATTAGCAGAAAATTCAACTGGAGTTTCAGAGTTTAGATTTAGTAATGAGTTTATTAAAAACAACAGTATTCCATTCAGTATCTCTGCTTGGACATCATCTATTGATGCCTCTCATATCTCTTTTGACAATGAAACTCAATTCTGTGTTGGTTCATTAGATCAATCCTATTTAAAGGTAATTATTTATTATATGATAATTAAATAAATCGTAAATTTATTGGTACTAATTTATCTATTTATGAATTACATAAATTACATTTTTTAGAAAGGAATTAAAGTATGTGTGAAATCAAAAACGTTGGTTGCTTTCCACAAACAAATTAGTCAGAGAGTATTCAATACAACATGCCAATCAGCCATCAATGGCGATTGTGTTACCACTGCCTTCCAGACACCACAATACTTCCGAGGTTTGCTCATGGCATCACCATTAAGTGGAAGTAACGTCAGTCCAGCTCTAAAAAATGTTGTCAATCTCTTGAGAAATGATTTAGTTTTTAGACAAACCAAGGTTTTAGTTAGATCAGCCTCTGTCAATAACAATACATTGGAATGTGATTTCAGTTGCCTCGATTCCATTGCCGAACAGTATAACTTTACCACAGACTCCAATGGTGTTTTCGAGTTTGACAAAAGTTCGAACCAGATCGTTCAAATCTACCTTGAAGATGCATTGCACAATCTTACAATCGTCAACACAAGTACATCAACTCCACTCAGATATCAGTCGACTCTTGGTTTCAACTTAGATGGCCAAAACTATACCGATGCCAACGATAATACAAAAGATCCCAGACCACTTTACTATTTACTTTTCCAACAATTGATTGCAGCAACCAATCAAGCAGCATTACAACCTCTTGTTATTCCAAAGGTTAAAGTTGTAATTCACCTTGAAAATTCCACTGGATACATCAACGATGATCTGTCAGCTCACTTTAACACGAGTTGTCTCGATTCTATCGTTCAAGTATATTCATACCACCTCATTAAATCATTGAATCCATTGTTCACAATAAACTTAGATCAATTAAAGAATTCTGGTAAAAACCAAGGATGGTCAACTTCAACTCAAACAGATGCATTCATTCAATCACTCATTAATGTTTTTTCTACATTATTAAAACAAGTATGTATTAAATTATAATATTATAAATACAATTCCAAAATCAAACAAAATATTAATGAAAATATCTTACATTACAAAATTAATATAAAGCATTCCCATCTGTTGCAACCAACACTGAAATTTCAATTAATAATTGCACTTTGATTCAAGACATTGAAAAGTTTAACAATTTCGACTCGAACGGAACAAAATCATTTGGATGGATATCAGCTTATCTTTGGGATTTGATTGATATCACCAATGATGACAACTATCTTGAACTCTCAAAGAAAGGTATTCTAAATGTCGATGGTAACAATCAAAATTCAATCGAATTGTTTGATTTCATCGGTGTTTTGAAAAGCTACACAACAACTTCCACACCTAATATTTTGGAATTCAACAACAACCTTATTTCATTCATCGGAACAACCTATCCTGATTCATCAGAAGACAAAGTACAATGGATCAATAGAATCGGAATCTATAACAATATCTTTGATTGTCAGACATGTCGAGTCGATCCAGCACCAACCAACAATGATCCTTCATCACTCACCGATTATCTACTTTCCAAAGGAATATGTTCATCGAGTTTTGACCAAGTTGGTTTCTCAATCGATATCCTCGAGAAACTTTTAAGTAACTGGGCAACAACAACCAGCGGTGATTGGTCATCAAACCAAGGTTTATCATTCCTCTTCTCCACTTCATTCCAAACAGCATACCAAAACAATATTCTTTTGAGATCATTGCTCCAAAAGATGAATAGTGACCTCTGTTCATTTTCATCGCTTCCATTTATGACACCACTTGGCCTACAGATGGCCAACGAACTTTTAAATTCATTACTATCAATTTCAACTGAGAGACGAACCTATAATCTCATCGATACCTATTATATTCCAAATAATATTGATACCACGCAACCTGGAATTGCAATTGTATCATACAACAATAAACTATGTTCAATGGTTTCCGTGACTTTGGATCAATTCAATTTGGGTGATGATGTATTATCGAGTTGCAACAGTGGTCCAATTGTTTTCAATATCGATAATCTCTCAGGTCCAACATCAAGCAACACATTAATAACGATTGTTGGAAGAAATCTCGATACAACTGGAACTGTAATTAAAGTTGGTGATAAAACTTGTCAAAATCCAACCATTACAAAGTTAGCAAACAACAATCAACAAATGACATGTTCCATTGGACCAGGATATGGAATACATTCAATCACATACTTTGGAAGTCAGAGTTTATTGGTTCAAGAGATGAACTACCTTGTTAAAACCTATACATTTACCTACAATACACCAGTTGTCACATCGATTTCAACCAATGAAGATTTCATTAATACTATTTGAACATCAGTGACAGTCAATGGGCAGAATTTTCATACTACAGAAACATCAAGCCAACCAACACCATCATATGTCCAACTATTGATCAACAATAAAAAGACAGCTGCAACATTGATTCCAAGTGCCAACGGAATGAATGACAAACTTGTATTCACAACCGATGGAACAGGTGTTGATAAAACAGTTATTGTTCAAGTTGGTGACCAAGTTTCAAATCATGATATCACAATCAGTTATAAAGCACCAACAATCACTTCAATATCAATAAAAGATCCAGTACCAACGCTTGGTGGTGGAGCACTTGAAGTTGTAGGAACATCATTCGGTTCAGATTCAGATCAATTCGAAATCAATATTGGTGATGGATCATGTGAAGATATCGTATTAATCAGTGATACCAAAGCAAGTTGTACAATTCCAAGTGGAAGTGGAAGGTTACTTGTCACAGTTCAGGTCGATAGTCAACAAACAGAGTTGTCACAAGATTTTGCAATCATTTACAAAGGACCAAATATCCTTCAACTTGTTCATCCAGAATTCAATACGTCTATATATAACGATTTCTGGATTGCCGGTACCGATTTTGGATCTGAAGAAGACATTCCAATGATTTCACTCTATGGATTTGCAGCAGCGGAATGTGAATACGATTTCGAGAATTGTTACAAATCCAAAGAATACTTTGACACCAATGGTAATTCAATAGATCCACCAACACAACAATATATCGATGGTGCTGAATATGACCCGTATATCGATTTAAGTGATTCATTCAGAACAACAGTTGATTTCTATTGTATCAAGTGTTTGCTTCCACCTGGATTTGGTGACAATATATCTGTTGCCGTTGTGAACGATCTTACCTATGGTTGGACATTCCTCGACCATACACTGACATTCCCAAATTCCAAGATTTACTCAATCGAACCACTCAATAGCAGCACCGATGGAAACACTACCATTTCGATCACTGGTACAAACTTTGTTCCCAACGAATATATTGTATATTCATATGACAATGATACCGATACCTATGTAGACGATGCACTTTTGGAAGGACCAATCACATTCTCGAATATCACACTCGACAAGACACTAACTACAAACAACAATTTCACAAATTCGACATTCATCACAACAGTAATTCCAGCAGGAATTGGAAAGAATCTCAACATTTCAATATCACTTGGAAATGTTGTTGATATCGACACATTCAACAAAAAATCATTCACTTTTTCATACAATCGTAATTATTATCCATTTAATCTCTTTCTTTACAACCTAAAAAATATGATAACTAACTTTACTATTATTCTATTTATTTTTAGCCCCCAATGTAACAAAGAAAATTGTAAATCAACCAACAAAAGGTGGATTATTTTCAATTGAAGGTTTAGATTTTGTTCCAGAGATTCTTGCCAAATCACAACAAACATTCCCAAATAGTAATGTTACAATCGATGGTAAACTATGTACCTCTTTGCTTTGGATCAATTCGACATTGATAAACTGCACTGTTGTCGAAGGTATCGGTGCAAATTTGACACTTGAAGTATTTGTTGGAAATCAAAGCAGTATTTCAGATGGAAAGAGTTCAATTAAATTATTCTCGTATATTGCACCAAACGTTACATCTGAAGAATTAAGTGGTACATCAAAAGGAAATGTTGAAATTACAATCAAAGGAACAAACTTTGTTCCAGCAAGTGTTGTGACATCAGCGACAAACGACAAGACAAACAATTATATTTCGATCAACGGCAATCAATGTTTATCAACAAAATGGGAGAATGATCAAACATCATATTGCACAATTCCACCTGGAATTGGAACTGATTTAAATGTTCTGGTTGTTGTTGGAAATCAAAAATCACCAAACAATGCAGTATTCTCTTATGATAGTAAGTAATTATAGTTAATTTCATTTAATTTGATTATTTTATTAATTATTATTATATCGTATTAATATAGGACCAATTTTAGAAAAAGATTTATATTACTCAGGACCAAATGAAGGTCAATATGAAATTACAATTAAAGGATCAAACTTTGTACCATCTGAAATTGCAGATAAAGTTACAAAATCAGAGAGCAATACAATTAAGATCAATGATGTCGAATGTCCATCAATAAGATGGTCAACTTCATCGATTTGTTATTGTACAATTCCTCAAGGTTCTGGACATAATCTCACAGTCAATGTTACAGTTGGAGGTCAATGGACATCAACAAACGATTATTTCTCATATTATGACATTCCTGAAATTTCATCGATTCAACCACTCAGTGATGTCGATGGAACTGAACCAATTACAATCACAGGTAAATTCTTCTATGGTAAAGATCTAAAGGTTCTCTTTGAAGAAAAAGCACTTGATTCATCCAAGATTCTGTCGATTTCTGAAACCAAGATTATATTCACTTGTCCAAGTGGAGGTGGAACCAAATTTAAAGTCCAAGTCAAAGCACATTCTCAAGAAAGTGAAACATTTACATACGATGGATATAAAGGTATGAATTTATCTTTCTTTTATTCAAAAGAGTTTTAATAATTATTAATATTACTTTAAATATAGCACCTTCGAATTTACAAGTTAGACCATCAAGTGGAAAAACAGATGAGAGTCAACCAATTGATATTTCAGGAAATAATCTTGGTTTGTTAGGAGAAAAAGTTAAAGTTACCATTGATGGAAAGAATTGTATCAATCCAGTTGTCTCTTCTTCTTCGTTAGTTACATGCTATACTCCATTTGGAAGTGAAGGAACAAAGACATTAACTCTTACTTTCAAAGGACAATCTGGTGACTCTCAATACACTTATGAAGAGGAAGAAGAAAGTAGTGATCACCAGAGTGATGATGATGAAACCGACGGTGATGATGATCCTTCAGACACTACCGACAGTGGAGAATCGTGGTGGGATAAACTTAAGAATGTCTGGCAAGTGGTTGTTACAGTTGTGGTCACTGTTGTCGTTGCTGTGGCAGTAGCTATCGAGATGTTAGCTACGGAAGCGGTTGCAGCAACATTTGCACTTGCAGAAATTACAATTCAAACAGCAGAAGGATTGACATTTGTTATTGAGAATGTTGCTGCTGAAGTTACAACATTTGTAATTGAAGAACTTGCTCAACCTTTATCAGCTGAACTTCTTGGTGTTTTAGAAACAACTGAAGTTTTAGTGACAGAGAATGCATTTTTCGCCAATATTAAATTACTTGTCACTCTTTTATTCGTTGGTGGAGGAACCGCTACAGGTGTTGCTGCTGGATTTACTGGAAAATATGTTGGAATTGGAAAAACCACAACCGATACAACTTATCCATGTAAGTAATTAATTTCAAAAATGTTCTTCTCTAATTATTAATATATTTACAATGATCGATCATTTTAGATTATTTGAATTTGAATGTATATGTTGATCAAGACATGACTGGTTTACTTGTTGATCCATCGATTCAACAGAAATTCTCAGACTTTAAATCCATTTTGATTCAATTGAATATCACTCAAAACGATGGAACTATAAAGACTAGATATTACACTCCAGAGGTTGGAGGTGTGAATATGCCAGTTGAAGGAGATACTATTCTCACGATTATAACGAAATCATCTCAATTTAGACCAATGATCAACAATATCAAATATAAATTCTCTGATTATCCACCGTATACAAAGAATATAGCTGAATCGTTTGGATTGTTAAGATCCGATTACATTAGCGATGAACGTGCAATTTTCTATGACAATAATGGTGCAAGATTAACTCTACCAATTGGTGTCTATCAATCAGATTTCCTTTCCAATATTGGTTGGATCAATTCACGAATCAGTTCAATCACAACCATTTGGAATCTAACAATAAGTGTCTGGACATCCAATTCAGTGACTCAATATTATGGACCTATCACCTATGGTACTCCAATGACATTACCATCCAATATAATCAAACTTGAAATATTCTTGAATTGTAAGTAAACTTATTTGAATCTTGATAATTAGACTTTGTAAAACTAATATAGCATATAAAAATATTTTAATTAGCAACTGTTACCAATGTTAAGAAATTGGAAATTGAATCACCAACAATTGGTACTCAAATTACAATCAATAATGCATACCCAACAATGAAATCACTCAATATCTTCTTGGATGGTATGTACATTATATTATTCTTTTTTTATTAAATATTATTCGATATTTTATTAACTTAAACTACAAATATACTTAGACCAACTTGTAAACTGTGTAATAAATGCAAAGATATTGAAATGTCCGATTTCAGCAGGAATTCAAAACAAAACACTCTCACTTCGTTGGAACAACTATGATGTTTATCAAAAGTATAATATATTCTATACTGGTATGTTTATGATATTATTATTTAAAATATTATTTTATTAACAATAATCACATTTTTCATATAAAATAGCACCAGTAATCACTTCACATATTGAGAATTTAGATATTCAACAAAATGGTCTTCCAAATATTGGATCTTTGATTTTCCACTTGAAAGGTACCAACTTTATTCCAAATAATGTCAATCCATTGAATTCTAAAGTTTTGATCTCTGGTGAACCATGTCAATTTACCAAATGGGTTGATGAAAACAATATCATTTGTCTATCATCAATCAATTCATCTGCAACTCTCAATAGTTTTATTGAATTAACAATTGGTTCAACAACAAGCAAACCATACACATTTAACTATATTTGTAAGTAGCAATATAATTTTTTAATGATTTATACAGTATTTAGTATGACTAATAGATATCTCGTTTTTGAATAATTTAAGCACCAATTTGTGTTGGAGATACAATCAATGGAGAAACCACTCTTGCATCTGGTACTCATCTCGCACTTAGTCAACCATTTACATCAATTTTTGTAAGTTTAAAATCAAACATCATTCAATTAAAAATTGAACATCCTACTAATATCAAATCATATGTTAATTGATAAATAGTCACCATCGAATTGTTATTCAGAAATTAACTATGTAAATTCTTCATTGATTGTAACACAAGTCTCATGGTTTGGAAATCTTACAACAACACCAGAGAGTCTCACAACCATTGATAATATTACTATTTCATGTAAGAAATACCCATTCATCCATATTCTCATGAACATTAAACAAACTAACTACTTATCTCTTTTTTTTTTATTTTACCATATTTATTTCAGCACCAAGTTGTAAATGGAATTTAACATTTGTTGATTCACAATCACAAACACTTAAACTTGGAAAAGGTCATTACGATGAAGCGTATCTTCAATCGATTGGATGGTCAAATAGAATTGTTTCATTCGATGTGATTGTTGGTTGCAGAGTCACTGTGAGCAAGACAGCACCAACAAACTCTGCATTCTCGATTTCAACACATTCCAACATCACTCAAGAAACAATGCCAACACAACTCTTGTCTCAAATTACAACGATTGAGATCTCTGATTGGAATTTGGACAATGTTGATTTTGGTGTAACCACATATACCAACCAATGGATTAACTTTTATGGTATCGATCAATCAAAACTTTAAAATGAATAAAATAAAAATATGATTTATTATAAAACTTTAAAATATTTAAAGATATAATTTCAGTACCAATTAAAAATTTCTGATTTTTATTTGTTCTTTTAAGATTCTTTTAATTAACTGCTATGAGTGTGTGAGCACAAGTCTTATCAGCTTCTTCTAAAATTAGAATTTAAATAGTTAATAGATATTCAATTATAAATTTTAGATAATATAACTTACCTTCAGCCAAGCAAATGGTATTTACTACAACCACGAGTACAAACAATAAAGTATATTTAATAAGATTTCTTGACATTTTATCTTTTAGTTTCTAGGTTTAAAAAGTAATTTAGTTGGAATGTTAAAAACTACAGACTGACCTCAGTATAAATAGGAAAAAAATTAAACAATCAAAATTTATGATCATACAATAAAACTGTAATTTGAACCATATGATGAATGTAATAAAAATTAAGCAGTTTAACAATTTTTTTGAAATAGATTAAAAACAAACACAGATTTCCATTTACAGTTATATCAGTTTTTTGAATAAAAGATGGGTACAGAAAACTGTGGAGTACTCTTTAAAAATTTGTAATTCTTAATAAAAATTTATATTAAAACGAGTACTTGTTGTTCTATTTAAATTGAAGTTGTAATCATCCTTCCTTGTTTTGTTTTTATTCAGTACAATGTTTAAAAATATTTTATATGATGAATCAAAATGAGAACTCGTTCAATTAAAAATAAGGTTTGTATTAATGATAGAATAAGGAAATAGAACCACTCTATGAAAAATTGATAAAATCAGTACCCATAGCTAGTTTAAATTCCACCACATTAAAAATTGAAATTTTTCGCACATTCAGAATTGTAACAAAAGTATTAAAATTTGTTTTTTTTGATAAAAAGAGCAATGATTATTGGTAATAACACTGAAATCGAGTTAATATAATTGGTGTAAAAGGGGCATACTAATGACACTGAAAAACAAACAAAAAATATTTGTGTTATTTCATTTTATAGGTTGGGTTTTTTTTTTCACAGCTTTTTTTTGGTATTCTCGCACTATTTTTGAAAAATGCCGTACTGAAGGTCAACTAACCAACCACAAGTACCCCCTTTGTCCGCCGTACTGAAGGTCAACTAACCATCCACAAGTAATGTACAAAATTTATTTGAGAATGAGTAAACACATTTCCTATCTTCATTTAGTTTGCTCAATAAAGAATACAATTCTAAATAATCAAATATTAAAAAAATATAACCAAACCAGGTACCAATTATGAACTTTTTTATTGATTAAGTATTGTAGTGGTTGAATAGGACAGAATAGATTCCTTCAGAGAAAGGAGACTACCATCATCATCAGAAAGAAGGGATTTCCCGGTATTACTCTGGAGAATTTCTTTAGATATATTATTTATTTAAATCTGTTGCTTTCTAGGTAAAATCTAAGATCACATGAAGGAATTTCAATTTGAAATCCAGAGTGCTTTTTGCAAATCTTATTAGTTATATTTTTGTTCATTTTATAATGTTAGTAGATTTAAAAATAATAGTATAAACTAATAATATAGAGTAAATGTGGTAATGATAGTGAAAATTTGTTTTTATACATTATTTATTCCTTTTGGAGAATTTAATATGAAATCGATTCAAGTAATAATCTCATTTTAACCCAAATATAATTAGTTTTTTGATACACAACAAATCTATATCAGCCACCAATTTATTTTCTAACCATCTTTAAACTTGGTACTATCATGATACTCACAGTTTTGATATCTTCAAAAACATCTTTGGATATGATGCCCTGGAATACTCATATCTAGTTTCCTATAAGTCTTTAACCTTTTCTATCAGTGATTTAAAGCTTAATTCGATGTTATTAAAATGGGAAGAGAATGATCAATGAAGACAATAGAAAGTCTTTTGGTTGAATTTAATTATAGATGATTTTAACATTAATGGTTATGTTTGAGATAATGATTTGATGATTCTTAGGTTAAATTGATTAACTTTAAACCCTACGTTTTTATTTAATTAAGTGTAGGTAATTAAATAATTCGCAATCTACTATTATTATTTATGTACATATTTTATTGTCAATATTAGATTCAGATTAAGATGATCTTAAAAGAAGTTGTTTTCTTTTCAGTTTCTCCAAGTAGAGTTCCAATTCTTTTTTATCTAGCTTTGAGAGTAATGTTTGATAGAATTCGTCGAGTGCACCAATAGGCTGTTCACTCAGTGTCTTGACCATTTCCACGTGTTCTTTGGTGAGCCATTGCAGACTGTGAGTCGGTTGCAACTGAATGTTGAGATTGTAATAGAGGTGAATCTCTCCAAAGAACGTTACGTATACGAAGCAGGTGGTAGATTGTCCACCGCGGCACAGTGTGTAGTTGCCGCTGTAGAATGCACAGACACGGTCGCCAAACTTGTATTGCACTTGATTGCGGTCTTTGTCGATGACCATCGTCAGTCCGTCCCAGCCGCACGCCACGATGTAGTAGTCGTCGTCGTCGCGCAACGCCACCGAGTAGAGCGCAATCAGCTGACCACTGGTCATCTCGTCGACCTCCATCTTCCAGACGACACCCTTGCCGACACGCTTCAGCTTGAGCACGCCATCGAGAGTCGCTATCGCCACGATGCTGGCGCTGTCAGCGCGCTCCTCTGGTTCTTCGACGCCGTCGTCATTGACGATGCGCGCACCCGACTTTAGCTTGAGCGGTGCACTGATGTTTGTGATGATCTCTGTCTTTCGCTTTCGCATGTGATCGAGTGAGATGAACGTCTCGGTATTGGTGAGCATATCCGTAGTGAAGTCAGGCACAACAACCGTTGTTGAACCAGCATTAGCCGAACTGTACGGCGGAGAATAGGAAGAGGACATCGATTGCAGGTTTGTCGGTCGTTCCTCACTGTACAGCTGTCCTTTCCTATCCAATATAACATAGTTGGTTCCTTCACAAAGTCCAACGATCAGAATATCTTCGCCACCCGCTTCCTTAGCCATAACTAAAGAACCTATCTGACCAGGTAATTGCCATTTATTCTTACAAAACAATGTATATTCTTTGTTATTATTACCTTCACTATTGTTATTATTTGTTTTATTATCATTATGATCATGATTGCTTTGTTGTTCATTGTTATTGTTATTGTTATTATAATTATTATTATTTGATTGATGTTCTGATTCTTGTTGTTGTTGTTGTTGATTCGATGATAATACTAAACTAAATGAATATAGAGTATGATCGTATGTTCCAATGATCAATTCATTCTTGCCATCATGATCGATATCACCTATCAGAATAGCAGAGGCATTGGGTGGTAGTCTTTGTGATATCGTAGGTATCAATTCTTTACCACCGATATCATCACTATGTACATTATATATATTACAAACACCTTCTGATGAAATAACAACTAAAAGATTCTGTATCATATATATATATAATGTATAAATAAATAGTTTAACGATTATATTCATTGAATCTAACTACATACTTTATTACAAGATAATAAATCACCAACTGCTATACCAACAATCTAATAAATAAATTTGTATTGTTAAATGTTAATAAATTCTTCGGTATAAATAATTGTATTGCTTATGTAATGTTATCCGCGGACTATACATACAGAACCTAAATTATTTGCTACTTTCCAAGGTGATTTCTCGGTACCTTTAAAGATAGTTAGGTTACCCTCGAGACTACCGACAATCAATTCATTATCAGAATCATTATCGACGTCAGCCAAAGTGATCGCTCTTCTAAATACATTTCCCTTCCACGAGAATACTATTTTATCAACTAATGATATGTGTCTCATCTCAATAAATAAGTAATCGACAAGAAAAAAATAAATAATAAAAAAAAACGTCGATGGTTAATTAATATTTAAAAATATCAATTTTTATTATCATATTTTTTTTGTAAAATTAATAAACAAAATGCAATATTTATTTCATTATTGTTTGTCACTGTCTATGTCAAATGTTTGGATCGGGTCCTTTACACATTAAAAGCACTAACCACCAACAATGAACTATAAAAAACAATTCTAGCAGATTATAAATATTTATCCATGGTAAACAAAAATCTCAATCTCATACTGAAGTGTGTATTACTATTATTATTAAGTTTAAAAATATTACAATCTTTATTGAACAGATTTGGCGGGCAAGTAATGTTATTCTTTATTAATTTTTGTAAATTTTCAAAATTATTGGGCGATGAGAGTGGCCACCACCAAAATTTCATCACGACATTCATTTCTCAAAAAATTATAAAAACAATGTTTTTTGAATTTGACCCGATCAAAAAATCGAAAGGTTTATTGTAAAATATTAAAAGTAAATATTTAAGTTTTTAATTTTTATTGTTGTTATTGAGGAGAGAAAGAAAATTATTTTATATATGTAGTTGTATTAATAGAAATAGATATGGTGACGAAAGAAGAAGCGATTCAGTTCAGAATCAATAAACTGAAACAAAAGATCGTTAATATTCAGAAAGAAATCGCTGCAATCAGATCAGAGTATAAAATAAAATTGAAAGACAGCACCTCGCGTGAAAAAGCACTACTCTATGCCGAGCGAAGATCGTTTGTTCGCGCAAAGCGTCAAAAGTTGGAGATCTACACTGAGAGAATAAAGACTCTCCAAGCAGCACCTAAACCAGTGGCAGCACCTAAACCAGTAGCAGCACCTAAACCAGTAAAACAACCTGCAACAGCAGCACCTCCACCAGCTGTAGTCGTTAAGAAGCCAGCGGCAGTAAAACAACCTGCACCAGCTGCACCTGTACCTGTTGTGGTTAAGAAACCAGCCAAAGTAAAACAACCTGCACCAGCTGCACCAGCTGCCCCAGTTCCTGTCGCTATAGCTGTTCCTGTACCAGTTGTAATTCCAAAGCCATTCTCAGTTAAGCTCCAAGACTTGGATTCATATTCAGCCGGTCAGTTGCAAAAGGAGTTTGAATCGATGTGCCGCCAGATCAGAGATTGTCAGGATGACATCATTAAAGTCCAAAAGCAAGTAGCCAAGTTGAGGATTCAGCAACCACAGAGCAGAACCAAACAGCAATGGAAGGATTTGGAAATTAGTTCAACAAGTAATTTGAAGAATCATTTAATATTACTATGTAATGAGAAGACTAAATACTTGAAAGTAATAGTAATGAGAAGTAAAGGTCAAGTTGTCTCCAACACCGTTATTAAGCATTCAACTCCAATCGTTTCTCCTCCTCCACCAGTAAAGAAATCGGCTCCAACAGTTTCTCCTCCTTATAAAAAAAAAAAACCTCCTCCACCAACCACTCCAATAGTACATAGATCAGCTCAAAAGGAGATTGATGAAATTAGTATATTAGGAATGAATGTAAGCATTTTAAATTATTATTACTTTGCTCACAGAGAGAACTAAACTAATTTTACATCTCTTTCACTACTGTTAGTCTTTTGAGGTGATCGATATCTTTTTAAGATGTAGACCGTCAAGAGTTGGATTCCTTTCACATCGTCTCACTCAATTTGAAAATAAGGACGATCGAGCACACATGGAGTATGTCGGTGACATTCTACCGTTGATGTTTGAAGAGTTGAGGTCTCAGATTACCCAGGAGTTGGAGAGTAGAGGTGCATTCGTTATGGAGAATGGACAGTTTAACTATGACAAGCTGGAGAGAACTTCGTGTTTGATTGGAAATATCGACTTGCCAAAGAACGATACTGGAGGAATCATCTTGTCGCTCGACTACAAATATACTAAACCCGAGAATGAATTGAATATAAAGGATCTTCTGTTACTCAGGCTGCGTGACAAATCGGTATTCGGTCTCATTGTTAATCAGAAGCCGAGTATGCTTCAAAAACAACAGAGTATTCTCATTCATTTGATGGACAATCAATCGGATGCACCTCATACCAGTGAGTTCATCGATGATCTCTATCAAGAAAAGAGGAAAGGAGGCAAGGTAAATATCTCGTGTGTCAGCAACTTTACTACTTTCGAGAGGGAGCTGTTTGCAGTCAGAGAGTTTACCAAACACACACTGGCACCACTCATTCTCGCACCCAAACTATACTCTATCACTCAGACACCGATCTCTCCTGCCTATCAAATGCCGGGATTGGTTGGAACCATCTTACGTAATCAATTAAATCAATCGCAATTCAATGCAATTTCAGAGTCATTGGCAAGTCGACATGTATCATTAATTCAAGGTAAGTAACTTTAAACTAAATTGGATCTACTTTAAGTATTGATTTTATTGTAATTAAATATAGGTCCACCTGGAACTGGTAAAACCAAAACAATCATTAGTTTATTGGCTATTTTCAATGCTATTTTGCCCATGACTGCAAAGATTTTGGTTTGTGCACCATCCAATGTTGCAGTTGATGAAGTTGGTTTAAGAGTTTTGAAAGATGGTCTTCTCGATAATTCCGGAGGCAGAACCGATCCATCCATTGCTAGAATCGGAAGATTAGAAGCCATCAACGAGAATATCCATCAGATATGTGTCAGTAAACTTCAGACTCCTGATTCCAAGAAAATAATGATAAAGAGATCAAGAATCATTTTATCGACACTTTCTGGATCAGGTTCAATGATCTTGGCGCAACCCGAATTCTATCCTTCGGTCGTAATTGTCGATGAGTCCACACAGTCGTGTGAACCATCCACTCTCATCCCACTGCTCAGAAACCCATACTCCAAGGTCATTCTTATCGGTGATCCCAAGCAGTTGCCACCAACTGTATTCTCTACAATTTCCAGTCGATTCAACTATGATGTTTCGCTCTTTGAGAGACTCGCCAAGTATTTCCCAGTGCACATGCTCGACACCCAGTATCGTATGCATCCAAAGATTTCGAAATTCCCATCCAACCAATTCTACAGCGCCAAACTCAAGGACGGTGAGAATGTCGTTAAATATAACAACTCGTTCTATACCGATCCCAAATATGGACCGATCAATTTCTATCATATTCCAGACTCACAAGAGCTTAAGACAATTGGAAAATCAATCAAGAACAGTCTGGAAATCAGATTGGTATTTACGTTGTTGAAGAAACTCGTACAGGATCATCCAGAGGTCAAGTCGATGAGTGTCGGTATTATCACACCTTACAAGTTGCAAAAGAAGGAACTCCAAGATGCCAAGAGTCATTTCAATGAGAAGATGGATGTTGTTGTGAATACTGTCGATGGATTCCAAGGTGCTGAAAAGGATATCATTATCTTTTCATGTGTTCGAAGTGAAAAGATTGGATTCCTCAAGGACACTCGTCGTATCAATGTTGGTATCACTCGTGCAAGAAGAGCACTCTACATTGTCGGTTCATCAAAGTTGCTGGAACAAGATCCAAATTGGGGTGCATATCTTCGTAACATCAAATCGACCGTCAAGAAATTCATCTCGATCGATTCAAATGGAATCAGTGTATTAGAGGAGCAAGTTAGACAGTTTGATATTGCACATCCCGATGATTTGATCGATACAAGTCAAGAGGATTTCAAAGAACTTGAAGACTTGTTTGATGATCGTGATGATAGAATTTTCAAGGATATCGGTGATGACGATGATGATGACGATGGAGATAGTGAGGATGAGGAGGAAGAAGAAGAAGTAGCAGAAATGAAGAAAGTGGAACAAACTATTGAACCAATATCAACAACAATGAATTGGTTAACCAATAGACTGAAATCAATGTCATTATGGAAGTCTACCGATCCATCGATACCGCTGAAGATAAGGGAGATTGAGCAAAATCTTGGAGAGTACAATCAACTTCGCGAATTTAGAATCAATGCTACTATTAGAGCGAAAATAGTGGATACCAGAAAGTTGATTTGGAGAGTGCTGAGAGATACTCTTAGGAAGTTAAAGATTGAAAATTCGAAATACGATGTTTCTGAACTGTTGGTTACACACAACAACAACGACGACATGTCAAATCAGCTGATTGCACTCTACATAGGAAAGACCTGTCCAAACGAAACAATCAAGAAAAAGAGTTTCCAATCACTGGAAAACCATTGTCAAAAGGCATTCCCAGGTTCCAAGCTGAAGCCATACGGATCGTTTGTCAATGGAGTGCAAACTGCCTCAAGTGATATCGATGTATGTTTCTCAGTCGTTGGTGTTCCAACCGATACCAATTCAAAACTCCTTCATCTTATGAAAAGAGTTGCCATTAGTATAAAGAAAAGTAAGTATCCTCTTCCTGCTACAATATCACAATTCCTAACTTATCAATTCATTTATATTTCAGATACTTCATATGAATTGGAAAAGATTATTAGATTTTCAAGAGTACCGATTCTTAGATTCAAGGATATTGGAAGTGATATTTCTTTCGATATGTGTTTCAATAATTCTTTGCCAGTTGGAAATTCGTTGTTGATCAAAGAATATACTATGATTGACGCTCGTGCTAAAGTATTGATGTTGTTGATCAAGTATTGGGCATCGAGAAAGGATATCAATGACGCATCAATGGGAACACTTTCATCTTATAGCTGGCTGAATATGGTTATTTTCTATCTCCAATGTGTCAGTCCACCTGTGCTGCCTTGTCTCCAATCAACACTGACAAACACCACACCAAAGAGTTCTATCATTAGCAGTTCGGAGGATGGTTGGAAATTCCTTAATTCACTAACACTCAATTTCAAGAGTACCAACACCATGTCATTGTTCCAGCTGTTTAGTGGATTCTTCTCATTTTACTCGAGATTCGATTTCGCAAACCTCTTGATTACAATCAAACGAGGCTGTTTGACCAACATTAGAATGGCAACTAAACTCTATTTGGATCACAACCGAAAGCAAAATATCTGTATCGAAGATCCATTCAATCCACAACAGAATCCAGCAGCTTCAGTTGGTAGAAATGCATTCGATGTCATTCTCTACGAGCTTAAATCGGCCGAGCAAAAACTTTCCTCACTGAAATCCAATGAAACAGTCGATGTATTCATGGAGTCAACCTTGATGAAATTCTGTAGAACTAAATAAACAAAACAAAAACAATTGCCAATATGTTACAATATTTTCAAGTAGAAATAAAGTAAACATGTTTCGCTATTTTGTTTTAATAAATAAAATTTATTCTTTGTATTCATGTAAAATTGTAAATCATTGCCAAATAAGTAAATTAGCAAAAAAATGTGCTCTATTACTACAATTTACTCTAATTGGTCATCGTTCAACTTTAAAAACCATAATGCATGTGCAAGAGCCGATGTTCAGAATACAATGCAACGGGAACCTCAGGTGTTTTTCAGCGAAATTTGAATGAAAATTGATGAAAAATAGTGTGTTTACCAAAGAATCATCTAGATTGGCCCGTAAAGAATTTAAAAAAATTGTCAAATTTTAAAAAATTAATTAAAACTAGGAGTAAAAACGGGGTGTTGTTAAGAATCTCCTCATAAATATATTTAAAATATATTTTAACTTTGTAAATATAAATCAGATTTGAGACCGATTTTTTTTTCTGTGTCAAGTTACTTTTTGATGATGCTCACAGCAAATGGATCATAAAAAATAGAAATTGCGAAAATTAAATATTTAAGTTTTGTGATAACAAAGCAATATTTTTTAATTGCTTTTTCTAAAGTAGATAACATTTCATTAAGAATATTATTATATTAAGATAGATGTTAAACAAAGAAGAAATTCGAATTAAAATCAAGTTTTGCGGAAAACAGATTCAAAAAACTCAGGAGGAAATTCATCTGATTAAATCACAGTATAAAAAGGAAATCGATTCATGCTATGATGGTAAAAGAAAAATCCTCCTTTATGAGGCGAGAAAATCCGATCTACGACCAATCCGTGAGAAGTTGGAGATGTATGAGAAGCAAAGAAAGTATCTCATGAGTGCTCAGCTAAACTCACCTGCACCAGCACCAACACTAGAACCAATAACACTACTAGTTCAACCACCAGTATCCATTGTCCAACAACCAATCGAAGTTAAACCCCAAAACTTAGATTCCTTTTCACCCTCTCAGTTACAAAAGGAGTTTGAATCTATTTGTCGGCAGATTAGAGATTGTAATAAAGACATTTTTAAAATCAAAGAAGAAGTTTCAGATTTGAAGAGTCAGCAACCATACAGTAGGACAAAAAAACAATGGAAGGCTTTAGTAACAAGTTCGACAAGTGATTTGAACAAATCTTTGATTATACTATCAAGCCAGAAATCAATAGTCCGTCAAGCAATAGAGAGGAGGAAAACTACAGTGCAAATTGTGTCAAATAAGGTTATTAAACCAATATTTGTTACTCCTACTACTCCTCCTCTCACTCCAAAGAATCCTACAGTTGTTACTCCTACTACTCCTCCTCGCACTCCAAAGAATGCAACTTTTACACTTACCCCTCCTCCTCCATCTGGAAAGAAACCACCTCCAAATGGAAATAACTCTTCTCAAAAAGAGATTGATTATGTTAACATTTTAGGAAAGAGTGTAGGTTAGAAACAATATATTTATTACTTTATTCAGTTAATTAATAATTGATTTAATTTATCAATTTAGGTTGATGACGTTTTTGATATATTTCTAGGTTGCATACCTTCAAGAGTAGGATTCCTTTCACATCCCCTTAACAAATTTGAAAACAAAGACGATCGAACTTTAAATGAATATATCCTAGATATTATACCATTGATGTTTGAAGAGTTGAGAGCCCAGATTACCAAGGAGTTGGAGAGTAGAGGTGCAGTCGTTATGGAAAGTGGACATTATAACTTCGACCATCTGGCGAAGACATCATGTTTAATTGGAGATATCGATATGCCAAAGAGAGCCGGGGAAGGTGTACACTTATATTTGGACTACCCATATACTAGATACGAGAATCAATTGAATATCAAAGACATGGTGCTGCTTAGACTGCCAGGTCGATCAGTGTTTGGCCAAGTTATAGGTGCAAATCTATTCTCGAAAACGAAGGAACAGAGGGTTATTATTCGTATCATGGATAATCAATCGTATGCACCTCATACTAGTGAATTCATCGATGCCCTCTACCAGACTAGAAAAGATAAAGGCAAGGTAAATCTTTCATATGTCAACAACTTTACTACTTTTGAGAGAGAGTTGAATGCCGTCAGAGGATTTACGCAACATGCATTAGCGCCACTCATTCTCGCTCCTAAACTATACAGTATATTTAAGACACCAATCTCCCCGATCTATGTAATGCCGACAATAGTTGGAAGCTTGTTGAGTAGTCAACTGAATTCATCACAATTCCGTGCTATTTCACAGTCATTGGCTAGTCCTCAAATATCATTGATCCAAGGTAATTGAAATTTAATTAATTCTCTTCTAAAACACTAATTGTTTTTATGTGATAATTAAATATAAATTATTGAATTTTATTTTTCTGAATGTAAATATTTAAATATAGGTCCACCTGGAACTGGTAAAACCAAAACAATCATTAGTTTATTGGCTATTTTCAATACCATATTGAAACCAACAGAACAGATTCTGGTTTGTGCTCCATCCAATGTTGCAGTTGATGAAGTTGGTTTAAGAGTTTTGAAAGATGGTCTTCTCGATAACTCCGGAGGCAGAACCGATCCATCCATTGCTAGAATCGGAAGATTAGAAGCTATCAACGAGAATATCCATCAGATATGTGTTAGCAAACATCGTCGTGCCAGTTACAAGAAAAAAATGATACAATCATCAAGAATCATTTTATCCACTCTTTCAGGTGCAGGTTCACAATTGATAATCCATTCAGGATTTCGCCCGTCGGTGGTTATTGTGGATGAGTCTACCCAGTCTTGTGAATCATCTACTCTCATTCCACTGCTCAGAAACCCGAACTCAAAGATCATCTTGATCGGTGATCCCAAGCAGTTGCCACCAACAGTATTCTCTGGTATTTCCAGTCGATTCAACTATGATGTTTCGCTCTTTGAGAGACTCGCCAAGTATTTCCCAGTGCATATGCTCGACACCCAGTATCGTATGCACCCAAAGATTTCGAAATTCCCATCTCTCCAATTCTACAACTCCAAACTCAAGGACGGTGAGAATGTAGCCAAGTATCACAACTCATTCTATACCGATCCTAAGTATGGACCGATCAATTTCTACCACATTCCAGACTCACAGGAACTGAAAACCATTGGAAACTCAATCATGAATGATTTGGAAATCAGATTGGTATTTACGTTGTTGAAGAAACTCGTACAGGATCATCCAGAGGTCAAGTCGATGAGTGTCGGTATTATCACACCTTACAAGTTGCAAAAGAAAGTACTCCAAGATGCCAAGAATCATTTCAATGAGAAGATGGATGTTGTTGTGAATACTGTCGATGGATTCCAAGGTGCCGAAAAGGATATCATTATCTTTTCATGTGTTCGAAGTGAAAAGATTGGATTCCTCAAGGACACTCGTCGTATCAATGTCGGTATCACTCGTGCAAGAAGAGCACTCTACATTGTTGGTTCGGCTAAACTCTTGGAACAAGATCCAAATTGGGGTGCATATCTCCGTGACATCAAATCGACTACCAAGAGATTAGTGTCAATCGATTCAAATGGAATCAGAATGTTAGAAGAGCAAGTTAGACAGTTTGATATTGCAAATCCCGATGATTTGATCGATACAAGTCAAGAGGATTTCAAGGAACTTGAAGACTTCTTTGATGACAATGATGAAAGAATTTTAAAGGATATCGGTGATGACGATGATGGTGAGGATGATAGCGAGGAGGAGGAAGAAGAAGAAGTAGTGGGAAATAATGAAGTATCAATGGATATGATAGTTAGTAAACTAAAATCAATGACATTATGGAAGAATTCTACCGATCCATCGATACCACTGAAGATTAAGGAAATCGAACAATATCTTGGAGAGTACAACCAACTTCGTGAAATTAGAATCAATTCTACCATAAGAGCTCAAATAGTAGAAACCAGGAAGTCTATTTGGACAGGGTTGAGAGATACTTTGAAGAAGTTAAAGATCGAAAATTCAAAACACGATGTTTCTGATTTGGAATTTATCGCACCCAACGACAACGACTACATGTCAAGACAACTACTTTCATTATATAGAGAAAAGAAGTGTCCAAATGAAGATATCAAGAAAAAGAGCCTCCTATCACTGGAAAACCATTGTCAAAAGGCATTCCCAGGTTCCATATTGAAGCCATACGGATCGTTTGTCAATGGAGTGCAAACTGCATCAAGTGATATCGATTTATGTTTCTCAGTCGTTGGTGTTTCAACTGATACCAATGATAAACTCTTCCATCTTATGAAAAGGGTTGCCTTGAGAATAAAGAAAAGTAAGTAAAAAATGATTGTAGTACCAAAATCAATTCAATTTCAATCGAAACTAAACTAAATTTTATCTTTCTATATAGATACTTCCTATCAGTTGGAGAAGATTATTAGATTTGCGAGAGTACCGATTATTAAATTCAAGGATATTGAAAATGAAATATCATTTGATATGTGTTTCAATAACTCGATGCCAGTTGGTAATTCGTTGTTGATCAAAGAATATACTATGATTGACGTTCGTGCTAAAGTATTGATGCTGTTGATCAAGTATTGGGCATCGAGAAAGGATATCAATGACGCATCAATGGGAACACTTTCATCTTACAGTTGGTTACTTATGGTTATTTTCTATCTCCAATCTATCAATCCACCCGTGTTGCCAAATCTCCAGTCAACCCTCATAAACACAGCACCAAAGAATGCTATCATTAGCAGTTCGGAGGACCGTTGGTTATTCCTTAGTTCACAAGCACTCAATTTCAAGAGTACCAACACCATGTCATTGTTCCAGCTGTTTAGTGGATTCTTCTCATTTTACTCGAGATTCGATTTCTCAAACCTCTTGATTACAATCAAACAAGGCTGTTTAACCAACATTAGAATGGCAACCAAAATCTTTTTGGACAATAACGGAAAGCAAAATATCTGTATCGAGGATCCATTCACACCACAAAATAATCCAGCAGCTTCAGTTGGTAGAAATGCATTCGATGTCATTCTTTACGAGCTTAAATCGGCTGAGCAAAAGCTTTCAGCACTCAAACCAAATGAAACAGTCGATGTATTCATGGAGTCAACCTTGATGAAATTCTGTAGTGCTAAATAAACAAACATTACCAGATTACCAATCTGTATCAATTAGAGAATAAAGTAAAATAAAATAGAATATTAAAGAATAAAAATACATGATTAAAAAAATAAATTAAAATTATATGTTTTAACTAATAATATTTTACTATTATCTTATAAATGTTTTAAATGTTGTAAAACCAAATTGATTTTTGAATATACCACTGTCTGCTATGATCTGTTGAAATTCAGTGTCTTTGGTTTTGAGTAGCGATATACTGGTGTTTGATTTTAGGAATAATTGGATTGCTTCACCCATTTTGGTGGTATTCTGATAGTTTTTGTTAAAATTGTCTAGATAGAGTTGCTTGATCGATTGATTCTTTGAAAGACTGATAAACAATGAAGTAAGGTCATAGTTTATATTGTAGATATTCAGAGTAGCAATATTACAACCGCTATCCTCTAGAAAAGTAAAGTCATAGTGTCTCGATGCCAGCTGATAGTCCAGTCGTTTAATACCTTCGAATACCACCCGATTGGTAATACTGAAACTACGATTACACTTAACGAGTTGAAGCGACGATTGAAAGTTTGGTTCTTCTTCGGGCGTTGGGAATGCAACATGTTGGAAATCCGAGACAAACAACTTTAGAACTTTCTGACAATTGAATCGAACCGTTCGATCTTTCAATTGATTATGTATACTTAGTTTGGTGATAGTCTGGTTACTGACGAGTGTATCCGAGAGTTTCATCAGCTCACTGGTCATTCCCAAACTCATAAACTCTAGCTTCAACACTCGCAGTTGTTTCATGCGGTTGATGAATGAAAAGTCAATGTCAGCGACACTCGTCATATAAAGGAAAACCTGAAGGAACAAGCTAGAGAGATGCGTAAGATTTATCAGGTCGTTGATATACTGTCGATTGATAACCAACTGTGCGCTGCTATCGGACAATAAAATATTTGCTTTTCTCAAGTTGCTCTGTGCCGATTGAGACGCCAGAAATGAATGTACAAACTGCAGCTGATCTTCACTGACGTCTCTAATCTGGATGGAATCAACCACCATTCCATTATTGACCAGTTCATTGAGATACAGTCGACTAGCCTCTTGATCGAGCTCCTCGAATTGGATGATAAGTCTGTTCGCCATTGAAAGATATGGTTTCACTCTTGTGAATGACGAATAGAATTGCTTGGTACCCTTGAGCGACACTCGGAGATTATTTACGATGCCTCGCTGAAGCGCGTCTATCAGGACATCATAGAGACGTTGGTATCGCTCCATTGTTTTCTGGTCGATCAGTTCATCACGAAATCCGCTATCCTCAATCATAAAATTATGATCTTGAAAGAAGTTGACAGTGAAATTCGTTGGATACTTCAATTGCAGCTCGTTAAGTTGTGTTGCCACTACTTGTTTGCCGGCATAGCCCCTCGGTCGTAGCAGGTTGTTGACGTCCAACCTGAACACCCTACAATACTTGTAGTAGAGTTGATCGACAATGTCGGACCACTTCTTACAAACCAAAGCCAACGATAACTTTATAGCAAGTGGGAACAGAGTGTCGTTCAGTTCCAGTCCAAAGTAACTGTCACCCCAGTTCTTAAAAGATGTATGTGAAGCTCTAAATATTCTATCTAGAATTTGTTGTTGAATATAATATGATAAGATCATCTTTTGAGATACTATTAGAAATAAAAAAAAAATAATATAACACATTAATTAAATTCCAATTTAGATATTTTGCAAAAATTTTGTAGATCAGTTTCTTTTTTTTTTAATTAAATTATTTGAAATAATAAACAAAATGAATATTAAGTAATTTTAATGGAAATGATCGAATTTTTACTTTATATTCATTTTATTCGAAGTTATTTAACAAGAATTTATATAATAAAATAAAATGTGTTTACAACAGAACAATTTTTAGTTTAATTAATCAAGATTTGTTAAATTTCATTCTATTCTTTTTAAACTATGAACACATTTAAAATTGAATTGGCACAGATAAAAAAAAAGATTGATTGTAAATCAACAAAAGAAATAGATAAATTATATAAGTTACACACAAATTCAAAAATTTTGTCGTTAAAAAAAAAAAAAAAAAGAGCGCCAAATGTGTCAGCATTCCTCATTTTACCATTCCACAATTAATATTTTTTCAATAAAATCAAACCATCATTTTTTAATAAAAGATTAATATTTATATCTATTATTATAATAAATATTTACAAAAATATATTTTGGTAAAAGAGAATGAGATTAGTTAAAGTTGACAACAAGTATGTATTTATATATAATTAAAAATTAATTTATGCTCCAATGTTAATATTTTTAATACTAATATATTTATTTTAATTAATAATTTATAGAAATACTACAACAAATGTAGTTGTACCAAAGAAAACAAGTCCATTGAAGAAAAATACTTCTGGATCCAATAGTGGTAGAAAATCAGCTGGAAAAGATTCAAACAACCAAATGGTTTACTTCAAGGATTTAGAATCAATGTCCACTGCCAACTCACAGACAAACAAAGGAAAGGAAGTAAAGTCTCTCACTTCCTACTATGAGAATCTTAATAAATCGGTCAGCTCAAAACCAAATGTACTATCATCATCACAATCGAGCAATTCACTTGCTCTATTGAAAAAGAGAGCATCCAATTCCAATAACACCACCACCACTACCAAGCCTGCTTCTCCAGCTAAACAACAACAACAATCACCAAAACAATCACCAAAACAACAAGTAGTTGTAAATGAAGTTGTTCCAATGGAAATTAATCAACCAATTTCATTCAACTCTGCCGATTCCACTCCAATTCAATCGCTATCACCAAAAGTCAACAAGTCAACTTCTATTGTCATTGCTGCTGCTGTTGATACTCCAGTTGAAGTTGCTGCTGTTAACGTCATCAAGACACCACCAGTAGCTCCATCACCATCGAAAGTACCAAAGGAAGTTGAAACCATTCGTGAAACCGTTGAGGTCTATCGTACAAAGATCGTGGAGTTGGAGAAGCGTTTGGAGCGAGAGATCCTATCATCCAAGTCATTGAAGCAAGAGTTGATGCTGATGAACGATGTCCACAAGAAGGAAGTCCAACAGCTACACCGTGAGATAGATGAGCGTGAAGAGCACGTCGAGGAACTCTACGAGAAGTTGGAGACCAAAGAGTACTCGTTGATGGATATCGACCAGTATAAAGAGGAGATCAACGGTAAGAACAATGTGATTGAGCGTCTCGAGGAGGAAATACACCAGGCCGAAGAGTACTGCTATGAGATTCGCAAGGAGCAAGAGAAAGAACGTCGTCTCATCGAGGACTACAAGAAGGAGTTGCTCGATTGCCAGACTCTAGTTGCCTACTACCAAGACGAACTCGGTTTGAAGAGCAACGAACTCAATGAGCTGCAACGTCGTTTCGCCGGACAATCCGACGAGTTGAAACAATACAAGCACAAGATTCAATCGTTCCTCCAACTACTCGATACTCAAGAGCGTTTGAAAGAACAACTTGTATCATCACAACAACAACATCAACAACAATCATCAATTAAATCACCAGTTTCAACATCATCATCATCACAAATGCAAACACCAAAGAAAGAGAATTCCTCTTCCTATTTCAACTCTTCCAATCAAACACCAGTCTCGGCCAAGAAGAAGACATCCTCCATTACAACCGCTGTCAATACATCGATCAACAACAACAATAACAGTGTATTCAAATCACCAAATCCACTCACCAAACAAAGAACTCCAAAGAAAGTATTATGTTCCCCAAGATCCGTTATGGAATATATCTAAACAACCACAACCTAACACATAGGATCCGACCAACAACTAACCTTTCCATTCCACTATGTTTTGTATCAATCAATCCATTTCTCTTATTATTTATAATTATCAATTCATAACAAAAAGGAGATATTTAAAAAGTATCATATCCTTTTTAACCAATCTATTAAACATAAATTAAAAAATAAATATTTTGTATATCTTATCTAAACTTTTCATATCTTCTTATTATTATTATTATTATTAGATCAACTATTTAATTAATCTTTATTACTATTATCACCTCCTTCTACCATTGCACTAGTATATTTAATAATATTATTTGTTTCATCTATTACATCTGTTTCTCCAAGCTAATTAGAATGAATGAATGTTAGTAAATAATAACAATTGGAAATAAAGAGTTAATATTATTGACATACTCTTGTACCATTGATTCCTTCTGCGTATAAATAATGTTTCTCTAAATCTGGATGCAAGATACCTGCAAACTCTCTTACTTGAGTTCCTCTCGGTACCATTATACAATCTCTCAGTACACTTCCACCTGCCTTATCGCATGACAAACTCTTTAGATTCTTGACGGGATAGACCGGTATGAATTTCTTTAGTTCCACAGCGGTCTTTATTGTATCTTGCACACCGGTCGATCCATATCTAAACAACACCAAATCTTTCAGCTTCTCCAGACGTCCTCTGAGTTTCTCGTCACACGGTTTCAGCTCTGCGTTGTCGTCGCTCGTCTCAAAGTTATCTTGACCCTCGCGGTACGCTATATATTGTTGCGAGCGCATCTTTCTCAGGAAGATCTCTGCCAGTGCACTCGTGGGAATCATCTTCATATCGGGATACTTCATACAGATCTTATTGATATTGTTATCGGACGACGACATATCGACTTTATTCAGCACCAACACCATTGGGAATCTCACCTCCATAAAAGTATCGACCAGCAGATGCACAGTGGAATCATCCCAACTATCGAGAGCAATCGGTTCCTTCTGTCCCATTCTATCCAACGATTCTCTAACAATATTCAATCTAGTTCCATAACCAGATAGCTTTTTATGTAATATCGTTTCTGCCAGTGATTCTAAAAGTTGTTTATATTTTTTCAAACAATTGTTAACAACAACAACAACAACATTGATTGATTGATGATTGAATAAGAACTAAACACTAGTTAGTTACTACTTACTGGTTGTCTTTTGTTTTCTAACGATGTTTGACCATCGCTTCCAAAGATTATTGTAGATCCATTGGTGTATTTCATCTTTTAGCCATTGTACATCGTTGATTGGATCGTAACCGGTGGTTTCTTCACCTTTTTCGTTGGTGGTACCAGATACATCGACGACGTGTAGTAGGACGTGTGCATGTCTGAGATCATCGAGGAACTGATTTCCTAGACCTTTACCCTCGGATGCACCCGGCACCAAACCAGCGACATCCAACATCTTCACCGGTATATAACGTGTTCCATCTTGACAACGTCCGTACCGAGGTTTACAAAGTGCTGTCTTTTCGTATTTCAAACATGGACATTCCGCAGGATAATATGTCACACCATAGTTTGGTTCGATAGTAGTAAATGGATAATTACCTTTATTATTATTATTATATATTGAAGAGTATATTTAAAAATGAATTATTAGATAAACATATATTTATTTATCAGTAGAGATGGAGTGATTCTGCGAGTAACAAAGATAATGACATACCAACTTTAGCATTAGAATCGGTTGCAGCATTCAAAAATGAACTCTTACCAGCAGATGGTTTACCAACACATCCAATCACCAACTCATAACTCATCTTTTATTTAATATTGTTATTATGATTGAACTATATGATTACAACTAAACAATTGAAAAATCAACCGATTAGTTGATCTAAAAATTTTTTTTTTTTTTTTTAAATTTAAAGTCATTTTTTGCGAAATTGAATAGAAAGAAAAAATTTTCACAGTTGTTATATTTGTTTATTTGTATTTAGAAGTTCATAATGATTTTGGAGTTGAATCACATTCATTGTTTATATCCCTTTTATTATTAAAATACTTATTTTCTTTAAATGTAATTATAATCATTAAAATTAAAGCTGTTTAGTTACAATTGGTCATGATTCATTGAAGCAAAGATTGAAAGGTGTAATTATTGTAAAATAGTGATAGTATAGAGGTGGTTATTGTAATAAGGTTTTGCAAATATATATTAGAACTAAATTACAAATTAATATTAATATTGATATTAATAAACAATGACCATCATTCTGACTTATTGTATAGAGTAATTCTAATGAAGTATTCAATTTTAATATTAGTAGTGTGGTTTTTTTTTTTGAACTCACACAACATACACACACAATTGCAAATATGAAAAAACAACTTTTATTTTATTAATTGTGGTACCTTTTTTTATACATATACAGATAAAGGTTGGATTTAATTAAATTCAAGTTCACCACCATTGTGTTAAAAAAAAAGAAGTAAATCCATTTTTAAGGATTATGATTTTTAAAAATCAATTATAATAATTAAAAATAAATTATTATATAATAATTATCTTTATCTCTATAATATTGTTAATAGTAATAGAAATAAAATAAATTTTGTAGAATATTCTATTTATTATGTATAGATTGTTTTCATATTTTTATTGTTCACCAACTTCCACTACTACAACTCCTTCAACCTCGGTAGAAGAAAATGAAAAAGATGAAAATATTAAAGATAAAAATAATAAATATTATTTAGAATTAAATGATTCAACAACTACTAAACCAACTAGAAAGGAATCATATGAATTTTATATCTCTGACTCTGAAGATGTAACGAAAAATCAAATAAAGATATTGACAGACAGTCTCGATGAGTTTGGAAATCAAATTGAAATCATAAGGAGAGAGTATAGATCGATTTCAAGTCAACTACAACAAGAACGTGATAATTACAAACGATTAAACAATGAAAAGGAAGATAAAGAATTGAAATTACTTACAACTATCGATGACCTTGAGCTTCAATTGAAACAAGAGAATAACAATAATTCGGAATTAAAATTAAATATAGAATCAAAAGAAAAAGGTAAGAAAGAAATACTTAAAAAAAAAATACATTAATTAATTAAAAATTAATATTTATAATTTATAATTATTTCTTCAAGATCTAAATATAATTATTTCAGAAAGATCTTTATTTATAAATCAAATAGATCAATTAAGAAAAAAGATTGAAATATTAATGAATGAAAAATATGAACAAGAGCAAAAGATATCGGATCTAAGTGAAGTTGTTGTGAATAAAAATGAAACCATTGAACAACTCACTCTGAAATTGGTACAATTAGTAGGAGATGCATCAAATCCTTACAATTCAAGCATTACAAATAATAATATAAATAATAATAATACTACCAATCCACCATTACAACAACCGGTATTATTAAATCAAGTAGCATCTGTTAATTAATTAATATATATTAAATAAAAATAGTAGATTAATAATTATAATATTATATTTCTTTTGGAAGAATAGAAAACTGTTAACAATTATATATTAAATAATATATAACAAGACTGATTTATTTGATATTTGTTCAAGAAATCATATTATTAAATGATTGATTGACGAAATCCATTACGGACCATGCTTGATCTCGACTGTTGACCAGTTCCAATTTATGACAGATTAGGATGTTACCGAAAGTATTTCCCTTGTTGACAGTGAGTCGATAGGTTTTAAATTTCGTTTGATCATCTTTCCAAGCTTTGGCACTGACCAAGTCAATCGATTCAGATTCACTGTATTTCATAGATTTCAATACCTCTTCTGATTTTGCCCACAAACCAACTTTTTTAGCTTTGATCAGTTGACTTTTAATTTTAATCATATGTCTAAATTAATATTATTATTATTATTATTTAAAAATATATATTAGTTAATGATTGATTGAATAAAATATTATTATTTTTATATCTATCTTATTAATTAACTTACTGGTGAGGTATGTTCAATATCTTTTCTATGATCTCTTCATCATTAACAACAATCGATTTGACTGAACTGCCATCAGATACTTCACACTCCATGCTTCCGATAAATTTGCAATTAGCAATATCCTGTCTCTCCCATTTACATTTACATTTGGTCGATGTTATTGGTTGTTCACATTCACTACATCTATAATTATAATTAAAAGACAACATTAATAAAACGATGTGGATGGATTGAATTGTCTCTACTAATGAAATAACTTACGAATAAGAAATATCTACATAAATGATATTGGTAATATCGGCTACCACTCTACATAATGTCTTTGGAGGTATCGATCTATTTACATCTGCCAATAGCAATGGTTTCGAATAATCGTAGGTAGGTAGATTATCATCGTAACCTCCGTCATAGTTATGACTACTATTTGAAGTCATTGTAGATGCAGATGTTGTTGTAGTTGTTGTAGTTGTTGCGGCAACATCATCATCACCATACCTATTGAATCTTTGCTTTTTAATAGGACGATCACTACCAAACCCTTTAAAGGGAAACGGTGAATTGGAAGATGAAGAAGTAGTAGAATTGGAAGATGATTGTTCGTTGCTTGGCGACGACACTTCTTCTTTTCTTTGATCATAATCAAATAGTTCAATGAGTTTAAAAGCTTCTTCTCTTGTCTTTGTATCACTATTATCACTACTATTATTATTATCATCATAATCATAATCATAGTCATCGTTGTTGTTGGTAGTTGTTGATTTTCTTTTCATTGTTGTTGTACTTGTTGTTGCTTGTTGTTGTTGTTGTTGTTGTTGATCATTTATAGTAATACGGTGAGCAATTAAAGGACTATTACTAGAAGTACTATGATTGTCAGCAGAGATACGTTCATTCTCAGATGACAACACATTGTAGTAAGAGTATCGGTTGCTGTGACAAAAGTTATTGGTACCAACACCACCGGTTGTCAGACAGAGATTAGTAAACTTTACAACCATACGCTCAACTATTCCATAATGATAATCTTGCAATATAACACATATCTCTTTACCAAGTGAATCATTTGGATCTCTACACCATAGAATCAATGTAAGTTTACTAAATAAAATAAATCAATTAATAATTAATAAAAATGAATATTATTTAAATAATCGATCTATCTATTTTCTTTTCTTACCCGTTCTTTGATTTAATATATTGTTTTGTAATAAAAGCAATGAATGTAACTAAATTGAATTGATCCTTCTTGTAGAGTTGCATAGCATCCAATTCAAAGAGTTCTCTAACACTGTAGTGGTCGGATCTCACTTCAAATCGATCGATCTGGTCAAACAAATCATCGTTCTGAATAGTTACCAAAGGAATACAGTAATCATGTATCAAATCGATTGTAGCATCTTGTGGAGTCAATCTAGATTCATCAGAATCAATAAATATAATAGTTTTAAATTGAGCTATAATAATTATAATAAGAAAGGTTAGTTAGTTAATAGTTATATTATATCATTATAAACAATCTTACCATTTGAATTGACTTTAATTTTTTACTATATTTATGTGATTGTTGTGATTGTTGTTGTCTCTTCGATGATGATGATAACTTCTCTGAACACTGATCTACATAGTAATAACTTGATATTTGTAATGCAGGATAATACTTGTTCGGTACATTATTAATCTTGATTAGGGGTTGTCCTTCGACCAAGAGAATGGCAATCAATGATAGTTTGCCGTATCTAGTGATCTTTCCAATGAGTTTGAAGAATAGGAAGCCCAACTGATGGAATGTCTTTGCGTTCTGTTGTAGTAGATCGAATTTCTCTTGATACTCTTTCGATTCTCTGTCGCAGTTGGCCGACAGATGTCTGTCGACATCGATCGGTGCCAACATATTGCAATCATCCATCGAGAACTGAAGATAAACCAACTTCTTCTCATTGCCTAGTTCATCTTGATAGACCTCTAGATTTATCATATAGTTATTGATCTTCCAAATATAATTTAAATGATATTCATTCAACTAAGAAAATAATAATAAACCACACAATTTGATTTGATTTGATTTGATTAGATTACTATTATTCTAATTTCATTACATACAATACAATACAATACATACATCAATAATATTACATATCATAAAAGAAGAGTCAGCATCTTTAATATAAACTTTTCCCCACTCATAGCTTTGTGGTTCAAGTTCGAATCTTCCAATTAAAGTATATTTCAAATTGTTTAAATATCTTTCTGATTCTATTGTATTTATATATATATATTAGTAAATAAATTTGAATATAATTTAGCTATTGAATTTTTATAGTTACTTGTTACATTCTTTGGTTGTGGAATTTGAGCTATCTCTATAATACCTGGGAATTGAAAAGATTGTTTGTTGTAGTAACATTGAGTGTCATGATTAAAGAATATATCGTAGTGATCTTCCGATCGATGAAATGGTGCAACTGGTTTAATACCAAAAGAAGATGCAATCTGATCATATAAATAACCATTTTTAAACTTTATACAAACAAATAAATAATAATAATTAGTTTTGGTGGCATAGACTAATTTTATGATCATCATTGAGTGAAACTAACTTACTGGTCTGTTAAATGAATCGAAATCTTTGAAGAGATTGGGGAATTTAGTTGTTAGACGTTTCAGTATCTTTGGCAGTGTACACGAATCGATGATAGAATACTTGTTCCACAGAGGAAAGTACGATGACGGCTGGAACGGTTGAAAGTTTCTGAGTGTTTGATTATGTACAAATGAAATGAATTTATATGAACTGTTGGGACAAACTCCAAGTCCCTATATAGTAATCATGTTAGACAATATGTATTGTATAAGAGTAGTAAAGTTGTTTCATAAAACTCAAACTTACCTCTAGTGAATTATTTACATAGATTGGATGTACATTCTCCAATTTCATGATGGTTCCAACTCTGATACCACTTCCAAAGAAACCTTTGCATGCGTAGTGCGTGAAGAATACACGTAGTCCGTTGTCCATTATGTATGATCCTTCGTCGATTTTGAAATCGCCAGTGATCGTTCCGACAAAGTCGATGGCATGTGGCAGTTGCTGAGCGGATTTGGTGGCTGCCTGTAACGACTCTGAGTTGAGGGTGATACGTGTGTTTGTTTTGGCAATTGCAGTGTGAAAGATCTTTGTATCGCTATACACATGGAACAATATTCTTTCTTTCGGAGCACCACTGAATATCAACTTAACAGTGATATTCTCCAAGAGATAGTGATTACCAACATCCAGCAATTGAAACCATTTCGTCATATCGTCACTAAACATAATATAAAATATTTGTTCTTGTTGCTTCGATGCTTTATCAGAACTACTGTCACTAACCATCAATGCCTGTAGAAAGAAGAATTGTCCATTTCTAGAAGGTAAGATTGATGATTTCGATAGTATTTTGATATGAATTGTATATCTTCCTTTCTTGTTTGGTGAAGATGATGATGATGATAATGATGATGTCGATGAAGCTGTTGAAGAAGTGGACAATGATGATCCAATTTGTGATAATGTTAACTTGGTTGGTGGATATGTTTTTTAATAAAGGAAGTCAGTGTAGTTATTTCGGTTTGCTTGTGGAATCGGTCCAGTATGCGTTGGTAGTAGTTGTTTGCTCCACGATATAGAACATACAGCTTTTGTATTTCGATATAATTTACAACGTTTCGAGATGAATAGATGTTGTTTGTTGAGTTATTTGTAGATGATGGTGATGATGACGGTACAACAACAAGTCTCCAACTTGTTACAAAGACAATGGAATCCATCATATCGGGAACGGGTGTCGATGACGAACTCAGTTGAACAGGCATTTCACCATCACGATCTTTCAGTACCAATCGGTCTCTGTTGTCTGGATTCGAGCAGCTCGTAATCATACCCATCAGCAAACGGAAGTTATGATTCATTTCGTCGGGCACCGACTGGTCTAGCGATGCATAGTTGGCCGTTCTACTCATAAGCTCCTTAACATTGACAAAGTAACTCTTGGTTGGACACCATCCATTCTCATTTCCTTTAATAATATTAGTTGCTGCTGATGAAATTCCTGCATTTGTTGTCGATGTTGTAGTTGCTGTCGTTGTTGTAGTTGTATTGTTGTTGTTAGATGTTGATTTCCTACGATTAGGAGTTGTTAAGATTGTACCATTGTCTATCAATTTCGATTGATTGTTTGTTGGGTTACTAGATATTATTTGAATACCAAGTAGATAGACTATTAGACGCTCCATTGATTTGTGAATCTGAGGAGGTTCAATCAAACCACTTAGATGGTTGTATTGCGCGGCAAGAGAGTGTCTGATCCATCGTGCAACGAAAGGTGAGATACCGTCCGGTACAATATGATCATCTTTCAACTTTGATTGTGAAAGTGGTAAAGAAGGACTGCTACCTCCACTGTGCTTGTCATCCTCTACATCATCATCATCATCAATGACAACGATATTGTTGTTTTTGATACCAACACTACCACTAGTCGTACCGACATGACTCAAAGTACTTGTAAATTCATCATTACAATAATTTAAATATTTTAAAATACTTTGAACATAAGGTGATGATTTCAATTCTCTTTTAGATTGTATACTTATTTTTCTTTTGTTTACTTTTTGCATTGTGTAAAAAAAGAAAAAAAAACAATACAAAACAATACAAAAACTTTTGAATTACGTAACTAACTAAACTAATAGATTTAAATATATAAATATGTTTGTTTTTTTTTTTTTGTAAATAAATATAAATAAATAAATCAATCAAATAAATAAATAAATAAATAATTATAATATGAATATAAATATAACAATTGTCCGAAATATGATGATATTCTTTAACTTTAATATTTCCCTTTTTTTTTTTTGATTTTTTTATGTTAACAGTTGTTTATTTTAATTAGATAACTTTTTATTATAAATGACAGTCGAAACAAACATTCATTGAATATTATTTACAAAAATATCTTTTTTTTAAATAAATTTGTGCACATTTTTTATTTTTTTTTTTTGGAACTTCACCCTTAGTATTGTGCTGACTCATGTTGAACTTTAAATATTTTAACACCACAGTTTTATTACTAATTTCGAGGTCATTATTTAAGTTTATTTATTAATTATATATCATATTTTTATAATACTAAATATTTAATAATTTAATTTAAAATAATTAAATTTTGATAGTAGTCAGTCTATAAATAGAAAGATATATATATAGTTTAGTTATTGATAAATTATGAATCCATTTAGATTGATAGGTGACTTGTTGCATATCACTGCAATTCTCTTATTGTTATTCAAAATAAAGAATGATAGATCATGTAATGGTATGTACTTTGAAATTATATAATTGGTTTATAAAGCTATGATGATGAAATGCTATAGAATGATTACTCATACTTATTGATTAATGATTGATTGATTGATCAATTGATTGAACAACAAATAATAATAATAATAATAGGTATTTCATTAAAGAGTCAAATATTATATTCGGTTGTGTTTACAACTAGATATCTAGATCTATTTGTATCACACTATTCTTATTATAATACTATGATGAAGATCATCTATCTTTGTGCATCCTACTACATCATTTACTTGATCACCGTCAAGTTCAAGTTTACCTACGACAAGGAGCATGATAACTTTAGAATTCACTTCCTCATTATTCCATGTGCCATTCTATCATTGTTCTTATACGATAGAACTACCAACGATACTATTTTAGAGGTATGAAATCCGAAAATGGCAGTCATAAATTAATATATATTAATCATTTTATAAAAACAAACTTATATATATATAAATATTTAGATATTATGGACATTCTCAATCTTTTTAGAATCAGTTGCAATTTTACCACAACTATTCTTGTTACAGAGAACAGGTGAAGTAGAATCATTGACATCGAACTATATCATTTGTCTTGGTGGATATCGTGCATTTTACTTTTTGAATTGGATTTACAGAATTTTCACTGAGGATTTCTCTGGTATGTTGGTCATGTTTGCTGGTGTTATCCAAACTATTCTCTACTGCGACTTTTTCTATTATTACTTTAAGAGGTAAGTTTTAAAAAAACATATTATGTTCAACAAACAAACTAAAACAAACTAATAACATTTAACATTTTATTTTACAATTTACAGTAAATGGTTAGGAAATAAATTAGTTTTGCCACAATAATAAATAAATAAATAAATAAGATAAAATAAAATAAAAAATAACTATTATTATTATTAATTTTAACAATTATAATTATTTATATAATATTGGGTTGATTTTAATTTATTTTATAGTTTTATTTTTATTTTAGAACTTTCTTTTTAATTTAACAGCCATGTCTATAAGCTTTCTTCCTTTAAGTTGTTTCTTTATAATTACAACTGCTACAGTAATTAATATTAAACCACCGACAACAGAGCAAACAACAATCACTGGAACTTTCCAATTATTCTTTTTAGAGTCACATTGTTCTGGGTCACCAGTTAACAACAATGAGAAGTTTGGATCTAAAATACATTGGCTGTCAAAGTACGGAACTTGAATTGCTGTCAATAATGTGTATTTTGTTTGATCTGTTGAGTTACTTTTGACGATTTGATACAATGGATCGGTTTCTTCATCCAACAATATAACGTTACTCTTTGTGATACGTCCATTCACAAATAGATATCTTGCAAATCTAGCCGATAGGATTGATGTTCCAATTTGAACTTGGTACCATGATGCTGAGTTGCTTGTTGTTCCATCAGATAATACTTTTGGTGTTGAACAAATATCTTGATTTTGAAGTAGTTGTGCTGAATAGATAACTTCAAGTGTACTTAGTTGATCTTTGAATGGCCAACTGCTGATTGTAACTTGGAATTTGACTGAATTGGCATCCATTTGAATTGTCTCTCCTGCAAATACAATCGACGTTGATATGTTGAAAATATTGACATTCAATTGGATTGTTGTTGAACTGTTTGCAATCTGACCTGTGTAAATATAATATGTGGTGTTTGATTGAATCAATGTCCAATCGATATCAGAAACATTCACAAGTTTCAACGTATTTCCATTCGAATCGATCTCTCGAATATATTGGATGTCAATGTTGAACTTTGACGTTTCAACACTGTCGTTCTTTGTTACGAGTACAGCACCACCATTGTTGTTCACTAAAGGTGGTGGTGGCAATGTTTGTGTGGATTTCATTGAACAATCCCATAGATAGAATCCAGGACGACATTGGCATTGTCCATTGTCATGATTACACACTCCGTTTCCAGAACATGTTGGATTTGCACACTCATAGTATTGCCTATAAAAGAATAAATAGGAGGTGGTAGTGCCAACATTATTTGAGACTGCGATTGGTAGTGCATCCTTTCCACCAACTGGAGTACCTGTGAATGAACAGATCAATTGTTGTGGACTGAGATATACAATATAATCACATCCAGCTCCACCAATTGTGATTTGAGAAGTATTCATAAAATGATCACCAAATATTGTTACATTCCCTGTTTCACCTTGTTTCATATTCGTTTGATACCTATTTATAGTTGGTGCTAAAGTAAGAATAGCGTTAATCATTTGATAAAATATGATTTTAAACCTGTCATTTTCAATATTAATACTTACAATATAAATTATTTGTATAGTTGATCTGATTGGTGTTAAGACCATTAATAATAAAATACATTGATGTGGTGTTTATACCTGCTGCAACACGTAATACAATTGGAATTTTGGTCTCTAATACAGAGTACAATGGAACTAAACCCATTACTTGTATTGAGTTAATATTTTGATTGAAGTCGATATCAAAGATTGCATATCCATCCTGGTAGTTGGATGCGTTCGTTGTATATCCTACAATAGTTGGAGACATGATTGGATTGTACACAAGGAAATAAATGTTGCTTAGGGCATTGGTATTGGTGTCCATTAAGGAACCACTGGTGAGACTTAAGGTAATCGCAGTATTTACAACGCTGCATCCATTCGTTCCGTAGTAGTACGGTGCAACCAAAGAATTTTTCGATGGTCCATACATGTTATAGAAACTTCCACCAGAGACCATTCGAACACCTTGAGTAAGCACTCTGGTTGGGAATATCTTTGATACCAAATTGTATTGGCTTGCTTCGGTGAGTGCACCGAAATACACTGTTTGGTCGCTTAGCTTTGGAACAATATAGGTGAGAAAAGTCGTAAGATTTACATTGAGAGTGAATAGGGCAAAGTTTGGTGGATTGTTGGTTACGCCTGAAAGGTAAAAGGGTGCTCGATACGATTTGATTTCCATTCCATCTACCGATATGATTAAAGGAAACGGTGATAGAACATCACTACTCAAAGTACAAGACAATTGATCACCACTTAATTGAACGCTTCTACACTGAACATTCCCAATTGACATCGAAATTAAGTTTATATCATTTCCAAAACCTTGACCTCTTACGACCAATATTTCATCTTTTTGGAACTTTGGAGTAAAACCAATAACGAGAGGTGCTTTTTTTTAATATAATAATAATGATGGTTAGGTTAGTATTCTTCATAGTAAATTATTAATATAGACTTACAATTATATTGAAATATTGATATATATGTATTTTGTGTATTGGTAATACATTTCAATTTATATAAACCTGTACCTGGAGGTACTTGAAAAGTTCCATTCTTCACTCTAGGAAGGTTGATTATTTGTGTCAAATCATTCCATTTCAAAATTTGACATGTATCTAGAAACTGACTCTGAGGATTGACATAGAAGATCTCCAATTGTCCTCCATCGGAAGAAATAGAAGTTTTCTGAACGATCTTTATACTGAGATTATCTTCTACACAAAGTGCTTTATAAGAGTTAGTTCGTGGAACAGAAATGAATTGCAGAGTACCATCGCCTTGCAGCTGTGCTGCAACTGCATTGTTGCTCTGTCCAATCACTGGGTGACCGTCACTCCAAGGGCAAAAGGTGTAACACTGATCGTTTTGTGCTGTGTACATCGGCATCGTAGAGAAAGGACCGCTCGAATCATATGAGTATCCAGTTCCATTAAGCGATGCCGCTTGAATACTAATCCAGAAAGGATCGTTGAGCGCATTCGTCTCTAGCTCTGCTCGAATAAAATCCGCTTCCTGTTTGCTTGTGATTGTTGCGAGGAATCCACCACCCTGACACTGTGTCAACGCTCCATTATAATTGTAATCGAGACCTAAATATCTGTAGGAGTAACCGGTTACATTCCATGCTGGAAACAGTATGTCGGTGTCACCAACACAAATATTAATCAAAAAAACAATTAAACAAATAAATGTAACAGATAAGCTGGTAAACATTATCTAATTTAAAAAAAATATATAATATGATCAAAATTTTTGCGAGCCTAAAAAGATTTCTTTATCTTTTTTTTTTTTAAATAAAAACGTAAATCTTAAAAAATCTTCTTTATCGTGATTAAAATAATCTTCCATGTTATATATATTAAAAAAAAATTAAAGATTTTAGTCAATTTTTAAATCATTTCTTCTCTTTTAGTATTACATGTATTTTTTATTTATTTAAAGTTTTCTTTTTAATTTCACAGCCATGTCTATAAGCTTTCTTCCTTTAAGTTGTTTCTTTATAATTACAACTGCTACAGTAATTAATAATAAACCACCGACAACAGAGCAAACAACGATCACTGGAACTTTCCAATTATTCTTTTTAGAGTCACATTGTTCTGGGTCACCAGTTAACAACAATGAGAAGTTTGGATCTAAAATACATTGGCTGTCAAAGTATGGAACTTGAATTGCTGTCAACAATGTGTATTTTGTTTGATCTGTTGAGTTACTTTTGACGATTTGATACAATGGATCGGTTTCTTCATCCAACAATATAACGTTACTCTTTGTGATACGGCCATTCACAAATAGATATCTTGCAAATCGAGCCGATAGGATTGATGTTCCAATTTGAACTTGGTACCATGATGCTGAGTTGCTTGTTGTTCCATCAGATAATACTTTTGGTGTTGAACAAATATCTTGATTTTGAACTAATTGTGCTGAATAGATAACTTCAAGTGTACTTAGTTGATCTTTGAATGGCCAACTGCTGATTGTAACTTGGAATTTGACTGAATTGGCATCCATTTGAATTGTCTCTCCTGCAAATACAATCGACGTTGATGTGTTGAAAATATTGACATTCAATTGGATTGTTGTTGAACTGTTTGCAATCTGACCTGTGTAAATATAATATGTGGTGTTTGATTGAATCAATGTCCAATCGATATCAGAAACATTCACAAGTTTCAAAGTATTTCCATTCGAATCGATCTCTCGAATATATTGGATGTCAATGTTGAACTTTGACGTTTCAACACTGTCGTTCTTTGTTACGAGTACAGCACCACCATTGTTGTTCACTAAAGGTGGTGGTGGCAATGTTTGTGTGGATTTCATTGAACAATCCCATAGATAGAATCCAGGACGACATTGGCATTGTCCATTGTCATGATTACACACTCCGTTTCCAGAACATGTTGGATTTGCACATTCGAAATACTGCTTATAATAGAAAATATAGGCAGTTACAGCTCCAACATTGGTCGACACTCTGATTGGTAGTGCATCTTTTCCACCCAAAGGAATTCCATTGAAAAGACAAACCAATGTTTGTGAATCAACGAAATTTAATGCATTACATAAATAATTACCGATCGACACCATCGAAGTATTCATAAAATGATTTCCAAAGATAGTTACATTTCCAGATTCACCTTGTTTTTGTATAGATTGATAACTATTTATAATTGGTTCTGTAAATAAAAAGTTAGTTCAGATAATATCCTAATTTTTACAAATTAGATTTTAAATACTTACTATAAAAATTATTTTTATAAAAAATAGTATTTGTTTGTTGTCCATTAAGTGTCAAATATACATAATTCATAAATATTCCAGCTTTTACAGATAATATTAACTGATTTTCCGTGTATATTGGTTGTCCATAAATAGCGTCGGGAGAAAATCCATTTAATGTGATTGTTTTAAATTCTTCATTTAAAAAATAATTCAACACTATAGTTCCATCTTGATAGTTGGAAGCATTTGTTGTATAATCGATAATTCTTGCTGTGGTGAGAGAGTAATATTGAATAAAAAAGTTATTGGTAACTATGGTATTATCGGTTCCGCTCAATGAAGCATCGGTAGTATTAAATAAGACAGGACCGGGCGAATCGAGAATGAGCGAAGTTGCGTTTTCTTTAAAATAAGGCGAGGCTCTTACATCTTTATTTGGACCATACGAATAGAAGAAAGCTCCACTGAGCACCTTAAGACCTTCAATAACTGCGGAATTGGGGACTATCTTTTGCAAAAGATTGAATTGATTTAGTGATGTAACCACTCCAAAAAACTTTCCATCGTCTATATAACTTGAACTCGATATAAAATCGGTAAATTTCGTAATGTTGGCCTGTAAGTTGAAGATTGAAAAGTCAGGTGGTTCAAAGGTTACTGTATCCAAATAGACTGGTGCTCTTGTTGAAGTTACTTGAATACCATCGACCATAATATTGATTGGATATGGAGAAACAATATTATCATTCAAGGTACAGGTAATTTGATCTCCTTTTAAAAATAAAATATTGCTACACGCCACTTTACTGAACATCTCTGATAATGTATTTCCAAAAACCACAGAAATTAATGAAGGATCTACACCGAAATTTACACCTCTAATAGTGACAACCTCTCCTTTATTAAACTTTGGTGTAAAACCAATAATTTGAGGTGCTATTTTGTTTGTTTATAATAACAAAAATATTAATAAACAACATTTTTGTAATAATACTATAATTTATATTTACCTTTATATTGAAATATTCCTGAGTATGATTGAGGTGGCGAATCTTGTGTAAACACTGTAAAGTTGTATATCCAAACACCAGTACCAGGTGGAATTCTAAAAAATAGATTCAGTTGATCGATTGCAAACGTATTTCTGGGATTATTGTAGCTTTGTAAAGTACCTCCCACCGTTGTTATATTTGCAGTGTTGGTAACAACAATTATTAAACTTCCTCCGGTGGTTGGCACCTGACTTCTTTGTAGGATTCTCTTTTTATTGCTTGGGAGTTCTAAACATAGCACAGGCAGTTGAGTAGTGAATGGTAATGCCCTGAAACTGATTTGGCCATTGGTAATCTGTGCAGCGACAGCATAGAGCGATGCATTACCAAAATTGATAGGTTCGCCGGGTCCCCATGGACAATAGGTAATACATGTATCGTTCTGGACATCGTACATTGGCTGTAGATCCAGTGATGTTCCCGATTCGTAGGTGTATCCATTTCCATTGGAGCTTAGCGATTGAATTCCAATCCAGAAAAGTGTGTTGGTAAAATTGTTCGAGTTGGCAACGATATAATCAGCTTCCTTTTTGTTTGACAACGAGGCTATTGCGCCAATTTGTAAACACATATTCAAAGATATATCATATGAAACAGGTGCATCTTTAAGAACATATGAATATCCGGATACATTCCATGCTGGAATCTGTGTATCAGACAAACATTGTTGAACCAGAAATATTCCAAATATAATGAATAATATTAAACTTTTATTTATCATTTTTGAAATATTTGTATATAAATAAGTATATAAAAATAATTTTTAACATTAAAGGTTGAGATTGTATGATTTCGTTGATAAAAAAATGTAAAAAATAACCACTCACAAATAAGATTCCTTTTCTTGATTTTTTTTTTTAAAAAAACATAGATGATCAGTGTCCACTGATTTCCAATAAAAATAAAATTTTTTATAACGTTATATCTAAACTTATCAGATTTATTCTTTAAAGTGAAGAGAATGTTTTCATTTAATAAATATTTTATTTTATTTTTAAATTATTAATTTAATATCATTTGTTTCATACAATAGATAATTTGTATTCCATTGATTTTGTTTTTGTAAACTTTCGTAGAATCGATTGAATTGTTGATCTATTTGGTTATTATCGATTACATTCAACGATTGTTGATCGATCAACAAAGAGTGAAAGTAAGATTTCAATAATATTAGATTAAGGTTATCGTTGAGGTGCTCCTTGTCATTTTGATTCTCAATCAATACAACCTGATACTTTCTACCACCACCGTTGGTATTCTTTACTTTCAAAAGATATTTATACTTGTCGTCACTACTATTTGAACTCGTCGATATACTATTATTCTTAATATATGAAACTATGTCCGATTCATCTTTAATATCGAAAGCATCCTCAACTGTAACACCAAATGCAATATCTAATTTATCGACCATCTTTGTTGGTAACATAAAACTATAAAACAACTTAATTAATACATTACTATTAATATGTTTATTATTATATATTTTTACTTACTCTTCATTTCTATTTACTTGATCTATTGATAAAAGTTCACCGTTACTTTGTAACCAATGTTTGATTAGGATGTTTGATCTTTGGATGTTTAGTGTCTTGAACTTGATTGATTTGATTGCACGGTATCCACAATACATATGTATTAGAGAGAGACCGAACACAGCAGATAGATTCATTGTTGTTGTCATTTGTACCATGTGTAGACCAAACAGTGTTCCGATTGCCATACCCGTCAAATAGGATGACATTGCCTGTGACTGATACTTGGCAGTGATATCACCGATATTCTCTTTCAATGCAAACGATTTGTGCAACGATGCTCTAGTAGATCCATAAATAAGTCCTGCAATACCCTTTGCCAAATTCGATATAGAAGCCATCAACAAGAAGTAACCAGGTAGAAAAGGTGTACATGTTTCAAGCTAACAGACATAACATAAGTATACGAAAAAGTTAGTTAGATTAGAAACAAACATCATGATATGATGTTTAATAATTGTGTATGTGTGTATTTAAATTAGCTATACTTACGAATACACCAAAGTTATGTAGAAAATCACCTCTAAATTTGAATCGTTTTAGATCAAAGTCTAGAGAGGTACTGTATTTACTGGCGAATAAGACTAGTGCTGATGCACCTAAACCATCTTTGAGTACCCACGATATCGCAGCTGAGAATGGTAATGATGCGGAGAGACCTACACCAACAGAGGTTAGGAGTGCATGTGTCGAGAGCATATAGGTGACCGATCCCAGTGTATTCTGAACAAAGATCCAACGTTGATATGATGCATAATCTTGTGATACCGACTCTGGATAACCACTAGGAAGAAACAATGTTTTGAATGTTTCATACAACTTTTCACTTAGCGAACCAACGCCAACACCAACACCATTATTAACACTAACTACATCACCAGTACTCTTTGTTGTATTGTTTACATCGTTGTTTTGAATCGATATCAATCTATCATTATTATTATTATTTATTTGAGTATATTGTTTCTTAACTACACCATGATGAATTTCTTTGATTGTTGTTGATGTTGTTGTCGTTGTTGAATTGCAATATCTCCTTAGTCCATAGACAATAGCTGAGTTACCATAGTTCTTAATATTATGATAACTCTTAGAACTACATCCTAAAGCAATCCTTAACATTTTTTATAACTGTTTTAGATTTATATTTGAAGTTGAATTTGAAATCGAAATTGAAAATATATTTTGGGATCAGATGATCATTCATTTTGATCGTTAAGTTCACTTCAAGTGGGAATCACCCTTTTCAGTAAATCAGTGGTGTGGGGTTTCTGATTGATGAATCATTGGAAGATTACACGCAGATAAAAAAATAAAAAAAAAAAGTTAATTGAAAAAATATAAAAAAGGTTATTATTAATCAAACTGTTTTTTTATTATTGAAGCCAGTCTGATTGATTGGGAGGTTGGTTATCTTAATTATTTACATAACTATTTGTTGTTGTTGTTGTTGTTGTATTTTGTCAGGTGTTCTCGCGCATTTATAATTACATTCAATCTATTTGTTCCATTTTCTACCGAATTTCTGTTTTCTTTGAGGAGCTCCACGTGCTTTGAAACCTCTCTTCATATCAGCATAACCTTCATCCTCTTCATCTGCATATCCATCATCGTCATATTGAATACGTTTAAGTTCTTCTTCATCTATTTCTTCACCATCGTTTTCCTCTCCATCTTCGTCATCTTCTTCGTCTTCTTCCTCATCTTCCTCATCGTCATCTTCCTCATCCTCATCTTCATCATCTTCATCTTCATCATCATCTTCTTCTTCTTCTTCTTCTTCACTTTCACTTTCATCCTTTGGATGAATCTTTTTATTACGATTTGCATTTGTTTCGAGTTCATATCTATTTGCAGTCGATACTACGGTTGAACCACCTGCAACTACTTTCGGTTGAGATGTTGTTGTTGTTGTTGAGTTTGTCCATGATGGTGATTGTGACAAAACACTCTTGTTCTTCTTTGACAATCGTTTCTCTCGCTTGCTTGTTGCACGATCTTCTTCCTCTTGGTCATCGTCACCGCCTGGCACCTTCTTAGTGGATTCTTTATCGTCTTCGTTTTGGTCGTCGGCTCTCTTCTTCTTGTCTTTCTTTTGAGTTTTGTGGTGTGAACTAACGACTTGAGCATGAATCTTCTCGTACTCTGCCATCTGTGTTTGATAACGACGCTTGTCTTCGTCGGCCTTCTCGTAGAACGGTCGTTTTGCTAGATCGTCCATGCCACGCCACATCTCCTGACACCAGCCACTCGACTTAGTGCTATTGGCATCCTTGTAGTACTGATAGGCAGGAATCGGCAGTGTTGGCTTCGATCGCTTGATTCCACTGAGATTGGCTTGCGGAGTGCCATTCGCAAGATGATGGTTGTGGTGACCGTGATTCTCCGATGCTTTCGATCCACTGGCTGGCGCCTGACTCTGTGGCTGGCTCTGTTGCTGTTGCTTTTGCTTCATCTCTTTCTCATGCTCTTCACGTTGCATCTTTGATTTCAACTTGAATTGTTGAATCTCTTTTTGCAGTGAATCGACACCTTCCTCAGTGTTGTCATCCTTAGCAGTGGTAGTAAGAGCAACAGGTTGTTTCTCCTCGACATTCTTCTTTGACTTTACACCACCTTTTTTGACTTTTTTATCATTTTTTGTTGAAGCAGCAGTAGTGGTTGTGATATTTGTGTTGGTAGAACTCTTTGTCATTATTATATTATGTTGAGAGTAAATAAAATTAAATTAAATATATGAAAAATAAAACAAATAAACAAGTCTAATTAATTATACAATTATATAAATTAAAAACAAAAATGATAAATGATAATATATATATATATATGATAATGGTTAATGATGATAATATTATAAACAATTAATTATATTACAACAGATGTTATTATTTACAATGATTTGATAAAAAAAAAACAAAAAAAAGATAATTGATTATAACTCTTACTAAAATATCAATACACACAAGTATAAATAAAAAAACAAATTGAAAATTTGAATTGGTGTTAATTTGAATTGTATGTAATTTGTGTTGGATTGCTTGGACAACACACAAAACAATCTTAGTTTTTTAACAAAAAAAAAAAAAATGAAAAATAATATTATATTAAAGTAGCTTCAATTCATTCTTTATTAATTATCAATTTTCCTTTAAAATATAATTGGTGTTTACATTACAAAAAAATCAATAGCTTTGACAATTATTTAAAGAACTTCGAAAATCTAATAAATTTTTGACTTTTTTTCTTTTTTTTCGACTTTTTTTATTTTTTATTTTTTTTTTGGCAATAAACTCGCCAGACTTTCTTGCAATAAAACCGAGGTCTGTTCAGTAATTTTTTTCATTGTCTCTTGGTCCAATTGGTATGTAACTAAACTATTCAATAAGATATAAAATTTCTATGTTATATTTTGATGATGATTTATTTTCGGGAATCTCTCTGAAACCTAAATGAAATGAAAACGGTAGATCTAACCTATATCTGACAAAATATAATATAAAAATTTTATCATCACCATGATTCCAAATCATTAACTTACAATTACTAACATCCAATTTTATCATCTATAGATTTCTTGATTCCTTTGATCACTACTCCATGTGAACTGAATTTCATTTAAATAAAAATAATAATTATTTCAAATTACATAGTAGTATTAGCACTTCTTATTTTTTTTACATTAAAATTAAATATTGATTATTTTTAAATAATAGAATGGATTGGTATTTATAAAATGTTTAAACTTTGAATACACACACTAGAAATCAATACTAGAGTAGAAATGTTATGATGAATGAACATGCATACATATTTATTAAGAGTGAATATATATAATTCTTCGATAGTTATCGATAGCATTTCATTCTCTTTTTAAAAGAGGACAGGACCATCTCGTTCTTAGGCAGATAGTATAGATGACAAACAATAAAGCAATTGATTAAAAAATATAAATTCAAAAAAAGAAAAGAAAATAAATATTTTACTATAAATATTACTTTTATTAGATTGTTGATTTACATCGGTAGTTAGTTAGTTAGTTAGTTAGTTCATTGAGGTATCATATTTGTGTTTGTTGTTTCAAAGTCTGTTTGAGTGGTAAATTCTTCCCATCTCTTTTGGTCTTTGAACAACTGTTCGGCTCTAATTTTAAGTAGTTGATTAGATTCTGGCGATACAAAGAGGTGCATAGTATCACCCTCTGATTGATAAACTCTAATTAGGATATCCAATATCTTTGATGGATCAACTGGTTGATTTCCACTATACTGATTAATAATGAAATCTAAAACACTATGAACTTGTTTATATGCTTCAATCCGGTTCTTTGGTTTATATGCATCAGCCTTTAATAATAATAATAATAATAAAGTGTTAATATAATAAAACTATAGATTAGATATTAACTAACACTGCTTATTACTTACATCTAAAATAGTTGTTCTAGCTGCACCTAAATTGACGGTAGTAACTCTAATACCAAATGGTTTAACCTCTTGAGCATAGGACTCTGACAAGCCATCGAGTGCAAACTTGGTGGCGCAATAGGCACTGTGTGCAATGACACCTTGGAGCCCACCGACCGACGAGATGTTGAATACATATCCGGATCGTTGATTTCTCAGGATTGGCGATACGTTTCGGAGTACATTGAAGACGGCGAATACATTGATGTCGAAATTGGAACGGACCTGTTTGTCGGTGTTCTCCTCCAATGCACCGGAGATACTGAATCCAGCGTTATTAACAACGACATCGATTCTTCCGAATTTCGAGAGTGCATCATTCAATGATTGCCTGATACTATCTTCATTGAGAAGGTCAACCTGTACCGCCAAGAAATGATCTCTGTAACCAAAATTACCGACGGCATTGATCAGATTTTGTCTATCTCTCGATGTACCGACAACTTTAAATCCATAGGCCAGCAGCCCTTTTGTCAAAGCAAGTCCAATTCCTCTCGATGCTCCAGTTACAAACCATACTTTATCATTTGACTTTATTTCTAAACTCGACATTTTCTATATATTTTAAGTTGATTATTTATCTTATTTCTTTAGAAAAAGGTAATATTAGTTTCTGATTATTATTTGTTGCTTTTTATTTTTATGTATTTCTAATTTTAATTATATATATTTACGATGTGAAGAAAAACACTTAATAGTAAAAGCATCTTCACAGAAAGTAGAAAGTGTGTGAATCTATCTTATGTGTGTGTGTGTGTTCGTCCAATTACATTTTTTGTTCTCTATTCTCAAAGAGAATATTCTTCAGATTGACATACTGTTGAGATTAAACAAAACCATTAAAAAAAGGTGTACCCCTAATTTGTTCTCTTTAAAAATTAATTAAAGATTTATGAAAAGAAGTTTTGTGATATAACACCTTAAAAAAATCTCTTGTCAAATTTTTGAAAAAAAACAAAAAACTTTTGCAAATTGAAAAGATTAAAAAAAAAATAAAAAGGTAGAATAATCTAAAAAGAAGAAGATTCGAAGTTGATCAATTTTTTTATTTTCTCATTAAATTTAATTGATGATGGCTTCGCTAACAGATTATTGTCAACGTTACCTTTTGGAGATCATTTTCAAAAGTTCGCATTCTATTTTCAAAGAATGGTCTTCTCAATATAAGAAAGATGTCGATATGACATTGTCATCAAAGATCTACCTATCTTTGGTGTGTAAGAGGTGGTATGAACACGTGGAGTTTCTCTATTACAAATATCATATGTTTATAGATTTGGCTATATTATGTATGCCAACGATCACTCCAAAGCCAATATACTTTGTGAATATGAAAGAGATCGTTCAGCAGGGACTCAAGTATCCAACCAATATCTTTGTAAAGTTTGAGCGCTCTCTTCCAAAGGGTGGAACAGAATTCCATAGAAAGCTACTCGATCGACTCATTAGCCTTCTCGAGAATGACATGGTCTTGACGCTGAGTATCATTTTCAATGGATTCGGTGATTCCATTGATACTCTTGGCCGATTGGTTCCTCATCTCGCTCGTGCTCACCGATTGATCATACATATCCGGTTTATGAAACTCAACTATTTCGACGAGTTTCACGATGATCCCGTTGGAACCTGGCGAGGAAAAAGAGCTCACAAAAGAAAATACAACCAAGTTGATTATAATAGAATGGTTGCTCCACATCTACAGTTCCTAAATAGTTTGAAGAATATCGATACTCTGTACATCGGGGATTTAGAAATCAGTCAGGAATTAGATATTTTGCAATCGGTCTATGATAATCACTCGCACTCACTGCAATCTATTCATCTTTTACTTCGTGGACATTGCTGGCAGTACCTGACCGATCAAAAATCAATCAGTAAGATGATCACACTCAAACATCTAAAGAATCTTTCGCTCCGGTTTCAACTCTCTGATATCTCTGTGGACATAGACTTTGGCTTCATTAACCAACTACCACAACTACGAACACTCTCACTGAGTTTCAATGAGATGATGCTTTACTGTTTAGAGAGTAGTAACCTTTTAGGAATATATAATACACTAGAGTCAAACAAAACGATCAAAAGACTATCGATTGGAAATCACATTCCAAGCATTAGGTACAATCATTCCGTGATCAAGAGATTGAAAGTTTATCACTTTGGATCAGTAGAACTACCTGGAAGCATAGATTCGAGTGCACTCGAATATCTGGAGTGTAACTTTATATTTCTTACTATTAAAAATAGAACAGTGTTTTCGAATTTAACTCATTTAGTTTGGCAACTCCCAGATAATCTTCCCAATTCTGATACTCTGTTTTTAGTTGATCCATATTGCAAGATTCATACTCTATCAATTTACAACGATACAAACATAGCTCACAATTATAAATTTCTATTCGAAATGATAACAAGCAACAAAACAATTAAAAGACTGTACATAGATAGTTTACTTTCATCTAAAAAAGACAACATCAATCTCGATTACTTTTTGAGAACAAACACTACAATCAGAGAGTTCACAACCAAAGACAAAATGATTCAAAAGAATTTAAAAAGTGGAATATTCACAACCATTTTAAAAGATGAAAACAATCATATAACTTATAAAAGATAAAATTATATTTGCAAAAGTTTATTAATAATAAATTTAATATTATTATATAAAATAACATTATGTAGTATATATTTGATTGGTTGATTGAATTTGTGATTATTTAAATTAATCTAATTTAGAATACATTTGATTGATTTCATTTTGATAATGTTCTTTGATTTGTGGTCTCTTCAATTTGAATGATGGTGTCATCATATCGTTGGTGTCACTGAATGCTTCGTGAATGATGTGGATTTGCTTGGGAACTTCGAATCCAAACAATTTCGATGCTCTTCCTACGTTGTTGATATCCTTCAAAATCATTTCGTTAAAGTCCTTGTTGGCACAGATCTCTTTGAATCCACCTGAAATACCCTTGGAGTGTGCCCACTCTTCAGCCTTGTCTTGGTGAGGATGAATGATAGCGACCAACACTGACTTTTTAGAGTCACCGTAGACGCAGATCTGAGCGATCCACTCGCTCTTGTGGAGAACGTTCTCGATCTTCTCGACGGCAACATACTCACCCTGTGACAACTTGAAGATATTCTTCTTACGATCGATGATAGAGAGCGATCCGTCTGGGTTCCAACGACCAATGTCACCAGTGTGGAACCATCCGTCTTTAAAGTCTTGCTTGGTCTTCTGGTCGTCCTTGTAGTAACCGATGGCAATGGATGGACCACGCAGACAAACCTCTCCAGTGGGTGGATTGTGTGAGGAGAGATAGTTGAGGTCTGGCACATCGACCAACTTGGCTTCACACGATACAAATGGTGGTCCAAGAGTTCCGAGCGAGTCGTCGTCCAAACGTTTCACAGCAGTTCCACCGCATGACTCTGTCAAACCGTAGCCCTGAACAACCGAACACGAGAAAGCAATACGAAGGAAACACTCGGTATCGAGAGCGAGTGGAGCACCACCCGAGAGAATGGCACGAACTCTTCCACCGAGTTGCGATTTCAATTTGTCGAAAACAATCTTGTTGATAAGCTCCTCAATCAGTGGCATACGGAATCCATAGAGAATGGCGAGTTGTTTCAATTTGTACGCTGTGTAGAACACGGTCTTCTTGACTGACGATTGCTTGGCAACCTCCTTAAAGACACCGGCTTTGATACGCTCAAACACACGTGGAACACCAATAAAGAGAGTTGGCTTCAACGCTTTGACCTCAGTGAGAATCTTAGTAGTGTCTCCACAGAAGATACCGACGGCGGCACCATAGTGGAATGCAGTAGAGGCGACAACACGCTCCAGAATATGTGCGTATGGTAAGTATGAATAATGACAATCGTCTACATAGACATCGGCCAGCTGCTTAACAGCGCACAACACAGAGATAACATTACGATGAGTAATCATAACACCCTTTGGATCACCTTTGTAGTTTTGGAAATTTTGATTAGTTTATAGAGTTCGAGCTCAGTTGATTAGTCATTTATAAATTGATCAATTTACCTGTGGTACCTGAGGTATACATGATGGTGCAGAGATCGTCTGGGTGTGGAGGAACGTGCTTGTGTTTGCCGGCGAGTGAAGCGCCACGCTCCATCAACTCAGAGTAAGTGTAGATATGGATATTCTTTGCTTTGAACGACTGACGTTCCTCGTCGGACACATCATCGAAACAAACGACAGTCTTTAGCTCCTTGACACTGAAAGCAATCTCCTTGGTCTTCTCGAGTGTCTCCTTCGAGCAGAAAGCCAACTCAATCTCAGCGTGCTTGCTGACAAAGATCAGCGATTCCACACCAAGAGTCTCATAGAAACTGACAACGATATTCGACTGCATGAAACAGGCACCCTGAACAACCAACCATTCAACTCTATTTCTACTGAAAATACCTATTTTACTTTTCTGTTTATACAATTAGTTGATTGATATAATACGATAATTTCGTTTTTAGTTTGAAGTTTGTTTTTAATAAAATACATACTGGTTGAACACCCAAATCAACTAAAACCTGGAACAATGTTTCGCAGCGATTGTAAAACTCGTTGTAAGTGATGAATTCAAAGTTTTCACCGATTTCACCATTCTTTCCGATAGGTCTAGAACCAAAACATTTACGTGTACTGAACTTTTGACATGATTTACTAGTAAAGAAGATAGATAGATAGATAATCGATTATGTACAGTAATGAAGGTAGGTAGGTAGGAAAGAATGAAAGTTTAGTAAAGTAAACTTTTAGTGATCGATATGATCGTATCGATTGATTTAATACTTACACAATTGAATCGTATAAAGTATAGATTTGATCTTCTTCGACATGAGTAACTAACTCTGGATTTGCAGCGTTTCTTCTTGCTCTACCTTCACCTTGCACAGTTGGTCCGACTTCGATCGATTGATTTGTAGGATGAGGTCTCTTCCATCTGATTGCCAAAATGCTACTGACCATCACAAGTCCAATAGCAGCCAACCAATTCTCATACATAGCTTTACTTTTAACTAACTAACTAACCTAACTAACTAAAAATTGTAAAATAAAATAAAATAAAACAAAAACAATATACAAAAAAACTTTTCTATTTATTTATTTATTAAGTAAACAAACAAGAATGATAATGATAATAAAAACGGAGAATTCACGGTTCTTTATGTTCACTCTTCAGCACAAAGTTTCAGTGTAATTCAAAAACATCAAATTAATTTATAAATTTCACCAATTTTAAATTTTTTTTTGCAAAATATAAAAAAAAAATTAGTGATGTAAATTTCCTTTTTAGTTAAAAGATTGCGCTTTTTTCAGTCTTGGGAATTTCATAAAAATTATACAAAATATTATTAATCTTTTTTTTCAAAACAAACAAATTATTTAAGATCATAATTTTTTTGGAGTTATTAAAAATAGATATTATTATGATATAAAAAACAAAAGGGGTGAATTTAGTTTCTTTATATGTCAAAAATGTCAAGTATCCATTACTTTTGTTGTCGTTTGATAAAGAAAACAATTATCAAACCATCAACAGGTTCATGGTCTCACACACACACTGTTAATGAACACATTCTTATAAACCAGGTTGATTGACAATCCAATTCCCCAATAACTATCCACATCATTAACACACACGGAGGTTGTGTGTTTAGTCCAAACCATCACATCGCATCGCACCTCAATGAAATCTTTTCAAATTAATTGAAATTTAGTTTGTTTTCAAAATAGTTTGGGAACTTGGTGTTTTAAATTTCCATAAAAATGTCGATATAGTTTACCTATTTCTATTTTTGTTTCTATTCTCGTCAATTCCATTTACTGCCTGGTTGAAAAACAAAGATAGTTTTAAATTGAATTGACATGTTAAATTTATTAATCTGAATTTACTCCATTTCAATTTGAATTGAGGTAAAATCTATTTTGAGCTTACCAACTCAACTGACATAATGTTATTTCCAAAGATTTATTTATGATGGTTAGAATTTAATCATTTTATTTATTTTTTTTTAAAAATTTGGAGTTGTAGTAAAGTCGATCGATCGTCTCTCTTCTTTGTTTTTGTTTTTGCTTTTGGATTGGAATTGAAACTAGATAGATAGTTTGTTGTTATTTAATTATTGGGGGGCGACTTTGGGTGAAGAAATAATAATATTATTATTATAATTATAATTAATTTAATTTAATTATTAAATGGGAAATCGTTTTGTGTCTAGTAAAATTTTTTTTGAAAAAAAAATTAAAATTGGTTAGTTAGAATTAAAATTGTTATCCAGATATTTAAGATTATTAAATAAAATAACAATATATCATCACTTATTTACTATTTTGTACTGATATGATGAATAATTGTGTATTATTATTATTGATATTATTATTGCTATTATTATTGTTTTGTTTTCTTTTTAAAAAAAATCACTACTTACTGCCTACACATCAAAATCCCAAACAATAATTTCTTTGGCAGCTGTAACCAGCTTGCTACCTTTGAATTGAAGACAAATGATTGATTCAGTGTGTCCATCGAGAGTGTATTGCAGTTTACCAGATTCCAAATCCCAAACTTTAACCTTTCGATCCCAACCCGCTGTAACCAAACGTTTGCCTTCAAATTGAACACCCCAAACATTAAAACTATGTCCAGTGAGAGTGTGTATACATTTTCCAGTCAGGAGGTCCCACACTCTTACAGTTGTATCCCAGGATCCTGAAACTAAAATATTACCTCTAATATATGTACACCGAACTCTAAATGTATGACCCTAAAGTAATAATTAAATAAATAAAATAATATTAATAAATATTTACGTGTTGTTTTTTTAAAATAAAATTGTTATTTCTATTATCTAAATTAAATATACTTACTGATAATACATGAATTGATTTACCAGTTTGTAAATTCCATACTCTTAGTGTATAGTCCCAAGAAGAACTGATAATGGATGGTTCTCCATTTGGATTGTCCCACCACTGAATGGAAGTGACACGATCGCTGTGTCCATGAAGTGTTTGCAATACAATTCTAGATGGTAAGTCAATTACATTCAAAACACCACCCATAGTACCACTAATTAACAGATTATTTTTATAGTACAAACAAGTAATACCAGTTACATGTTTCTATAAAAAATATTAAATAAAATAGAAATATATATATTAGTTTATAAACAAATTGTTTGTTGTTTTGTTTTTGTATTGTTTACTTACAGCAAATGAATGTAATAATTTACCGGTTTCAATACTCCATAGATTGATTGTATTATCGAGTGAACCACTGGCAATCATGTTGTCGTCGATCAATGTGAGACAACTGACACCGTCGGTGTGTCCTCGAAGAATGTGTAGACATTCGCCAGTTGAGAGATCCCATATTCTCAGAGTGGAGTCTGAACTACCGCTGATTAGCCTGTTGCCTTTGAATTGAAGACAGGTAATTCCGGCTTGGTGACCTCCCATCTGCTGGCTGGAGAGCAGCAGCCAGTCGCCAGTATCGATATTCCAGAGTTTGAGAGAACTGTCCCACGATCCTGTGACCAGAATCTTGCCGTCGAACTGCATGCATGTAATCCAATCGTTATGTCCAGGGAATTTCTTGGAGGTGCAATGACTCTTCCACCAATTATACTCGATCTTCAATCGCTTCATATAGAGTTCGCGCCAGTCGATTCTTATCCTCTTCTTCACCTTGTTGACACTGACACAGTCTTCGTCGTCGGATTCATGGTGGTGAATCGATGGTGGAATGTCGTCGCTTATCAACTGGTCGTGTATGACGCTGTCGCTATTGCTATTGTCGGGTATGATCGCCTTGATATTCTTGCTCTCGTGACTGCTCTCGCTGTCGCTGTCGAACGAGCAATTGTTGTTGTTGTTGTTGTTGTTGTTGGAGTCGGTTCGAAGAGTACGGATTGAAGCCGGACGGCGGTAGGATAGCGGAATGCGGTGTCTTCCGAGTGACGGTGCGGTCGTCGTACTGTGTTCTCAGACGTGTCTGCTGCACCAGTATGGTGTTTGGCAGAATCTGAGGTGGTTGCGACGGTGGTAGTATTGGACTCGACCAGAACGAAGACGGAATCACCTTGAGTGGTTTCGATTCGTTGTGATGATGCGTGTCCAACGTGTTCCACTTGACGTAGAACAGGTTCTTCCACACGATGTCAGAGAGTGACAACCTGTTCCACAGCTTACAAACACGTGATACATTAAAGTAGATGTCATGGAACGATAGATATTCAAAGATATTGATAATAACTTCCATTGGTAACAATGAAATAACAGATGGTATTATAAAGTTGTTGTCAGTTGGATTACATTCGTATTGCAATCCAAAACGATTGGCTAGATTACGCCATTTAACCAAGACCGATTGTTGTACACGGACCATCGATTCATCGATGATCTGTTTCTCTGCTTTGATTCGACGTATGTTATCGACAAGTTTCAACTTTTGCGAGAGTAATGCTGCAATCTCTGATTCTACATTCTCGAGACCTGCTTCCAACAATACCAAATCGTGAACTTTAGACAATTGCTTTGATTTCAAATCATCAATCAAAGGGTCACCAATGAACATTCCCCTTTCATTTAATGAATTATTCATTACTTTTAGAAATAACTAAAGTAAGTAATCCTATTTTCTGTTCTTCTCTTCTCTTTTCTTCTCTTTTTTTTCTTTCTTTTCTTTCTTTATTGTAAATGTGATAATAATATATTTGATTATTATTTATTCTCTATTTATTTATCTTATAAACTACCTATAGTTGATTGTTAAGATTAAGATAAGATAACTATTAATATTAACTAACTAATTAACTAACTAACTATTTATCTCGGAAAAAAAAAAAACAAAAATATGAATTACTTGTTAAATAAAAGTAGTTGGAATGGTTTTTGTTTTTTTTTTGGGGAAATGCAAAAAAAAGAAAAAAAAATGTCGTTTATGCTTTTGTAAATAGATAATATTATATTAATTTAGATTAAAAATAACACTACTTTTAATACTACTATTGTTATTATAATTGAAAAAAAAACAAAAAGATATGGTGAGATGAATTAAAAATAAATATAAAAAAAAAAAGTTTGTGATTTTTTTTTTTATAAGTAGTGTAAAAAAATTAATACACTTTATTTTTTTAATTTTTTTTTTAAATTATTTTTGGATGAGTCGTCTTTGAAAAAACAACATGTTGCAGCGAATAATTTTTTTTGATCTTCCCTTCGCATTTGCAGCTTTTTGTCTTATTTTTAACTTTGTTGTTTTCTTCTAACCTTAACTTGGCTGTCTTCAGAATAAAAATTACTTTTCAATAAACTTTTACTATTAACTTTCACTTGAAATCAACATAGAGAATAAAGATATTTTAAATAAATTAGTAATAAGTAAAAATAAATTAAATAATCAAATAATAATAAAATTTTTTTAAATTATATTTTAAACAAAAAAAGTTAATAATATTTTAGATATGATTTATTTATATATTTTTGTTTTTTTTTAAATGTTAATAAATTAATTTTTTTTTTTTTTTTTTTAAAAAAGTTAAGATATTGAATCTATTTAACAGGCAACTGAGACGATGTTGAGGGCAGATGGGGCAGAACCTTCGACGACGTAACTCCATTGGTATTGATCGTTGACAGCGATGGTTTGAGCGGCCTTCTCAGCAGAGATATCGTAGTTGTGAGCTTCCTTCTTGAGGGCACCCCAGTAGTTGTTGAATGGCTCCAAAGCAGCGTAGACAATGACTGACTTGAGTGGTTGGGTACCGATGTTCTTCAAGGTGATATCGAATTGTGAGTAGGTCTTACCGTCTGGACCAGTCCAGGTGTTGTAGTTGGTTTGGTAGTATGAGGCATCACAGACACTTGAGTTACCTCCAGTGGTGGTTGAGGCGGTGGTCGATGGACATTGGCATGGGCACATACATTGACCTCCAGTGGTGGAAGATGATCCAGATGATCCAGTGACTGAACCGGTGGTTGAAGATGATCCAGATGATCCGGTGACGGAACCAGTTGTGGCGACTCCACTTGTGGTGGCTGAACCGGTGGTTGAGGAGGACGACGATGAGGAGGTAGATGAGGAGGATCCAGTTGAGGAGTATCCATTACAGACTTGGACGGTGACTGGGTTGGTACCCTTGACAGTGTAGGTGAATGGGTGACCGTTACCGGTTTGCAATGGTGAGTTTTCACGGGATGGGAAGAAGTCAAAGTTGAGACCGTCAGAGGTGGCGAGACCGTCGACAGCAACCAAGTTGAGGTTGTTCAAGAATTGGACTGAAGTGTGGGTGATGGTTGGACCGTTGTTGAGAATCATACAGAAGAATTTGGAGAGGGTTTCACCGTCTTTTTGGTAGGTGTTACCCAACTCACATTGGTTGACGAGATTACATGAGGAACCAGAGGAACCGGTGGAGGTGGTGACTGAACCAGTGGTGGAGGTGGATGGAGCAGATGATGAACCACCGCAGACTTGGACAGTGATTGGTTGGTTACCCTTGACAGTGTATGACCATGGGTGACCGTTACCGGTTTGCAATGGGGAAGCATCACGAGATGGAGCGAAATCAAAGTTGATACCGTCTGAGGTTTGGAGACCGTCGACAGCGACCAAGTTGGCGTTGTTGAGGAGTTGGACTGAGGTGTGGGAGACGGCTGGACCGTTGTTGAGGATCATACAGTTGAAGACAGTGTAGGTTTGACCGTTTTGTTGGTATGAGGAACCGACTTGACATGAGTTGGAGAGGGCACAACCACCGGTGCTTGAACCGGAAGATGAGGAGGAGGAGGAGGAGGAGGAAGATGAACCAGATGATGATCCACCGCAGATTTGGACAGTGATTTGTTGGTTACCGACGACAGTGTATGACCATGGGTGACCGTGACCGGTTTGCAATGGTGATGAATCACGGGATGGAGAGAAATCAAAGTTGATACCGTCTGAGGTTTGGAGACCGTCGACAGCGACCAAGTTGGCGTTGTTGAGGAGTTGGATTGAGGTGTGGGAGACGGCTGGACCGTTGTTGAGGATCATACAGTTGTAGACAGTGTAGGTTTGACCGTTTTGTTGGTATGAGGAACCGACTTGACACGAGTTGGAGAGGGCACAGCTGCTTGAGGTGTGACTAGAGGTGTGACTAGAGGTGTGACTAGAGGTGTGACCAGAGGTGTGACCAGAGGTGTGACCAGAGGTGTGACCAGAGGTGACATGTCCAGTTGTTGGTTCACAGTCAATGTTGAATCTGAGTGGGGTGGTACCAGAGACGATGTATTCGAATGGGTGAGCATTACCGGTTTGCAATGGTGAACCAACACGGGATGGTTGGAAGTCAAAGTGGACACCGTCAGAGGTTTGGAGACCGTCAAGGGAGACAAGGTTGGCTGCGTTTTGGATGGTGACATCGATATGGTCGACAGCTCCACCGTTGTTGATGATCATACAGGTGAACTTGGTGATTGTGTTACCTAGACCGTCAGCTCCAATGATACCATTGTCGCATGTGTAGGTACAACCACAACCAGCTCCACCACTGGTGAATACTCCAGTGTCTTGGATACCTCCGGTTGATGTGATGAAACCAGAGTCTTGAATACCTCCAGTTGTTGTGATGAAACCAGTTGTTGAAACGAAATCAGTTGTTGTGATGAAACCAGTGTCCTGGATACCAGTGTCAGATACAAATCCAGTATCCTGGAAGTAAGTGTTACCACCATCATCCTGAGGTTGAGCTCTAATAGCTGTATTATTATTATTATTAAATAATTAAATATTAATATCAAAATTCAAAATTTAATTTTAAAGAAGAGATATAATTTATCTTATACATACCAATTGCAGTTGTGCAGAACACAGCTATCATTAAATATTTCCAATTCATTTTTGGATTGATTTTAGAAAAAAATAATGTTAATTATTATTTAGTGAAATAAATATAAATTATTGGTTTTGATTTTGAAATAAATAAATAAATAAATAAATAAGTTGATTAAATTAATTGTTTTAAGATTTTTATAAATATATGATCTTATTTACTAAAGTCTTAATTGTATTTGTATTTGTTGAATTGAATGATTTGAAGATTGAAGATCTCCAACTATTTATAATTCTTTCAATTGTATGGAGTGCAAAGTGGATCTTCCTTTAGAGGTAATATTATCGAACCACTCGTAATTATTTGCTTTCCGAAAGTGGTCATGAACACCAATACAAATCCCGATCTACTTTATTTAACCTATGCATATGCTTAACACACAACAACACTCTCATTCGATATTTTCACTTTTAAGTAAGATATATTGTTTTATAAACACCACTACTTTAAAAAAAATAAAACACTTGTCTAAATTGGGTTTCACGTTTTACGTATGTGGTCAGAACAACACCACACTACTCTTTTTTTTTGGTTTTTCCTTAATAACAACTTGACATATCATACACATTTTACACATTCGCATAATAACACAAATTAGACAAACACAATGAAAATTGTGTGTGTGTGTGTGTGTAAACTTTGTCTTCGAGTTTTGTTTGATATTATTATTATTTTATTTTTTTATCTTCTCATTACACACTATACTAATTGATATATTTCAATAATATCTGATATCTTTATGAAGTAGATAAAAATATTTTATTATCTATAGATAGCACAGAGTAGTGTGGACAATAGGAATTTCTGCGATATATTTGTAAATACTTTCCAAATTTAAATTATTTTTTACTTTTATATCAAATTGTATACCCATATGGCAGTGGAATTTCTATTTTCAAAAAACTATCTCAAACATACCTTACAAATCAGTTTAAATGTATATCATATCTGTATTCTTATCTATTTCACATTTTTATAGATTTAATATTAATTATACTTGATAAGAACTTCAAAGTTGAAGAATTGTCATAATTATGACACTTACTTTATTACATTTTCATTCAATGTTCACTAAATACACCTAAACTATTCATTATTATTATTATATTATACAATCAAATTGAATAACATAAGCAAAAAATAATAATAGAACAAAAAAAAAAGTTGAGATGAAAGAAATATCGAAAATGAATGAGAAAGAATTTTTTTTTTTTAATTTATTCACCCACTTTTAATTTAATTTAATTATTTTTGTCACACTCTTACCTACTTGAATGATTATGATTGATCAGTATATCGACAATACTCTTAAGATTTAGAATCCTGTTATTGTATAATTTGGAATCAATATTGTAAACAATGAGCACGGGAAAGACAATTGTCTCAAGAAACATTAAATATAATATTATTATAATCTTTTTTATTTTTGGAAAGGTTTATTTATTGCTCTCGAAAGTGGTTTGATTATTTAATTTTAGTTATTGGGGAGTAGTTTGATCTTATCTATCTTATCTATTACTTTTCTTATTATTATTATTATTTATTATTATTGAATATTATTATATGTTTATACTAGTTCTACAATTGTGATATTTGTTTAACTACTACTATTTTTAATTATTCTCAATTTGTGATACTGGCTTCCACTCAGAGTCCAAACCTTCCTTCCAAAGAGTCACTTGATTGTCACCACACGATACAGCTAAAATATGTCCAATAACAGACCAGTTTACTCTCCACACGATATCGTCAAACTTTGGTAGTGGTTTTCCCGACCAATTACCGGCTTCGTCTTGAGTCCAAATTACAACGGTTCTGTCTTGTGAGCATGATGCAATCTTTGATGTTGGCAATCCGATATTTGGTGCCCAAGCGACATCTCTAACCCAATCCTTATGTTCTTCCAATTGCTTTTCAAGTACCCATTTATCTTCTGAGAATCTAAACATCAATCACAATCAAAAACTGTAAGTAAACTAAAAAATCCTAACTTATTTCTTCTCTACTACTCTACATACTTGAAAATTCTAATTAAATTATCACATGCACCGGTGACAATACGTTTGACGGGTGCTGGAATCGATTGTTGTGTAGCATTGACAAGTGATGCTGGTGTTGAAGCTGGTGCCCAAGAAATTGAATTTACACCGATTTGAGATACTGTAATCTTTTGTGGTTGTTCCCAAACATTGTCTATTAAGAATTTAGATAGATAGATAGATAGATAGAAAAGAAAAGTGTTAATTTTAAATGTCATATATCTATGATTAATTAGTTTGTTTTGTTTGTTTTGTTTGTTTGTTACCTTTAAAGTTATGAATTGAAACGGTACCATCGGAAGATGCACACGCTAAGCACAGACCAAACTCGTGTGGCGCCCATGAGATAGAGTTGACAGAGAGTTCGTGACCGGAATATTGGTGGATGATGCTCCATTGGTTGTTGTTTGTTTCTTTCCAGATGATGACCTTTCTGTCGTACGATGCCGATGCCAATATCTTTCCAAACTTTGGATGTGCCCATGCTACTTGCCAGACTGGACCTTCGTGTCCTCTCAAGTCTGCGAGATGTACGTGGTTGTCTCCACCGACATCGAAAATCTTTATAAGTCTATCGCTCGAGCATGTCGCTAAATATTTTCCATAGTAATCGAATTGTGCATCATGAACCATATCCTCATGATGAGTATCTAAATTAACCTGTGCCTAATAATAATAATTATATGTCGATCGATCGATCAAATCAATCAAAAATCACAATCATTAATAAGATGATCAGATCATTCATCTTCAAATCAAACTATTCTCTTACCATTCTCTATATTATTATTATTCTTCTATTTATATATATATATTATGATTTACTATTATACTATTTTGTTTTATTTTATTTTATTTTAGATCTAATTTAATTTCGATAATCTATAAATAAAAATATAATAAATTTATATTTATTTAAAATAATATAATCGACAGAAAATATGATCTTTGGATAATGTGAAAAAAGTAAAAGTGTGATAGTTCACTATTAAAAAAATTAAACTAAATAAAAAAAAAAATTTTATCAAAAAAAAACAAGTGAGTCATTCAAAATTTTTCTATGACTTAGTCTTTGACTCATTCTCTCTACTCATGCAAACAAATAATTGATTCGTTAAATTTATATTTGTGCAAACAACAATAAAACAAATATGAATATCTGATATCTGATATTATTATATTAAATTAATATTTTATTGGTAAATCTTCTAAAAATATATATATATATATATATTAGTTATCTTATTTAATATATACAAATATTTAGTTCATATACTTTATTGTTGTAGTTTTTATAATGGGTTGTCTTTTAAAAGTATAATGACTGTGTATAAAAATTGAAGGTATCATCTGTTTATTTTTATTTTTTTTTTATTTTTTTTGGTAATAGCTTCAATAATATCCATAACATCATCACATAGGAATATACAAAAAAGGGTAGAATTCTATTAACTTTTTAGAAATGATATAAACAAGTTTGATCCATAAATATTATACAAATAAAGAACCAATATTAATTTTATTTATTGTTCAGATGATTAAAAAAAAAAAAAGTCAGGACTGTTGTTTGGGTTGGTTGGATGTTGATAGTCGTTCTTCCAATACATACTGTAAAGTTGGTTGATTGATTATTGTTGTTGGGAGTTGTATTGTCAATTTGAAAACAAAAAAAAAGTGAATTTATTGATAATTGTTTGATGTTTGTTTTGGTTTGTTTTTTTTTTTAAAACTTTGTATTGTTGATTGAGTTTAAATACCTTCTTGACCGTAATCTCTTGTGAATTCTATATATTTATCCAAGTCCTTGGAACTAACCGATGGCTTGACAGTACGAATACTCTTGACGCAGTCGTTGATGGTGATCTCTGGCTCCTTGAGTTTGGATCCGTCGATCTCCATCCAGGTCATCTCCATGGCGTCGCGATCACCCGGTGAGCAGGGTGTGATATACTCTACGATTACATTGGGATCTTCACGCGATGGTCCACGGATGTTCTTAAAGTGAGTTGCAGTCTGGACGGTACGGATCGGTTGCATAATGGCGTCTTTACACACGATCTGGATATCGGCACCGGAATAACCTTCGGTCATCTCTGCCATTCTCTTGAAATCCTGTGGTGTGAGGGTATTCGGTGTGTTTCCAATGTGGATTTGGAACATCTTTATACGTGCGTGTGGATCTGGCAATGGGATATAGATACGCTTCTCGAAACGTCTTCTAATAGCCAAATCCAATCCCCAAGGAATATTGGTTGCTGCCAAAATTAAAACACCATCCGAATCATTACCAACACCTAAATAATAATAATAATAATAATAATAATTGTTTTGTTAATGAAAAGTTTGTAATGTAAACCTATGGATCATCAATAAATATTGTATTGACATACCATCGAGTTGAATCAAAAACTCTGTCTTGATACGTCTGGAAGATTCACTCTCTTGGTCATTACGTGATGAACAAAGAGAATCGATTTCATCTACAAATATTACACTGTTGTTTGCTGCTCTTGCCATTTCAAAGAGTTGTTTCACCAGCTTCTCACTGTCACCAAGCCACTTGGTTACGATATCGGATGGTGAAATCGAAAAGAATGTCGAAGAGATCTCTGTTGCAACGGCTTTTGCCAAGTATGATTTACCAGTACCTGGTGGCTATATAATATATATATATATATATATTAGATATGATTGTGACTCGACTTTGCATTGATTAACTACTTACACCATATAGAAGAATACCTTTCCATGGCTTTCTCTTTCCTGTGAACATCTGTGGGAATTTGATGGGGAAGATGACTGCCTCTTTGAGATATTCTTTGGCTTGATGCAGACCGGCTACATCGTCCCACTTTACGTTGGGTTTCTCTGTCAAGATCGATGAGGACAGTGAGTCATTACGCTTCTTGTCCTCTGGATCGACGTCCTCGTCGTCGTCGGCACTTCCACCCTTCTTTGTATTATTGGCACTCGGCTTTGAAGTTCCATTCATCGCAGCAACCGGTTTCTTATTTTTAGTCTTTTCCAAATACTCTTTCAGTTGTTCTGCACGCTGAAGATACTCCATCGTCTTTGCCTTGATTGTTGCTTTCGATCTTTCACTCTTTTCATCTATAAATAAACAAACAGCATATCCAATATAGTAAGTATCATCAATAATAATAATAGAATGACAAGTAATTACAATATTATTCAAAAAAAAAACATACATTTTAAAGCAGTTGTAAACCAATCTAAACTAAGTATATATAATCTGTGAGCTTCTGCGTAGTTCTTTGCATTGTCTTGTTCAGTCGCTTGTTGTACAATTTGAATTGCTTTTTGTAAGAAATTGACATCGCCCATATCTTTATAAAGTTATTAATAATTGATTATTATATTATATTATTAAACAACAACAACAACAAAAATAAAAGTATAAGATTATTGATACAACAAGTTATATTATAAATAAAAAATAAAAAAAAAATACAATTATCAAAAATAATAATATATAACTAAAAACTAAAAATAAAAACTATTGTTTTTTACAATTAATATAAAAGATAGATAGATGAATAGTTCTAATTCTCCACTCTATAATATATTATTAATAATAATAATAGTTTATTAAATAAATAAATAAGACAATAATAAATTTGAAATTAAAAAATCAAAAAATAAAACATTTCAAACGCTTTGTTTTGTTTTTTTAAAAAAAAATTAATTAACTCACAAATCTTTGTAGCACTTGGATAATCAAGAACAAATGACCTATTGAATTAAGAATAAAATAAATTTATAAATTATTTAAAAATATAAATAAGATATATATTTAATCTATCTCTTTGTTTTAATAAATAATCAAATGATTAAATTAAACATTCTAGATCTACATTCTTACTTGTTAGTTACAACTTAAAGTGAAATAATAAATTGTATAAAATGATGAACTAGTCTTATTCAAAAATAAAGTTTATTTTTAAACTCAAATCTACCCTTCATTTTCTCAATTGTTATTCTTTATAACTTTGTTTAATATTGTTATTTGATTTCACAAAAATTTGCGCACATTTTGTTTGAAAATTATTTTAATTTTTTAAAGTGTCATGATTTTTAATTCATTTTAGAAGTTTGAAAAAGAAAAAGAAAGTGAATATATTAGAATAGAATAGAATAGATAGATAGACGAGAGAGAACTTAAAGAGATATTTATCATTATTTGTTTATTTATTTATATATATATATATATATAGATAGTTGTGTAATGATGGATATTCAAACGGAAGAAGAACAATCGGTGGTTGTTGGTGAAGGCAATGAGAGTACTCCTGATGCTGCCCCAACACATTCAGAGAACAACACTGACAACAGCAACAACACAAACACCAACAACAATGAAATTATACAACAAACTTTAGAGACAATTATGACTAATCTCAATAAGCTAAAGACAAAGATGATCAATAATCAGAATGCTAGTAAGGAACTATTTGCAAATTACAACAATTTTAAAGTATAAATCTATCTAAATCAATGAATGAATGAATGATTGAATCGAATGAATGATACTTATATTACATTTACTTATATTACCTACTATTTTAAAGCATATAATAGAAGATAACAACATTAAGAATAAAAATAGAGTACAGCAACAGCAACAACAACAACAAGAAGAAGATAAACAATACCAACAACATAAAGAACAAGAACAAGAAAAAGAAAAAGAACAACTAGGAAATCAACAAAAAGAATTGGAGATATATGAAAATGTAAAATTAGAATTAGAACAAAAGTTACAACTGTTTCAACAAGACAATATCAATCTGAGTGATAAAATTGATTCATTACAAAAGGGTGAGCAGTTTACTACATTTTCGTTACTTTATTCATTTATTATGTTATTAACACACTTTTATTGCTATTGTTACAAATACCACAGTTGTATTGATACTCGAAAAAGAGAATAATAGAAACAGAGCAGCCTATGCTGATATTAAATCATCAATTGAACAAATCATAGAGAAAGGAAGAATACAACTGGTAAATATTAATAAAAAAATTATTAAAAATGAATCTTCATTCATTGTTGTTTTATAACTAACTATTTATTATTCTTTTTTGTTTATATATATATATATATATATATATAGAAAACATTGAATAATGAAAGAAGTCAATCGGATCAATATAAAAAGAGATTGATAGAACAACAGGACACCAATCAGCAATTGAGGAAAGAGAATTCGGCGCTCAAATCAAAGATACAGGAGATGCTGATACTACTGCAGTGTGCTGCACAAGAAGATGATCCCAATCAACATCTAATGGAGGAACTCATCACTGAGAATCAAGCTCTCAGAGAAATGTTGAGTATTGCAAAATCATTTGGTGGAATTTCTTTGACTTCTTCACTGTCATCACCTAAAAACAACAACAATAATAACAATAACAATAACAATAACACCAATACAACAACTGTAACAGATAACAACAACAACGAAAATAGCAACAACAATTTTAATGAAAACAACAATAGCAGCACTCTTGAAAATGGTACCATTACAACTGAACATAGCGAAAACAAAAACGATCAAGTAGATGGACTGGTCGAAGATGAACTAATAATAGATAGATAGATAGATTAGATAGATTCACATATCTATTTTTATTGAATATATATATAAAAAGAAAAAAAAAACAACCATATTATTTGTCTTCTTTCTTTTCTCTGTTATTTATTTTTTGTAGCAAGAACATTCATTAAACCCATTTCAATAAGGTGATTGTGAAACCTATTGATTTCAATAATCTTTACCATCACTCTTTACATAACCGATGTAAAATCTGATTCAAATTGCTTTCTTTGTTTAGATGATATTTAGAGAGTGTATCCATTGATTCTTTGGCTGGATAGATCTATTCATAGTTGGCTCGATGTATATTCTAGATGATGTTAAAATCATATATTATAGTAAGAAAAAAATCAAATTGGAATGGATTACCTTACTAGTAAGTTGATTTCCAATTAATCAATTGGAATGTTTGTTATGAGAAATAATCTATATTAATATCGAGGGTATTAGGTTGAACTTTTCTCTAATATAATTCTCAAGAATAATGAATGAATATAGAATAATAAATTATTATTTTTAAATGATCCTTGGTTCTTATCTTGAAAACCAAGTATTATTGTTGAGTTGACGGTTTTTCTATTACATCTTGATTACTATCATTAATATCAAATTTGAAAATATCGTATTTCCATCACCGCTAGGAATGTTCAGAATACAATATCTTGATTTGAATTTGATTTTATTTCATCATAATTAAAATTTAAATAAAGTGATTCAAGCACTTTGCTTCAACTGGGAATAAAACAATGTGTTGTTGTGGTTGCTGATGCAAATCTCTATAATAAGTCTTGCAAATTTACGACGATGAAAAAGTGTTTGTGTGATCATTTTTGGTACCAAAAATATACCCTCAACAACATTCTATTATATAATTTTATAGAATAAGTAAAGTAATGCCTGCAACTTAACTCTATATATTTTAGGATCATATCATTGATTTGATTTGATTTCAAGCAAAGCTAAAATCTAGAAGAGTACCATATAAAGTCAAAGTTTTTATTTTTTGACAGGTCATGCAAGGTGCGAGTGTGGGTGGTGGGGTGGGGGTTGTGTTTTGGAAACCAAAAACAATTTAAATAATAAAAATTCAAAAAAATGAAAATTTTACCACATTCTTAGTTTTTTGAAAGTGTGAGTGTGGTTGTAATAAAATATTATTATTTCATAATATTATTATTTTTTAGTTCCTGCGTCTTTGAGCGACCATACATCGCCAGCTTCAACTTGTCAACAGCGCAACCAGCTTCCACTCTCCATTCCATTTCTTTTTCTTCAGTCAGTCATTCAACCAACAACAATATCACTTTATTTATTTATCTTTCTATCTCTCTTTTTGTAGTAATACTTTACTTAGTTACAGTTTAGTTTACATATATATTTTAAATTTAAGTTTTAGAAAACCAAAAAAACTTAAAAAATCTATCAATCACAATCACAAACCAAATCAATCACAATCACAATCAAACTAAAACTAAAATTAATTATATAATTAATGTATATGTTTTATACCAAATTTTAAATTTCTTTTTCATTTTTTTTTTGTAAAATATAAATTATAATTTAATAATAATATATTCTTTTTAAGGAAAAACAGTAGTTTTTTTTTTAAATATTCTTCGATTGCCAAAAAAAAAAAAAAAAATTCAATATAATTATTTTTTACGACACACAATAACTTTTCCTCAAAACATAGGTTTAACTGAAAGTTTTTTTTTTCATTCCACTGTTGCCAAGATTTTTGTTTTCAAAAAGGTGAGACAAGGAAAAAAATAAAATAAAATTAATTAAGTAAAAAAAACAAAACAATAACACTCAACACATTAAAAAATAATTTTTAAAAACTCATTATTTTAATCATCTTGAATAATATTACAACGATACACAAATATTTAAATTAATCAAATTTACTATTATTCATATTAATATTAATTAATTTCATTTACTTTTTTTGCAATTAATTATTATATTTTTATTTTTTTTATATACTTAAAATAAAAATTAATATTAGAATTGAAAAAAAGATAGTTAGATTATAAACATTTATAGATTTATCTATTTTTTATTCATTTTTTCTTAAAACAAAAAAACGAATACAAAAACAATCTTTTGTTTTTTAAATTTTAAAATGTAAGTGTAGTGTAAATTTGGATAGTTTGTCACCTACCTTTTTATCTAATCTTTACTTTACATTACACTCACAGTTAAAAAATAGATAAGATTAAAAAGTTATTTAATATACCAACAGAGAATAAGAGGGATCTTCGTCATAGCCTTGATAGAAATTGGATTGATATAGAAAGTGATTTATCGTCTGATCTCGAAGCACCTCTCTCTTTATTTGGTAGTAACAGTCATCTCTATAATCAAGAGTCGTCATCATCGTCATCATTGAAATCGCTAGGAGACAGCGGTAACTTTAGAATCAGTAGTAAAGATATGAAGAGCCAACTCAACCCAATTCAACAACAACAGCAACAGGCATTGCAACAGCAACAACAACAGCAGCAACAACAACAACCAGGTGCCAATACCAATGGTGTGTCCGACCCCAACCCAATGATGGGTGGTTCCGGTGGTGGACTTTCCGGTATCTCTTTCAACGAGTCGCTTCTCAACGACATTGGACTTGGTGACTCGGTTATTCGTGACATGAAGATGCAACAACAAGACACCTTTAGACTGATCGACTTTGCATTGGGTGCAAGTGCCGGTGTCAACATTCCCTGGAATAGCGAGTCTGACAACGACCTGCTCGGAATCGACAACAATCTAACTCTTTCAACTAATATGGGCATCAATAATATGATCAATCAACACAACGCCGCCCAACAACAACATCACCAACAGCAACAACAACAACAACACGCCAACGGTCACCAACACTCGCCACACGCCAACGGAAACAACAGCCTCCAGCAAAACGGCAACCAATCCAACGCCTCAGGAAACTTTATGCTGGGCACAAGCAACAACCTGATCAATTCTTTGAATCTTTCACAACAGTTGGCCAGTATTCAACAGCAACTCCACCAACAACAACAATTGATAAATAACACCATCTTGAGCCAGCCTGTTGCCGTGCACACCCACCCACTTCAGCACTCTGGTTCCGACTTTTACCTGAACAAATCATCCGCTGACAACAACAGCAACAACAATTTCGTCAATAACAACAACAATAACAATAATAACGATGTATATCAAAACAATGCACAAGTACCACATTCACCATTAAATACACCAACTTCCACCATTAGCAATGCCAGCCAAAACATATATTCCTCGGTTCCACATTCACCGCAAGTCGATATGGTTTCATCGTCGCAACCATCACAACAACCACAACGCTCTTATCCATTCCAAAATCAAACACATAATGATCATCTCCAACCATATAATAACATGACTTTGCCACCAATTTTATCGCCATCACCATCTTCGTCGGAGCCATCCACACCCCAATACGATGCCATCCCATTCCAAACAATGCCAAGCAATACTTTCAATCTCCAACAGTTGCAACAGCAACAACAACAAATTCAACAACAACTTTTACAACACCAACAAATGTTGCAGCAACAACAACAATCGAGTGTCCAACAAAACAATTATCAACCACACACTCCACCACAACAGTTGCCACAACAACAACCACAGCAACAACAACAACAACAAGCACAACCACAACAAATTCAACAATCTCAACAACAACAACCACCTCAACAACAAATCCAGAGCGGTCCATCTTTGGAAATCGTTGATAACTACCAACAACCATTCCCAATCTACACTGTCAAGACTCACGTCTTGGTTCCAGCACCAGTCATCAAGGTCTCTGGTTACACTGGTGATGCCAACGACTTGATGATCGTCGCCAACCCAGAGCCAGACGATAGTATCTTGATTTCCCAGCCAGCCGTCACCGCATCCGATGGTACCTTTGAGTTTAAGTTTACCGACATGCATGTCGACCGTAAAAAGCACGATCCATGCAGTTCTTTCCGTCTCAAATTCAGTTTGTTGAACCGTCGTACCTTTTTCAAGTTCACTGACATCTTGTCGCCATCCATCAATCTCTTCTACCACACTGACTTGTTGCCAGCCCCAGACATTGTTCGTTTGGTGCCAAACCAATGTTTCTGTGGTCAAGAGCCAGACATCACTTGCTACGGTTACTACTTTAAGAAGGGACGTACTGAGATCCTCTACGTTGACTTTGAGCCAGAGGTTGTCGGTGGTGAGCATCAACCACACACCGTCAAACAAGAGCAACTCCGTATGCCAAACCAAACCTCTTTCTCGTTTGTCTTCACTCCACCACACCGTTCCACTTCCGGTACCTACAGTGTCTCCACACGTTACACCAAGACTACCACCAAGAAGGACAAGGACAAGAACAAGAAATCCAAGGTCGGAAAGTCATTCCTTTTCATTTACAACGATCTCCCAGAGTCTTCCAATACCAAGCGTATGAAGCGTGAGACCGATCGTCTTGGTGACGACAACCAAAACTCACCAATGAACGAGCAACACGACGGAAGTGAATACGTCACCAGTCCAATGGGTGGAGTAAGTGTTCCATCGCCCTACTCACCAGCCACCTCTTCGCCATTCAACAACTACAACTATATGAAATGTATTCTCTATGGTGAAGTTGAAGATCTCGAAGAGATTCTCAAGGAGAAGGAAGACATTGAAGTCAAGGACAATGCCGGTAACACATTGGTTATGCTTGCTGCCCGTGAGGGTCGTGACGATATGGTCGAGAAGCTGATAGAGATGGGTGCTGACCTCACTGTTCGTAACAAGACTGGTCACAGCTTGTTCCACATGGCCTGTTACTCTGGTGATGTCGGAATGGTCGAGTCGCTCTTGGACAACATTGACATCCAATCACGTGACAATGTTGGTGCCACCGGTCTTCACATCGCCACTGAAAGAGCTCACCTCAGATTGGTACAGTACTTGTGTCAAAACGTTGAAGAGTTGGTCGACTTGAAGGACAACCGTGGTTTGACTGCCTTCCACTATGCCGCTATGGATGGTGACCAACGTATTGCCAACATCTTTATCGACCACTACAAGGCCATCAATCCAAAGTTGATCGATGCTCAAGACCATTCCGGTATGAGTGCCTTGCATTGGGCTGCTGCATTGGGTCGTCACAACATTGCCAACAAGTTGATTAGCGCCGGTGCCAATATCAATTTGCTCGATGGTGACAACGAGTCGCCAGTCTTCAAGTCCATCGTCAGCAGTAACAAATCGATTACCACTTTGCTCTTGGACAGCAAGTGCAACACTGACATTCTCAACGCTCACAACAAGACACCAATCGAATTGTTGGCTGAAGCCGCCATGCCAAACATTGAGGAAGTCGAGGAGGAGGAAGAAGTAGAAGAGCAAGCTTCCAGCTCATCTACAACCACCACAACCACTACGACTACTACTACCAACACTGAGCTAACTAAATCAGTTCCAGAGGGTATTGTAGTCGGTAGCACTTCCACTGCCTCTTCGCTGGCACTCGTTCCACCAACGATTCCATCCAAAGAGAACTTCACCGGTAAGAGAAACATTGGTGACCAAACTCGTGCTGAACTTGCCGAGCAATTGATCCAACAACTTGCCAAACTCAATATTCAAACCACTCAAAGCACATCTACCACCACAAGCACAACCGATAAATTCACCAAGTTGGAAACTTTCAAGCCAGAGTTTGGTAAAGACGCACTCATTCCTGGCGATATTAACACCTGGACATCCAGAGACATCACTGTAAATCGTTTCGAAGCGCTCATCAACGAGATCGAGTGCAACTTGACCAGCGGTTCCGACAATGGATTCGCCAAGAACAAACAACTGACGACCCTTCTCCAACAATCATACTCTGACAAGGTGACCGATTGGATGGCAAGCGAGGAAGAACTCTTGCGTACCAAGCGTGACCTATTGGATTTGGAGAGTGAACTCAACGTCAAAGCCCACGAAATCATCAGACTCTCTGATTTCATTTCGTCGTGTCCAGTGTCATTGACCGAGCTGGGACCAGGCAAACTCGGTCTCTTTGTATTAAAGCGTGATCGTTACTATGGATTCCACCAAAACGAAACTCTTGTGGTAGTATCCAGTGACTCGATGTCAGCACTCCAAAAGATTTACGGTAATAGCATGCCAGACTGTTTGCTGGCGAACATTGTTTTCTGCACAAAGACAAAATCAACAAAACCATCACCTCTAATGCCTGTCGTTGGTACCGAATTTTTAATAGTAGACATCGAAGTATCAGATAGAAATCGACAGTAGTAATATTACATATAAAATCAAATAGTTAATTTAAGAATAAATAAAAATGTACATAATTAATTTAATTCCAAAAACAAAAAATTTGTTATCCGATTGATTCCATGTTATAATGAACAACAAATAAATTTGTTAATTTATCATCTTTTATTATCAAATCACTTTCAAATCTGAAATCATTATCACTCTCAGGGCATTAACAAAGAAGATATATTTGAATTACCAAAATCTTATTCTCAACACTGAAAGAGTATGGTTACGAACACTTGGCAATCAATATTATCTCTTCTTTAAAGAAGAACCAAATTTTATATCCATATTGTCTCAGATTCCCAACATATTTTATGAATGAAATATTCCGGAATATTTTGAAAATGTTCGCAGATGGAAAAAAGAACAAATAAAAAATCTGTATATCTATTGAAATTTCTTTTACAATGGTAACATTTTTCTAGATCACCATTACACAAATGATTATTTATTTATTCTTTTTGTCTTAAACTAATTAATTTACGAATAATTTGACTGATTGATCTATTAACCTCAATCACTGTCTGATTATCCATCTTTGTTGAGTTTGTTTGTATATTAAAATCGGGTGGTGGCCATCTGCTAGTTGAAAGTTTATCTCTTAAAGTTGGGAATCTATCTAAACATTGTAACAATACTAAAGTTAAAACAATAAATATTAGTATTAATATATTTTAAAAATAAACGTTAAATATCTTACAATCAAGTGAATTTAACCAATGAGTTTTAATTTCATCCCAGAGTAAAAGAGCGGTTTGATCTGCTGGCGGTAGTTCTAAACCTTGGTAAAAGTTGATGTATTCATCGATGGCTTTGATTAGAGTTTCGTAGTTGTGGGTGGATGTAAAATCTTCTTCATCCAGATATCTTAATATCGATAGAGATACAAGGATGAGATTAATCAGGAAGATCTGACGGTCTTTATGAGCATCACCAAGTGCCTGATTGATATTGGTAGAGATCATTTCGATTGCATCGGAGATATGACAAAACAAAGTAAAGAAAGATCCCTTGTTAGCCGTGGAAATTGGGTTGCTCCAGTAACTCATATAGAAATAGAGGATCGAACAAGCATGTGGGAGAAAAGCATTTCCTACCAACTCTGGAGTGCAGCCATAGGACTTTAGTGCAGCAATGGCTGGGTACGAGTTGAGGATATTCTGATCCTGTTCGATTGCCATCGTAACGAGCACCGGAAGATAGTTGTTCAGAAATTGAACGAGGAGCAAGTGACCTTCTTGGACATTGAAAAAGTTACTGGATTTCTCGGTCATTGTGAATGAGCTGACATCAATGTAATTCTCAATGCCCGGAAGTAAGTATGCCAAGTAGAAACCATAGTCGTTCTTGTATGCCAAAAAGTAGTCGAATATCAATTTCAGCGAGTGAGAGAGAATCTCTGACATGGCTTCTGCTTCCTCTGCGAGAAATTGGCCGACTTGCTTCAGAGTGAGAATGGCAACGTTGGTCGGTTCCTTCTCGGGTGCCTCCTCGGCGAGATCCTTGAGATATTCGATCATCAGTGTGTTGGTATCGATCAGTATTCTTCGCAGTTGTAGAAGACAGTCAGCGTTCAGTATCGGTTTGTTGTCGGATTCGAATTGATTCACAAGGAATACGATTACGTTGTCGAGTATCGAGTAGCATGCCATGAGAAGATTCGTCTTTTCACTGGAGATAGTCTCTGTCACTGGTTGAGTATGTAGAATCATCTGAATCTCTGTTCTTACATACTGGTTTGCAAGTAAGAACAGCTTGTCGCCGGACATGCCACCAGTTGTCTTCATGACCCAATTGCTACCGAGTAGTTCCAACAAAATAGAGAATAGTATGATCGTTTTGTCTCTGTGCGATTCCTTCTGACTCTTTGTTTGAAAGATCGAAGCTATGCCATCTCTGATATTCTCTGTCGATTTCAACAGTGCTGAAGACTGGTTGTTTGGATGCGAAGGGAATCCTTCAAACTGGAAGATCGATATGAATATGGGAAGCATTGAGAATCGATGAGGATTGTGCAACTGCTTAAAGATAATCGAGAGTGGTTCCAACAGAGGTTCGAAACATTTGAATAGTTTCGCAGAAGATGTCGATTCATTTCTATCCTGTACACAGTAGCACAGTAGCTTAATTAGGTGCAGCAACATTTTAAATGGTTCCACATCAGTACTTAATTTATCAGATGATTCATCTTTATCTTTAACTTTTTCATTTGTTTTAGTTGTACTATTATTATTATTATTATTATTATTGTTGTTTTGAGAATCTGGTGATGATTTAACTTGTTGTGTATTGGTTGTTGTTGTCGTCGTTGTAGATGGTGATATATTGTTTTTGGATTGAGACATTGTCTGACTAGCTTTGTTCAATCGTATCAGAACTTCACCCAAATATTTAATATTCTGCTCTTTCATTAATAAATAATTGACTTGTTCTAAACTATCTTTCCGATCACTATTGCTACATAGATCTTTTAACCTACTATCAAAAGACAACATTGAATATAAAAACATAGATGATTCTTGATATAATGATAAATTAACTTGTTGACTGTAAAGATAAGTTAGTTAGTTAGTTAGTTTTTTGATTTAGTATTTATATTAATAGATTATTATTTGTTTACTTACCATTGTGTTAGATTCTTAAGAGTTAATTCAATGATTTGAGGTAGTAGTTGATGTTGTGAGATACGATAGATGATGGTCGATTCTATTTGATCGTCTGGTATGCTTGTTGTGTCTAACATTGTAAAGGTCGAGAGAATGGTGACAGCAACATTATGATAGGAGACAGAATCTTGACCGGGTAACGTTGGTGTTTGCAACAGTCTATAGAGAAACTCAATGCCCAGAGCATCGTATACACGACCAAGATTGTATGCATCGTCCGGCTTAATCAAATTCTTCACCAATATTATACCAACGAATCTTTCTTCATCGATATTACTGGACAATAGATTTAAACATGTTCTAAATGATAAATCTGTATTATTATCTGGTGAACTATTATTATTATTATTATTATTATTATTATTGTTATTATTACTCTTTGTATTTGAATTTGTATTTGAAGATGAAGATGTAGAAGTTGTTGTTGTTGTTGTTGGAAGTGAAGTTGAAGGCGAATGTGTGGATGATGATGATGAACTTGACATCATTTAGAATATAATACTATAAATATTTAATATTTATCTATCTATTTATCTTATAATTATTTATTAACTATTTGCAGAAATCATAAATTTAATTTTAGATTTTTTTTTTGTTTTTTTTTTTTTTTTTTAAGTTCGATTAATTTCAACACAAAAAAAATAAATAAATTAATTGCAATAAAACATTTCCAAATTTGGGGTTGTTTTTAATGATCATTGATTAATTAAATTTTCTTTTATTTTATTACTAGTTTAATGTGTTAAAATATATAATTATTTTTTTTTTTGATTCTTAATAAAATTGAAAAAATACTGTTATCCACACTTTTTTTTTTTGGGCTAATATATTTTTATTGAACTTCTCGAGATTGTTAGTTGTATACACACATGTATAATTAAATAAATTTTTAAACATTTTTAATTTGGTCAAAAAAAATTCAACCCATTCGTGATCACAAGAAGAAAATAAATTTAATAAATACTTTTTTATTTGTTAATATTATTCATACCAATAAAATATATTTCAAATACTCTTTGAAAAATAAAAAAAAAACAAGATGTTAACAATAGTTAGATTATTTATTTCATGCTTTACAGGATTATTAACTGTTTTGGTGTCATATTTCACTCTTCATGCTTTAAGCTATGCTGTTTCAATGATGGAGTTGGTAAATTTCTTTAAAAAAAAAATTAAATTTTTATTACATTTATTAAAAAATCAATTTAAATATAGGCTGTTGCGACTGACACAATTCCAAAACATCCAGTGCTAAAGAATTCTACAGAATTACTGAATGGTTACTTCAACAATTATAATATGACCCATTATTTCTTGTTTGCAGTGTTGCTTGGCATGGTTTATTTATACAATGGAATACCAGTAAAGAAGATTATCTCTAGATAGATCTATTCTATAATAAGTAATCAATAAAATAAAATTTAATTTTTATATAATGAAATGTTTAACTCCATTTAGTCAAGCGCAAGTTTCGTTTTGGGAGTGTTTTTTATTTTATTTAATTTAGGGTTGCAGGCAAGTGTTAGTTTCGCTGTATTCTATCTAAAATCATATTAATACTTTTATGATCTACCCTTAAAAAAGTGCAAACGCAAGCAGAGTAGATTTTTACACTTTGTAAAAATTGCAAAATTCAACAACATTATATTTCACTTACAAATAAAGAATGAAAAAAGAATTATTTTCATCTGTATTAATTAACAATTCATATTTAAAACAATTGATATTCAATCTTGTTAATAGCTTAAGTAGAGAGGATGGATTAAACATTAGTGGTGATATGGTTCAATCAGTTTTCAAATGGGATGAAGTGATATTTACTCCTCATGTTTTAGCAGGTAATGGATATTTCAATCTATTAAAAGAAAGAATAAATATAAATTTACATTCATTATATGACCGAATCTTTACCAATGCATTGAGAGGTTCAGGCTCATTGGAATTGGTAGAATTCATGTTGAATCGATTGTTGTCAGATGAAAACAACTATTATAATATCAATGATCTGTTGGCTGAAGCAATAGCATATAATCGACTTGATGTAGTTAACTATATATTAGACAAGTACTCCCCCGGAGATGAACATATCCAGTTAGATATCTACAGGGCTATGGCTACCACTCCGATCTCTGGTGATTTAAATCTATTGAAACGGTTGAACAGCATGCTGGATAGCAACTTTGTTTTGGATCCTCTTCTAACAACAACGGTTTTCGATCGTGCTGCACTCGTAGGAAATATAGATTTTATCGCATGGTTGAGAGAGAATCGATCTCAGGATTTAGAGCATTCCGATATGTATCCAAGAGCAATAAAAGGTGGACACTCCCATGTCGTAGAGTATCTTATCAATAGCTTTGGACTGAGAGAAACTAGTAATAATGGATATCCACATTTGGACTTGGCTGCTGAATTAGATCAATTCAGTATTTTAAAGCTGTTGTATCAACATGGAATAAGAATGGTTACAGAGAGTGCAATGAACACCTCAGCCTCCAATGGAAACATTAATATTTTGTGTTGGCTCAATGATAATACAACTGGGTGGTGCACAGTCGATGCAATGGAAGATGCCGCTTACCATCTTTATATCGACGTTGTCAAGTGGTTGCATAACAATAGGACTGAAGGTTGCTCAACGACTGCAATCGATAGGACTGCAACCAGAACTGAGCCAGCTGCACTCGAGATGATTAAATGGTTGTTGGAGAATAGGAGTGAAGGTTGCACTGACCTTGCGATGTTCCAAGCGGGCATTGGCGGCAATTTAGAAACTGTGAAATTCCTCAATGAGAATACAACGGTTGGATACACCGATGATCTCTTTACATATTGTGGTCGAACTGATAGTGTCGAAATCATAGATTATCTAAATAACAATTCGAATCTATTCGACGTTCCTCAAATACTTGTTGATGATATCGATACGATTTTCGATGCTGAGAGTGTCAAAACTTTTAATTGGTTCTTAGACAACTTTCAATTCACAAAAGAACAACTAATATATCTGAAAAATGAGCATCCACGTTCAACCAAAATCAACCAAATAATAAATGAAAAATATTTATAAAATGATAATTTAATAAAATAGACCTTTTTCAATCCTCTTTTATTCTTTAATAAATTAATTATTGTTCAATTGAACATGATATTCATTGAATTGATTCAAATATAAATAGATTTAACGTTGTGTGTTTGTGTGTTAAAAAAATAAAATAAATTACCTATTATTTTCATTGAATTAGATGATAAAAAAAATCTTGTTTTATAATTTTTTATTTATCAGATCAAATGAATGCAAAACAAGAATAATTTTATAAATTAAATTGTATAATATAAATATAGAATAATAAATAGCTATAATAATCTAAACAATAGAATAATAGAATGTGGAGAGTTGAACAATGTTCGAATGAACCATATCCAAGGTGTGCACATCAATGTGCAACTGTAGATCACTATATTTATATGTTTGGTGGTTGGACTGATGAAAATCAAATGTTAAACGATTTACATAGATTCAATATAGGTATGATTCATGAATAACAAAACAATCTTGCTTTTCTTTTACTTATTGTTTAACATATATATATATTTATAGATACTTGGGAATGGGAAGTTATAAGACCTAATAAAACGAATGAAAATGATAATCTTAATCATAATAATAATAATAATAATCATACAAATGGAAATGGTGTAATAGCTACTGCTAGTAGTAGTAATACTGATAATAATAATGTTAAAAATAATAATGATAAAGAAATAGATGAACCTTTTATAATATCTAGAAATGGTCATTCATTCAATGCCTATGGTAAGAAACTGGTGTTGTTCGGTGGTGGTTCATTCGCTGGTTTTCTCAATGACGTTGTTTTCTTTGATACTGTGACAATGCGTTGGCAGCTACCGGTGAATGCTGTCGAAGGAACACCACCGTCTGGCCGATCGAAACACGCTACAACTATGTTGGGTTCGCGTCTCTACGTGTTTGGCGGTGGTGATGGTGTTCGACTGCACAACGATCTCTACTACCTCGACTTGGAGACGCTTCGATGGACAATGGTGGAGTCGTCGCGTGGCGTGGTGCCGTCGCCGCGCTGGGGACACACCATGGTGAGCATCGACAACCATCGACTCTTGATATTCGGAGGACACTCCGGTTCGAAGCGACTCAACGACCTTCACATCTACGACTTGACTACGAATGAGTGGTCGCAGCCAGTGGTTGGCAGCGGTAGTGAGCTGGCCAGCGACTGCTTCAAGCCGCAACCGAGAGCGGGTCACTCTGCATCGATGGTCGGTCGCTACATGTTGGTATTCGGTGGTGGTGACGGTCATATTCTTAATGATTTCGTCGGTCTTGACGTTACTTGTTGGCGATGGTGGAAAGTCACTGCCGATACACCCGGTGGCAGATGTGCACACTCTAGCTCGATCATCAAGAATAAACTAGTGGTATTTGGTGGTGGAAATGGTTTGCACTGTATCAAAAAGATGGTTGTATTTGAGAATATCGATAACATCGATCATCTTTACCAACAACATCTATACCAAGCGAAACTTAAACAAGACGACAAAAATCATACCACCATTCACAGCTCCAATAGTAACACACCCAAAAAGATTATTATTACACCAAAGAAATTGATAAAACCAACAGCTGACGAGACTTTACTATCTAATACAATCGAATCTATAGCAAAGAAAGTTCAATCAAATACTATTAATAACAATAACAATAATAATAATAATATTACAACAACTACATCTACAACAACAACTACTACATCTACAACATCATCAAATCAACAAACAATTAAATTAAATCTTGAAAATAATAATAATAATAATAATAATAATAATAATAATAATAATAATAATAATAATAATAATAATAATAATATAAATCAAGTAAATGAAACAAAAGATGAAGATCTGACAAACTTGCTTGTACAAACACCAACCGATAAATTAAAAGATAGTTGCTTAACAGATAGAGAGAGAAGAGGTATGTTATAAGATAGTATTGATTACTTTAAAGAAAAAGTCTACTTACTAAATCATTTTTATTAGATATAAAATTCTTTTTAACCAATATTGGAATGGCTAAATTTGTAAATAAGTTTATTGAAGAGGAAATAGATACAACTGTATTGCACTTGTTGACTGAAGACCATTTAAAACAATTGGGTGTCACTCTACTGGGTGAGAGACTTACAATCATCAAAGGCATCAGAGAGTCAACATTGTTTTTATTTAAGGGATTACCACCAATACCAATCGATGTCGACCCTAATTTCAGTCCGAGAATAGATGATGATAAATTGGATCTATAGATACACTGCAATAGTCAAATAATATCAATAAAGTGTATCGATTTTTGTTAAATTATCAAAAAATGACATCTCTGTAAAATGTTGTTTATTCTTGTATATAATTAAATAATCAATCATTCTATTTATTAATACATTTCATCGTCATCTACAGCAGCTTCCTCCAATCGATAAGTGTCCAACTCTTTTTGAGTTTGTGCCAACTGTTGCTTCAGTACTTCGTTCTGAGAAATTAGACTCTTAAACTTGTCCATGTATCCTTTCATTCTAAACTCTAAACTAACTATATTCTCTTCTTTTTCTTTTAATTTACTTTCTAATTCACTAATTTTATTATTACTATTATTATTATTATTGTTATTGTTACTACTATTACTATTATTACTATTACTATTTTTATATTCTTCTAATTGTTTATCTTTTTCTCGTAATTCCAACTCTAATTTCGATATTCTATTTAATAACTCTTGATTCTCCAATGACACTGATGACTTTAGACTGGGTGGTTCGGAGCTGGTCGTTGGCGGTGTGATCGATCCGTCACTGGTATCGACAGAGTCTGAGCGCTTTGCTTTTTGAATGGAACCAGAAACCAGAATCAACTTTGTCAAATGTTGAATCTTTGATTCCAGTAGATTTCTATGTTTCTCTGACTCTAACAACTTCTTTTTCAGCTCTTCGGCTGGTGCGTTGTTTGAATCGAGATCTCGCTCCTTCTTGAGTTGCTCCTCCAACTTGGTCTTTAACTCTGCAATCTCATTTCGATATTGCTTGATCAGTGCTTTGTCATCGATGACCTCGTTGACCTTGGCGTTATTGGTGATCTTCTTGGCACGACTTGCAAACTTCAAAGTGGAGTGTGTCTCATCAAAGTTGTTACTTGCCAGAGTGATGGTACACACGATAGCAATTCTCGAGTTACCAGAGAGTGAATTCTGAAGGATTCTAGTGAGTTTACTGTCACGATAGTTGATATGTCCCGCTGCCTTCTCACTCAGCTTGCTAATGACACTGCCAAGAGTCAACAGAGACTTGTTGATGAATGCACCCTCTTTATTACGCATGGCATGTACACCTTCCGATGCCTTTTCACTTCCTGCCAAATCAATAAGATTCTTAATGAGAAATATGATATGATTAATTTTTCATGTACATTCACTTTACTAGTTTTGGATATTAATTATTACTTACTAAATAACTAACTCTAACAGATGAACCATCTACTGCTCTCTCTTTACTCTCGACCACCAATCTAAAGATGGTATGTGAACGTGAAGATTGGTCATTAAAGTTGGTGCTACCAACGTGTCTGACCGATTCACCAGCAGCAATCAAATTCAATACGTGTTCAGGCGACAATACGATCTCCTCCTTCAAATTGCCAACGTAGATATCTCCATTTGGTTTCTCATGTATCTTTAGATTCAGACTCTCTGGTGCCATCAAATCGTTGATCACCTCATTATAGATCTCCATATAACTAACTCTTAAAAGGAACTCTCTATCTTGTGTCTTTAAAGAATGATTGATTGATCAATCAAAGATGATTATTAATGTTAGCGAGTAGATCTTTAGATAATGATTGATCAATTTAATTACCTCTTGAATAAATGAGAATACATCTTGAATGGCCAATGGAATGATACCTGGATTTCTCTTATTACTTCCTTTCATTGTGAAGGTCTTACCGGATGCAGTCTGTCCATATGCGAAAATGGTACCATTGTAACCCTCCATAGTCGACCAAATGATCTGCTTGGCAACGGTGTCATAGACCTGTGCATTGTCTACGTTTGGTGGGAATAGATGATCATATATATAACTGTTCTGTATGAATTTCGCACCGGTTCCAGTAGTGGTTGGTGATGATTTCGATGGTGTCTTTACTGCACTGCTTGTTGTCGTGGTGGTGGTAGTTGTACTTGATTTCGGAGCCAGCGAAGTAATGGTATTGGTTCCTTCATTCAATTGCCAACATTCATAAAAACCTGATTTAACCTCATTGTCATTGAAAGGTCTTGCTCTAACTACAACTGATATATTTTCATTCATTCCTACTAACTACTACTTTTTTTTTTTCTTCTTCAGCTATTTACAGTCACTGATTAACAAATCAACTAAATCTAAAATATCTTTTTTTTTTTTTGTTTTGAATTAAAAAGTATATCTATCAATAAAATATATATATAAGTAAAGATATTATCTTTTGAAAATGAATTACTTAAAGTAAAAATAAAAAAACTAATATATGTTGATTGGGTAGTACTGCAATTTAGGCGGTTAATTTATTTTTTTTAAATTCAAAAATAAAAAAAAAATAAGTGGGGGAATTTTACAAAAACAAGAATAACTTTTCGAATTAAGTTTACAACTAAAAACTTTTCTTAATATTAAACACAAACAAAATATAAATAATGTGAGTGAATCTGATCTAGTGAGAGTAATTAATTATAATGATACATGGAAATTGATTTATTGAAATCTTAAATAATGATTTTTTTAGAGTTGTTTTTGTTTTATGGTTGATTTTGCGTTGGAATAGAGGTTGAACCTTCACCCAATTCAAGCTGAAGAGTAACGACATCTACCCATTTTTCGAATTTCAATCCAACCGAATAGAGAATGTGTTTGTGTTTGAAACCGAGTCTTTCGTGAAGCTTAATTGAACCGAGATTGTCACTGCCTCCAATGACTGCTATCATCTGTCGGAATCCACGCTTGGTCGACTCGTCGATCAATCGTCGTAGTAACATAGAACCAACACCACGAGCCCTGTAGTTAGGGTCCAGATAAATCGAATCCTCCAGTGTATATCGGTATGCCGAACGAGTACGATACAATCCTGCATAACAATATCCAACGATCACCGGTGAAACACTATTATCTACTGCTGCCTGTTCAGCAACGAAATAAGGCATGCCATCTGCTTTCAAACTATTGAATCTCGAGAGCATATCATCTAACGTTGGAACTACCTCTTCGAATGTAGCAACAGATTCGCGAACATAATGACCATAGATCTCACAGATTGCCTTTACATCATCGACTACTGCTTCTCTGATAACTATATTTCCAGCATCCATTTCTAATCTGTGTCTCTCTCTAATCAAATTTTAAGATACAATTAAAATACAAGATATAAAACAACAACTTCTTTTGAAAACAATGACGAAATTAGGAAATTCATTTGTTTTTCATAGGGGTAGTCATTCGGTTTTTTTACATGAAATTTGGTAAAAGCAAAAAATTAAATTAAATTAAAATAAATATTTTGGTTTCATGTTTGCACTTGTGTAATCTCAGTATAATACAGATACAACCTAAAAGCAGCTGATCTCTTTTTATATGTAGTTAACATAATATATTTTAATATATTACATTTATTTAATATTTGATTGTTCTTTTAATTTAGAATTAATGGCTGATTGGTAGTATTGGCTGTTTGGCTGATTTGTGTTGGTTGCAAGATCTTTTTTTTTTGTTTTTGTTTTTTTTTGTTTGTACATATTCAAGTGGAAATTATTTTATTAATTATTATGGTGAGAACCAGTCAGACCACCTGCTACACCTTCGACAAAATGATCCAAGAACTTCTTGGTTATTCTAGTATAGTTTGTTACTTGCTCCTTCCACTTGATAAATGCTTGATAATCGTCCAACTTGTCAAGACTCAACTCATAATAGGTTGACAATTGATTGGTGTGCTTTTCGAGATCCTCCTGTAGATATTCAAATAGATTTCTCTCATTTGATTTCTTGTCCAAATAGTATCCATAAACATATGAGTATTGGAGAACTCTACGATTCTATTATATGAAATATATTATTAATAAACATGAAAATTACAACTAACTTATTAATATTATTTATAATTATTATTCAACTTACTCTCAACAATTGTTCAGTTGCTTCCATCAAGAACTTTGTGTCGGCGGATCTAACATCAAACTTTGATAGGATTTGTTGTTCTTTTTGATGAGCGTTTCTTCTTTGTTCGTCAGCGATTTTCTAATTTAATTACTTTTTTGTTAGTATACATATATATTTACTTTTTGATTATTTCTAACAATCCAATCTATCTTACCATAGCATTCTTATGAGACTCATATCTGTGATAGTAAAACATGTATGCCTCCAACTCTGTCTTTGCATCGTTTGCCTTTTCATCATCCTCTTTAGCTTTTGATTTATCGTATTTGTTACAGTTGTAGTATCCACCTGTGGCGGAACCGTGATCGGACCATGGTCCTCTGCACAACCAACAGAATTCAAAACCACAACCACCTGCATTCTTACGACAGGTCATATGCATACAACCTCCATTCTTTTCAATGGGTGATCTACACTCTGGGCATCTAAAAATAGGTAAATAATTAATTGGTTAGTCGACAACTCTTAAACTGTGTTAGCTAGATTCTACATACTTTTTAGTGTTTGCCAACATCCAAGTTACATTTTCGGATTCATCGGAAGCTTTCTGCAGCCATTTGTCAACTTGACTGCAAGGGCATGGCATGTGATCACCGATTTCAGAGTCGTTACAGTTGAAACAGTATTGGAAGCCACACTTGCATGTTACGGCCTCCTTTCTCTCCTTGCGGTCGCAACGCACTGAATATACACATCCTGGTGCCGGACACCACTTGACTTGCGGGTTGTCGTCTACGTAGGACTTGAGGATAAAGTTTGAATATTTTTCGTAGGCGACGGATTCGATCAATTTCTTAAAGGCATCTTCGTGAACTTTTACTTTACATTTCGGTGCGGGACAGGTCGAGTAGATGCACTCGGGACCCTCGCCAATCTTGCACTCCAAATACAACTTCCAACAGGCAAGACAATATCTGTGATCGCACGACAGCGCAAATGTTTGACTGGGTGGAAAATCTTCGAGACAGATCAAACAACTGAACTTTTGAAGTGATTTATCGACTGCTTTGTCCAAACGGAGATTGGGAATACCTGCATCACTACATAATTTATCTTGATTATCCATAAATCGTTCAATTAACTTTTCTTTATTCCATCTATATTTAGGATATTAATAAAATAGATAGATTGATAAACGATTTGTTAGTTGTTAGTTGTTTTGTTTTTCGTTTTATTTTAACATACTTCATGTGTCTTAGCAAAATAGATACGGCAGCCTCTGATGGGATAGAGAGTACATCCATTACCTCTTTGATTAGCTTGCGAGATTCGGAAACCAATTCACTTCTATCCAAGACTTCGAAACTCTTTTGTCTTGTCAGTTTCCCTATCGATCGGTTAGAGGAGTGTATATCATCAAAGTCAATCTCTTGAGTGCTGTACTCGTAGTCCATCTCTTCATTGTCAGCCGATTCATTTCCAGATTCCTCTGCAGAGTCGTCATCGACATCGTAGTCATCATATATTTCGTCTTCCGACATCCTTTAGCTATTGATATAAATAAATATATAAAAAAATAAAAATAATTCTGTATAACTATATATATATAATGTTAAGTTAGAATATAATACAAATGTTGCAATAATAATTCAAATTCTTGTTGATTGATTGTTGTGAATAAAATTAAACAAAACAAAATTAAAAAAATGAGAAAATAAAAAAAAATACAAAAAATTACAAAATGCAAGTTGGATCCAACTAGATGTTTGGTGATTGCCAAGCTGCTTCTTAAAAAAGATTGTGTGATTTGATTTGCTTTGATGTGATGTTCCAACAAGAAAAACAGTGGAAACCAACCTTTTATTAAAAAAAAAACAAAAAATTTGAGAATTAAAAAAAAACTAAACTAAACTAATATGGTATGTCTATTATTATTATTTGTTACTATTTATTTGCGATTTTATTATTTACTTATTTATTTGATCAAATAAGTTAATAAATTTTTTAATTAATCACCAATTATTTTCGAAAACATATAAAAATATAAATAATGTTAAAAAAAAAAAATAGATTATTTATTTAAAAAAAAAAAAAAAGTATGATAATTTAAATAACTACAAAACAAAAAACAAAAAAAAAACCAATTAAACAAATAAATAAATTATTTATTTATTAAAAGTAAGAGAATTACTACACCCCCATCACCAACACCACCATACAACTCTTCATTTTTAATATCTACTGTTAATAATAATATTTTCAAGACAATTGGAGAAAGAACAACAACAACATCATGCTAGCATGTGTGGGGTGTGTGTGTTGTTCGTTTTACAACCGCTGCTCATTCTTTCTCCTATCATAAAAATATATATAAAAACAAAAACAAAAAAAAAAAAGGTAAACAATATATATGTCAAACATAATAAAAATGAAGGTTTGGTTCATTTTAATATAAAACGAGTATTTTTCTCTCTCTAACACCAACACCACAATATTTGATATTCTACAGCACATACTATTATTGATTGATTGATTGATTGACTGATTGATTTTTGTAATACTATCATTTCATTAAAAATAGAAATAAATAGATGATTGGATTTATAAAAAGACTTTATCTTTTACTTAAAACACAATTTTTGATCGATTATATTTAGAACTAATTTTAAATTATATACACATTTTAAAATTAGTTCTATTTGAGATGTTACATAATATGAAGCCAAGAATTTAGGTCCAAGATAAGTGTATTATCTAATTTTATAATTACCTTGTTTCTTTTCTTTTTTTTAATCTACCAAAGAAAATATCGAATTTGTATTAATTTAATGTTTGATAAGGTAACTTTTTGTAATTATAAATTGTAATGGTATATATTGTATATGTTTACTGTATTTAAAATGATACAATATTACTATAACTATCTAAATAGCTAATACAATGACAAAAATAAAAATAATATTAAATATATAACTATCTGATTAATCTACCTATATAAATCTCTATCTTTTTCTCTCTTTCTTTCTTGAAAATATCTTTGGTGTTTTTTTTGTTTTTTTTTAATAACGAAACTAATACCAAATGATATTTATAATAAAAAAAGATATAATATTTGTTTATATAAAAAAATAATAATAAATTAAAATTAATAAATTAGTTTGAATAACAATTATTTTATTTTAAATTAAATCGATTAAAAAATAATTTTTTTTTAATTTTAATTTTAATTTAATTTTTTTGAAATTGATTCTGGTAGGTACAAAAAGAATTGCAGAATTTTGAAGTTGTGATACTCAACTATCAGTTCAGTATTCCGCCATTCAGATTTTAACCAACCAATATTGTTGGTCAACCATATTTGGTTATTTAAAACAATTTTTTGTTTTTTGTTTTTTTTTGTTTTTTTTTTTTTTTTTTCTAACATACAAGAATCGAATCGAATCAAATTGATTCGTTAAAAGAAAAAAAAAAAAAAACAAAGAGAAAGAAATACTTCAAATCCAACTATTTCAATTCTATTCAACATATTCATAATCTTAAATTGTTATGTTAATGTTTGTTTCCCAAAGAAAAACAAACATGTATCAATAAGTTTTTTTTTCATCAATGTTTACAATTTTTTTAATTTTATTTAAATAATTTTTTTTTTTTTTTGTGGGTTTTTTTTTTTTGCCTATACTATAAAAAGACATTTTTATTTGATTGATAACCAATGTTATTAAACACTTCTTTGTATATACATATATGTTTATTATCTATTTGTATGAAATTCATAACATCTAGTCTAGAAAGAAAGAAAGAAAGAAATAGATTGAAGTTAGGTAGTTAGTTATTCAACCTTGTTCGTTTGAAAATCAAAAAAAAAACAAAAAAAAAAACAAAATGAGTAGCAGCAAAAAAGCAAACAGCAGTACTACTAGTTTGGATGATAAAGAGAAGTCGCTGAAAGAAAAGTATGAATCAATCAAAAAGAGACAACTTGAAATCGAGAAACAAGAGAAAGATAAGAGTGCTGAAGAGAATAGAAAGAAATTGATTGAAGCTAAATTGTTGTTGACAAAGGTAAAATCAAATCAAATTTGAATGAAGATGATAGGACTGTCATGTCTATAAATAATTTGACCTTTTTTTTTTTGAACTTGTTTTGTTATCTTATTATTATTATTATTTTAGAATATATATCGCTAACGTTATTTAACATTACTTTAAATAACAATAGAACATTGATCAAACCACAGAGACAAAGTCAACTGGATTCAAACGACCTACAATCAACAAGAACAAACCAGAGTTGAAAAGACAAAAGAGTGATGGTGGTCAGAATGATTTTGAAGATGGTGAATGTAATGACAATGCTGGCAACAACAATAACAATAACAGTAGTAACAATAACAACAAAGAAATTAATAATAACAACAATAACTATAACATTACCAATGTTAATCAAGTACATAACACAGGATTGAATAATAACAACTTTAGATCATCATATCAAAATAACAATAATTATAATAATAATGGTGGTGGTGGCCAAGAATATAGAAATAATCATCAAAACTATGATCAACTCTATTCTATATATGTAGGTGATTTGGCACCAACAACCTCTGAAGAAACAATCAAACAAGTCTTTAAGCAATATGGAAATATAAAATCAATCAAACTATTCCCACAAAGAGGGTATGATATTATTACTTAATTAAGATTAATACAAACAACAACAACAACTATTGATAGTCCAATTTAACTAATTTAAATGAATACATTTACTAGGTTTGCTTTTATTAACTTTACAGAGCAGGAAGCAATTCATAAATCTATTCAATCAATGAATTGCGGTGTTATAGATGGACAAACTGTAAAAGTTTCACATTCAAAGAGTAATCATCAACATCATAACAATAACAATAACAACAATAATAATAATGTTAATCTATATCAGCATCTACAACAGCAACCTTATTTAAATCATAATATTCCACAATATAATAAACCTCATAGTTCTGGTGGAAACTCTCCTCCTCATCCTCTACACCAAACAACACCAGGAGATAACAACAATAATAATAATAATGATCAAAACAAAGAATATGGTGAGGTAGAAACTTATAATAAATCAGAAGTTAATCAACTGCAAAACCCTTTATCTTCATCTTCTTCTTCTTCTTTATCAACATCGTCATCACCAACGTCTTTTTCTTCATTTGAAAGAATCAATAGAAGCGATAATATCAATGATATAAGTGAGTAAATCATTGTGATAAAAACTAAATACTTTATTTATACTAACTATCTAAACTTGAATTAATTACTTACCTTGTCTCTTAAACTAGATTCCAACAAAGAGGTTAATAATAATAATATAGATTTTGGTAATACAACAAATAACAATAATATATCATCAGAAGATATGAACAACATTAATAACAATAATAATAACATTATAAAAGATTCCCTGAGGAGAAGTATCACAAGCTATGAAAACTTATCATAGAGTAAACTAATAAACAATGTTTTTAGAAAGTAATAAGAGTAAAATTACAATGTTTGTTTTTTTTTTTTGTTTTTTTTTGAGACAAGAAGTAAAGGGTCAGATTTTTAAAGTGTCAAGTCAAGTCAGTTAGTTAGTTAGTTTAGTTTGTTAGTCAGGTAAGTCTAGTCAGTCAGTAAGTAAGTAAAGTATTTAAACAAATTCAAAAGTAAAGTTGTATAAGCGTTAAATAAAATAAATAAAAAAAAAAGTTAGAGAAATATTTTGATTTTTGTAAAAGTGAGTTTAGTTATAGTAGTAATGTCATAAAGTAAAGTCGGTCTTGATTGTTTGTGTTTGTTTATGGTAACACAAACAACTGTAGTGGCGGGCGAGCATTATTAAAGTAGTAGTAATAGTTTTTTCTTTTGTCGATAGAGTAGTGAGGAAAAGAGGATAGATTAGAAGGAAAAGTGGATAGAACGTGTGGAAAGAAAGGAAAAAACTTGAGAGCAAATTATATGTAGTTTTTGATTACATGGGATTATATATGTATATAAATATGATTGTTGTTTTCATCTAAATCCAATTATTATATAAAGATATATATAGATATATAATGATATGTGAAATGAGGAAAAAATAAAAGGAAATTGGGAGAGATAGAAGAAAGCGATTAAAGGAGTTGGCAGTGTAGTGGCGGCGGTGATGATGATGTTAACATGATCTGAAGGGTGTGAAGTCAATGTGTTGATTGAATGATTAACAGCGACAAGCAACAGGTGTATGTGTGGCAGCAATGTGATGTTGTTGTTGTTGATTGTTTTTGTGTTTTTGTTTTGTTTTTTTTTTGTTTTTTTTTTTTAGAGACCAAAGTTTGATTGTACACCTTGGAATGAGAATGAGTTACCAGAGTTGGTAGTCTCTGGAACCAAACCGGTGACCTCTTGTGTGTCCTCGTCAAAGTAGTTGTGGCAGATACGTGTGGCTTTGTCAAAGGTCTCTTTGATCTTGTGACTCTGGAGTTCGATGATCTTGTGGACACCGTCGGCCTCTTCGACGTATGGGTAGTAAAGGTTGGAACCGTTCTCACGCTTACCGTTGGCCAAAATATTCTCGATACCCTCCAATGCGACGTTGATAATACGGACTTCATTGCAGCTCAAAAGATCACAGAGTGGCTTAATGCATCCTTGTCTGACTAAATATTCAATCTGTTGGGCAGTTCCACCGCTGGTGGCGTTACTGATGGCCCAGGCAGCTTCCTTCTTGATTTCAAACTCGGCGTTGCTGAGCAAGTTGATCAACGATGGGATGATGTTGTTGTCGATGACCTCTTGAATCTGTGACTTGTTACCGGCGGTGATGTTGGAGATGGTCCAGCATGCCTCCTTCTTGATGGCCTTCTTGGTGCTCATCAACAATCTCTGTAGACATGGCAGGGCGTATACGTTGAGGACGACTTGGGTCTGCATGTCGTCACCGGTAACGATGTTACCGACGGTTCTCAAGGCTGGTGTTTGGACGGCACACGATGGGTGCTCCAAGAGCTCGACCATACGACGACAGACACCGGCATCCAAGACGGCTTGGATCTTCTCGTTTGGACCGTCCGAGAGGTAGCTGAGTGCCCAACAGGCATCGATGAGAACTTCCTCGTCGTTGTTGAAGATCAAATGCGAGAGTGCTGGCAAGGCGAATCTGACAGTGTCAAATTGTGGGGCTGGCTTACCACGACAGAAGTTCGACAATGTCCAGGTGGCATTACGAATCATACTGAGTTTTGGTTGACCGACCAATTGATTCAACAATGGTGGAAGAGCACCTGCATTCAATACCATATCTCTGCATTCCACTGAATCACCAGCAATGTTACCCAATGCCCAAACAGCTTGCTCTCTGACGTCGTCATTTGGCGAATTCAACAAGATAACAAAAACGTTGACTGCTCCATTTTCAATAACAACTTTAGTCTGTGTAGCTGAACCAGATGCAATATTTGTCAATGCCCAAGCTGCTTCAAACTATAATAAAATATTATAAAACATCATTAGTCTAAGTTTTAGTTTTTAACTACTAGCTAATGTTAATATTGTGTAGTACTTACTTGTAATTGTGGGAATTCGTTTTGTGATAAAAATTGGACAAACAATGGTACTACACCAGTTTCAATGACTTCTTGAATTGGTGGAGATCTCTCTGTTTAAACATATAAATAGACAATGTTAATTTTTAATGCTTTGCTTATAATTGATTGATTGTTTGTTTGTTTGATAGATTAATCTTACCAATGGAAAGAAGCTTTCTGAATGCAATTGTAGATTGAAGAATTTGATCATAGTTTTGTGATTGTAATCCACTGACCATTGCTGGAAGGTTTTCCAACTAAAATAGATATAGATAGATAGATAGAGAGAGAAGTTATGTAAGTTACTTGTTTGTTGTCGTTGTTGTTGTTGTTGTCGATTGTGTCGATTGCTATTTGTATTCTTTCTTATCTTACTCTTTGATTTAGAGATGGATCTGATTTAATATTTCTCTTCTTTGCTAAACTGTCTTCTCTCTTGTTCTTTCTGATGGAGAGTGCTACCTCCTCTCTCTTACGACGAGCATCATCAGCATCTATAATCTTTTTGTATTGACTCTTTCTTTGTTCTTGCTTTGATCTCAACATTTTTGATTATTACTTTTAATTTTGATATCTATCTAACTCTAACTAACTATTTGTTTTGTTTTGTTTTTTAATATTTTTTTGAATTATAAATATATATTTTAATTGAAACTATAATAATAATAAATTTTGATAATAATAATAATATAACAATAATATTTTTATAAAAAGTTAGTAAAATTAATTAAATTGATTTTTGATTTTATTTTTTTTTATTATAATTATTTATTTATTGAGAATAAATGGGTGTGTGCTGTGAGGAAATCAAAAAATAATAATAAAATAAAATAAAAAAAAAGAAATAAAAATTAAAAAACAAAAAAATACAAAAATTAAATGATAATAAATAATATGTATGTTTTGATATGATGTTGAGGAAACACGATTAAGATTTGATAGATAGATAGATCAATTGATACTACCGTAGTACTCAATACACAATTGTATATGGAGAATATGTGAAAGTGAGATTGAGAAAAGCGAGCTCGTGTTTGGTTGTTACACAACAGCAACAAAAAAATTAAAAAAAAATAATAATTGGTGTTTAATATTTGGTTGGTTGATCGATTGAAAGGAAGGAAAGCGTGTAAATGAGAATAATAGATACACGCTTATCAAAAAGAAATTAAGCTTACTTACTAAAAAAAAACTAAAAAAACTAAAAATCTTTTAATATGATAATGCTTATAATTAATTAATTAATCTTGTTTTGTTTTGTTTTTAACTATCGACTAATCTAACTCGATACGAATCGCTGTTGTATTATTATTATTGTTATTATATTGTTGTTATTTTTTTTATTATAACAAAAATATATTGTAAGTTTTGTGAAAAAATGTAAAAAATAAAATAAAAAAATAAAATAAAATAAAACACAATCGTGTAAGGCAGAAGTTTCTGTCTAACTACTAAATATCCAAACGAATTCGTTTACCAACAACTTTACTACACAATTGTTCATATAATATAAAGATATTTTTTAGATATTGCAACAATGTTATAATTTATTCTAGTTTTTAAACTTTTTTTTTCTTTTAAATTAAATACCAACAAAACCAATAAAAATATATAATAATGATACGAATGATATAAAATATGATAGTGTCGCTTTAAACTTACCTAAATTGTTATTATAACTATATTAAAATAAATAAACTAAGAGTTTAAAAATAATTATTAAAAATAAAAAGAAAAAAAAAAAAAGGGTTTTTTTTTACAAAGGAAGGAATAGTGAAAAACGAATATTTTTGAAGTTCTTTTCAAAAAAAAAAAAAATTCAATTGAATTTAATTTCAAAGTTTCAACCTTAATAGTTTAAATCGCATCTTGTACTCTTTGTTTGTTGTTCTGCAGAAAGAAGATTAAATCACCAATTCATTGATGTATTTTCTTTCTTCTGACCAATTTATAAATTTTTTTACTAATAATATATATAATCTATAAACTTTTTGGCAACAACATCAACATCAGCAAACAAACAACTTCTCATTATCTTTTGATGATAGCCACAAAAATAATTGTAAAACTTTTAAAAAAAAACAGATTTGATTCTTTGCTTTTGTTAACAAGACTAGATTATCACTTGTCTTTATCTTGTCTTTTCTTGTCTTAATTTTTAAACAACCTTTTTTGATTTTTTTTTTTACATTAAAAAAACAAATTAATTATTTAACTAGTTTGTTTTTTCGTTACTTTCAATTTTGAAGTTGATTTCAAGTGATATGATATGATGATGACGACGACTATTCACTTAAGTTAATCTATTTATGTTTTAAAACCGCGATGCCTATGAACATCGCACCACCACTCAAATATTAAACAAATTCAAGAAGATTTTTCTTTATTCTATCTTCCAAATTATTCTTTTGTTTTTTTAAAAAATTAAAAAAAATTATTAATTAAAAAAATTTGAGAACACAAACCAGGGAGAGTCAGTTAAAAAAATTGAATAATTTCAAAAAATTAATTTAATTATCAATTTTTTTTTTCATACAACAATTTATATAAATATATTCTTGTTCTTTGTTTGTTTCATTATTACAAATTTCTTGTTTTTCTTGTTTTTGTTGTTTTTCACTACACAAACCACACACACCAGTTCTTCTCAGATACAGTATATTTATATAAATATTTTGTTTGCATCATCTTATCAACAACAACAAAACAAAAACTACAAATAAATAAATATTATAATAATAATAATAATAATAATAAACAGCTGCCGTAATTATAAATATATTTTTAATATATTACTGTTTATAAATCAAACTTTATAATAAATTTTAATAATTTAAAATAATAATCTTTGATTTTTAAATATTTATTTAGTTTAGTTTATTTTATATTTTTATAGTAAAGTTTAGTTTGAATTATCGATTTAATTCAATATATATATATAGATCAAGATTCATTTAATATCGATCATAGTCATTTTTTTTAATAATAATTTTATAAAGTTATTAATGTTAAAATATATTAGTATTATTTAAATATAACAAATAATAATATATATAATAGTTTTTTTGTAAATATTTCATTTTTTTTTTAATTTAATATATATTTATAGTTTATTTTTAGTTGTTTTTTTGTTTATAATAGCGTAATATAATAATCTAAAATATGGAAATTGTCATTGATGGAATTGTATTACCAATCAAGTCAGGTAGTAAGAAATCACAAAAGAATGAACAACAACAACAACAGCAGCAACAACAAGCACAGCAGCAACAGGCATCACCTTCACAAGCTTCACAACATAAGCGAAATAAGAAGAAAGATAAAACATTGAGAAATAGAGCGAGAGCGAGAGCAAACTTGAATAATGCCGATACGATTCTGTTGTGTCACGACGACACTCCATCGAAAGATAAAATCAAACATGCATCGCTACTCAGTGCTCTTGAGCGCGCCATTGCCGCCGACGAAGACGAGGAGTTACTACTCGACTATATCAAGCACATGGACGTCTCTGATCCAGACAAGGAAAACGAGATTTTAGATTCAATGAAGTTTGGTGAGGATTTGGATTATATTTACAGTTCAATAAAGTCGAGAAAGGGACGAAAGAAACACAAAGTACAACAACCACAACAACCACAACAGCAACAACAACAATCATCATCACCACCTCAGCAACAATTGATCAATGTTTACTCCACTGGTAATCTTGTCAGTGATACATCGGACGAGTTTGACGACGACGACGAAATCGACCTCGATCTCGAAGCAATGTCCTACAAGAAGAACTGTAGATTGAAGAGAAGAAACCAATCATCCAATAAGTTGAAGCATAAAAAACAACAACAACAATCTCAGCAACAATCAAACACTCCAACACCTGTTGTTACTCCTTCAAAATTACTTTCATTTAAAAAGGCAGGTTTACTTAATAACGATGAAGAGTTAGAAGAAGAGCAACAACAACAAAAAGGAGGAGAAGTAGATGTTGTAAAACAACAACAAAAAGATAATGGTAATAGTGAGATGATGGTTAAGAATGTAGATTTGAATGCTTCATCATCTTCAATACCAAATACTGCTGCTTCAACGACAACGACTTCACCATCTACACCAAATAACTCTGTTAGAGCAAGACCTTATCCACTGGAAAAGAAGGTATCTTTCCAATTGATAAACGATGTCATTGTTTTGTCTTCATCGAGTGAGGAGCAAGAGGAGGATATAATAGAGGAGGAAGATGAGGACGAACAAGAAAGACAGGTAGTTCCGAACATCGATTCTTCAAACGAGTCACGTGATGCCGTAGTTGGTTACGATAACCAAGAGGAGTATGCTGATGAAAGTGATTGTATAATGGCTGGTGAGAGTGATTGCTATGATACCGACTTGGAGAAATCGAATGAAACCATTAAAACTACAACAAACTTGAACAACAGCAGCAACAATAATAATAATATCAATTTACATTCATTACATAATTTACACGGATTTAACAACAACAATAATAATAACAATAACAATAGTGCTTTACATAGTTTACATAATTTACATGGTTTTAATAATAATAATAGTAGTAGTTTACATAGTTTACACGGAATAAGTAATAATAATAATAATAGTAGTTTACATAGTTTACATAGTTTACATAGTTTGCATGGTTTTAATAATAGTAATGGTAGTAGTAATAATATTCATGGTATTCCGAGTTATTATCATTCACCAGCACCAATTTCGATGCCAATGCATTCATATTCGAATTCATCATCATCATCACATGTCTATCATGATGTAGACGATTCATCTTCATCAGAGTCGGAGGACGACGACAGAATCGTGTCGTGCTATGTCAATGGATCGGAGCCATCGGGTGACGAGAGTTGTTTCTTTACCAATCCGTTCAAGCAACAGACTCCACCCAAACAAAAGACACCGCCAGCTTTCACCTATAACAGTTTGAATTGCTATATGAAGCCGGACGACCACCAGGTCATCGATGTCTCTGACGACGACAACATAGTCGATATCTCCTCGGAGTCCGAGGAAGAGGAAGACCCAGAGGCAGAGAGAAAAGGATCATTTGCCGATTGGATTCGCAAGGTACACGGTTCATCCATCAACCTGCCATCAAAGGTTGCCAACAAGACACCAGAGTTGATCGATGTCGACAACTTTGAACCATTCATAAGAAAGCCAGGTAACAATCTCAACACTTACACTCCAACAACATCAACAACCACCACCACCACCACCACCACCATCAAAGATGAACCTTTCAATAATCATAACCATAGATTATTATTGAGTTCATCTGGTTCGATTAGAATAAGAGGTTATTAATCATAAACAATTTCATATCTCTCTTTCTCGTTATTATTTGTATATATTTTGTATATATCTATATTTATCTATTCAATATCTATATTTGTTTATTATTATTTATTATTTACTATTATAATTTAATTAGATTCACGTATAATTCCACCAAAACCAACATTGAATCCAATTATTGTTGAGTGTTTGAAGGATTGCTGTACTACTCAGTTGAGACAGGAGATCGAGCTGTTGTGTGATCGTGGACTCACTTTCTCAAGCTATTCATCTAAACAACTCTCTTCGATTGCCACTCTATTAGATAATTTAATTTTAAATAACTATTCACAGTAAGTATACAATGATGTTTTTTCCGACTTACAATCTTGTTTTTCATTAACCAACTGTTTTCTTTTCACACAGTGAGTTGCCACTCTGGCCAATGTCAAAAGTATCAATGAATCAAGTAGAATACCTAACAAGACAATATGGTATTTTCGAATGTGTAAAAAAGATTAGTAAGTAACATAACATAACTTTATAGGCTTAAAGTACAAAAAGTAACAATATGTTACTTCTCTGGTTTATTGATTTTTATTAACAATTCAACTTTTCAATTAAACAGAGGAAAGAAAGATTATATTTATTATTATTCATACGGTCACAAAGAAACCATCCATTCGTAAGAAGGAACGATATATTGAATCGGCACTCACAAACTATATGAATGCAACTCTGTTGAATTCGTATGATAATGTGATGTCGTCGCCATCCACCTCACCAAACAACAGTGGTTTCTTCCAATCACCAATGTCATCGTCGGGTGGAAGTGGAAAGAAGGCGAACAAGCATGAAAAGACAGTGCTCTACAACCGCAAGGGTAAGATCAGCCCTGGACAATCAAAGAAGCATCAGAGAGGACCAAACAAATTAAAGACTTCACCCAAATCCAACCATCATAACAATAGCAACAACAACGCCACCAAATCACCAAAACTTCAACATGGAGATGTGGTCGATCAGCATCGTGCACCCATACCCGACACCAATGTCGGTAATCTCTTACTAAAGAAAATGGGTTGGTCAGGTGGTGGATTGGGAGCTTCAGGTCAAGGTTTGGACACTCCTTTGCAGGCTGTAGTCAGAAAAGATCGTCTTGGTTTAGGATTGTAATTTAAGAATAATTTATAATAATAGTCAACTTTTTTTAATTTTTAATTTTTTTTTTTTTGGTTACAACTAAATTGGCAACTTCAAACTCAACATTACACCATCATTTTTTTTACCGGAACATATCTCTCTGTTCACAAATGAGTTTTAAATTTATTTTTAATAATAATAAACTAATATGACAATTCAATTGACTTTAACAAACCTCACATGTTTCTCTGTTTAAAAAAAAAAACAAAACAAAATAAATTATATATGATCACGACCGTCAAGTGATCATAATTATAATTACAAAGTATCAATCAGTTGAATTGAAAGTCAACCACACTTCTTTCTTTATTTTCTTTAATTTTTAAATATAAAAAAAAATTTATTCACTTAATGATTATCTTTGTTTTTCTGACCAGCAGAAACATCAGTTCAGTAACATCAGTAATAATTATATGATTGTTTTAAAAATGATGGGCAATAAATATTTATATTGACTTTTTAGTATAATAAATAAAACTTATAAGCAAAGATATAATAAAATAACCCCAACAATCTAATAACTTTAAAAACTTTTTTTTTTTTTCACAATAATATTTTATTATTATTTTAATATTCTAGTGTGGTTAATTTTAAAGTTCAATGTTATTCATAAAAACTCAAAGTTTATAGTAATAGAATCTAAAACTAATAAAAATAAATGTTGCAACAAACTAGGAGTTGTTAATAGATAGTGTGGTGCTTAGCTGAGTTTATTAGGAAAAGTTATAATTATCATGTTTGTTTCCTTTTTTATCATTAATACTCACATATATGTGTGTGTTTGTGGTGTTTACTTAAACATCGTCAGGTTAAGTTGTATAGTGTGGTGTGTAATAGTGTTATGTTATGTTGTGTTTTGTTGTGTTGTGAGTGGTGAGTGTGAGTGTGATTAGAAGATGAACTGAAGTCTATCAAGAGTATATACTCTCGATGTATGATATGACACAGAAGAAGAAGTAGCATATGACAATCAATCAATCAATCAAACAATCAATCTATTAATCAATAATAGTTCGTCATCATGAACAACATGATCAAATCCCATTCTTCAATATTTGAAAATAAAGAGTAAAACTTTAAAAGTACATTATTGGTATTACTGACTGTGTGTGTGTTTATGATTAAAGGAAATTAAATCAAATTAAAAAGAATCTAAAAATCGATGGTTATTGGTAACCTTTAAGAATTGTGTGTTTGTTATCAAAAAAAGGTCAACCCATTTTCTTATTATCACTTTTATTTATTTCGGTCGAATAATAAACTTCAACGTATCAATAAATCAAACAAACAATCGAGTTTATCCATTAAAAATCATGAATTTGGAAACCAAATGGCATCTGATAGTATTATGATATTCACGTTTTTAAAATAACAGAGGGGGAGTATTGCTGAACAATACTAGACTGGACTTTACTTGACATGACATTCGGCAATACAAATCAAACAACTATAAATATCAAGTTATTTCTTAGTTCATTTCAACAATCAATCAATTAAAAAACAAAATAAACAAATATCAAAAAAAAAGTATATAATTATTTCTTTTCAAATATATATTTATTATTACAATTATGAAAATATTTATTACCATATTATTATTGGTTTCCATTTTTGGAATGGCATTGGCCGGTGGTGACGATCAAGATAGAAGTCAAGGTAGTCATGGAAGCAAAGGAAATGGACACGGTAGTCACGGTGGTCACGGAGTGGGCTGGAATTTCTGTAGATATCCACTGCGTCAATTCTTTGAGGAAGCTAAAAATCAAAGTTGTATCACCATCTCTGGAAATGCTTTGTCAGACGATGGATCGCAAGTCTCATTCAAAGGAAACCTAAAGTACGATTTAAACTCGAGCTCCCTCGTCCAGTCTGGAAATATTGTGTTCCTCAGTAGTTCCGACTACCAGTGTAACGATCAAGTCAACTTGGTTCAGCCATTCCTCGTAAACAATGCAACTACCTTTTCAGAGTTTAGCATCGATAGAAATGGAGAGCTCACACTTGGAAATGACACTACCGATATTGAATGTCTTTTCAGAAAAGATATTTTCATCTTTGAATATGAAGATATTGCTTATACTTTTGTAGTAAGTATATTTATTTTACATTTAAATTTATAATAATAGTATTCTAATTAAATTACTTTTATATTTTAGTTGACTGTTAATAAGAATTGTTCAGCAACAAACTTTGGTGAACAATGTTCAACACCAACTCCAACACCAACTTCAACACCAACATCCTCACCAAATGTAACTGTTACTCCAACTCCAACCGAGACACCAACCTCGTCACCAAATGTAACTGTTACACCAACTGAAACACCAACATCATCTCCAAATGTAACTGTTACACCAACTCCAACTGAGACTCCAACATCATCTCCAAATGTAACTGTTACTCCAACTGAAACACCAACATCATCTCCAAATGTAACTGTTACACCAACTGAAACACCAACTTCCTCACCAAATGTAACTGTTACACCAACTGAAACACCAACTTCATCACCAAATATCACAGACACTCCAATCCCAACTGAGACACCAACTTCCTCACCAAATATCACAGACACTCCAATCCCAACTGAGACACCAACTTCATCACCAAATATCACAGACACTCCAATCCCAACTGAGACTCCAACTTCCTCACCAAATATCACAGATACTCCAATCCCAACAGAGACTCCAACACAAACACCTCTCCCTAGTGTTTCGATCAAACTCAATGCCACCAACTCATGGGCTGAAGGAAATGAAACCGCCACCCAATACAATGTCGATGTAACCAACAATGGTACATCAGATATTACTTCATTGACCTTGGTTGCTTCTAATTTCCAACCAACCAGTATCTGGAATATCGTTGCCAACGGTACTGAATATTCTTTGCCATCGAACCAAACCATTCAAGCAGGTGCCACCTACCAATGGGGATTCATCACCTTGGCCTCTACCGAACCAGAGTTTTCCGTCAAACAATGATAGTAGTAGCTATCATTCTTTCTAAATTATCTATACCTAATCTTATGTATTATAATGTAATTTTACATTAATTTATTATTATTTACATCAAAAGCATAACAATAACGACTCTAATCAATCAATCATATTATTATTCAATCAATATTATATAACTTTGAAAATAAAAATAAAAATACAAAAATATATATATTTTGAATCAAATCATTTGTTGTATTACTTATATGTATTATTTATATGATTTTATTATTATTATTGTTTTATTTACTTGAATTCTTATTGTGAATGATCTTTCCAAGAAGTGTTGGTTCTAATACTTTTGCTCTTTCCAAGTCACCCATGTAGTGAGTTGTTGTACCATGAAGTTTGAGATAGAACATCTGTTTCTGTGGTTCGACAACCTTGACGAGATCGTTCTTCTTGACTGGATTGAATTTGTTGATCGTCACAGTACGTGTAACCTTTGGATTACCGAATTGATTGTAGGTGACCAACTCGACAACACGTCCCTTATTGAATGCATATATTTGTGCAATTGATCTTCTTGCATGTTGTCTGTAATAATACAAATAATAAACAAAGTAAAGTAAAGCAAAGTAAAGTAAGTAAGTAATCAAGTTCTTTCTAATAGTATTAAAACAATAATCAATAATCATACCTAATGAAATAAAAAGTAGCAGCTACAAAAGCAGTACCTAAACCAAATGTAAAGAATGCCTCCAACTTTGATGCATCATCCTTTTGGAAGTACATATCGTAAACACCAACGAGTAGACCGATCTGAATGAAAGCAACCAATGAAATAGCTTTGAATTTAAGTGGTCTAATATCTTCGAAAATCAATATCTTGGCATCTGAAGCATAATCATGATTACCACTATTATTGTTATTATTACCGCTATTATTATTATTATTACTATTGTTATTACTATTGTTATTATTGCTATTATTTGATGATGAACTATATGATCTACTACTATTATTATTATTATTATTATTATTGTTATTTGAGTTGTTATTATTGTTTTTCTTAAATATTTGTTGTTGTTGTTGTGCATCGGTATGTTGCATTTGACATACACAGTTGGTACTATCAAAATTGTTTGTTATTAAGTTATTGTTACATTTGTTACTACCAAATGTATGCAGCATTCTCGATATCGATTGTGCGAACTGTGGAGAAAATAAAGTCGTTGGTTTCGTAGATGCATTGGAAATCTGAAAAGCACCTCGAAATACTACTGAATTCAAACTATAGCCATTCTTAAATAGATAATTTATATTTCTATTCATTTTCTTTATATTGTGTAAGTAAATACTGACATAAACAATGACACTTTAACAAAAAAGATGGTTGATGAAACTTTTTTTTTTTTACAAAACTGACCAAAATTTTGGACGTAATTTTTGTGGGGCAGACCATCGGTGATTCTTCAGTATTGATCAATTAAACCTTTTTTATAGATATATTATCTATTTTTTTATTTGTTTTTTATTTTTTATTTTTTGAAAAATGTTTAGAGTTTGTTAAAATCGCAATCTTACAATTACAATCTTCACTGTTTTTTCTTTTGAAAGCACAGAGCTGGAGAAGTGGAATCAGAGCTGACTGAACAGTAGCCAACTAAAAGAGCCATCCCCAGGTCAAAGAAGAGAATATAGTTCCACAGAATATTTGAGGCGGAGAGACGTCGAAAGAAAAATAACAAGAAAACAACTAAGCTTGGTAGATCAGAAGGAAAGTGGTAAAGATGACCAGAAACCGAAATCAGTTGATATTTACTAGTATCGACAAAGTTTTTTTGAAAGTGCATGTTATGTTTGAACAATCATTTAACTAGAACTATTTCACATGTGTCAGTGTCTAATAATCATAATATTTATTTTTGATCTCCAATTCAGATTTAACAGATACTGTCTCTTATTTTTATTTTGAGTTCTATTAACATATAGTAATTGTAATGATATAATATGAATTAATTCTAGATTTTACAAGTGAAACAATAATTGATAACCAAAAGAAAAACAAAAATGTAGATCAATTTTTAAAAACAAATTTACAAACATGTAAAAATTCTATTTTTTTTTTTGAAGATCAAACGTTTGATCATTAATGGTTATGAAGATGTTTATACAAAAGATATTTATATTCATTAAAAAATGTATAGTTCTGACTGCTGGTATAGCTTGTCTTTTGATAACACTTTCAAGTGTCATACATCTCATTGATTTCTTATCATGGTTTTCAGAGAGAACCGTTAATATCAACAACAATAACACTTCAATCGCTGTAAATAATAATAATGACAATAATAAAGAAACAACTACTACTACAAGTAATAGCAACAACACTACAAATGTAGATAATAATATAGATTTAGATAAACAATTGATAAATAATATAGTTTTAATTGTGTTGTTTATGTTGCAACATAGTTTGATGGCTACTGACATGGTGAAACAACTGTTTCAATCATCGTCTAGAGCTATCAATAGTCTACAGAGATCATTCTACCTTCTAGCGACATCGATTATGATTGAAGTGATCATTAAATTCTGGCAACCACTCGATTCATTGGTTGTATGGACGATCGATGATCTCAAACCATACTGTCTCACCATTAAATTCATAGCTACAATAATCATTCTCTTGGAATTCATCTCAATATTCGATATATTTGAATTCACAGGTTTAAAACAAGTAAGTAAAAAGATAGATAAATAGATAAGATAAATCATTTACCAATTATAATTATATTATTTAAAATAAAATAGATATATAATTATATAACCGATAAAGAGGATGTAGAACAACAACAACAACAACAACAACAATATAAAGATAATAATAATAAAGAAGGAAAGATATTAAAAAAGATGAGACATCCAACATTGATTGGATTTATGCTGTTGATGTGGTCAAGTCATAGAATGACAATCGATCTTCTAGCACTATGTATATTCTTTACAACGTATCTACTCATTGGTAACACACTCTCCAAGAAAGATTCAAAGTCAATAGTATCATCATGGTCCAGTCTATTTAAATTTAAAAACAATAAATCTATAAAACATTTATAAAAAAAACAATAATTATAAAACTATTTAATTATTTATAACAATATTATTATTATTATAAGAGCAAAGTAAAGTATAAACTTAAATCATCAAGTTATTATTTCTATCAACCAAACACTCACACACACTCATTCTTTCAGTGTTTAGATCTAAAGAAAATAAACAATGATCATTGATTGATTGATTTTAAAAATAAATAAAAAAATTGAAATTAATTTTTGAATGAGCACCAGAACTTTCATTTTAAGACCCATTAAATTTTCAAAACCAACTTGAATCACACATACAAAGTGGAATAGCTTATTATCATAAAAAAGGAATATGAAATAGTTGTTATTATTATTATTTATTGTTTATTTGTAAAAAGTTAGTTTATATTAATTAAAAAAGTTTAGTATTTTGTTTTGTTTTGTTTTGTTAAGTTTAGTTTAGTTTTGTTTAGTTTAGCAATATATATTTATAGATTCTTATTTATATTATAAAGAATAGAAAATAAAAGAGAAAGAAAGAAAGAATAAAAGAGAAAGAGAAAAAGAAAGAGAAAATAAGGAATAATGGATCCTTATGGAAGTTTGAGAAAGAAGGAAAAAGAAAGATCGAATAGTAGTGCTGCTTTCTCACCGATGGATACATTGACAAACCTTTTTCGTTCCAATAACAATATACAGCCGACACCTGTGAATTTTCAATCACCTCTAAATTCACCGCTACAATCACCACACAATTCATTCAACCAGTATCCTCAGACAACAACTTTGAATCAATCCGGTGGTGGTGGTGGACATCAACAGCTCTCACCAAGAACGGCAGCGGTATCACCACACTCCTCAGTCAACAACTTTGGTAGTCTCGGTAGTCTCGCAGCGAAACGCGGTGACTTTATAGTGTTCAGTGAGTTTAGCGAGCAGAAAGGACCGGTTCACTTGAATGTCGTGCCGGACATGCCGTCGTACGAGGGATTCGACCTCTCAAAGTACGTAGTCAAGATCATGTCTGTCGACTTTCAGAACAAGACCGATCTACGCACCTACGCTAAAGATGCACAGATGTTCTTTACACTGACATCGCAGTTGGAAGGCGGTGAACTCTATGCATACGTACACCATTTCTCACTGTTTGACATATATGCACGTGGTTATGTCAGACCACTGGTACTCAGTTACCTCACCAAAGATCCACACAAAGTAATGAAATCATTCGATAAGTTCCTAGCTAAATTCTCAAGGGTATTGTATCTGTTATTTATCATATCGAATCATAGCATAGCAATTCATAACTAACATATAATCTTAAAGGTAACCAACTTTTTGAAATCAAAGAATCATTTAACATTTGAAATTGAATTTAGACAAAGAATGAGAGATTTAGACTTCACCATTGAATCATACAAGAAGAATCAATCGATATCAGATAAAGAGAGAGATTCATATGTATGTATACATTGTACATTATACATGTTTGTTATATCTTGTTTGCAAAAGTACTAATAATAGTAATGTTGTTTAGATATCATTGATAAACGATGCTAAATCAGAGATGAAAGGGATTGAACAGTTGTTTGAGCAGGAGAAGAGATCTCGTGATCCAAATTACTGTGGTGGTGGTGGAGGTGGAGGTGTAGGTAATGGCGGTGTTGGCGGTGTTAATGGTTCAAACAATGGTGCACCACTTGGAATAGATCTTGATTCAATCGATGAGAATGACAATGATATTGATGATAGTGAGAACGATCGTGATAGCAATGGATTTAGAATGCAGTCGAAACAACATGGTAGCGGTAGTCGTGGTCACAGTCATGGACATCACAGCAGTCATCACAGTAGCAGTGGTCACGGACACAATCACTATACCGGCGCCAAGTTCAAACGTGGTACACTTCCACATGCACTGGAGTCGACATTCGGTACCATCTATTACAATGAGAATCTGGTGTTGAGCGGTGAACCGAAACTAATGGATTCACTACAAAAGACAACCTATCTCGATAAACCACTGCGATCGATCACCGAACTCTGCACACCCGAAGTAACAGAGTCATTCCTTCGTAAACTCGAGAAATGCTACAACTACTTCTCAAAGTCATCGCTTCAAATGGAGTTTGATAGAATCGATTCTCAATTATTTAGTATGTTAATAATATTAACTATAACAACACATTTTCAAATTTTAGTAATCTAACAACAACTCTACTATTTACTTAACAAACAGATCCACAAAGTACTTTATTAACAATTGGTCAAACATCGATTTTAAATTATTTCTTTACTGAAGAAGAAGCGTATGTTTAAAAATATCATAATATAATATATAATTTAAACAACTTTTTTATTAATTTATATTATTATCATTGTTATTATTATTATTATTATTATTATTATTATTATTATTAGTAAACAACAACAATATTATATAAAATCACAAAAGAAAGATATAAATAGATCTAAATTACATCGTTCTAAAATCAATGTTGGTACAATGAGCTCTTATTCTGGTTCCGATTTAAGTTCTTATCTATCTGTTGGATCAATGTAAGTTATATTACTTTTAAACAGTGTATTATATTTGGATTACTTATTAATATGTGGTTATTTATGATGAAATAATAGGAATGATCAATTTGGTGAATTTTCATTATCTCCACCAGATAACGATAATTATTTGAAAACATTGAATCACTTATCTCAAATGGCACAACAGAATCAACAGCAACAGCAACAATCCAATTCAACATCTTCATTACCATTTATTGGTAATAGTAGTAATCAACAAACAACATCTACATCTTTAAATAGTTCAACATCAATTCCACAACCTTCATCTAATTTAGTTAATCAACAACAACAACAACAACAAATACAACTACAACAACTAAACACAACAACTACTAATAATAATAATAATAATAGTAATGAAATTAAATTTGAATCGTTTTCAAATTTTATGTGGGGTGCGAATAAACCGTTATATGGTAAAGGATTGTTAAAGTTGGTTTATAAATATCCATGGATAAAACATGCGATCTACTCTCTCCTGAAAGGAAGAACTGTATTTGTAATCGGACAACAAGAAAAGAAAACACAGATACTCCAGATGATCTATGCACTCGCTATCTTTGTCGTGGGTTACTCAAAGACCAACAAGAAAGAAGCAATCGATCTTTGGCACACCGATTCTCTGAAACTATCAGACCTGTCTTGGTTGAAACTTGCTGGTATACCAAGAACAACCGATAAATCAAAAATACCAACCAATGTCAATGTAAGTATTATTGGAAAAGTAGTAGTAGTACTATAAATATAACTTGACTAATCACACTTTTACAACATCAATATTATATATAGTTGTATGTTAGTAAGATCGACTTGGATACAGAGGAATACACTGGACCTGTATATAATGTAAATAATGGTATCATCGATGAGATATTGTGTACAAAGAAACCTTGGAATGACAATGAGAGTCTGTATATCAGTCATATACAGACGGCATTCTTTGAGATCGCCATAAAGAGTTTCATACACTATCATGTTTGTTGTGCACAGCCTCAACCGCTTAGAAGCGATCATCCTCTGCTGAGTTCATCGATACTCATTAATCTACTGGCAAAACAACAGCAACAACAACAACAGCAGCAATTGTACTATTCAACTTCTGAGCTGCCTTCTCTTTCGTTGCCAGTTTGTTTAACACCACCGGACAGTGCATTCCAACAGCAGTCCATGTACAAATCAACATCTGCATTCGCCAGGAAGAAGCCAGCGGTCGTTCCAATCACAACTCGTTCCCTTTCAGAGTCACACCTGAAAGAACATCAACAACATCAACAACAGATGGTCAATTCGCATCACCATCTCATTCCATCGGTAACAGGCAGCTCACCAAGCGACCATCCAAGTGCACTCACTCAATCGTCATCCTCTACCATCTCCAACAACAGTAATAGTATAAATAACAACAATAATAATATTAATAGCAATAGCAATAATACTCATAACAACAATAATAATAATAGTAATCTAAATAACTCAATGAATCAAACAAACAATAATAATAATAATAACAATAATAACAATCTTAATAACTCTGTATCGGCATCACCTTCACCTTCACCTTCACCAATTCCAATTTTATCAAATTCCATCAATAACAACAATTCACAACCATCTCCAAAGCAGCAGTCCTCACATTCCTCTACTAGATATACAGATCCTAAAACACTTTTCAAACGATGGGATTTGCATCCTCAGGACCAGGTCATTGTCGAATCACTCTCTGAGATGATCAAAGAACAACAATACTTTGAAATATACAACTCGAAAGGACAAGAGATGTCACCCGGTATCAAATTAGATTTCTCACCATCCCTCCATGTCGATCGTAGAGGTAAAGAGAGAAAGATTGAATAAAAATATAAAATTATATTATAACAATAACAATAGCAATATTAATAATCAAACTTCCACATGTTCAACCTAACTATTCAATTTACAAAATTAAAAACTAAATATGTTTAATTTATATAAATCAAAAAACAAAACAACAAACAAACAAACAAACAAACCTACAAATTTGATAATATTAATGTTTGAATACAAAATTTATTTTAATAATCTAATATTATTATTTGTTTGTTTATTATTTATTTAAAACAGCTAATCTAAACTAACTAGATTCAAGAGCTCTTCATTCTTATCTTTCCATTTTATTCTAATTTATTTTATGGAAAATAAAATTGATTGAGATAGATGACGGTAAAACAAAACAAATTAAACTACAAAAAACATATTGGTAGTATATCATATCATTCTTTCTTACATCATTCATAAAACACTTTTCTAAATACTCTTTATATTCTTTCCTGATTGTAATGATACTAAAATGATACTCACACAAAAGTAAGTAAAACCAAATTTATTTATCTTCAATATGATCTCGGAATTCTATTATTTATATTAAAATGTGTTGTGTTTTTTTTTTTTTTTGTTGATATATTATAATATTTGTGTTGTATCATTTTTTTAACACTAACTAAATGATTACAACAGTTAACATTACATTTACATCACCAAACACCTAAAATAAAACTGAAACCACAAACACGGATGTCTTTGTCAAAACCAAAAAATATTTTTATAAAAACAGTTAAAATTTTAATCAAGAAACTATATGTTTATTATTTATAACTATCATTGATGGATCTTGACAATGCCAATCATATTCCATTTTGAATGGATTTAATCATTTTTAACACCGATAAATTTAATTGGATTGAAATGATCAATCATTCATCATCATTTCTCGAAAAAAATTGAAAAGTAATAGTTTTGTAAATATAAATTAGAAATGTACTACCTAAAATTAAATTTATACTTTATAGTCTTTGTATTTTTATTAAATTCTTATATAAATGCTACCAAATGTAAATAATGTTTATAAAAAAAAATAAATTAAATAAATACTGATTAATTTATTTAGTGAGTAGTACAATAGGTTACTATGGATTTGATACTAACGAACCTCTAGTATCCTATATCTTGATTGAACTCGATTCCGAGATTGAAGATGATTCCAATTATCATATTTTATTAAATCAGACAGAATGTTCTCAAATAACCAAACAAGATATATTTCCTAAAAATTCCCTTGAATGTAAAATAGAAAAAGTATTTCAAGATTCAAATTACTCTATTGTTATACAATATAAAGAGGAAACTATTATCGATGATAAAATCTATTTAACTAGAAGTAAGTAAACATATTTTTTATTTTTTGAAAATATAGAACTTTAAATATTTATAAAAAAAAAAATGATAAAAATACAGAATTACCTTATATTTCTAAAGTTGAACAAAACGAAGATAGTCTGTTGATATTTGGAAATTTCTCAAATCTAAATCCAAAGAACTTTACTGTTTCGTTGTGTAATACTCTGCCAGAGGATAAAGTAAAAAGTATCAATGATTCATTGATTGTCGCACCAATGTTTGAAGACACTGAGAATTATAGATGTGGTGTTGTTGTGCAAGAATCTTTCAGATTCAATACTGACTATCTTGTGATAAATGAAGAGCCGTGGCAAGAAGGGGCAAATGTAGGTCATATAAATATTACAATCATCTTTGCTGTTATATGTGGTATTATCGGATTGATCACAATCTTTGTTATAGCAACATTCACTGTTATAAAATTGAAACAACACAAAAAAAGGAGAGAGGACAAAATGAACAAGAAAGTAACAGTAACAAATGATGGTGCTTAAATAAAAATAAATAGTTCAACATTCTTTTTTTTTATGTGACCCTTTTTTATTTGTTTCATTTCATCGAAAAACAGAATTTTTTTTGCAAACATCTTTGATTGTATATCGTATTATCCGAAAGATATCTAATTACTGAATTGTTATCTATATGTTGAGTAAGTCTATCGATTGGGTCGTTAGTAGTAAGCTTGAAATCAATATTGTTCTCTTTTAATGTTGGTATAAATTCATCGAGGAAATCGATTAAAAAATCAAGATCCTCCATTCCAAATGATTCATTAATGATTAATATTGATTTTAGTGTCTTTGAATGGTAATTCAACAGCGATGATAGGAAGTCTATGTTGTTATAGTCAGGGCGACTATTCCAATCTTTTCGCATGTCAATTGTGAATCGTTCGATGCCATGTCCATCGATATTCGGTGTGCTAACAAACAGATCTTTCAGAAAATTACTGTAGTTTTCTTCGAATCCATGATACCCTAAAACAATGATCTCTTTGAGGTTTGGCATTGGTGGTGGACGTATTAAGTATCCATCCTTAATAATTGCTGAACGGTAATCTTCCTCAATGAACCTGATGACGTAGTAATCAATGTATATATCTTCCGATCTAGAAACTCCACCATTGATCGAATGATCATATTCATCTGATTCCATTACGAATGTTTCAACTCTTGACAACAATTGATTGGCATATTCTATGCCTTGATCATATGGAATGTATTTAATTGATTCATAATCGAAATACAGTGGTGATGATTTGATTAAGTTGTATTCACTTTGGTTGTTGATATCGATAAATGAATTCCAATAGAATAGATTATTGTTGATGATCTTTGAAACAACTCTGAAGAGTTGTTTCGATATTAATGCAAAATTCATTACATTTTCGCCATCTATGAGATAAGGTATAAAGAATAGCAGATTTTTGAATTTATAGTGCCGAGAGGTTCTTTCATACTTATCATTATCAAAGGCAACAAAATTTGAAATGATTTTGCAAAGTAATATATCTGATAATTTAGAAATACTATTGTCGGTTGTTATTGTATCTGTTGTTTCTGTTTTTGTTGTTATTAATGTTGTTGCTGTTGTTGTTGATGTTTCTTCTCTTATTGATTCAACATTATCATCTTCTTCTTCATCAATACTCTTGTCATTATAAACGATATCATAATGATTATTATAGGTGAAAAAGTCAAGTGGTTCCCTCCTCTCTTTTTCGAATCTATCACAAACTCTCGATATCTTTGATTTCAATTGTGTTTCATCTGATTCATTCAACTCTTTAAAGAAAGTGTTGAACTTAATAGCAAACTATTAGTATTATTAAATAAATAAAGATTAATTGTAATTCAATACATACTCTATAATCTTTGACAATCTTGTAATAAATCTACCTCCTGTTGCATTATTACCTTGATATTGATTAATCTCATCAAACATCCTCTTTTCTGAATTCATTGCTATTAATTTCTATTTATCTATGAAAACACAAAAGCCAAAATATTTATTTTTTGAATATGTTTCATTCCATTGAAAAACAGAAGAAAAATATTAAAATTTGAGTGGTTGGAGTTTTTTTTTTTAATTAAATTAATTATAATTGACTATTACTATATGTTGGTTGGTGTATATTATTGATGTTGATTGATAGGTATTGACATTTCCTTGGCGGCTACCTTATTGTCCTTAGACGGACAACACCATCAGAGGAAAGAGAATGTGTCCTCCAAAAATCTACAATCAATCCAAAGTTGAACTTTATTTTGCTGACCAGACTCCACCACTTGTTATTACACCAAAATTCGTTTCCAGCCCTGTGATTATCTTTGAATTTAATCGAAGCATTGTACAGCCAAACAGCCCACTCCAAGTTTAAATCTCATATCCATTCCCAACCGATAATATCCAATCCAATCTCTTAACGTTGACATATCGAAAAAATAGACTTAAACCACCCATTCAACCAAGATTGTGTCCATCCAACAATCAATCTTTGATATGCTCAGGAAAAGGAAGATGCGAAAGTTCCTGCATTTATTTCGGTGATTCAGTTAGTTTAGATTGTTCGGACATAAGTTTAAATAATACAGTTGTCTCTATTGACGAAGTTAGACCAGCTTCTAATTCTACATTTGGCTTGTTTTCATTTGGAATATCAATTGTTGAAATTCAAGAGTTGAAAACCAACAAAAACAACAACAACTACACAATCATCGGAAGATACCCTCTTTCGGAATAGTTTGCATTTCACAAATGAATCTGATGATTCTTCTCTTTCATATAAATTCTCTGCTGTCTTTAGAAATACTACTTCAACTCCAAGTGTTGTGATAGCCAGAGTAAGATATTTCTTCAAGGACACTATCATATGGTTTGGAGGTCAAACTTTCACAATGAGGGCAGGATCAGTCAAATACAGGGTAACAATTACCCAATATGATTTTGAAAACCAACTAAATAGACTAAGAGTTCTATTTAGAATGATACAAGTATGGATGATGAAAAATTACAATCTGATAGATTCCCAAATGAACATGGAAGCATTGAATGGATTAAAATTCCAATTTTAAATCAAGAAATCCCATCTTCATCATCTTCTTCAAAAAATAATAATTCATCCAATCCTCACTGTAAAAACAAATCATTTGAATGGTGGAAGATATTCCTTATTGTTATTGGAGTTGCAGTTGGTGTTGGTATTGCTGGTATCTCAATTTTCAGAATTCGCCACAAAAGACAGAAAAATCTTAAAAATCATGATAAAATAGAAATGTAAGGTGTCAGGGAATAAATAATCTTTTCATAAATAATTATTGCTATTTTTTTTAAAAAGTAGAATTATTTTATTGAATGTTTTTTATCTTAATAATAAAATAAAATTATTATAAAAGATCTTAAGAATAATAAAATGTTACTGACCTTAATTTTTTTTTTTGAAGATCAAAGTTTTTTTTTCCAAAAGTCGTCTGCAGATTAAAAAAAAGGAAGTTAATGTGATCGATTATTGATTGTGACTCAAAATGATTAATAATTGTTACAGATATCTATTCTTAATATATTTATTATGTGTTATTATAGTAAAAGGAGATGAGATAGAATCAACAACAACAACCAATACAATAGAGACCACAGGTTACTATGGAATACTTCGGTCACCGAATCACGATGATTGCTCGATAGTCAACGTCGGATATCAGTGGAATTCATTAGAGTTTAGCAAATACACTGTTAAAATAGATGACCACGACTGTATCATATATGGATCGTATCACCAAAAGTCAAATTCCACCATAAAGTGTCTAGTCAACCGAGTATCCCTTAACAACTCCAACTACAACGTCGAAATTCACTTTAAAAAAGATTTATTAAGTACTCAATGGGTATATTTCAATAAGAGTATATATTAATTAGACTATAAAACTATTTAAAACAAGTATTGATATTTATATCTATCTATTTATCTATGTATCAATCTCATTTAGAACTACCATATATTTCAAGTGTCACAATAGATAATCAAGATATGATAATCAGTGGTAACTTTTCAAATGTGGACCCAAAGAACTTTACAATTCAGACATGCTCTACGATTAAGGGTGAGCGTTATATAAAGAGTTTCAGTGAATCTATGATTGTTGCACCAATCAAGAACGAAACCGATGCATTCAAGTGTAACATACAGATCGATGATTCATTCGAATACTACTCAGGCTACCTGCTCGAGCAGACCGGTGATGAAAGTGCAGAAGTAGCCACTGAAATTGCTATTATTGTCGGTATATTCCTCAGTTTTGTTGGTACTATCATCTATGTGATATACATTATTCTTCGATTCATCATAAGATTATTCACAGGAAGTAGTGGAGATAATACTAAAAGCACAACAACAACGACAACAGAGCAACAACAAGATAAGATAAAGATTCAATAATAACAAATATTTATAATTAGTTATTTTTAGTAAAAAAAAAACTTTGTTAAGTAATTCATTGTTATTCACTTTTTAATACGATCACCAACAAATGAGTGGTGTGTTCCTCCAAACCATTGCAGTAACACACAAACTCCAATAATAATGTTTTGAACATATATAATTCATATGATGTTATATAAACATATAATTAATGATAAAACTTGTATTTTCTATTTTCTTGTCTGTTCTTGTCCGAGACATCTCATTCACCCGACCAATCAACACCTTTATATTTACATTTATTTATTAATAAAGTTTCCTTTTTAAAACATTTTTATACATTAATTTAATATAGCAAATGTAATATTTGATTATATATATGTGAATGAGGTAAGTTCATTTACCTATTTATTGAATAACAGAATAGATAAGATAAAAGTTAATTTTTAAGATTATTAATAATGGTAACAACTAAAAATATAATACCATTAATTTCAATAATTTTTGCTTGGTGCTTTATAATTGTTCATTGTAATTCTAATTCTAAAAGTATGTAACCAATTGTTTGCCACCAGCTATCCAGATGTCTTAGTAACAAACAATGTACAACTTTTTTTTTAGTACTTAACGAAAAGGGTGAATATGGAACACAAAATACGACTAATGGAGTAGTAACAATTGTTGTATTAAGTTTTAATTATAATTTTTCGACCTTCCCAAGACAAATTCTACATATTAGTATAAATAGCAGAGATTGTATTCATTCCATTCAAAATGAATCAGTGGTAACATGTATTTTACAAGACCAATTGAATGAAAAACAAAAAATATAGCATCTATATATCTGGTCTAAATGAAAGTGTGATTACTGATACCATATATTTATCAAAGAGTAAATAATATCAAAGATAATCTAATATTTAATATTTATATTAACTTTTTTTCATTTCCGAAAGGAATACCTTTTATTTCTGGTACTGAAAGGCTTGATGGAAAGATAATAGTGACCGGTAACTTTTCAAATGTGAATCCAAAGAACTATACTCTTAGAGGTTGTAAAGATTTCCAAGCAAAGGAGGTGGAAAGCATCAATGAGACAACCATCATTATTCGCACCAAACGTTGGCCTGATCATCGATTTAATTGCGGTCTCACTATAGATAATTCCTTCTACTATGTCACACAACATAACAAAATCGATGAAAAATCAAATCTATTAAGTGTTATTCTCGTTGTTTGTGTGATTGGAGTCATTACTATTACTGCACTAGTAGTCACCATTGTAGTGGTTGTTAAATGTAAAAGAAGTAGAAACAACAAATCACATACAAGACAAACTTCAAAGACTCAACATTATAATTATACAACTCTAGATGAATGATTTAAATTAGCTATCTATCGATAAATATAAAAATAATACTAAAAAAGATTTTAATTGTTTACAATATTTTTTTATTTTCTTTTCTTTTTCTTAGATTTTTTTTTTTTTTAATTATTTTTATTTTAGATTAATTTATTTAATAGCAATAAATATATAGAGATATAATATTATGACAAGTAATAATAGTAGTAATATTAATGAATCTGAATCTAATGATTCAAATTGTTCTATTTGTCTATCAGAGATTGAGAATGAAACCAAAGTAATCATTTGTAATCATCATTTTTGGTAAGAAACGACTTGATGACTACTATCATCTACTCTTCTAAATATCTACTCAATTGTTATACTTATTGTATATTATTGATTAGTTTAAAATGTATTCAAGGCTGGATAAAGAATAAGATAGAATGTCCTCTTTGTAAATCTGGTATGTGTAGCAGTTGTTGTTAAAAACAAAACTTTAAAGTAATCGATTGTAAAGAATGATAATTATCGGTATACTAATAGATAAGAATCTTAAAATTAAATATAGAAATCATACAATTATATATAGTATCGGAAAATAAATATATAGATGTAGAACCACCGGCTAAACCACACCCTAGTAAAGTGGAAGCGGATCTTGCATGTCTCGATCACAGTTACTTTGCTGAGGAGATAAATAAATTGATTGTAATGTCACAGGCTATCGCCTTCAAAGTTGAGAATACACCGAGTATAAATCAAACAACCAAAGTATATGTTAATAACAATAATCAACATGATCTGACGTTGTTGGTATCGATTGATGAAACACTGCATCGATTGCACGGCGATATGGAAGCACTGACACCTTTTGACCCACAGTCGATGCTCTCTGAGATCTACTCGATAGAGACAACACTCAAAGATCTCGATCGTATTTATAACAACTACAACAGACAGGCCTCCATTCAGAAACAACAAAACAACAGTAGATACACACCATCTTCATCATCTTCGAAACTGCGGTCAAACAACAACAGCAACGACGATGATGACGACGATTATCAAGATGACTACTTTGAAGACAATGATAGATATTATGAATCTGTTGATGATGGTAAACAACAAAGATACGCAAAATCAAAATAAAAAGAAATAAGAGATCAATATATATATATATATATATATAAGAATATAACATATCTATATATTTAATATGTATAATAATGTTTATTATATCGCTAACTACTAATCTATTTATAAATAACTATATATTGCCGGGTCACCTGTATTAAGATGACAAATGTTTTTAAAAAAAATTGGTTGGTTTGTGTGTGTTGTTAAAGTAAATAGTTGTTGTTTATGATAACTATTACTTGATTTTGAATGATATGATTTGATTTAGTATGAATTCAATGGTTTGAAGTTGAGAGTGATATGATCACAATAGTCGATTGCACCACTTGAGTAACCACCATAGAGGTAGACTTGATTGTTGATGATCGATGCCGATGCCATGTCTCTTGGTCTTGGATCTTCAGAGTTGTCGGGATTCTGTAGTTTGTGCCAACGCATTGCAACAGTATCGAGTGCATACGTTGTGTTGGTGACACGGTTGGTCTTGTGACAGCCACCACCAAACAACATGAGATAACGGCCGTACACAAACGACGAACAGAAAGTGCTGGTCACTGGTAGGTCACCGTTGATCGTTGGTTTACTCCAGTAGTTGGTTTCGGGATCGTAGATGTAGACGTCGTTGAAGCGTTTGGCCCATCCACCATTTGGACTCCAAACACCGCCACCAAATAGATAGATCTTTCCATCGATTGTCTCCATAGCGTGTCCACCACGACCACACGGCAACTCACCTGTGGCGTTGCTTACGCGGTGCCAACAGAGTGTCTTTGTATCCAAATAGAAAAAGTCATCCAAAACACGATACTGTCCGTCGTCGGCAGTGTTATTACCACTGAATATATAGTAGCGATTGCCAACGACAGCACTGGTATGATTGGATCTTGGCTCAGGAATATCTCCACTTACCATTGATTGATTTATATTACACCATCTCTTTGATTCTATAGAAATGATTATCACAATCAAAAGATTAGAAATTTGATTTGATTGGTTGTTTATATTGTTGTTCATATATTTTAATACTACTTACCAAGATTATATATTGCAAGGTTATAATAGGTTCCGGCACCGTTGAAACCACCGAAAATGAAAACTTTATTCTTGATTACGCGAGAAGTGTGTCTAGAGAAATTTGGAATGTCACCTTTCACTGAAGGTGAGTTGTAGGTATTGGTTTTAGTGTTGTAATATATGATTTCACTAAAACGTTTGGTATTTGTTTCTTGACCACCTATGAAAATTACATAGTGTTTATATGTTATGGAAGTATGTTTATATCTCTTTGTTGGTACACTTCCAGTTGAATTACTATTTGATTTCCATATTAGTGCATCTTTAAAGACAAAAAGAAGAGAAAATAGAAAAAGAAAAAGAAATTTTAAAAATTAATATTATGGATAGAAACAAACAAATTAAATATACTTTACCTTTTGATGTTAAATTTGATTTAGTTTGATAATATTGTATTAAATTAAAATGTAAATTTGATTTTATATAGGTTGGTAACTCCCATCCAGTGATTTGGAATAGGTTGATCCAGAGAAGTCGGTCATGTGTAAAACTGAACATCTCTTTTGAACATTCAGACAGTGAAATCAAATCTTTATACGATAGAAATGAGATGATGTGCATCTTTACCTCTACACCAAGTTCGTTGAAGCACTCGAATCCACTTTGATCGACTGCTCCTCCTTCGCAATCGTCAAGCTCTCCACCAAGCGACAGTGGTTTCATCATACCGATATCACAGTCAAGTGAAAAAGAATCGATATCACCACAGAGAGAAGCAGCAGGTCTACTGCCACTACCATCCAAAGAGAATGAATAGAACTCCGGGGAATTGATTTTCTTTGTCAAACCAATAAGTTGCGGACTTGCAGGAACCAAAATCGGACTGGTACAAGGTGAGGTCTTCTTTCTTAATTTCGACAGAATTGATTTCATTTTTTCAGTGTGTTATATTGTTATATTTATAAATTTAAAATAATAAATATATTGGTATATATATAGAAATAATCAAGTTGTTAGAATTAAAAAAATATTTAAAAAAGATATATATATGTTTTGGATTTTTATATTATAAATATAGTTTTATATATATAGATAAGATATATTAAACTTGTTGGAGATTGAATAAATAATTAAATGGAAAAGAGTTAAGTAACTTTCTTTTTGAACTTTTACGATCAAATAAACGAGTCTTTTTATAATGATTGTTTTTAAGCAGTGGCGTCCAGTAAATTAAGAGCAAAGAGCAAAGACAACCATCACGATTTTTTTTACCAACAACAAAATAAAACCCACCTTTAGTGTTTTTGAATATTTAAAAAGTGATGATACCTAAATCATTGTTTTATCCCCTTTTGTCTAGATTCACAGTTGGGTCATTCAAAAATTTGGTTAGGTGGATAAGGCTTGATTTGATATAAAGGAAAGTAGACACTAACACACCACAGATACACTCCCAACAAACAAAAGTATAAATTGTTTATGGGGCATGAAGTTAATTTTAATGTACGTAGAGTAATTGAAAACCTGTGTGTTTATGTGTGTGTGTGTGTGTGTACTTTCTCTGTGTGTTGTGTGTGATTGTTTTTTGAATGATGATGTTGATGGTTCATCATAGAATAACCACCAAAACCATATTAAAACCATTTTTTTAAAAAAAGAAAAAACAATTTCTTTTTAGCTAGAAAAATCGAATCTCTCACACACTTTTGCAAATAAATTAAATTTAATCGATTTTGGTTGTCCGTTATTGAACAACTTTTAATTAAAAAAAGTGATTTTTGATGTTCTCTGGAAACTTGTTTTTTACTTTTTTGGTTAAGGAACACACTACCACCTGATAACAGAAACACACCTACATTTGATTATTTTTGAATTTGAACCCAAATTATATTTTTTTTTTTTTGATGTCAATGGTCTTTATGTGTCGTTCCCCAATGAACTCAATTTATTGTTGGCTAAAATCGACTAATTTTAAACATGAATTCAAATTGGGTTTAATATTAAGTGTCCAGGTTACATCACATTGTCTATGCTAAGAATATCTTTTTCCTAAAAATAACATTTCCTTACCAAACACCCACACCCCAACCCTCACAACAATAAAACAATACTCAATGTTTTATATTATTCAAGCGATATGCAATGATCAAATATTAGAATAGTAATTTTCATTTTTAATGTTGTTTATCGATCCTTCGCAAATTGTTTAAACAAAAAAAAAATTTCTATTATTCATCCAGGTAAAAATAAGAATTTTATTCTACAGTCATTTTATTAATAGTATGTTATTGCTTACCTAATAATAAAAAAGTATCTACAACTATTTTATTATCTTCTTGCAATTATTAACTTATTTTTTTTCAAAAATATCAAAAGAAGATATTCTTTTACTTTTGGGAGAATGGACTGGCCAGGAAACAATGAAGAACCGGTAAAAGATAGGAAATCTTATAAGAATAAAACAAGGTGGACAGATGATCCACTTCAAAGAGTAGTTGTTCTATAAATATGATCAGAAACAACGTTGATATTTAAGTATTTTCACCAACCTTTGAACTTTTAATAAAAAGTTGTTCTAACACATATTATTTTCTTCTTTTGATATTTAAATCTTTAATCTCAAGTCATCTCATCCCATCAATACCAATCCATGGAGTGAGCATCATCATCACAATAACGTGTGGTTAAAAAATTCCAAAGGGTGATGATGGACCATCAACCAAACACACAACCAAACAAACAATTTGAAAAAAATCTTTGCTCCTGCCCATATGCTTGTTACTCATTTTCATCTCATATCATCTGAAATGATGATTTATTTCAACATTCAAATACCTTGAAAGAGTATTGTAAAAGACAAATACTTTAAAAAAAAAACATTAAAAAAAAAGCTATCATGAAACCCCACACAAATTAAATGTATACACCCACCACCAATATTTTAACAAAAAATTATTATGATCTCCCACCACATTGCTTCCAAAATCACAATAACGATCTCTTATCATTTCCAAAAAACATTGATATTGATATTATTTGTTCAATGTCTCTCATGTACTGATCATTAGATAAGAGATTATGTTTTGTTTTGATAGATCCATTAACTGTTTCGAATATTGGTCCGTCCAATAGAATGTGGCAGTTGGTTTTGATGGGTTAAGATAATATTATCTCTTAATACGATTAACGAATCTGAGCTCGGTGGTTATCTCCAAACAAACGAAAAAGTTTAGATAAAATTAATTTCCAATCAGTTGTCATTTGAAATGACGAATTTCTTTCCTAAACAAAACCCATTCTTTGATTGCTACTCTCATGGATAGAAATATCATTGTTTGTTCTATAATTATCTTTGAAAAACAAAAAAAAAAACCGATCAGAATTAATTGTTAACAATTATCTTCAACAAACAAACATCATCCATCATCATTATCATCGAATAAGTGTTCAATAACAAAAAAAATAAAAAATAAAAACAATAATATTCTATATTTTTATTTATTTTTATTTTTATATCAACAAACTTGCTAGAATGTTGTTGAACTAACTTGTTTAACAAAGTTTTCTTTTATTTCATTATCACAAATATCTTATTTTATTTAATAAATATTAATACTGATGTTAAACCAAATTATTTAATTTTGAAAAAAGAGTAGCTATTCATAGATAACTTATTTATTGAGATTTGATTGTGTTTGTTGGGTCGATCCACAAAAAAAACACCCAAAAAAATTGATATAAATTATTAATTTTTTTATAATAAGATGTGTTAACAATCAAGTTGTTTTTTACAAAAACATTCATAATCAAATATAATTATTTTACAATCAAATATTTTATCGATAAAAATTTCTTTTTTGCTTGCTATTAGATTAGATTTTAGACATTAATTACTAACCAATAAACAAAAAAACAACCAAAATAATAACCTGCAACAAAATTCCAGTATTTTAGTACTAAAAAAACCACCCAAAATAACCTAATATTAGCGAAAAAAAAAAAAATATAATAAATAAAAAAAAATAAGAACAAAAAAAAAAAAAAAAGTACAATAAAAATAAAAATAAGTAGTAATAAAAAAAACCAAAAAAAAAAAAAAAACAAAACAAAGAAACAAAAATCATAACATTTTAATTAATTGTTTGAATCACTGCTGACCCTCTTTATTTTCAATTATTTATTATATTATTGTCGTTCCATCTGTAGGTCTAGCATTTTATATTCTCCTACAAAAATATAATAATAATAATAATAATAGTAATAGTAATAGTAATAACAATACAACTGTAAATTTAAAGAAAGAGAAAGAGGAAGAAGAAGTTGAAGAATTAGATAAAGATAAAAGATATCTAAATCTTGATAATCAAGAATATATAAAAAAGTTATATAATCTCGACAATAAGGCGGTTGAAGATATGCGTTTTTGACAAAGAAGAAACCAACGCCACAACCTGTCACTAGTAGTGGTGCACCGGCAACCGGTGGTAATCCGGTGGTAGTTTCTACTGCATCGGTACATCCACCAAACTCACCGGGATTCGCACCTCGCCAATGCTCGTTCAAAAAGTTTGGTTGTATGACCTATCTGCACTCCAAGGCCGAGCAGGAAGCACATCTTCGCGATGACTCACAGGCTCACTTGCAGTTGGTCGTCGAGAAGTTTGACCACCAATTCGATCTACACACGCAGCTGATGGCGCATTTCACTCAGCAGATGGAGGATCAACTCGATCGTACCATGAAAGTGGTGAAGAATCACATGGACAGCTTCGGTGGACAGCTGCAAACCAAGATCGACGAGGGCGTCGACAAGTGTATGACTTTTGCAAAGAAGGTCGAGCAGCAACAACAACAGCTGGCAAAGCGTCTCATCACTCAGCAGCAGATAAAGTCGCCGCAATCCGCCAGTAATTTGAGCAAGTTGATCGGTGGCGGCGCCACTGGACAGGAGGATGCCGACGGAGCGTCTTCTTTGGATCTCACCCAATGGCAACAAAAGATAAAGAAAGAGATTAGCGATCTCACAGAGGAGTCTATTCAGAAGCTGGAGAACAAGTTTGAAAAGACGTTGGGCAAGGTCGACAAGATCGAGTTGGACGTCGCCGCCAAGATTGACCGAAAGACAATGACGGCGACACTCGAAGAGTCGTTCGTCAAGCGTACCGAAGTCATTGAGACAATGATCATCAAGAAGATCGAAGATAAAGACAAGCGTCGTACTGAGCAACAGACACTCGCTATTGAAACCAAGTTGGATGCAGTCCGTGACAAGATCAAAACAATCGAAACACAATGTATGGATGTTACAGCTGATGTTAGAAAATTGAAATTGGAAAACAGCAGCAGCAGCGGCAGTGGAGTTGTAACTAGTTCTGCAAGTGTAGGCGGTGGAAAGATCAATACTCCAACATCGTCGCCAACCTTTAACAAGTCAGAGGTGTTGGATGAAATCAAAAAGGTGGAACAACAGTTGAATGAAAAGATTGTAAAGAACGAACAGAAGATGCTCACCGATATCAAGACTACACAGACAGAGATTGGCGAGTTGCAACGCAAGATCAAGTCAACACAGTCCGACGTTGCCGACACACGTGACCAGATCGAGAAGCAAGCCACCAAGGTGAAGCAATTCGAAGATGACCTGAGAAAGAGTGACTCGCTGTTGCTGTTGGTTCAGAACAACCTGAAGAAACACAACGAGATCTTTGATCGTGAACGTGAGCGTGAGCAAGAGCGTCAGAAACTACAGGAGGTCGTCAAGCGTTTGGAAGCCAACCAAAAGAAGATCGAGGCAGAGATTGCCGAGGGAAATGAACAAGTCGAACGTGTCCTCAGAGAGGAAGCAGCAGGAAATCACTCACCATCGCCATCACCCTCACCATCACCATCGCCATCCGTCACCAAATCACCACTCATCTCCAAACGTTCATCGGTTGTACTCTCACCATCCAACACCTCTACATCGCCGGCATCAACATCGGGTGTCACCTCATCCTCCACAACATCATCTACACCACCCAAAACAAACAATGACATCTCCAACGAAGACGGTGAAAATGGTATTCTCTGGGAGTACGATCCATATATTGAGAAATGGATAAGATTATCAATTAAAGTAAGTTAGTAAAGTTGGCAATAATTGTAATAGCTTGATATTAATATATGTTTTTATATCAGTTGAAAATTGATAGAAAACCATTTGCAGAGGGAGCTCTAAGACAAGCATATCACACTGTTTCTTTGGGTATTTTCGATAGTAATCTTCCGGCTTTGAGTGCCAAGCATACATTCCCAAGTACAGATTTGATTGCTGGAAATAGCAATGGTAATGAAGCTGTCAATCAACTAAAGTCTGGCACCAAGTTTGTTCTAAAGTTGTACAAGAAGGAAGCTGAACATCAGACCAGTCGTGAGTTGTATTTCGAGGATGTAAAGATGCAGCTTGTTTGCCGTGATTGGGGACATCGTTTCAACCAGAAGAATCCACCAAAGAAGATTGAATTCCTGATGTCTTGGGTGGTCGAGTTGACCGATCGTACCGGAAGCAATGGACAACCCGTTCTTTGCAGTATCGAACCACTGTTGGTCGGTGAATTCAAAAAGAACAACTCCAACTATGGTGCCGTTCTCAATAACCGTTCAACTCCACAGGCATTCTCACATTTCACATATGAGAACTCGAACAAGCAGATGATCATTGTCGACATTCAGGGTGTCGACGATCTCTACACAGATCCACAGATTCACACTAACGACGGTAAGGGATTCGGTCTTGGTAATCTCGGAAAGACTGGAATCAACAAGTTCATTACCACTCACAAGTGCAATGCAGTGTGTGCACTGCTCGATTTGGATGTCAAACTCGGTGGTAGCAGCTTGAGTACAAAGGGACAGTTGAAAGGAACCATGGTTATGCCAGACATCATCAGTGAGTTGGATCCAAGCTCAGAGATGGTGGTGCGTGTCGGTGCACACGAGCTCGAGAAGCCAGACTTTGCTCGCAAGGAGTTGAAGTGCGTCAATACCGTGCAGTCGTTCCGTGAGACAATCAATTGCATCTACTTCTTTGAGAACGAGCGTTACCTCTGTGCGGGATACGGTGACGGTGTGCTCAGAGTTTTCGATATTGAAAACAACTGGAGCTGTCTACACACTATCTACGGACATCGTAAGCCAGTGAGTTCGGTCTGCTCCAACTCACAGTATCTCTTCACATCGTCGCCTGATCAAACCATCAAGATTCACACCTTGAAGAACACCAGCAGTGTTCTCCAGACCCTGATCGGACACACCGGTGAAGTTTCATGTATTCGCGCCAACGAGAAGTATCTATTCTCTTGCAGCTACGACAAGACCATCAAGGTCTGGGATTTGAACACTTTCCGTGAGGTCAAGTCGTTGGAAGGACAACACACCAAGTATATCAAGTGTTTGGCAATGTCTGGACGTTATCTTTTCTCCGGTGGTAATGATACTACCATCTACGTGTGGGATACAGAGACGTTGACTTGTTTGTTCTCGATGCCAGGCCACGAAGATTGGGTGCTGAGTCTCCACGCTTGCGGTCCATATCTCTTCTCGACCTCCAAGGACAACGTCATTAAGATTTGGAATCTCTCTGACTTTAAGTGCATAGAGACACTCAAGGGTCACTGGAACAGTGTATCTTCGTGCGTTGTAAATGATCGTTACTTGTATTCTGGTAGTGAGGACAACTCTATCAAAGTATGGGATCTAGATTCACTCGAATGTGTATATACAAATCAAAAATCACATTCACTCGGTGTACGTTCCATTGCCTATCGTAAAAATCAATTAATTTCGACATCCTACGACGGTTCAATTAAGATATGGGAATGGGTGACAAGATAGATAAAATAACAAATCAAAAACAAATCAGATCAAATCAAAAAAAAAAAAAAAAAAAAAAAAAAAAAACCATATACATACATACATACATATATAGTAGTCAATAATAATAATAGTAATAATAATAATACTTCGAGTTGTAATTCTAAATATATAATTAAATAAAATGAAAGCAAAAAAAAAAACATTAAAGTTTAAAAATATTAATCTCTCTCTCTTTTATAAATTTGGTGATGAATTGTTTTGATATGATTCTATGTTATCTTTCTCATCAAAGTGAAAATCAAAGTCTAGCTTTGCTTTGAAATGATTATCTTTTAGATAGTTAAACCATATCTCAAAGTCAGGCCACATCGACTTGAATGGCATTCCTTCTCTCTCCAAATCAAACCATTTCGGTTGCATTTCATCGGTTTCTACAAGTTCACCTGACCAATCAGTTACGATAAATACATGATTCTCTAGATGTTCCATTGGGCCTCCTACGTATTTCGGATTCTTATAATGAAAATGAACCTTTCCTCTGGTGTGCGTGTGCATGTGTTTGTAATTATGATGATAACATTCTATCAGAATATTCAACGTTTTAATACTACAAATAAAAGTTAGATTACATACACACTATAGATAGTAGTCGGTGTTAAACCAAACTCTTCTTTTGCCTCTCTGATAGCTCCCTCTTCAACAGATTCATTTGGCTCAACTTTGCCACCACAACCGTCCCATTTTCCAACACCGAACCCTCGCTTCTTTAATCCTAACAATATCTCTTTATTGTTGTTTCGAATAAATAGACATAAATTAACTAATTTCATTGGGAATGCAGCAATTTTTACTTAATTTAAATTTTTTTTTTTTTTCAATATGATTGGGCTTGCGTCAATTTTGAAAAAAAAAAAATAATAATAAATAAATTGACAAAAAAAAAAAAAATTCAAAAGAATAAATTTATTTACAAACTTAGATAAAAAGAATAATTTTTATTATATGTTTAGTGATTTTGTTGAACATAAAGTTATAAATAGTTTGTTTCAATTCTTTGAGTTTGAATTTTTTGAAAACAAACATAAAATTGACTTGCAAGAGGAGTCACATCGAGGGATGCCATCGACTGAAGAGGGATTTCAATGAATCCAGCAACGGTGGAAAAGCCTGATCTCACCCTTTTCACAGCACTTCCAAGAGATTGTGATATGGAGGATGGTTTCGAAAAATACACGCAACATGCTGCATCTCGTATCCACCTCGACAGGTGGACGGTACCACTGGCGAATGCCAGAACCAAATATTCATTTGTCTCAAATTCAGACGGTTCGAGAATAGCAAATGATTCGAAAACTTCGGCTGCTGGCTCTTGGATTTGGTTCTCTTCTAATTCCTCTTCAGTATTTCCATAATCATTGAATGAGATCCAATATGTAAGGGGGATCTCTCTCTTTCGTAGAGAAAACCATCGTTAGAAGCTCCACAGTATCCATGGGTGATTGAAAACCACACTGATTGGATGATGGAACGGCAATCACTAAATAAAGAATTGAAACAAACTATTTATAACTTGATGTTCAACAAAATCACTAAACATATAATATAAATTATTCTTTTTATTCAAGTTTGTAAATAAATTTATTCTTTTGAATTTTTTTTTTTTTTTTTTTGCAATTTAGCATTTTTTTTTTTGCTCAAAATTGCCGCAAGCCCAATCATTTATTTTTTTTTAAAAAAAATTTTAATAAGATTTTCGATGTTCAAAAAAAAAAAAATATAGTTTATAATTTCATGAAAAAAAATCAAACCAAGCGAACGCTAATATTTGCACCAAATATTCTGCACCATCCAAGTACGGTTTTAATATAAAAAGTTAAAATAATATAAATTCTTTTATTGTTTGTTAAAAGTTATTACAATACATAGATATAATCAATTTAATTAATTACTATATTGTGTAAATATTTGATTGTTGACCAGCAACAAATAGTTGAATTGATTGAAGTGGTTGGTTCAATAGTGGACACACTGCAATCTGACTTGATTCAAATGATGTACATATCGAACTCTGACCATTAGATATAAGTTTGATATATGTATCTGTATCGAATGAAATACCATATTCTACTGGAACAAAGTTTGATCCCATGATATAAACATTGTTGCTTTGAATATAGTAATTGGTAATAGAAGGTGCCAAATATGAAAAGGTGGTATTCTCGGAAAATTGGATTGTTTGATTTGATACCTGTACAGAGATGGAGATGTTTGATCCTATACCTGGAGGAATACTGCATTCGAGGAAATGATCAAAAGAGCTACATTGGATTTCAGTGGAGTTGTTGAGCTTGATTTTAACATTGTCAAAAGTATTGCCGAATCCAGCTCCGTCAATCTCGATGACACCACCGGTTGTACCAATTGGTTGATTATTAAGTTGGTTTATAATTGCAGGGTAATAGGAGAAGTCGGTTTGAATAGATTGATCTCCTACCTGGATAACCAATGGCACTGTAGATGTTTCATATTCCAATTGGAATTCAATCATTTCATCTGTGGAATTGATAATTGGTACCAGTTTATCATCAAAGAATAACAAAGGAAGATCGACAGCATCATCATCATTGGTTCCAAATCCACCAAGAATGAAAACGGTATCATTGGGATCGCGAGATTCTGGGGATATACCAATAATTTGAGGACCACTGAAACTGAATGATTGTGAATCGAGAGTATCAATGGTAAAACTAGATGATTGGTCTCCTACAGTGACTGTTACGGTTTGATGATCTCCCATAGCAGCAGGAGTCAAACATTGGATCGAGTTAACCGACAAGCTAACTATTGGCCAACATTCCAGTCTTTCATCGATCATAATATTTACTCTTGTAGCATCGGTACCAAAGTTTGAACCGTTTATGGTCATGATATCACCCATACCTCTAATGACTGGTTGGACAGCTTGTATCAATGGTGAGTCATACGAGAAAATGAATTTTGAACGTTGAATATCAAAGATAGTATCATCATCTGATATTAAAATTTCATTTCTCTTTCCTACACCATTTGGAACATGACAAACAATAATCTTGGAAGATACAATTTCTGTGGAATCACACTGGTTTTCACCAATAGAAACTACCATTGATGAATTGAATCTAATTCCATTAATTGTAATCATATATCCACCGTTGGTCGAGCCTGTCAATTGGTTGACTGATGTGATAATTGGACCGATTCCATTGCACAACGAATCAAAATTACCAGATAGGTAATCTGATTCACTTATCATTTGGATGTCACAAAACTGAGAGTTCAATGTAGCTACTATGATTCCAGTTAAATCCAAAGATATAGCACCTCTATAACCACTTGGTTTTGGAAGATAGTAAATTTCTAAATCACCATATTGTGATTTACTGTTTGATTTTGATTGGAGTATACTCTCTAACAAATAGGTGATAGAAACAATAGAGATAGGTGATTGCAATGAAACTCTGGTTCCTGTTGTTCCTACTGATTCATATCTAAGTTCAAGAGGATTTCCAATTTGATCACGGTTTAGCTCCTCTAAGAATCTGATAGGTTGGTCATGGAATTGTTGTTGAGGATCAACTGTGAGCACTTTAATGGCTTGGCTGGTTTGATCTATGCTTAACCACTTTCCAATTGAATTTTCCAACTTTTGTAATTGATAGGTGTTGAACTTGTCTAAACTACTAGAGTTGAATGAAAGAACTTGTTGTAATCCACTCTGGAGTAGTATTTCATTCTCCAAAATGGTTGATTTGATTACTTGCTGGTTGGATTGTGAAGATAGTTGTGTAGCTACTCTACTGAATTTCGATCTTGGAATTCTCATCATATTCAAAAAATGATTGTCAAACACTTGATCAACATTATTGGTATTCGGCTGAATTAATTTGTGATTGTTCAAAATATGAATAAAGTTAAGATCACTACGATATTGATCTTTCACATAGTAAAATAGGCCATCCAAGTTAGAGATTCGATCATCTTGAGATAAACGAATCATCAGACCAATGAGCTCTTCAACCGGTATAATATCAAGGATATTAACTTTATCTACTCTTTCTCCTTCTCCATCTGAATATGAATCTGTGCTCATCCAATCCCAAGCTGCTGCTGCACTTCGCTTCATCAGAATATCGTCATTTGGATTATCTACAATATCACTTTTTAAATAATAAAGATTAGTATACTAATTTCTCTTGTAAGTTAAAAAAAATAGTAATTACTCTTCATAAGTTTCAATATTATCAAAATTAGATACAATATTGCTTATACATTGGTCGAATATTGGTTGATTAGTTCCTTTCATATTCTGTTTTAAAGTAAATTATTAATAAATCTGAAAGAAATAAAAAATGAAAGATTATTGGTATCAACTTACATTATATAATTTCTTTGAGATTGCTAATATTAAACCATTTGCCCAGTTTGGTGTATTATCTCCAACGGAATATAAAGTAGTTTGTTCGATTGATTGATAGTAGATATAGTGAATTGTCATTAGATATGCAATCTCTTCTTCACAGATGTCTTGAGAGGATCTAATGATAAATGGAGGTAAGAACTTGAAACCTTCCATTTCACCAATCATGAATTGATAAAAGTTGTTTTTGGCATTAGGTAGTTTCGTCATAAAGTTAGAGGCGAATCGCAAAAGTTTGAAATCCATATTGTTTGGCAAGTCGTAGTTTCTCAAAGACTGTACTTGAGAGTATGGGAAAAAGTAATTCACTGGGAAAACAACAGATGGTTTGTCAGCAAACATTTGTATCAAAGTTACTCTAGATGCGTCTTGGGTGCACTCGAAAAGCAGATCAGAATAATCACAGACAGAACCTATGGCTTGATCAAATGCAATGTAGTGGATACTAAGTAGATCGTTGGCAACATAGTCAGTAATATCCAATTGATTGGGATTGATCTGTCCAGCGTTTGGAATGGATACTTCAACTGTTTCATCGTTGGGTTTAGTGAAGGTCTTTGAAGTTCTTAGTGATTTCAAGTTTATCACCAAATCTCTATCTGCATTGATTGTAGCTGGTAATACACTGAGTGTTTGTGGTGGGAATTTCGATATATATTGGCCTTGAATGTAGTCCTTCACTTCAATCTTGATTTCATTGTTCCAATCCTTAGGTCTAACTTTAATAGGTTGATCAATAGTATAAAATAAACCAATAGAATTACTTTAATAGATAATAAAAACATGGTTGTAAGTATTTGTTGAGACGAGAGAATATGATAATATTAAAATCAACATACCTATTCGCTGTTATTCCATTCTTGATTTCGGTATCGTAGCTTCTAACCATTCTGTTGAATTGATAAACCAATGTTTGGTGACGGAAGCATAACGCTCCTCCACCACGATAACCTTGTCCATTGTGACGGTTGTTGTCTCCAACACAAAAGAAGTTATCCAGTGAATCGGGTGTAGTCACACCATAGTTCGGATAGATTGGGAATCCAAGCTTAGAATGCTCCTTACCGGCTCCTGTTTTTGCACCTGAAAACCTTGCATCCTTGTATTTCTGATTGTCTTTCAGAGACAAACTCTGAGGGAATTCCATCATTGCAACATTCAAAACTTGCTTGGTTGGCGCGAATGCTGGTACTTCTTGATGGTACATCTGAACAAAGTAGGTTTGTTTGAAAAAGTCAGCGATTCTCATCCAAAGATCGATTCCATCCAAGTAGCCTGGCTCCTTTCTCTTTGATATAATATAGGGCGACAGTGGTTTTTTAAACTTCTCATCTCGCTTAAATAAATGATTTGAAGTTCCAATCTTCATGAAATAGAATGCATCCATTCCACCGATTGAAACTTTCTTACTATTCCAATAGCAAATTCCCTCTATATCGTACAGATTCTTTATATTATTTTCACAAGTGGTTCGCAGAGTTGCCATCAATGTTGGATTGGTAGGGTTTTTCAAACTGAAGAGATAAGGGTTGTCTGTTTGAGTGACAGTGTCTGGAATTTCGTTTGGTTCCATTAGGAATCCATGATTTTTGACGATGTACTCTGCAACTGTTTCAACATTGTCAAATGAATAACAAAAGAAATGTTGACTGTTGGTTGGTAATCCAAGGAATTTAACACCTGCTGCAGGACCATTGAATGCTGACTTGTCGGTAGTGGTATACGATGGAAACAATGGATTGGAATGTTGAATGTGCAGTCCACTGAAATTGTCGTCAAAAATTACAGAGGATTTCATATGACCAAAGACTTCGGTTTTTAACTTATCAATATCGATTCTTACTCCCTTATCATCACGTGTACCTATTTGATCGTTTATAAACATATATTTGTAGTCTGAATATTGCTTAAAAGTTGCCTCTATTGGACTGAGTATATTTAAATCAGTGTAAGTTTTTGTGTGTTGAATATAAGGTAATTTCTTTAGAGTGTCTCCAGTTGAATCGATATACAAATAGGATTGATCATTTGATTCCTCCAATTTTATAGATGAACCACCAATCTACAGGACTGTTTGTGTTGTCTTTTTCAGGTGGACCTAGACAAGCCAAAGAATTGGAACGGAATGTAACGGCATTGATTGTTTTCACACCTCTGACTGAAACAACAATTGGATAAACTCCTGGCTCGATCTTCAAAATGGTACATCTAATCTTGGTATCACTCTCCAAAATTAAAACATTTGTACACAATCTGTTGGCACCGTCCTGAACAGCAATCGATATATCATCTTTGTTATTTCCAAAACCAGTTCCAGTAAGTGTAACGAAGTGAACTCTCCTCATCTTTGAACCTTGACTTGGAGTGATGGAAATGAGAGAAGGACCGCTATAACTAATTAAATAGCCCTGAGGTTTGTAAGTATGTTTCACTTGGAAACTATCTAGTGAGACCAAGCTGATTGGATAATCACCTGGAATGTTTGGTGGGATGATACAATTGATTTTACCGTCATCCTTTGTACACTTGTCAGCAGCAATCATTTGTTCACCAAGCCAAACTGAATTGATAAACTGAAGATTCGATCCTAGTATCTCGAAATTACCTCCACCTTCTGGATTTAAGGAATCCGGTTGATTCAATGTGCCAAAAGTTGAATCGAGATATTGGAATGTTTTAGTTGTTTGGTAGTCAATTCCCTTGATAGATACGAAAATTGGAACGGTTTCAGCTGATTGAATGTCATTTGGTTGCACAGCACATTGAAATTCTTTTGTCTCTAGATCGATCGATAGAACTTTACAATAGGTATTCTTAACCTTGAATTTAACAATTTCGAATATATCGTCATATTCCATAACGGGTAGTTGCGAAATGGTAATAGTTACAATTGTTTCTGAGTAAACATAACCAAAATCTGGAGTTACAGAGACAATTACTGGATTGGCAACGGTAAGAGTTAGAGATGCTGAAGGTGAACCACCACTACCAGACAATACGGTTACATCTGAACTTCCAACAGTAGCATACGGTTGTGAAGAGTCATAGGTAATCAATAAAGAATTGTCAGAAACCTTGTAGATGTCATCTACAATCAAACCATTGATATAAACTTCATCCTTATCAGAGAAAAGCAAACCGTTCAATTGTAGCTCCCATATTCCCAGTCTGAATATGTAGTTTGGTGAGATTGAATTGAGAACTGGACCGTCTTTGAATGTGATGGGATCGATAATATCATTAGAAAAACTAAGACCGTTTACAACAACTGCTACGGGATACTCGCCAGCTGGCTGTTTCTTAGAGAGTGGCTCCAGCGTACACACTATCTTGATTTCGGATTTCTTCAGAATATTACATTTGGTCATTCCAACCATAACATGTGATGCTTCTCCCAAGTTACTACCTCTAACGGTTATTTTATCATCAACATCATTTCTTACAAACTCTGGAGATGTTTCATCAATAAAAGGTTCTAAAATGTAATTTTTAAAATAGAACAATTAGTAAATGTATATACTAATAAATCAATAACCAAAACTTACTATAGATTGTATAAATTAAATTATTAAAATTCACATTTCCAATATTTGCCAAGATTTCAAGTTGAGTTTCACCCTTTGGGATATCATAACGCAACTGGCATTGGCATACAATTTGGTTTAGTGTCCGACTCACAACAATACATGATCGACTGTCTAGAAAGAAATCATAATTTGTATTCTCAATGAAGTTGGCTCCATCGAATATAAGTTGATGTACTGGCAATGATGAGAGTGCTCTAGCTGGATTGTAACCAGTGATAATGGGCTGTGGATAGTATTTAAATGTAATGGAATGCATTACATTAACACCGCTATACATTGAAATAGATAGTGGACAATATTCGATAATTCCAACCACCTGATTGGGAATGGTACATTTAATGACAGTATCTGTAAAACTAACAATGGCAAGAGCTGTCTGACATAGATAAACAGTTGGTGGACTAGGATCTTGGAAATCAACATTACCAACATTTATCATAAAGTTTTGTCCATTAATAGTAAGAGTTTCTAAATTCTGAGCATACGATTGTTCTGGTGAAATTGAATATATTATTGGTTCTATTTTGAATTTTTAAATTGGAAAAAAATATAAGTTTTAATATTTAATAATAGAATGAGAGACTGAATTATTATATTATACTTACTGACTAGTTCATAATTAATTGAAATACCATTCAATGGGAATACCTTGTTTCCATTGTACGTGATTCTTAAGTAACAATAGGATTGTTGTTTTCGAGGATCGTCAAACTTCCATACGTATTTGCTACCTGGTAGTTGTTGATGAACATTGTGTGGGACATTGTTGACATAGAGCGTGAGAAGATTTACATTCGCAAAGTTCTCACCGATGATCGTGAACTGATTTTCTCCACGTGCATAACCTTTTAGTGCCGAGTAACTAACAACTCTCTGTGAATTTACTATAGAACCATCTAATATAAATATAAAGAAAAAAGTAGTTAAAACTAAACAAAAAAAATAATTTTTCATTGTATAGTTTTTGGTATTTAATTATAACTACTATTTTTATTTATTTAAAAAAAGATAAATCTAAAAAATATTTGATTAAAATTAAAAAGTGTTTTGATTAGACGAGCAGGGTTCGATTGAGCAGCAAATCACAACCCATTTACAACCCAGATTAATTGTTAAAAAAAAAATATGATGTTGGAGATTTTTTTTTTGAACACAGTTGAACCAATAAAAACAAACGACTGTTCATCATACACAAAAGGCAACAAGGTGCAAAAATAATTTTTTTTTTTTTTTAGATATTTGTTATTGTGCCAGAATACACACAATGATATTGTTAAAATAAACAAAATTAAGGATAAAAAAAAAATAGGACGATTTTGGTTTATTTGATTTGAAATTTATTATTGTTGATTAAATAAGAATGACATACTTACTACAATGATATATAGATCTAACACTATTTCAACCCCTAAAAATCATCTTTTGTCATTTCTATTCGGATGGCAACAAGAATGTTGGATTTTTAGGGTTTATATTCGATTGATACCATCCATTGACATATCGGTTCGTAATACCTACAATCTATCGTAATTGAAACAAGAAGCACTGAAGCCATTTATGAATTGTTTATGGATTATGTGCAACCATTGTAACTTTTCCTATGAACATGATTCGAAGGGAAACAACGGCGGTCAAAAGAATCGAATCATTCACATGATAAACACCCAGAGAGAGTTCCCGAGGATAAGAAGAAAGAAAAAAACAATTCTATTAAAGAATTTTTAGAACATGTTTTTTTCTTGACTTTATTAAAAATAACAATTTTTTTAAAATATTTTAAAATTTTTTCATATAAAAGAAAACTTAAAAATAAATTTGTAATATAAAATTATCACATGAATTATTTATTGTTCTACCATCAAAGTTTATAGATATGATTAGTTCTGAACAATCGAATCTACAACAGCAACAACAACAACAACAACAACCGTGGAAAAAGAAAAAGCAATCATTCAAAGAAAAGCAAAGAAAAAGCTCATTCTATTTAGCGACTTGGTTGTTCTTAAAGATTCTATCGGTTGTATTCTTTATATCTTTCTTTTCTTCATAGTAAGTTATCCGATGATATGTAATGATATTCATTAATATGTATTAATCTATCCACAATAATTATGTACAGTATTCAAATTAAAGGTTTGGTTGGTGATGATGGTATCTTACCTTTGACTTCAATACTCGAGTCAAATGTTGGAACTTCTTCATCGTCGTCAGTAGCCGAGGTCAATTCCATATGGTTATTCTTTATTAATACACTTGGTCTGAGTGTTAATACTCTTCTACATCTGATATGCATTAGTGGATTGATATTCAGTGCACTCTCTATCTTTACGATCTCACACTCTGTCTATCTCGGTTTCATGTGGTTCTTTTACTATTGTATCGTCGATGTTGGTCAGATATTCTATGCATATCAGGTAAATATTCATTTATCATAAATATAGAGATCATTCACATATTAACAACTACTAACTTTATTTATTTGACTCAACACAACAAAGTGGGATCAATTACTTTTAGAGACTGCATTTTTAGCTATCTTTATATCACCTTTCAACTCGAAATATGATGAGAAACCATCTCAACCAATTAGATATCTATTAAAGTAAAGTATTTCATTAATTTTATCATTCATTCATTCGTTCATAAAGCACTAATTGTTTTGTTAATTCATAATGTAATGTATAAAGATGGTTATTGTTTAGATTAATGTTTGGTAGTGGAATTTCAAAGTTGACACCGATTTGGTCATCTCTTCAGGCAATGTGTTATCATTATGAAACTCAATGTATACCCAATGCTTTTGTATGTATAATATGTGTTTATAATCTTTGTTTTATAATATATATATATACTAATAATGTTTGTTATTTGCAGAGTTATTATTTCCATCAATTACCACATAGTTTTCATCAGTTTGAGACGTTGGCTACTCTTGGCATTGAGATATTGGTTCCACCTTTGTTTTTTGCACCGAGAATCTATCGGACCTTTGCATGTATATTAAATATTCTCTTGCAGGTAATGATCATCATTACTGGCAACTACCATTACTTTAACTACCTCACGATTGCTCTCTGTGTGTTGTTGCTAGACGATTCGATTCTCCTCTCAAGTTTCATACCAAACATTCTCAAACAGAAACTACTGGATCTCGAACAGGAGCGAAATCGATCGTATCAAGTGAAACGACCGGATTTCGGTCTGTCCAGTATCAACTCAAAGAATCTGTTGGTGCCCTTTGTATTTATATTGGTGGGAACATCGTCGATCTACTCGACGACGCGCTACCTACAACGCCAGTCGGTACCGGTGCTGATCCAGCGTGTGCATAACGCGCTCAGTTTCTATCATATCGGCGGAACCTATGGGTTGTTCTCGACGATGACGACCGAGCGCTTCGAAGTGATCATCGAGGGCAGCTACGACGCCGAGAATTGGCGCGAGTACGAGTTCTACTACAAGCCTGGCAACTTGTCGCGACCGCCACCATTCATCTTTCCCGGACACAATCCGCGGCTCGACTGGCAGATGTGGTTCGCCGGCTTGTACACCGACGCCAAGCAGCAGCCGTGGCTGATGCACATGCTGGTGAAACTGCTCGAGGGCTCGCCAGAGGTGCTCAGTCTCATCGAGTACTCGCCGTTCCCAGTCGATCAGCCACCGCGCTACATCCGAGCGCTGCGCTACAAGTACAGTTTCACAAAGTGGTCGAACACCTCCAGCGAGGAATGGTGGCGACGCGAATACAAAGGAATCTATGTCAGACCGTTTTCACTCAACCCACCACCACCACCACCACCAACAACACAACCGTCAACAACAACAACAACATCAAAAAACAATCATCAACACCCCACACCTTCTTCACCATCCGCTAAATCATCGTCATCTTCAAAAAAAGCAACAATGAAATAATATTTTTATCACTTTTTCACTGAACAAACACTCGTCGTTCGTAACGTGATTTTTATTGGCTCCAGAAAAAAAAAACAATATTTAATTAATTTCAATTTTTTATTTAATTTTTTTTCTTAAATTCATTCGATTTTTTGATTTTTTTTTTTTTTTATTAATTTTAAATTTAAAAACATATTTATATATATATCTTATCTTTAATAACTTTCTTCTTTTTTATTTGTTTTGTTTGTTTTAATTCAATCAATCAACAATTAGTTAATAATAAATTAAAGAAGTTAGTTTTTTTTTGATAAATATATATATTTATATATTTTTATTTTAGTATATTAGATAGATAGATAGTTTATTTTTTTAAAATATTATTATTAATAAATAAATAAATATCTTTTTGGAAATATGGATTCAAGAGTATTAAAAGATCTTTTAAACAATCCTAATAGTATTCCAACGTATCTAAAGCAATTGTGGAGTAAAGAAAATGGAACACCTCAATTCTATATTAACGTGTTGGAACAGTGCTATCAGATTATCATTGGATCCACTGATCTTACAAACGTTGAACCATTCTTTAAGAATCTAAAAGATCAAGGATTGTTACAGTTTGGTACATGCGATGTCACTTGGAACTTTGGTGACACTGCCTATAAATGTAAAACATGTCAATTGGACCCTACAACTGCAATGTGTATTGCATGTTTCAATGCTGGTGATCATAAAGGACATGACTGTATGTTGTTTGTTTAAACAAATATGATTAACAATCAAAAAGAATAGATAGATAGATAGATATTAACATTTGTTATTTTCAACCAAATTTAATAATAGATGCTTTACAAAGTGTTGCTGGTGGTTTTTGTGATTGTGGAGATCCATCTTCATTTAATATTAATGGGTAAGTTTTAAAATTTGATAAACATATGAAAATGAAAGATTGTTATAACTAACAAGTTTGATTGTTGTTATGTTTTATCTATCTAGATTTTGTCATAAACATAAAGAACTTAAAGATATTGTTGATCTCACTAAATATCCAGAAAGTTTTATATTATCTTTGTGTTATGTTATTCAGTTTGTTTTCGAAAAGATTTACTCGTTTTTCGAGAGTAATTCAGATAGCGCCTATGAAATCTATATGGATTGGTTGTTGAAACTGGCGCAACGCGGTGACGTCGTAAAGATGATTGTTATTAAATATCTAGCAAACACAGAGGTTGGCTCACAGACAGCGATGTTGCCACCATCGCCATTCTCGCCGTCGCTTCTTGAGCAGTTCTATCACCCCACCAAACACAACGAGGTCTACGATTCAATGAAGTTGGCATTCGTCAACTTTTGTGTATTCTTGCGTGGCAGTGTCGAGCTGACCCGCACAATGATTCTCACGGTCATCCCGACCTACAAGCAATGCATACTCGACTCGAAACAACACATGCTGCTCGCCGCATTCACTGTATTCTCAACATCGTCAGTCACCGATCTCCTGCTGCAAGTCAACTCGTCGGGCATCGTAATCGATACGGTTCTCGAGTTTTTCACGCGCTACTACATCTATCGCGCGCCATGGATGAAGAAACACCAGAAGATCATCAAAGTCAAAGAGGAATTCACACCGCCACAATTTAGCTATATTATTCACTTGCCCGCGCTCACCAACAAGCATCTCACTCGTCTGAGAACTGACATTGGATTCATCATGTCGAACAAAGCCATCTGTAGATCCGTAGTCGAAGACGGCAAGCAGTTGTCTCAGTGGTTCAAAATGGTGTCACTATCGCAGGGAATGAATCCAAACATTGGAAACCGTCCAACCAGCGTCGACGACTGGTCACCCGCATTCAACATGGATATTTCATTCAGTTCGACACTGTTCTCACTGCTCGACGTCATTGGTCGCAACCGTCAGGAAATCGAGCGAGTCATTCTACAGGCGTCGCAAGTGCTCGGACAGTGGATTCTCGGCTGGATTGCCGTGCATCAAGAGAAACTCGAGTTAAAACAAGCAGATATCTCACAGATCATTCAGCACTCTACCAAAACCGATGGATTCTCTTTCCACTTGGTTTTGCACCGTAGCATTGCAGCATTTGTACATTTGGCAATCTCGGAGCTCTCCAGCGAGTTCTTTGCTGCCGGTGGACTCCACGGAATCTTCTCGCGTATCATCGGTGAGAACAGCATGATCTCACTGGTCGACTATGCCAAGTGTTCGATTGCACATCCACTGCGATTGATTGCTGCGCTCGGCGAGATCAAGGCTGGACTGTGGCGTGCTCACGGTCGCGAGGAAGACATGCAACTCCAAACAATGATGTACCTCAGTCTGCACTTCCAGCGATTCTACGATTTGGACATCTTTTTGATACAGATTGGCTCGGTTTTGATGGGTGCCAATCCATTTTTCAGTCAGGCGCTCACCGAGTACAGCTTACAAGATTGGTTCAGAATTGAATTGCCAACATCGAGTTCATCGTCGGCCATTCCATTCCCAACACCAAGTAAAGCACTCAGACAAAGTTCTGGTGCTGTAAAGACAACACCAGCGGCAACAACAACAACAACAACAACCACTACAACACCAACAACAAGAGTAAAGACAGCAGAGGAAAAAGAACAAGAAAAAGAAGCAAAGGAAAAGAAAAAGCAAGCAGATGAATTTAACAAAAAGAAGATTTTGGCAGAGGATTTCATTCAATTCATCATTATGATATCGACTAACAAGACATTGATTGGTATGACAGCTCAAGAAATCATTCGTAAGGAATTGATTCATCGTTTATGTCTTGGTGATGCCACCCATTCACAACTATTAAGAAACGTCAAGAGTAATCTAATTCAACATCCAGATTTCGAAAAGATTCTAAATGAAATTGCAACTTTCCAAACTCCACAAAAGGTAAGAAAAGATAAGAAAAGAAAAGGAAATATATTTATAGATTACTAATCTCATTTATACTTCTTTCAGACTGAACAAGGAAAATATCAATTGAAAGAATCATGTTGGGCAGAGTTTGATCCATATTTCGCACATTACAATGTTCAAGATCTTCAAACTGCTGAGGAGCGACTTCAAGAGTTTAACAATAAGACCAAATCCAATATTTCACGTGGAACCTATATGACCTACAAGACATTGCCATGTATGGAACCAATCGATACTATTTTATGCTCGAAAGCAGTTCACCAAGTTCTCTTCACAGTGCTTCAAAATCACTTGGTAAACTCACAGAAATCAACAGAAACATTGCTCACTCATACACTCCATGCTTTGGAGCTTTGTGTCGTTCAAACACAAACCATGCTTTCGAAACAACAGGTAACCGAGTTACCATCGGCATCGGCCACCCCCAAAAAACAAACAACTCCACAGAAACAACAACAGCAACAAAAGACAAGTCACGACTCACTCGCTACCGATATCGACTTCCCTTCAAACAACGATATTTTCATCAACGCCAACTTTGAAGTCAATATGGAGAACAAGAAGATGAGTTTGATGACTCTTTTGGTCAAGTTGAGTACCACCCAAGGAATCAATGGCGATCACAAACAACAACTTCAAAACATTCTCAATATTCTCATGGAGAACAACGATGCCTGCAAGCAAACCGTCGATAACTACTGGCAAGCCATCAGAGCCAAGAAGAATCTTAGCACACCTGGAAAACGCGAGGATCCAGAGGAGGAGAAGAAACGTTTGGCCAAAGCAAGACAAGCTGCCATCTTGGCACAAATGAAAACGCAACAAGCCGCTTTCAAATTCGATGAGGACGACGAAGACTATGAGGATGAAGACGATATCAATTCGCAATCGAAGGACAAGAAGGCAGAAAAGGTAGACTCCAATCTTTTGGTGGTCGACGGACAGATCTCCACTCACACTTGTGCGCTGTGCAGAGAAGCCGGTTCACTCAAACGGCCAATGGGTAGAGTTGCATTCATCCAGCCATCGTCGGTCTTGATGCTCTCCAAGATGACCGCAGAGGAGAGAAACAAGCGAATGACTGAATCCATCAAGAAGGATCTCATTCAGAGCAAGAAAGATAGCAAGGAAGGTGAGGAAGAGAATGGAAGAGAGAACCAAAATACACCATCGAATATCAACGCACAAAACAACATTCAGAATGCTCTGAACGATCTTTTGGGTCAGAATGAAATGGACGAAGAGGATCTCGAGGATGTCGATATGGGATCGGACGACGACGATACCGACGATGAAGTTGGCAAAGCCATTTCCTATTTGAACAAACTATCGAATTTCAATATGTACGGTGAAGGAATGGATTTGTTTGGTGATGGCGACGAGATGGATGTTGAAGACGGTTACTATGACACCTCCGATGACGATGACGATGACAACGACGACAATGGCACTGACGACGACGACGATGACGACAACGAAGATGACGACGGTGACGAAGATCTCGATGACGACAACGAAATGTATGATGATCACGATCATCATCATCATAAGTACAATGTCGTAGATGAAGTTGATTATTTCTCATCGATGGATGAAGACGATTATTCTGATGATGAATTGGACGACAACATCATTTATGAGTTTGCCAATGGTGAAATTAGACCAATCATGCCAAAAACAACAACAACAACCACAACCACAACAACATCAACAACAACAAACAATGATAACAAAAATAATAATAACAATGATAATAACAATAACAATGATAACAATAATAATAGTTCGAATAACAATAATAACTTCACAACTGGTGAACAAGTATTACGTTTCCTAAATGATATGAGAGGTAGAATTACTAATCATGGCGATGGAACTGCTACTATTTTTGCTGGTGACGGCAATCCAGGAGATGACGATGATATTAGTGACGACGACAGTGAAGATGACGGTGTTGGTGGTGGTCATGGACATCCTCATGATCTCTTTGATAATCCATTCTTTGAAGACGATTTCGAGGATGATGTTATGGATAAGTTTTTGGATAAGACCGAACCGGTCTGTGGAAATCCATGGTCCGACAAGTTCAGTGTCCAAGAAGTATTTAGAAACACTGAGGAATCGGTCAACCTTCACATGTCATTCTGTGGACATCAAATTCATGAAGATTGCTTCACCGATTACTCTTGGTCGCTATTGAAGAATCAAAACTATGAAGGTGAAGAGATTGTTGATGTCCAGAAAGGTGAGTTCCAATGTGTGCTGTGTCGTCGTCTCGGTAATGCTTTGGTTCCTGTCATTCCAGACAGTGGATTCAACACACAAACCACTGCTGCAACACCTGAGTTGGATTCCTATAACAGCTTCTTGCAGTCGGTCTCCAAGTCACTGACTGGAACCGACCAATCGAGCAACAGCAACACAGAATCACTCAAACCTGTAAAGCAAGCAATCGAGCAGTTTGCATCGAGAGTTTACAGTGTTCGTTACCAGCTGAATTTCTACAACTCTGAATCGAATGCCAAGGTTTTGCCATATATTGGATCTGCCATTGCCTCGACCATCGCCGACACTGAGCTTGCCATAAGAGTGCCAGACGACGACCAGCCAAACGTCAACAGTGAATACATGTTGTTTAGAATGACCGAATCGAATCGTGTCGATATTCGCTCGTTGTTCCGTGTCAGTGTTGCACATGTCAAGACTCACCAGCCGCTGCAATACGAGAATCAGCTGTTGTGGCAATCGATATCCGGTCAGATGGCCATGCCAATGCCAACACTCGAACCAGCCACCGACGAAGAGAAGAAGAAACAGAACCAAGAGCAACAACAAAAGTTGGACATGGAGTCGTTCCCACCCTTCCTCTCGTTGGATCTCTTCCACAACTTTGTTCAACTCTACCTGAGAACCTCGGTACAAGACAGCTCCGTCACTGCCAACAATCGATTCTACATGATGGTCAGAATGTTCTTTGATGCCTACCTCACACAATCGGTGTTCTCTCACTTCAAGACACTCGAAGAGAACCCACAGATCTCAGAGATGTTCATCCTCGAGGTGAACAAACTGATAACAACACCGAACGAGAATCAACAAACCATCAGCGCAATGCCAGAACACCTGAGCAATCAAATTCGTTCGGGTTGTCTTGTCTTTTTGAGAAGATTGTCGCTGATTTTGTACGCGTGTCTCAATGTCAACCCACCGAAACCACAATCGACATTGCTCAATGACGAAGCTGCGGAAACTCAATACCTGATGAACTACCTCAAGTTGTCAACTCCATTCGAAACACAGCTGATCAATGTTATCAACACATTGATCACTCACTCTGATAGTCTTGTGCCATTGGTATCGAAATGGTCAGAACAAATATTGTCATCCTATGCAATCTATCTTTCAAGTGAACCAAACGCATCAGATTCAAATAATAATAATAACAACAACAATAACAATAATGAAATTCAACTGTACACCCCACCAATTTCAATTATCTCAACACCAAGAATACCAAATCCATTCCTGCTTATCAATCTTGAGAGAAACTACAGTGCACTATCTCAATATTACTCAACCGTTCCATGTTTACAATGCAAGACAATCTCTAGTTCACAAGCTCTCTGTTTGATCTGTGGTACTCTATGTTGTCTTGGTGGATGTTGTAAGAGATTCTTTGATCAAAAGAATGAATATATTTTGGTAAGTAGTTTGTTAAATCTAATTAATTAATTTAAAGTTATTCATATTCAGTATAAACTAATTCTCACTCATTCATTCATTCATTCCTATTTATAATCTAATTATTAGCACGCTGAGAGATGCAATGCAGGTACTTGCATATTCTTACTCATTAAATCTAGTTCCATTTTGATGGTTCATTTACCAAGAAAGACCTATTGGATTTCACCATATTTAGATGACCACGGAGAAGAAGATCCAAATTTAAAGAGAGGAAAACCTTTGTTCTTAAATATGAGTCGTTACAATCAACTCAATTCATTGTTAGTCAAACATCAAATCGATCAAGATAGTAAAATCGCTGAAAATACTGTTAGAGAACAATAAAATAAATATAAAATATTTTTATAAACCTATTCCTTACCACCACTTTGTCTATATAAAGTAAAATTATCTATATATATCCTTTTATTTGTTTTTTTATTTTTTTATTGTTTTAATTTTATTGTATAATTACTAAGAAATAAATAATAGTATTAAAAATAATGATAACAAACAACAACTTACAACAAACAAATATATACTTTTAAAACTTTTGACATATTCTTTTTAATATAAATAATATTTACTATTTACTTCACACAACAATTATCAACAACAAACAAATGGAATCAGAGAATCAACCTCCCAATAAAAAAAATCAAAAGTATCAATACAAGAATAATAATAGATATAATACCAACTACAAAAATCAAAATTATTTGAAACCAAGATCCTATATTCCAAAGACAATAAAAAATGTAGAGACAGAGACTGCAACAACAACCACTACTTCAACAACTACTCCAACATCTGCTCCAACAACATTATCCCTTGAATTTGTTACTTCTCCAAATACTGAAAACTCAAAATCTTTGGAGAGTGGTGATACCATTCACAGTCCACGATCGTCTACTGATGATACACCAATAAAAACAGAATGCAATACCTTTGAGAATTTAAATGAACTTCAACAACCAGAGTCACCGCTCAACAGCCAAGATGTCATCGATTACTCACTAAACTCTTTGAGTGATGCATTCGAGTGTCAATCTGTTGGTTCCAGTCACAATAACAACAACAATAATTATAGATATAATTATAAATCAACCAAATCAAAAGCATTCAAAAAGAACTTTAAAAACAATAATACTACTCAATTACATCAAACATCATCTTCATCATCGCCTCCAAACTATGTATCTGCAAATCCACATCAAACAACAATCCAGAATCAAAATGCACCACCACCTCAGGGATATCACCCAATCTATTTTTATCCACAAATCTACTATGGTAAGTAATTAGATTCTTCTTTTAATTAAGATTTGATCAAAAAACTTATTTAAATCCTATTATTCATCTTTAGATCCTGTGAGTCAAGCACCATATTTTCAAGTACCATCATTTGCTTTGATACCTTTGCCATACAACCCATATTATGACCAAAACAATCAACTTCCACCACATATCTATCATCAAGTGCCACCACAATATCAGAACGATCGGTAACTATTAAAAATATTTTATTCTATTCTATTTTTGTTATTCTATTTTTATTGCTAACAGATATCTACAACTCTTCTCTAGTCAGGTTAACTTTATACCAACAAAAAATCAATACAACAATAACAACAACAATAACAATAGCAACAACAACACTGGTAAATGTGAAAACATGAATCACAACAAAAGAGTTTAAAAAAAAAAATGATTTCTTTTTTTTTTTTTTTTTAAAACTTAACCATTTGGATCATTTTTTTTTCAAATGGTTCGGTGGGAATCAAAAAAATATCCCGATTTAGAATATTTAATAAATTTATTGGTATTATCATACAAATCATATTAGATATAATTCAAAAATTCTTTTTTTTTTCTTGATCCATAATTCTTGGTAAAAAAAACCTTTGTAATCAAGTTTTCAAACTGTTTTCAACAAAACTGTTCATTTGTTACCTTGATAACCTAATTTTACATTTTAATTTTTTTTCCTTTACAATCTTCAAATTTATTTAATAGTTATTATTTCTTACATTTTTAAAATATTATAGCTATTCTTTTTTTTTATTCTTTATCTTTATATTCTTTATCTTTTTATCTATTATTTAATATTTATTTATCTATTCTTTAATTATTTATTTATGTCACAGATTTCTATAGGTCCTTTTAAGGTAAAGAAGTGATTTCTTTAATACTATTTCATCTACACTTGTATGAATTTTTGTATTCATGTTGGGTTGATCGATTGACATTTTACCAGTATGACTATAAGTATTATAATGATTTGGTTTGTAGGAGGAAAATCTTTTAAGCAACTACCCACCTCACTATATCTATCTTATCTAAGATAACAGATGAAATAGTTTTAAAGAAATCATCCTCTAGGACTTCTTTGACCTTAAAAGGACCTATAGAAGATCTCATTTTCGATATGGTGCCAGAGTAAAGACCTACCTTTTCGACGAATATAATATCCCAAGAAATATAATATAAAGCGCTTATTTAAAGTCATTCATTTATTCACAATTATTTTTATTTTTATTGTTTTCTCACAAAATAAAATTATAGATTTTCGTACCAAAGTAACAGTTCAAGAAAAGTCAGATGCCAAACGAAAAGAAGTGTATAAAGCCGCCAAAGTCAAAGCTCCTCCGGATGATCCTAATTCTTATGTTATCAAATACTATTTGGATGGAGAGACAAAGTGTTACATCAACCGCGATTTCAATGCCTGTTTGAACATGGTTACTATTGCCGAAGCATATTTAAAAGGTAAAGCCCGTCCAACTTTATTGTGTTCATTCAAAAAGGACAACCCGGAGGATGATTGAATAGATCTCACCGAAATGAAATGGTTTCATCAAAAGATGTAAGTAAAATGATATTTTTTTAAAAAAAAATGAAAAGCACAAAACTAATTTTTTTTTCTGTTTCTCAAGAGAATAAATCCAAATTTACTAAATTTAAATTTTGTTCTTTTTTGATTTTTAATAGATCGTTCAATTTCAAATATTCAATTAATAAATAAATAAATAAATAAATAAATAAATATATAAATATTCTTGTACAATAATAATTAATAACAAAAAGAGTTAAAGAAAGATAGATATATATGTTATTGTTATTATTATATTGTTATTGATATTATTAGAGAGATAACGATTTAAAAACTTAAACACCTCATTATTAAGTGTGATTTTATCTCACCCACTATCTATCTATCTTAATACAATACACCATAAAACTACCCTCCAAAATAGTTTTTCACAAAACAGTGACCATTTACACTAACCATACACACACACACCAAAGTGCATCCTACCTTTTTTTAATTACTGTTTATTTATTTATTTACATTTTTTCGAAATTGAATCATATCATATGATTCAATTTCCATTTTCATTCTTTAACATTAAAGTTTAGTTAGTTACCGATTCTTTTTTTACTTTCTGTCTATCAAACTATCTCTATCTTTATAGATTCAAAATTTATTATTTTTTTATTATTTTATGTTCAGATAATATAATATAATAAATAGATATATAATAATAATAACAAATTTGTTATTTATATTTTATTATTTTGTTTTATTTTGTTTTATTTTTGTCGTTAAAGTTAAATTCTTTGTAATAACATTAAAAAAAAAAAAGTAAAAAGAGTAGAGGTAGAAGAAATGGATATACTTTCTTCTTATTTAAGCAACACATTTAGTAGTAGCTCTCCAACAAAGAATAACAGTAGCAGCATGCTTACGATCGATACAAACAACAATACAAATATACACTCACCACCTACACAAGTCTACTATACAATTGAAGATGTTAAGAAACACAACAAAGCAAACGATCTGTGGATGGTCCTTTACGATAAAGTTTATAATTTAACAGAGTTTCTCAACGAACATCCCGGTGGTAGTATTTTATTGGTAAGTTGAGAGGAGTGAGATTGAAATCAAAACAAAACAATTATATTAATTAATTAATATATTCCCATAACTTTGATAAAATGTAGAGTGGAGCGGGCACCGATGCAACCTATTTATTTGAAGATATTGGTCATAGCTACGATGCTGTCAAACTGCTAGATAAATATTATATCGGCGAACTGAGCAAAAAGAAATAATAAATCAACCTGTAATATATTTTAATATTATTTTATTTTTTATAGAAAAAACAAAGCAAAGCAAACTTGTTACCTTTACCAAAATGGTTACAAGTCAATCAAACATCAATTACCACCAACACCATTGATATTATTTGAAAACCAAAATTTTTTTATGGCTTTTTTTTACCTTTTTTTTTTTTTTTTTTTTGCCTGAAATTACTTACAATCAGGTGATTGTCAAAACTTGTGGTGTCAGTTGTTCTGTTGTTTTTTATATTATTTTCTTTTTTATTTTTTGAATTATTTTTAAATTTATATTTATCAATCACAAAAATAAAAATATTGATCATTTTTATATAAATCTATTTATTTATTTATTTATTTATTTAATTGTAAAAATATCACCACCACTATAATCAATCAATCAATTCAATCTCATCATCATCAGCAAAAATAAAACAATTATAATATTACTTACTAAACACGATCTGTAACACCACACAAACTGACTAATAATAAATAAAAAAACAAACCAAAACAAAACAAAAACACACAATTTTAATCACAATATAAAATTATAATATAATTTTGATTATATATAATATATTATCATCATCAGTCAGTCAAAACCAAACAATATAACAACCAATAACTTCAACAAAAACAAAAAAAAATAAAAACCAAAAATTAAGAAATAAATAAATAAATAAATCTAATCATACATAACTATAGTTAGTTAGAGAAAAGAAGTAATAACAAAGTAAAAAATGGGTGAAAAGAAAATGGAAATGTTTTTGAGGATTATGGTTATCTTTTGTGCGATAGCATTAATTGTAAGTCCACTTTTGTACTTGGTTGATGATCACATCAACATGTTGAAAGAATAACTCACTAATCTCAAAATCTTTTGTTTTTTTTTTCAAATTAACAACAGGGTCTAACTGTACCTTATTGGATCTATCTTAAATATGCAGTCGATGATTCAGCTTGGGTTGCATTTGCCATATATCTAATATCAGCACTGCTGTTGATTTTCTTGGCTTTCATTGGTATTTTTGGTGCTGTCAAGAAGAACAGAGGTTTACTTTTATATGTATGTCAATCAATCAAGTAGTCAATGAATCAATCAACCAATCGATTGGTTCATCATAACAAGTTATTAACAAACAAGAAATCATCATTATTTATATAATATAATATATAGTTTGCAGTTGTAATGATTATTATGTTATTGTTTGCAGTTGCTCAGATTATCGTAACAACATTGGATCTAACAGATTGCAGTGATAAGGGTAACAACTTTAGTTTCCTATGTTCAAGAAATTCAGCAGGTTACTACGCACCGGTTGCCGTATTACTATTTATTAATTTGTTTGGTGCTATCGTTGCGTTGGTACTAAGATGGAAATTGGTTCACGATACATCTGGAAACTACTATTAAAACAAATCAATCAAAATTTTTAAAAAAGAAAAAGAAAAAAAGAAAAAAATAGATAATTATTGATTTTCGATTCCAAACCAAACCAAACCAACCAAACAAATCAAGATCTATTTAAAAGTATAACTAGTTACACATATATATATATTTCTAATAAAAAAAATTAATTTAATTTAAAAGATATCGATCATGTCTCAGTTTGTTTTTGTCGCGATAAAAAATAATATTTAATTTCTTTTTTTTTTTGTTTTTTTTTTTTTTTGAAACTATTTGATCATCAATATCATAAAAACATCAAATTAATTAAATTATTACCCACTTTTTTATTTTTTTACTTTATTTTTTTTTACTAAAACAAACATTGAATTCAATTAAATAATATAATAATATAGATAGATATATACACTTTTAAAAAAAAAATGAGAGGTAAGATTTTTTTATAAATTTAGTAGTATTATAAATTATTACTAACTTTATATATTTTTTTATGTTTTTGTTATGTTTTGTTGTAAAGTGGAATCACAAGTTCCACCTGTACAAAGAACTTATTATGAAGAGTTATTTAAATCGGCGGATTTAGATAGAGACGGTGAGATTGGTGTTACAGATGCAGCTTTCTTTAGGAAATCAATGTTACCGAATGAAACGCTCGGTGAGATTTGGATGCTTTCAGATGTTAAGAATGGCAAGTTGGATATCGATGACTTTATCGTTGCGCTAAAGTTGATTTCTTTGGCTCAGTTGGGTGCACCTATATCGCTCGACAGCATCAGAATGATGCCAGTCGTACCACCACCGAAACTGCAAGAGGTGGCACCGATGCCATTCGACTGGGTGGTAACACCCAACGAGAAGTCAAGCTACGTGGATATATTCAATCGCAACGACGACGACGCCGATGGATTCATCTCGGGAGACCAGGCGAAAGCGATATTCAGCACATCGGGGCTGCCAGGAAAGCTGCTCGGTCACATCTGGTTCCTCTCGGACCTGAACGGTGACAGAAAACTCGACTGCCAGGAGTTCATCATTGCGACATTCCTGATTCGTTCGATTCTCAAGGGATATGAGTTGCCCAGTAAGTTGCCGGATTCACTTCTCCAATCGTCAAAGTACATCAGCAACATTGGAATACCGTCACCCAAGGTGCCAGAGTGGTTGATTCCACCGGCCGAGCGAATCATCCACGAGGACACATTCAACAAGAATCAACAGAACGGCAAAGTCAGTGGAATGCAAGCAAAGTTGATCTTTGAAAAGTCGGGACTGCCCGTGATGGATCTCAAGCAGATCTGGGACCTGGCCGATTACAATCAAGAGCAGTATTTGGACCGTCAGAAGTTTGTCATTGCAATGTTCCTGATTGCGCAACGCAAGAAAAAGAAAGAATTGCCACCAACGCTGCCACCCGTACTCTTGGAGTCTTCGAAAGCCAACTTCCAACCGACATCGCCCACCACCACAATCGATTCAATCGAGAAAGCGAAATCGCACCATGGTGGAAAGTATGACTTTGATTTAGATGAAATCGTTTCAAATACAACACCGATCGTTGGTGCAACAACACCCGTATCAATGACATCACCAACAAATGAAAATGATTTCCAACAACAACAACAACAACAACAACAACAACAACAACAACAACAACAACAACAACAACAACAACAACAACAACAACAACAACAACAGCAACAACAAGTAATTCAACAGCAACCAATTCAACAACAACAACCGATTCAACAACAACAACAACCAATTTTATCACCTCCACCACAACCACAATTACATCATCAACATTCATTTAAATTTGATCAAGGATATCAGCAAGCTATGGCACCACCATCACAAATTCAAGCTAATCTTCAATCACCAACTCAATCTTTTGGTGTAAGTAACATTGTGAATTATCAAACTTACTTACAATTGTACTTACTTTTATTTTGAACAAAATTGTTGTATTATAGCAAACTCATACTAAAGAATCAATAGAAAAAGTTAGACAACAAACTGTGGAGCGAGAGAAATCATTGGCAGAGTTACAGAAGCAATTCATTGAGGAATCGGCTATCTCTATTGAGTTGAATAAACAGCTGCAAGCAGATACAAAGGTGCTTGAGGATATTGTTGTTGAGATTAGAGAGCACGAGGAGAGGCTTGCTGTTCAGAGGCAGACTATCATCGAGATCAAAGAGAAGATATCGTCGACACGTGTCGATATCAAATCGTACAAGTCACAGTTGGAACAGGTCACTAAGCTGCTACAGGAGAAATCCGAGCAGTACGACGATGAGAATGAAACACTCTTGCTGCTACAGGGAGATCTCACCGACAAGCAGTCGGAGCTGGAAAAGTACACCCAGGAGATCGCCACTCTAAAGTTGGCGATCGAGTCTGTCAAGTCACAGAAACCCGAGAAAAAGAATGAGATTCAACAGACTAACCGAGCGATCAACGATGCCAAAGCCGAAGTGAAGCGACTGAACGAAGAGTTTAAACAACTGAAAGTACAACAATCAGCTATTAATCAGTCATCCGATAGCAACTTTTCCAACAATAGTGGTAGTAGTACAAAGGATACAGGTGTTGTTGTGGCTCCTGCTGCTGCTACTACTACAACAACTACAACTTCATTCAACTCTCCACCTACAACAACAGCATTCGATGATGGTTGGTCACTCTTTAACACAACAAACGTTGTCACTGCTACACCACCAGCAACAGAATCACCAATTTCAAATGCACCTGTAACTACAGCTACACAAACTGAATCCAGTAGTAGTAATAACAATAGTCCTTTTGCCACAAAGACTGTTGTTTCACCAACAACATCAACAACTACAACAACGACGACGACATCTTCTAATACAGAACCTACTCCAGCAGCAGCAGCAGCAACAAACAACTTTTTCTCAAATGACAACTTCTTTGATGATAGCAAATTTGTTAATTTCAATGATAATCAATTCTCTTCATTTGGATCTGCAGAGAAGAATCATTTGTTTAATGTGGTTGGTGATGACAATAGTTCGAGTTCACACAAAGCAGATGCTGGATCGGACTTGTCATTCAACGACAGTTCAAATCTATTTGGAAACAGTACATTTGGTGAACCAAGTGGTTTCGATACTTTTGAATCTTTCCAATCTGCCAAAGATCCATTTACCACTTCCATTTCAAACACTTCATTCTCAACACGTGAATCATTTATTGTACAACAACAACCAAACAACAGAGCATCCACCAATGTATCAACTAATAACAATTTCTTTACTACCACTACTACATCACCAACAACAACAACAACAACTTCCACAACAAACAATGATAATAATAATAAGCCAGTTGAATTTGGCAACAATGTATTTAATGAAGACGAAAGTTTTACAAGCAATAACGACTCAAAAGAAGAAGAACAACAACAACAACAACAAAATGTACAAATGGGATTTGAAGATTCATTCGATGATACATTCTCAAGTATTCAATCAAGCACTAGCATCAAGGTAGACGCTGGAGAAACACCATTCAATACACCATCAAACTCTGTTAATGCCGATGATCTCTTTGGTTCGACACCATTCGGAGTGACCACCAAAACAACGATGGACTCTGTTGATAACAATAGTAACTTGTTCTTTGACAACAATGCATCATTCTCTTCAAATTTCGATGATTCTCCATTCACCAACAATTAATTAATTAATCAAACGAACCAACAAACATTACCATGCAATGCAATGCAATATAAATTAAATAAATCAAAAAAAAAAATAAAAAATAAAATTGAAAAAAATTTTTCAAAAAAAAAAAAAATTGCAAAAAAAAATGAAAAATGAAAAAAATTAATTTTTTTATTTCAATTAAATTTTTTATACAAGTTTTATTCTTTTTTCTTCCTTTCTAATTATCTATCCTATCATTTTATTAATTATTATTATTGTTTTTTTTTAAAGCAATGTAAACATTATCTTTGATAGGGTTATAAGAAGGATTTAATAACAACAAACAAACAAACAAAAATACCAACTAAATTACTATATTCTCAAAGTTTATTATTTTTTTTACATTCTATACTTTTTTTAAACAAAAAAAACAGGTATACAATACTATTGTACAAGATCTATTTATTGTATACTCTTTTTAATATAATCGTTTGATCTTTGTTATGGGATAATAAAATATAATATATAAATATTCACTTTAATGATCATTATTATTATTTGATTAGAAAAAAAAATATAAAAAAAATAAGATAGAGTTTTGTGTGTGCAATTGTATTGTATAGATAGATATAGATTATTTATTTATTATTTTATTATTTATATATATTTATTTATTTTTATTTCATTCTCATTCTCATTATTATCATTATTATTATTATTTATTATTATATTTTTCAAAAATAAAATAAAATAAGAATAGAAAAGAATAGAATAAAATAAAATAGAATGGATTCTCAACATCAAATCAATAAAATGATAGTCAACACCACAGGCTTACCGTTGCACCACAATAATCATTACTATCACGGTAGTAGATATGCTACTAGTATTAGCACACCTACAACACCTACGGCAACAACTACCAAATCAAATATAGATTGTAATAATAGTGTAAATAACTTTCAACTTATTCCAACAGCATCAACAAACCAATATAATTGTATCACTAGTAACAATATTAATATCAACATCAATATTAATAGTTTAAATAGCAACTATCACCATCAAGTTCAACCAACTTCCTCTTCCTCCTCCTCCGCATCATCGTTTTCATATAATAAAAAGAGATCAAGAGACATTGTGGATATTGAGCAACTAGGAATATTAAATAATAATAATAATAATAGCATTAATAAAAATATTATTATTAATAATAATAATAATAGTTTAAATAATAATAGTCATATAAATAATAATAGTTTTACATCATCATCATCAAACTCATCAGCATCACAGTCAAAAAAAGAAAACACAACATTTTATCAAAATCATTTAAATAGTAAAGGGGCAACTACCAATTATTCAACATCCCCACTATCAAACTCATTCTCTACTTTCACAAGTCATTTCTACAATGACGATGATTACAATGATGAAGATGACCACAATAATGTAAAGATATTCAAGTCTCGAAAAGACGTAAGTTGATCAAGATTTTTATATTGACATTTTCAATACATTTCAAAATTTGGGTACTAACAAAACAATTTAATAATAACAATAACAATAGGATAACGATAAAAACATTGTTCCAACATCACCTCATTTACATAAATCAATAAACTCACCATTTGCCTCTAATCTATCAACCTCACCACTTTCTTCTGTACCTGTTTCTCCTCTGCTGTTACCACCATCAGCCACATCGACACCAATCACACCAAGACAAGCTATTTCTTCTTCGCATTGCTCAACACCTCGATCACATCTACCAAACAGTATACAACAACACCTTCACCAACAATATCATAATCAAATAACTCCACAGCTGTCACCATTGACACCACCTTCCAAACCTGATTTCAAATTGTATCAACAACAACAGCAACAACAACAACAACAGGAGGAAGAATCAAATCGAAAACAACAACAAATTAATAATAATGATCTTAGTAGATTTGAACTTACTTTTGAACAACTAAAGATATTCGAAGAGGATGAACCCGAGTTGATAGAACTCAATTCATCTTGGAACGAAGAGGAGCATGATCATGATGAATTGGCATTGCCACCACGCAGCATACTGTCATGTGCAACCAGACAGCCATATCAACTTTCCCCGATAGAGTCGGTGGTGGTCAGATCTCGCAATCCAATGGCACCCTATTTACTCTATGGTACAGAATCACGCTTCAGTAACTCATATACAAGCAGCAGTAACAACTCTTATGAAGATTACTCTGAAGAAAGCGAGAATGGAGATGACGACGACGATGAAGATAATGACATATCAAGTGATTGTGACAATCAAACCGGAGGACCATTAAGATTTTTCGATAGTAAAATACCTCAGTCCATGACAATCACACCTTCTTTTGAAAAGAGTGCTCCACTCAACATTAACACCAATAATCTGTGGAGGCCAATCAATTCCAACAACAATAACAACACCAACAATTCCAACATCATCAACAACAAAAACAACAACCCTAATTTTGGAAATACGAATTGGAGTCACATTAATAGGTGATTTTAAATTTGTTTTTTTTTTTTTTCCTTATCCTACACTTATATAACCTTTATATATAATTATATTTTTCTTTTTTTTTTTCTTTTTTCTTTTTTTTTCTTTTTTTTTTTTGTAATCAATCTAATTAATAAATAATAAATTAATTTAAATTATTTTATTTATAAACCAATCCAATAAGATCTACCTCCTGTGTTATGAATGGGTGCGACTAATGGTGATGTAACAGTCCATTCATACCATACTTTTGATCGATTTGAATTTCTCCAAAATTGCAATGTTATCTTGTTTCCTTTTTGAATATTTATTGGTTCCTGTGAGAATGAGATTAAAAATAATTAATAAACGGTAAAGGAAATAGTTTGATCAAAAAGTGTTTTTCCTATCACACTTACTTTGATGGGGAAATAAATTGGGAACCAACTGAACATTCCTGTTGAAAAGTTGGCAGGGTTTATACTAATGTGAACATCGTCATATAAACAACAATCAAAGTATCCGATGAATCCATGTAGCATTGTATCGTTTTCCACTGAAAAATCAATGGTTTCAAATCGATCGTTATCTATCACTATTGGTTGTAACGAATGCTTTTGTTCTCCGATAGTCTTGGTAACCTCTGGGTTGGGATGAGTGAATGTAAACAACGGTTTGGAGGTTGCTATCTGATGGAAATTATGTGCTTTCACCACGTAGGGAGTTTCGAAATGCTTTAGACTGGTATGAGATGCCACTTCATTGTAGAGTTTCGACGATGACATCGGTGCGATATACGAGGTGTACCAAGTCGGTATACTTATTCCGTTGGGTTTCAAGAATCGCTGAGCGCCGTCAAGACACTCGGGACTCAGTTCGTTATCACCGAACGAACCGAGTAGCTCTGAAACCATGATGTCGGCGCGTTCCTCCGTCTGCCAGTAACGCATATCGCACTCGATGATGGTGACAATCTCTTGCCATCCTTCCATCACTATTCTATTTCTCAGTGTGACAATGGCGTTTGGATTCTTTTCGACGGCAAACACACGGATCTTACGACTGGCTTCGAGTGACGCTGTAATTGCCGATTTGATAAGCGGTCCTCTGCCAGCACCGACCACCATAACAGTGGTGAGCGAATCGGGAGTGGTTGTGGCGAGTAGTGCCTTACGAATTGCATTCTTATACTCTAAATACTTGACGGGATCTCTTTCGAAGATCTCATAGGTTTGCGACTCGAGATTATCCATCAACGGTTGCAACGGCATCTGTAAATAATCCAAGTAAGGTTGTTCAAAGTATTCCACTTCTGTAATAGGTTCTTGATTCTCATGTAAATACTTGATATATTTCAAATAATCTTGCATATTTTCAGCACAACCTGATAGAATGAATTGAATATTATACTATAAGATAGGATAGATGTTATTAGTAAAAAAACTAGTTAACTTTTGCTTTTACTTGTTCATTGATTGTGCAATTATATATTATTTACCTTGAATATCTTTCTAAGAAACTCTCTGTGTTTTTGAATTAGAGATGGATATCCATTTGGATTGGTTACGAAAATCGATGTTGGTATGATGATTGCTTTCACTGGTTCACCTAGCCATTGATTGATGACCGAAGGTGAAGGTAGGTCAGCTGTCATCTCTAAAACTACAAACAATGATGGATGTTGATTACACAATGTCCTGAAATCATTCCAAATACACCAAGTATTTACTGGTGCTACTGATGAATTGTCATTGTTTGTTTCATCGGCCACCGATTCACTTCTATCCAAAGACAACTCTGGTGTAGTTAACGGTATTCTCATCCACAACCGCATGTTGGTCAAGGAACTTAGTGTTTGATTGATTATCTGAGCATAAAAAGGTGATATCGATTTGGTGGGTGTCGGTATCATCAATGCTGGTACTGCTAAATGTGCTGCCCATGATATCTCTTGTTTCATTGCCTAACATAAAAAAACATGTTAATGTTACTATTATTGTTTTTAACTTTTACTTAGTAGCTACTACTTACATCGATAGATGTCTTTCTAATTGTGATATCTAATGAATCTACATGTAACCATGGAGATAGTTTCGCAACTATAACCGACTTCCATTGTGAAGACTCCAAAAGTAGATCTGATCTTGTGAAAGGTTGATCCAATCGAATATCTCTTTTGTTACGTGGGTGTGCAATTGGAACTGCCAGAAAGTCAAATCCAGTATCATAGGCATTATCAACCTCATTCCTTAGATCACACACATCATTATATTCAATACCACATGAAAATGGGTAATGTTCTCTGTTTAGGTTGTTGTTGTTGTTGTTGTTCATTGACGACATCAAAGTGAAGTGAACAAAACAAACTGCAGTTAACTAAATAAAACTAATTTTATAATAAAAAAACAGATTTTCTGACTAATCATGCTAAAATCATTTTGATTGAATGTTTTTACAAAAAATAAAAATAAAATAAAATAAAAAACAAAACTTTAGTTTTTTTTAAAACATTCAACCAATGTTGTTCCAAAAATCGTCTTAAATTAAAAGCGATTTTTAAGATTCCTTTAAAATAAAATAAATTAAATACGATTTTTTTAATTTTTTTTAATCCTGGTGGTTACTTTTTTTTTGTTTTTCCCATCAAAACAAAATATCTTATTAAGTTTATTTTTTTGCCAAATCAATTCATTTATTTTTTTCATCTTTGTGTTTTATTTTTTTATAATTATTTGTTTGTTTTTATTTGTAATACTTATTATTTGTATATTATTATTATTCATTCTTGTATTATATATTGGTATGAACTTTTATATTTTATTTAGTTTTAGTGTAATATCACTTTTTATTGGTGGATCATTATCACAACCATGCAGTCATCCAATTTATTGTAGTGGACAGCTACTGGAAACAGTACAGTTGGCACAGATATTCAATGATTCAAAGACTTTTGTTGATATGCCATTGAAGTATTCACTGGAACAGGTGCTGCAATCATTCCAGGCGTTGATGAACGGTACCCATAATAAAGGTGGTCCTACACCAACCGATATCAGTGGTTTCGTATCTGATAACTTTTATCCGGCGGGATATGAAGTAGTCCAAATGAATCCACCAGATTGGGTACCGTATCCGCCATTTCTACTTCAGATCAAATCACCTGAGCTACGAGTGTTTGGACAGTCGGTTCACACTAAATGGCGAGATCTCTCGCGAACATTCAATCACACTGGGCTGTGTGATCAGTGTTACTCATCGATATCGGTACCGTATCCATTCATTATTGCAGGTAGTCGGTTCAGAGAGTATTACTATTGGGATAGCTTTTGGATGATTCAAGGTCTGCTCGTTTCAGACATGACAACGACAGCGCGTGGAATGCTATTAAACTTTGCATCGGTATTCAAACAGGTTGGATTCATTCCGAATGGTGGTCGTCTCTACTATCTCAATCGTTCTCAACCACCACTTTTCACTCAGATGGTACAGGAATATTTCACGGCAACCGAAGACATCCAGTTGGTTGCAGAACTTCTTCCAATTCTCGATCAAGAATATCTATTTTGGATGGAGAATCGTGTCGTGCAGATACAATCACCAAACTACCCTGGAACTCATACTCTAAACTTGTACAATTTCACTAGTACTCAACCACGTCCGGAATCCTACTATGAAGATTACACAGGTGCAAAATCAATGACAGAAGAACAACGAATTTTCTACTATAGCTCTTTGGCTGCCGCCGCAGAATCAGGAATGGATTTTTCAACGAAATGGTTTGCTTCTGGCAGTTTAAACCTAAGTTCAATTGAAACTATTAATATAGTTCCAGTGGATCTAAACTCTATTCTCTATGCCAACGAGAAAACACTATCGAAATTCCACTCTATGTTTGGAAATACTTCAATGTCTAGCTATTATTCCAGTCAAGCAGCAAAGAGAGCGGAAGCAATGATGGATATAATGTGGAGTAAAGTTGACTATCAGTGGTATGACTATGATCTCAGCACTGGCAGTCAGCGAACACAATACTTTATTACCAATTACATGCCTCTGTGGGCTGGTCTGCAAAACCAACAACCAATTGGCTATTTCACCCAATTCGTAATGGATGAAATAGTGAAGGGAATGTTCTCAATCTCCATGGATTATGTAGGTGGAGTACCAACATCACTTGTAAATTCCGGACAACAATGGGATTTCCCATATTCTTGGTCACCACAGCAATATTTCATTATTGAAGCGTTGTTTTCCACTAACAGCTCGATAGGTTCAGACATGGCATTAGATTTAATCGAGAGATGGGTACAAACGAACTATTGTGGTTGGTCATCGACTATTTCCATTCAAGGCGGAATGATGTTTGAGAAATACAATGTCAATGAAGTTGGGCTACCTGGCGGTGGAGGTGAATATGTCGTTCAAGATGGTTTTGGTTGGACCAACGGTGTAGCATTGTATCTACTAAACTCTTATGGTTCTAAATTAAAATATAGTGCATGTTCATCATCATGATGAATGATAAATAAATTGTTTTTGTATATATTTCTATACAACAACAAAGAAATAGAGATAGGAATGTGAAAAAAGATTTGTGTGTGTAATTATTTATATGTATGTTTTTTTTTTATATTTATAACTTTTTATTTTATTAAATTAGAATTGAATTTTGAGGTATCTGAATAATGTCGCAACAATCAGGTGCCGTTTACATCATATAACAGCTGCAACATTTACGTTGAACTTTGGTTGAAATTAATGGTGCCTTTTCACTGGATTCCGATTTGGAAGTTGGTTGTGTTGCTGCCAATTTAGGTGATGCTGTTTTCGAGTTTGATGCGACTCCTTGTGATTTGATAGTTGGTGAATTGGTTTTGTTGGATGTAGATGAAGAAGATGATGATGATGATTGTGTTGTCGTGGTAGAGGTAGTAGTTATTGAAATATCAGATTTTTGATGTTGTGGTTGTTGTTGTGATGTTGGTATTGGTTCAACTATATCAAGCTTTGTTTCTGTTGTTGTTGTTGTTGTTAGTTCTTGTGATTTATCAGCATTAACATGGAGTGACATTGTTTCAACTGCTGGATGCTGATGCTGCTGTTGATTCTTATCTGTATCGTGAATTTCTACAATCACCGCTGGTTTGACTTCTTTGCTTTCCTCAGTTGAAATAGTAGTCTCTTGTTGAACAGTAGTAGATTTGTTGATTACTTCCGCTACTGGCTCTGGAGTGGTCTCAACAACTTCTACTTTAGGCTCTTCGACAATGTGTGCTTTAGTTTCCTCAATAGCAACAACTGCTGCTGGTGATTGTTGTTGCTCTTCGTTTGATTGTACAGAGATGGCTTCCACCTTCTCTGGTGGAACTACTGGTAATACAACTTCTTCAGGTTTATTCTCTTCAATTTTGACTTCTTCGACCACACTTGGTTTGATTTCTTCAACTGGCAATACAGTTTCTTCAACTTTGACTTCTTCCACCAATTGTTGTGGTTTGGTTTGTTCTTCTTGAGCAATAACTTGAACAGGTGCTGTTGGTACTTGTTCTTCTTCTTTTGGTTGTTCGGTTACCTGTATTGGTTCAATTGGGGTTGGTGAGGATGTATGGTCGACTGAAATATCTACTGTGGTGTTGGAGATGTTGTTTTTGTTTGCTGCGGATATCACTTCTTTTACCAGGTCAGAGGAATCGAAACTAACATCGGCGTCATGAATTATGACATCATCAATATCTGAATCTGGGTCGTCACTCTGAGGAGAATATGGTGGTCTATCGTCGTCGTCGTCATCATCCTCTTCAGCATCGTAGTCAACATCGATATTTTGATATCTTTGGTTTTGTTGTTGATGATGTTGTTGTTCATTTTCATCATACTCGTCATACTCTTCATCGTCGTCGTATTCATCGTCATAGTCGATCTCATCTTCTTCGTCTTCGTCGTCATAGTCGTCATCGTCATAGTAATCGTCATCCGAATAGTCACTCTCTTTCTCGTATGTATGATAAGAAGTCTTACTAATATTAAATGAAACATTTCTTTTCGATGCTGACATGGTTCCTGATTGTTGTTGCTGTTGTTGCTGAGTTATATGAGCGTTACTATCATCGTCATCGTCATCATTACCAGAAGCATCTACATCTTCATCATAATCATCGTCCTCTCCATCTCTAACTTCCAACTCATCGTCATTGTCAATATCGTCATCTTCTTGATCAGCCGGTTGTTGTTGTTGTTGTTGATGATTATTTTGTGGAGTTTCATTTGTTGATTGATAATGGTTTTGATCGTCAGAGTCAGTGTCTGACGAGAATGAGGAATCGGAATCATCGGATTCAGTACCGGTACTATTTTTCTGGTCAAACTGGCCGGTGGAAATGATCTTTTTGGCATCGGCAATCAATCCTCCTGGCTGTGGTTGCTGTGGAAGTGGAGGTGGCGCTCCATTGGTTCCGTTGGCCATGCTACGCAACGATGGGTATTGAAGCGATGGATTCTCTCCAAACAAATCCACTTTCATTGTCTTTAAGGTCTGAGAGATCAGCTTGAAAGCGGGACGATCGTTTGGATTGAATTGTGAGCACTGGAGCATCAGCATCAAGAAGGCTTCTGGACAATCAGCGCCTACCTGTGACACCATCATCTCTGCATTGACACTATAGTTTGCCAATCTCATATTTGGTGTTGGCTTATTTCTGGTGATCAACTCATACAACAACATTCCAAACGAGAAAACATCACAACTTTCATCGTAATCTTGTCCAGTTATCATTTCTGGTGCCTAAAAAAAAAAACAAAAACAAATATTAATATTCTATAACAATAAAAATACATTTAAATGTAATAAGTACTTACCATCCAATTATCAGTACCACAAATAGTCATTGATTTATTATTTTCATCATCAACAATTCTGGCAAAACCAAAATCACAAACTTTAACTTTCCATTGAGTGTCAATCTGAAAAAAAAAAAAAAGTTAGATATTTATTTGTTTTGTTGGTTGAGCAAGATTAAGATATTATTATAACTTACTAAAAGATTAGATGATTTCAAATCTCTATGTACAATATTTTTACTGTGAAGATATGACATTGCCAAAGATACATCCAGTGCAATATTGATTCTCAATAGCCATGGTAGGTCGATGGATCGATTCTTTAGGTACCATTGTAAATCACCGCCCTGAACCAATTCAGTAACAATATATAGGATACCTTGTTTCTCGGCGACACCCACAAACTGAATGACATTTGGATGTCTAAACAGTTTAATGGTCTCGATTTCACGATGTAAAAACTTTTCGAGATCCTTTCTATTGGGATCGTCTGGTGCAATGTGAATCTTCTTGATGGCAACCGGTGTACCTAGATAGTCGCCCATATAGACTTTACCGAACCCACCACTTCCGATCTCTCTGCCAATCGCCAAATCCTCGAATGCAATCGTCCATGCATTTTCAATGGATGGTATCGATGTATCTATACCTCCACCATTCATTATATTATACTATACTTATACTTATATTATATATTATATTATTTTTAACTTTGCTTATGCTTTGCTATGCTAATGCTAATGCTATGATATATTTTATTTTTCAGGTGATAAAAAAAAAAACAAGTGATTGATTATTTTATTTTGATTGTTTGTTTGTTACTGACAACAACAATTAAAAAAAAACTTATGATACAAAGAAATGAATAAATAAATAAATATATTTTATATGTGTGTGATTGGTTTGTTTTTTTTTTTAACAAAATCATTGATCAATAATATGATTAAAAAAAAAAAAATAAGCAATAAAAAAAATATGGGTCAGATTTTTTTTAAAATTTTTTTTTAAAGTTTCTTTTTTTCAAGAGATTTTTGAAATCAGAGGGTGTATTGCAATTGTTTCAAAACTGATATGATTTAGTGCCCAAAAAAATGGGCAATAAAAATTTTTTCATAACAGCTAAATTTTGATTTATCAATTTTCATAAAAAAAATCGTCACCTCACCACACATTACCAAAAATAAAAATATTTTTGAAAACAGAAAAAGTTGATCAAAAGTTTTTTTTTTAAAATAAAATTTATTTATTTCAAATAATTAATTTTTAATTTATTTATATTTTATATATATTATTTATATTTATATTTATATTTATATTTTATTTTTATGCAGATGGTCTTTTTACATTTACGTCAATATTTTTCTTAATTGAATCTATAATTGTTGCTACGGGATCTTCTGAATCGGATATCTTTAGACCAAATCCTTTTTGTGACATTCGTTTGGTTGGTGACTTTTTAAATGTTGTTATGATGGTGCTGAACAGTGTGAAAAACTTTTCCGTGTTGTATTTGTTGTTGGTGGTGGTGGAGATAGTGGTATTGCTGCTGCTGTTAATGTTATTGTTGTTGTTGGTTGTGGTGCTGCTTGAGAGTGAACTGTCTAGTGACAACGACGAGCCAGACGACGAGGTCGGTGTGGCAATCGGATTGAAAAAGTCAAGTACTTCGTTGAACAGCTTCTCGGTATCGAGATACTGTTTCTGTGTGGTGCGAAGTGTTGTATATGCGTTGTTCATGAAACGCGGCACCGCTGTGATGAATGGATCTTCGCTGTCGGTCGTGTTGACGATGTCGTCGACGATGGTTGTCAACTCGGTGTAGTCGGTCGACAGCTTCGACAGCTGATTGCCCACCTCCTGCAGATTGATAAGCGAGGCGTTGGAGATGTGTTGCAACTCATTTGGCAGAGTGTAGCTCTTTGGGTGGTTGTTGAGGAGTGTCTTGATTGCAAAGTCGAGAAGCGATCCGCTGTTCTGGTTGTCGCGTATCTCTAGAATCTTATTGAAGGCATCGAGGTGGAAACCATCGGCTTGACCACGATGTTGATTTCCGGCGTTCAAATAGTTACCGAGCGAAACAAGAGTGGACAAGAGCAACACTAGCGAATGGCTGGTTTTCAGTTCGTTGCAAGCAATCGAGACGGTTTCAATAGAGTCGGCGATGTTCTTTATCAAGTCGTCAAACTTCAGCATGAACTCCCAGCATCTCAAACGCTGTTTGATCTTTGGGAATCCGTCGATCATCAGACACCAACGCTCTGGCTTGTCGAGGATAAAGTCATCGTTTAGCTCTAGGATCGATGCCATTTCCTCTTGTGTTGGGATGTTGTTGTGGAGCGTCGAAACCAATTCCAACGACAACTTTGAGGAATCTAGCTCTCGCAACGCTCTAATTAGATTCTCATCGCTCGGCAACTTGCTACACATGATCGAGATGGCATTCGATCGTTTCTGTGAGAGCACTGAGATCACTTTTTGAATTGGCTTCTTATTCATAACGGAACTACTGGTACCACTGACACCCAAACCAGAGAGAACCGGTGAACCATTGAACGACACAAGTTTTTCAGTATACAGCGAAAACAACTCTACGAATTGTTCTTCATCAAATGTAACCTCTGGTAATTTATTCCAAACTGAATCTTTCCTATAATTATTAATCAGTTGATACATGTTAGTTTTGAATTTAATTTAAGTGATTAACAATATTATTATACTTACTCTAATGTACTAACAACAACTCTACTCCATGGAAGTGGTTTCATTCTCTTCTTAGGAGTGATGGCTGGTTTTGATGGATTAGACTTTGACTTGTGTGAGCTTGATCTTGCTTTTGGTGTATTTGTTACATCGAATAGATTATAAGTTGCAGTTTCATTGATGGTTATCTTTTTGAGAATGGCTGATGATGATTGATCATTTTTGTTGTTATCATGATTGTTATTATTATTATTATTATTATTATTATTTGATGATCCATTTGATGATGATTTAGTTAAATTATTTAAATTCTTTTCTGAAGAAATAGGTGATAATAATATATCAGTTGTTGAATTATTGTTATTATTGTTATTTGATAGATTTGATTTTGGTGATTTATAGTCTACTTCATCGAAATCATCATCAACCAAAGTTGAAGAATCGAAAAGTACCGAGGTGTTTGGTGATCTCACATACATGCTCTTTCTGAATGCACTGGTGAACTTATCACTACGTTTCAGGTAGGAGATATTGACTGGACCGTCACCAATGATGTCGTTCTTTCGCGCGATATACTCATCGTATCGCTCGGTCGGTGCTCTATAGTTGATGTATGAACCATTCTCAATGGCCGATTTGATTGCATTTCTCAGAAACTTTAGTTCGTGACTCAACAGGCGAACCAGTGGTTGCTGCTCCTGATACTGGATGATTGTCAACTCTAGATCTTGGGTAGACATTCCACGAACTAGTTCGGGTCGCTTTCTCGTCTCGAAGCCAATGCCCGCCATCACTTGGAAACGAGCACTCTGTGTCTTGAAATCACAGTGAGTGACGTGCTCCTGTGATTTGAGAATCTTGACAATTCCCAGTGCTTTCCAGCGAGTCAGTAGCTTCTCAACTTTTCGCGGATTCGGAGCGTTGTCCAGCAAGCAATTTAGCAGAGTGATGGTGTTGACTTGTGTTTCGATATCACCACTTGCCAGTAGGTTTACTAATGTTGTGTAAGCAGGCAAGTTGGTTTCTAGAGCGTGGTTTTTGGCGGCGCGATGCACCAACGAAAATCCATCGAAATTACACACAACAAACAACAGCTCAATGGATTGTCTACAGACTCCGGTTATGACAGATGGTGAGACAAGTGAGTACAGTTTATCAATGATTTGAGGACGTGACATCACTTCGTCCAATCCACTGTGGAATCCCATGAAACAACGCAGTGCCGTCAAGCAATAGGCTTGGGTATTTCCATGACTCTTTACGATGACGTCGAGCAGCTGATTGATTCCACCCTTTGCAATGAATTCCTCGACGTAATCGACATCTTTCATTTGGAAACGAATGTTGAATATGATATCTTTCATGGTGGGCGAGGTCGAAGAGTTTTGCCTCAGACTATCGATTACGCGCTGAGCGATGGCCTGCGGACGCATTCTCAGAATGAAATAAGACTTCTCGGCTTCGACCAAGCGTTCCGGTGTCAGGAATGCATCGTCTATATAATGGAGAGTGACCGGATTTTGAAGTGCGTACGATCCAACCTTTTCAACGGGAATCTTAAAGTGTGTCAGCAACACTTTGATATGATCTTTTACTGCAGTGTCACCATCGAATATATGTGATACCGATTGACACTGGGGGTTATTTCTATGTTCATTTCCATTTAGAAATTCAACTCTTATTTTCATTTTTTTGGTTTTTTTTTTGGACTGTCAATTTGAGAAATTTCAATTAAAATTCCTTTCAAATAAAATCAAACATTGAACTGAAGAATTTCAAATTATTATATATATCTAGAAAATTGTTATTAATTATTATTTTCAAAACCTTCAATCTCTTTGGATATAAATACTGGAAATGTTATTATTATTTGTATAAATAAATGATTTGATATATTTATTTTTAATATGATTGATTATGAAAAACAGTTTCAAATTGCAAGGATGGCTTATTAAATACAGAATTTTCAAATTTGACTGAATATTGTTTAATTGACTCACTACTTTGATTGACTGATTGATGATGTTGATATTACTGGTTAATTTGAACTATTTTTATGGTGTAATGTAATGTTCTACTTTTACTTTGGAATTATATGAATATTTAATTTGATTTTGGAAGGTATAGATCAACTATTATACATATATACATATATATATAAATAAATAGTGTATAATTTATTTTTATATTATTAAAGAGAATAAATTATAATGACATCCAAAAAATTGGTTTTTATATCATCAAATTCACTGGAGCATGGAGGTCACCTCATCAGCAAGCTGGTAATAGCCAACCACTCAAACTTTAACAACACTATAATAGTTACCCCCAGGCACTGTTGCTTGAAAATCAGATATATATATATATATTAAATATAAATTAATAATAATAACACTGCAACACTATAACAAGAACAACAACAGCTTAATATTAATAGGAAATATAGATTTACAGGTGAGGTAAATAAAATAAATTGTAGTAGTATTAGTAGAACAGAAAACATAAAATTTTAGTTAGGGTTTGAATTTGATCAAAATAGTGTTAAATTTATTTTTTTTTAAACATAAATAATTATAGGTATGTGAGGGATAGTGAATTGTGGCTGCTACTGCTGTTGTTAAAAGAAGAAGATTGAAGAAGTCAAAGTTGTAAGGGTGTGTTTGTGTGTGTGTGCTTGATTTGTTTCTTTCTTGATACACACCACCACTCAAATACTTACCACTCCACTAAAACTAACAAATCAATCACATTGAACACACTTGGTGTGTGTTTTGATCACACCAAGAAAAAAAAAACACACATTAAAATCACACAACTATATTTAAATTTTATAATACTATGAACATTTTTAATATAAATTGATCAAGATAAATGAAACTATAAACTATAATTGGTTGAAACATCAAACAAATAAACTTTCAATAATTGATGTTTCTCAACACTAAAACAAAAACAAGAACAAACAGATTAATATATAATCATATTGAATCCTACTTTAAAGTTAATTTGTTAGTCTCTACATTTTCAAAGGAACAATCAAATCAAATGAAATCATCAAAACCTTAAAATAATAAATATATAAGTTTATAATTAAATGTTGTTTGTTTTTGTTTTTTTTTTTTAAAAAATATTAGTTTATTATTATTATTATAAATGGTTTGTTGCTTTTTGTTTTGTTTTTAATTTATGATTTAATTGTTGTTTTCGATATCGTCTAAGAATTGTCTTGGAACTTTAATGTTAATTCTGTCATCCATTAAATCACGGTATTCGGCATCCTTACGTTTCTTGGATGCTTGAGCTTTCTTTCTTTGTTGAGCTTTCTTCAATTGATATTCCTTTGGATTGGCAACGGCATCAATGATTCTCTGTTGTTTACGTTCGTTACGTTGTTGTTGAACGTTCGACTCCGCCTCTTTGTAGGCAATGGAGAAAGTTGGCCCTCCGACCTTCTTCTTGACGATTCTCAGTACCTCTTCGGTGAGTGACTTCAAATCCTCTTCATCCTGCTTCAAGTTGGCAGCCGATGTTGTCTTGTAGAGTGGCAACAACATCAGTGGTAGATAAGGTTTGAGTTTATCCACTGACAATTGAGTTGCCATCGCAGCCATCCATCTGAAAATATATTTTCTTCTCATATAACCAAGTTTTGAAGACATATATGACAATCTCTTGAATAGCCAAAGCAACATCGGGTATTCTTCACCATTTCCAGTATTATTATTATTGTTGTTGTTGGATGTTGAAATAGTTGTTGTTGTTGCTTCTTCTTCTTCTTCCTCCTCCTCTTCTTCTTCTTCTTCGTTATCTACTTGCATATTATCTTCTTGTTTATTTGAGGTAGAAGATGATTGTTGTTGTTGTTCTTCATCATCGAATCCCCATGACATATTGTTATTTGGATTTTCTTCAACCAATGGTTTTGTTTGTTCAACAACATCACCGATGTTGTCATCTTCATTCTCATCGTCATCAGAAGCTGGACGAATTGTCTGACACTTTAAGAAGACAACAGAGAGGAATACAAGGTTCTTGACAACTTGAGCACCGAGATCGTCACCCAGCAACTTGCTGTTGAGTGTTGAGCATGTCTTCTTTGTCACCTCAAAGAGATTGGTTGGACTGAAAATGAATGATTGTACATCGGTGAGTTTGGATTTGGTTGATGACAACTTATTGATGGTTGGAACGAGTTGGTCGAATTTCTGGTTGGTAAAGAACGCACCGAAAAGTCTGGCCACAGAAGTTCTCACCCAGATATGAGGATAGTTGAAATAGTCGACGGCACGCTGCCAGAATGGAATCCAGAGTTTGCTGGAAATCTCCGATGGATAGTTGGACTGTACACGCTCCGCCATACAGAAAATGTTGTAAGACAGTTGCCAGCCAATGAGCGATGCCGACGTCTTGACACTCTCGTCGTCGCCACCCAACTCCTCAAAGACCTGAGAGGACTGCTCCAACTGCTGGAGTGTCTCCAAATTCTTCTGGAGATGTCGCACGGCAAGCGGGACGATCTTCTCAAAGAATTGGTTGAATCCATCGACCACCTCCGAAGCAATTCCGAATACCTGTGCCGCGGTCTTGGCCATTGCCAAATTGTCGGCATTTCCAAACCAAACGATCGTCAACTCAATCAGTTTGTTGGCGACTGGCGCAGCAATGTTTTTGAGTAGCGATTGCAACACGTTCGACGCCAGCACTCTACATTTGTTGGCATTGTCATTGGCGATTCTAACAATGAGTGGAACAAAGATGATTTGTGAGTAGGTGTTCAGTACTTGCTGTGGGAATTTCCTTGTGATCTTGAGCAACATCTTCAAGACTGCCATTCTACCATCCTCAGACTCGTAGTTTAGATTCTTAACAAAGAAGGTCAACTGTTGTTTCAAACGTTTCTCACCCATTGGATAGTAGATCAAAAAGTCGAGCATCAAATCACTCAATTGATTTTGAATGAGAAGAGTGTGTGATCTAACCAACATATTACTGGCAAGATCAACAAGGTCATAGATCTCTGTCAACAAAACCTTTCTCTTTATCAATACCTATAATATATCAAATAATTTATATATTAATAAACTTTTAATCCAAACTAAACTGTATTACAATAACAATTTAATAATACATACATGTAATAATTTAATTGCTTTGGTAACTTTGATTTCAGTCTCAGTAAAGAGTTGTTTGGTCAATGAAAGAATACCACGGAGTTGTTGTTCATTTACCAATTGATTGGAAGGATCCTTTAGAATCTGAATGATGATCTCATAGCAATAGGTAGTGAGCTCTTCATTGCTCTGATCCATTTGAAGTCTCTTTAGAATCAAAAGCATCACTGAATTGATCTTTGATTTCAATGTTGGCAATTCATAATTTAGAATTTGATTAAAACACTATATTATTTTAATTATTAATTAATTAAGAGAATGGTTAGTTTGTTTGTTTGTTTCTTTTGAAATTGTTATTATAATAATTTATATGAATAGTTACTCTAATTGAAAGTGCAACAATCTTTGAATTCTTATGCTCAATCGATTTGATGAGATTCGGTACCATTGGATCAATCATCTGAAGATATTCGAGAGTGTTGATCTTGTCGTTATGCACCAAGAGATTAAACATGAGAATCAATGCGAAATCAGTGTAGATATAGAGATTCGATTGAACACGTTTGATCATTTCCGCTCTCTTCTTGTTTGGATCGTCTTGAATTGAGAAAGTATCTTCAAAAGTAGGTTTAGCAGATTGTTTCTTCTTTAACTCTTGTTTTTCAATCTTGGTAACTAGTGTTAATGTAATAAATGTAATATTAATATATTTGTTTTGGTTGTTGTTGTTGTTGTTGTTGTTGTAATGATCTTTAAATACTATTACTTACCATCAAGTTTCTTTTCACCTTTTTGGAATTGTTGATAGATGAAAATGAGTAGATCTTTTGAATTTACACTTTGGTTGATTGAGATACCCTTGGCAACTTTACTTAGCATCTTCTGAACGTTGCTGAGGAATGAGGGTGAAGTGGAATCTTGGAGAATATCTTCGAGTGGTTTGATGATATTCTTTTGGATACTGCTAAAGTGAGTGAGACTCACCAACACTTTGAGTGCATCCATCACTCTTGGTTGTTTCGCTTCCATATAGCTGTCTTGAATGATTGAATCCTTTGGAATCGAGATATCCAAGAATAGATAATCGATAATGATATCCATTATCAGCTTGGATTGAGAATCGATCTGACCGGCAGGAGTCTTGTTTCTCACCAGTTGGAGTAGCAACGAGTGAATGGTGTACACGAGGATATGCTTCATGTAACCGGATTTCAACACGAATTTGAGGTCGTGAAGAATGAACGGGAAGAAACGAACACCCAACATCTCCAGAAGTTTAGTCAGTGTCTCACGAGCCGACTCACGTGTCTGAAGATTTTTGGCTTTCAACTCACCAACAACCTTACCAATCAATGGCGGGTAGAGAACTTTACTGGACTCATCCGGTAGCAGACTGTAAAGCTTGAACATTGCCAATGATACATTGACATCAATCATGGAGGTACGCTCCAAAGTGGTACCATGCTTCTTCTTTGTGATAATCAAGAACTTCTCGAGTTCCGGCACCAAGACGTGTACGATTGCTTGATGAATCTCTTCACTTATGTTACGTGCTTTGACAGATTCCTGGACGTTGACAACCATCATTGTTTGAGCAATATCAACAACACCTTCAGATTTGAATCGATCGTCATCTTCGACATCATCATTCTCCTCGTCATCCTCTTCTTTATCTTTCTTGCCAGTGTCCAGCTTGACAATCTTAATTTGTGCTTTCTTCTTCTTGATCGATTCAATCACTTCCTTTGAGATCTCTTTCTTGTCCAAGAAGAAATGGAAGTTATCCAACACGTCGCAGAGTGCACGAAGCAAGAACTTTTGTTTGATTGGATGCTTCTCCATCGCTTTGTGAATGGTACGAATCACCTGGTAGTAGGTACGCCAGTCGAGACGAGCGGAGAGCTCACCGATCGCTTTGCAAACCTCACCAAGATACGACGATTCCTTCTTGTTGGTCTCTTGGATGGTTGCCAAACAAATGGGAATGAGATACTGCACCACTGTAGATACCTTGAATTCATTGGTCTTCGACTTGATCACGTCACGCAGTGTTGTGAATGCAGAACGACGCTTCGACAACTGGATATGTGTGAAACTGGCAAAGAAACCTTTGTCACCGGCGAGAATAGCCATGTCTGAGAAGAAGAATTCCGAGTGCTTGGCAATGAGCTGATTGAAGAGATTCAACAGCTCAACACGAGCGTCTCCAGGTTCCTGAAGATTGGCGCGAACCGCTGGAACAAAGTACTCGTACAACATTCTGTATCGCCACTCCTTGTTCTCTTGGTCGAGTGTTGTCAACTGCTGAACAAACTTGGTCATACCGGATGCAGCACATGCTCTAATCGAGAAATCGTTGTCCAACAAGTAGAATACATAGTTGTTCAAAACGGATGGCAATTGGAGTTGATCGTATTTATCCAGTTGTTCGTTCGACTTGGCAAAGGCTTTCAGACGTGGTTCGAAATCGTAGGTGTCTTGAATCATCTTGGGATTGAATGCATTCAAATCGGTGAGCAGCTTGATGATCGATTTGATCGATGGAACTTTGGTGGCAATCGATTTGAAGACCTCCACGAGAATCTCACGCGATGCTCTACTTGTGAAACTGGCAAACAGCGCTGACAATGGCCCGATGTGTGACTCTGGATTGCTGACAAACTCAATCATGTTCTTGAAGATGGTGAGGATAGAGATGACCATATCCTTGTCGGATTTGATCTTCTTGAGCATGGCATTGCCAGACTTGAAGAATGGAACGAGCAGATCGAGAAGCTGGCTGGCTTGCTCTGGGTTCTTGGCATATCGCGACAACTCAGCGAGAATAAAGAGTTGACGACGCGAGATGTTTCCAATGGTTGGCTTGACGACTTGTCCGTCCATGTCGACACGCTGACGACGATACAAGATCGACTTGACCGATGTGATGATAGTGTCGACGTGTGGAGTGAGAATGACACGGTAGACTTCCGATTCGTCGGCGTTGACCAACAGGTTCTCAATGAGTGTAAGAATGTCGGACTGAATCGGTCCGTGAGAGATGAATGAGAACAACTTGGGTAGCAGTTCACTGTCTGTTGTTAGATGGTGAACAAGATTCTCTTGGAGCGATACGTTGAGAATCAACTGCTTGATACCAATGGGCAGACCGTACTTGGAGATATGTGGGAGCATCTTGGTGATGATCTGGAACAAAACAGTGAGATGTGGATTGAAATTGACTTGAGCAAATTGCTGAACGATAGTGGCAATTCTACGAATGGAGAGTGATCTTATCTCGCTTGTCTTGGATGTCGATGAACCAAGCTCACGACAAGCATTGATGGTGATTGCCAACAAGATACGAACGATCATATCAATCTTATCTACCAGGAGCATACCCATCTGTTTGGTGAAAGGCTGCAAGATATTAAGGAATTGAACTTGTGCGTCAAACTGTGGTAACAAATTCAAAGATTCATTGAATGAATCAATTGAAATAGTTTTAGCAACTAGTTCTTGTTTCTTATTCTTCTTGTTGTTCTTGTTTGTGGTGGTGGTTGTTGTTGATTCTTCTTCATCGCCATCCAGTTGTTTAACTGGGAATGCAGGTAACAATTGAATGGACTTAAGGAATGAATTTGAAATACGATCGAGAATTGGTTGAATCTCGTGTTTTTCAAGTCCAGAGAGGTAAGAGAAGATGGTTGCACGTTGTTGGTCGATGGTGGTTCTACCCGAAGTTCGCTTGTTCAACTTGGATAGCAGAACCTTGACGACAATCTCGATGATTTCTGGACGCTGCTCACGCGGAACCGAGCAAGTTGGCGATGAAGTAGCAATGACAAAACTAACCATTTCATCACGCATAGTCTTATCGCCAATCAGTCTTTCAAAGTTCTTTCGGTAGGGATGCAAGTTGGGACGAGTGAGCAACACACACTGCAGACCAACCATTTGGATCTGTGATTCATCTAGTTCCAAAGTACGCAAGAAGATCTCTTGCATCAGCGCACTACGATACATCTTCATCGGTTTCTTCAGCTGGCCAAAGAATTCCAGGAAGAAAGTGAGGATAATGTTGGCCTGTGACTTGGTGTAGCCACGTTGCTCACGATTCGATTCACTGAGAGCACCGTGTTTCTCATCGAATGGACGATTGAAAATCGCAGAGAATCTATGATAGTCAATAGAGACAAAATCAAGGAATTCCATAATGATATCCTTGGCGAATGACTCCACCAAGTGTCCGAGCTGTGACAATGTCTTCCAGAGAACTTCATTGTAGGCAGCGACAGTTGTTGGTTGTTTAATGATATTCTTACATCCCAAACGCTCTTTAATGGCACCTTTAGACATCTCCAATATCTCTTCAAACAACAAATCAACTTTCAATAAAGATTCATCGAATTGATTTTCATTTAAATATTCATCCTCCTCTACTACTTCCTCTTCTTGTTCTTCTTCTTCTTCCTCTTCTGCCAAGTCCATTTCATCAACAACTTCTTCTCCTTCTTGGTCATCATTATCATTGATTTGTTCAACTATCGATTGTTGTTCTTCCTCTAGTTTTGCTGCTGCTTTGGCATGAGCTTTACTCTTGCTCTGCTCGAGCACTTCGTTGTTGGAAAGCTGCAATCGCTTGTAGAAAAGTGGGTAGAACTCCTTGATGAGGTCGTTGGATTTGGCAATGGCGATGATTGACTTTTGTACGGATGCCCACAGCGGTGTGTATCTGATGTAGAAAGCACCGAGTAGATAGTTAAAGAAATGCTGTTGGAGCAATCCAACATTTCCAGAGGTGAACAACGTCAAACAAGAGTCCATCTTTGCAACGACAGCACGACCCTCAACCTTGTGGAACTCGGCATTCTCAATCTCCAGTAAATACTCTAACAACCGAGCAATGTCAACGTCCTTCTCGCTGGTCTCCTCGTAGAGAGTGGCACTGTGCAAATGGATCATCACCTGAATCGATGATTTTCTAATGGAGCTGGATTTAGACGATAGATTCTCGCTGAACAATGGGATTAACTTTTCGAATTGTTCATAACTAACTAGCTGTTTCTTTTGTTGCTTTTGTTGTTTCTTATTGGATTGTTGTTGTACGACTTTGGTTGCTGTCTTATTACTTGAAATATTGATAACCGTTCCACTGCCAGCAGCTGAACTTCCAGACGATGGGAAGTTGACAGACAACTGGTAGTTTTGTATCAGAGTATCCAAATAGATGGAGGCGGCATTCAAAATATAATAGTTGTCTGGCTGCTTCTCTAATAACTCCAAAACCGTTGGTAAAAGTGATTGTAATTGACTTGAATCTACACGTGACACAATGACAACTCTTGAAACTAAACATTGTCCTTGAAGATATATAATATTATTATTGCTGTTGTTGTTGCTGCTACTACTGCTCTTTGTTATTCTTGTAAAACATGATTCCAAAACTTTGATAATCGATCTATCTTTGTATTCGAGTGAGAGAGACAGTACTAGACCTGCCCAGAGTAGGGAATCGTCGACACTGGCAGTGTTTAGATAGTTTTCGAGTTTGGCAGCTATTTTCGGTGTGTTGTGCAGGATTGGGAAGTCGGATACCGAAGTTAGACCGTCGACTCCGTTCGGGTCGAGTGCAATCAGACGCACCAGGAATGTAATGGTTTGCTCAAAGTCGAGATTCTCAATGTTCCTCTCGAGATACTTGACGAGTCGCTGAATGACAAACGATTCAAACAGACTTTGTCTGTCGATCGACAAACAGAACGAAAAGATATTCAACTGCGAGTGTTGATCGGAGTGAGTGAATAACACCTCTACCAAACCCAAAAACATGTCCTTGTGCTCCTTGAAGCGATTGAAATGCAGCTGTGGCAACAGACCGGACATGGCAGCGGTGATCGATGCAACATCGAATCCATACTTTACAACTATATTCTTATAGGTATCTTTATTCAATACCTTTGAAATAATATCTAAAATAAACTTGTAATCTAAGTAAGAGTATAGTATGATTAGTATATTTTTAAAGACAACAACATCCGAATCGATTAGATATAACTACTACATACCAGTTATAAGACAACCTCTTTTGAATGAAATAAAAGATTGAATGATTGAATAGTATGTGTTGAGTTGTGAGGATATAAAGTTGGATGATTCAGTGATTGTTTGTAGTTGTTCGTTGAGAGTGTCAGACTCGGCTATCAATGTCTTCCAGATCGGTTGTAGATTATCGCTTTCATTCTTGGCATGTCTAATAACGAGTTGGTATATTTGTAGGAGAACACTTTGTCCAAACTTTACTTGTTTAGATCTATCTTGATTGTTGTTATTGTTATTATTGTTGCTGCTAGTTGATTCACTCTCGACCTCATCCATCTCTTCATCTTCATCTTGACTATCATCATTCAAATACTCTATTGTTCTAAAAAACATTGGTATGGTATACTCTGTTCTAGAATGGAATCTACCCTTTGTACCCTTGATCATTTGGAACAAAAGGAATGTGAAAGCATCGAAATATTCACCACCGGCTCCACACTCTCTATGCTTCTGCCACGAGATGGCAAACATCTCATTCAAAGTCGACTGTAGATTCTCAAACGGTATCTTTCTCAAGAGATAAGCAATACTCTCCGCCGCAAATCTTCTAATATATTTTCTTTTTTGTTTTAACAACTCTGTATATAATCTATTCATCGAATCGAGTGAGATAGGATTAGAATTGAATGAATGTCGTTTGGTTTTGTTTAGTCGAATCGACTACTACTTACTGGAAACAAGTAATGAAATCTTTGGTGATCTGTTTCTCAAGGAATTTGAATTGATAGCAAATCGATGTGAATAGTTGCTCGATGTTCTCGGCGGATTGCTGTTGGAGATGTTGGTGTTGGGCGGGCGGTGCGAGTAGCAGTGAAACGAGGGTCGGTAGGATCGGGTTGTAAAAGTATGGGAAGAACTCGGAGCGAAGGTCACGCGAGAGCGCAGCCAACAAACTGAGGAGTGGCCGCAGTGCCTTGTTGTTCGGTCGCTTCAAGTGCTCGTTCAATATGTTGACGATACGCTCCTTGTCGAGCAACAACTCGGCCAGCCCAACTGGACATCTTCGCAGGTGTCGCTGGAACGAGGCAAAGTCTTCGGAGAGATCCAACTCGCGCCACGCCATCATCGTCTGGTGAAAATACGAATCGTTCTGCTCATCATCCAGCTCAATAATGATATCTCCTACCTTTCCAAATATATTGATATCGATATTGGCGATCTTCTCACTAAATGATAAAAACTAATAAACATAACATGTTTTGTTAATTAAATGATTATTTTTCGGAAACAAAACAAAACATAACAAAAACAATCCATTCCTGCCCCCGCTTGCGTAAAATCTCGGTTAAAACACACTCATAACAAAACAAAATGGAATGTGTGAGTGGAACTTACTTTAAATCTATTCTTTTTCTTACTAGCAGAACCACTATTATTATTATTGTTATTGTTGTTAATGTTGTTTTCTTCATTATCTTGTAAAATAGAGTTACCCTCTTCAGAGTAATACTCTTGTGGAGTAGCACTATAGTTATCTTTCTTCTTTGTTCTTGCCATGATTGGTTATTCTGTGTATATATATTTAAAATCAAGTTGATGTATTTGATTGTACTTCCAACTTTTAAGTGCTATTGCTATCTCGAAACACAACAAAAATAAAAATAAAAAAAAAGAATGAAAAAAACAAAAAAAACGATTGATGAATTCCATTCGTTTTTTAAAAAATAAAATAAAAATCAAAAATAATTAATTGTTTAATATATTTATTTAATTTACTTTAAATATATATAATATATATATTTAAGATCAATTCAAAAAAAAATAAACAAACATAGTTATAAACAATCCAAAACAATTTCTTTCATATACTTTCAAATTAAAAAAAATTAAAAAAAAAAATAATAAATAATTTTTTTTTTTAATAAATAATTCTAATTAATTCTTTCCTATGAATAAATAACTATGTTGATTCAAATATATAATATTAACTGAAATCAATAAATTACTACAAAAAAAAAAAAAAAACAAAATTATAATTTTTAAAAATTTGAAAAAAAAAAACAAAAAAAATCATAATATTATCAAATTTATGAGGATAGTGGAATCTTACATTATTATTATTGATGGTCTTTTAATTATAATCTACAGCTGTAGGATAGTGAATAATATATATTAAATTTTGTAGATAACATAGAAATAGATAGAAATATAAAGCTTTGTTAAATATATTATTAAAAAGTTAATCAATATTGATTAATAATTTGAATATTTATTAGATATAGATATTGTCTTGTTTGTTTGTACATATTTAGAATAAAAAGAAAACTTTAAAAAGAAAAGAAAAGAAAGATTGAATGAATAATCAAAGTGGCGGAAACATTGGTAATTCAAATGTTGGCGGTAATAACAATAACAATCAAAATATAATAACATCACCCAACAGTAATAATAATAATAATAATGGAGGAAATGGAAGTGTAGGTGGTCAAATTCCACCACTGATATCACCGATTATAAATAGTAAATCTAGTTTTCAACCAAAGGGTAATAATAACAACAGTAACCAACAACAACAACATATATTACATTCACCAGTACAACAACAACAACCACAGCAACAACAATCGATTGTAGATCCAAACTTGATTAGTTCATTACAGAATCTAATGGTTAGTCAATCGATGTCAAGACAACAACAGCAGCAACAACAGCAACAAGTACAACAATCACAACAATGGATGGATCAAATACAACAACAATTCGATGATTCTTTAGATTATGATCAACAACAACAATATCTATATCAACAACAACAAGCAGCTGCAGTAGCAGCTGCAGCACAGGTACAGCTACAACAGCAACAGCAGCAGCAACAACAACAACAACAACAGGTACAACAAGTACAACAGCAACAACAACAAAAGAATCAATATCAACATATTATGATGCAACAACTTCAACAGATTCAACAACAACAACAGATGCAACAACAACTACAACAGCAACAGCTGCAGCAACAACTACTACAACAACAGATACAGCAACAAAACTATAACCTAAGTCAGCAACAACAGGCAAACATAAAGTCAAATGTAATATTGTTATATTTTTTTTTAAAAAAAAAGATAGATTATAGATCTACTTTAACTTGTAGGAATATTCTATTTACACACTCATTATATTTGAATAATAGCAATACAATCCATATCAAACATACTCACATCAACAAGCAGGACAGCAACGTAATAAATTTGGAAGAAGACATCTCAGTTCATTCTTTATGTCCGATACACTAAGACAGGATCTACTCAAACAGAAACTACTGTCCTATACAACTCTAGATCCAAACGGTATGTTTTTGACAGAACTAAACTAAACTAAACTAAACTACTAAATACTAAAGCAATACAAATATAATAATATTAATTACTAATCTTTTATTATTATTACTTTTTAGATCCAAGAATGAAAAATATACCACCGATGTTAAATAAATATCACTCGTTGTATCCATTGGACAATGAAACCTCTAGAGATAAAGTGGGTATGATGTTTGGATACCCAACATCTGTGTACAAAGGAACCAGTACAAACGATGGTTATCAATATGCCATTAGAAGAATCGAAGGTTTTCGACTCTCTAATGAATTCACACTTCAGGCCGCCGATGCTTGGAGAAATATACAACACCCAAATATTGTAGCATTAAAAGAGATATTTGTTAGTAAAGAGTTTGGTGATAATAATTGTATGTTAAATGTTTAATATTAATGATCATTAATATTGATTCCAATGTAATTACCTATTATTAATGTTATTATTATTATTATTGTTGTTGTTAGCTATTTTCTTTACATATGAATATCATCCTGGATCAGAAACATTGGAATCGAAATATCTAACACAGAATGGTTCGAATATCAATGAATCTACGCTTTGGAGTTTTATTTGTCAGATTGTTTCGGCGTTGAAAGCGATTCACTCGGCCAATCTGGTGTGTAGGGTGATACATCCGTCAAAGATATTGTTGACCGGCAAGAATCGAATCAGAATAAATGGCGTCGGTATCTTTGATGTGGTGAACTTTAACTATGAAACACCGAGAAACCTGTCGCAACTGCAGCACGAAGATCTCATACTGTTTGGCCGGCTGATTTTGTCGCTCGCCTGCAAGTCGGCGGTGGCAACGTCGAACAACAACCTGAACAAGTCGATCGAATACATATCGAATCTCTACTCGAAGGATTTCAAGAACCTGGTGATCTTCCTCCTCTCGAAACCCGTGCTGAATCTACCGACGATCGACGATGTCATCTCGATGATTGGCGGACGCATTCTGCAGGAGACTAGCTACCTCCACAGCTACACCGACGAGCTCGAGCAGGAGCTGACCAAGGAGATTGAGAATGGACGGCTGTTCCGCCTGCTCGTCAAGCTGGGATTCATCAATGAGCGACCGTCGTTCGACATGGATCCGCGCTGGTCTGAGACCGGTGATCGCTACCTGCTCAAGCTGTTCCGCGACTACGCATTCCACCAGGTCTACGAGGACGGCACGCCAATGCTCGACTTTTACCACGTGGTGGAAACACTCAACAAACTGGATTGTGGCGTATCCGAAAAGATCTTGCTGATGTCACGTGACGAACAATCACTACTGGTAGTCAGCTACAAAGATATTAAGAGATGTATAGACAATGCATTCCAAGAGCTTCATCAAAAGTAATCACATTGTTTTGATGAGGAATCAAAATATCTTTTATTTGTTTTTCAAGCTTTCCATCTTTAATTCCAATTTCCATTCACATACAATCCAATCCAATCCAATCCAACTCAATCCATTTCCAATAATTTCATTTTTTAATTCAATTCATCATCATATGGAGAATTATCATTCACTTAACTACAATTATTATTAATCATCAAGCTTTAAATATTTCCATGTTACATTAATCAAAACAAAAACAAACCAAAAAAGATAGAAAAAAAGAAAAAGAAAAAAAAATGGAAAAATACAAAACATAGTTATAAAAAAAAATATAAAAATAAATAACAATTATTAATTCAAAAAAAAAAAAAAAAAAAAACTAAAGACTTTCTTAGTTATTATTATTATTTAATAATTAAATGAATCAAATGAGTTTATGTATGACAATGTATTCTAATGTAATATTCAGTTAATTTGAATAAAACTTATAAAGAAAAGTATAAGATAAACAAACTTTTTACAAAAAAAAAAAAGAAAAAGAAAATTGACTCAAAATTTAAAATACAATAGCCACAAGGAATTTGATGACAAACTGCATTACTATTTCTATCACTATTTCATGATGTACCTGTATTTTTGATCCAATTGAACAGTTCTTAATAAAAATAACACTAATTATATGTTTTTTTTTTCTAATTTTTCTTTTATTCCTAATTCATAATGCCTTTACATCCAATTCGTTTAGTTCTCAGTAACGACTTTAGTGACGACACCCTATAATCGTAGTGAAAAATGATAGTTTGATGAGTAAAAGTGAAAACAACAAGTTTACTGGAGATTGATGATATTTACCTTGAAACTCTTGCATGGGACGAATGAAGCGAGAGTGTAGAACTTCTCACGAGCATTCTCGTCATCGTTTCTCTTTCTGGAGAGAACGATACGAACTCTGTTTGGGGTTTGCTTGATACCTCTTGACCAGAGCATGGTGTTCAACTTGTTGTCAAGACGGACATCCTTGGTCTTCATGACTTCTTGGGCGAATTGTCTGATTTGCTTGACAGCCTTTGGAGCTCTGTCTTTGAAGGTGCTGTAATCATAACGTATCAATCCTAAATTAGTTTCTAAAACTCTAGATAGACATAGATACTAGATATATATAGGGTAGTTTGTTTTGTTTTCTTTACTTACGTTCCCATGAGTCTCTTGTGGAGGTTGATGGTGTATTCACGGGTGATTGGTCCCTTCTCAGCTGGAGTAGTGTTCTTTGTGGCCATTATGTTATAGGAGTGTATCAGGAAACGAACAGTTCAAGAAGATGAAATCAATTCGATATACTATCACTTGGCGACGACACACAGAGTGCATTGCTGCGAGAGCCAACACGAGTGGTGTGTCAGAGGGTAAGCACGACACACACCCAACGAAAAAACAATTTTTCAAAATTAAATTTCATTTTTCCAATTTTTGTTTTTGAACTTCGACTCTTTTTTTTTTTTTTTTTTGAATTTTTTTTTGTAAGATGACTTGTCCATGTTGAAATGATCATACATTATTCACAAGAGTCGTTCAATTCTTTATTTACTTTAGTTATTCCTTTCCTTTATTAGTAATGTAGTTTTATTCGGTTTTTTAATTAAACTATTGTTTACTTTTTATTTTTATTTTTATTTTTGCAATTATCTTTAAATATTAAAAAAAAAAAAAGGAATTATAATTTTAAAGTTATATTATTGTCATAATCAACCATCCATTTAAATATTAATCAGTCAAGAATCAATTAGTGAAGTATATTCTACTCTTCATTAATATCAGATGATGAGTTATCCTACTTTACTAAAGTTTTTTTTTTTTTTGTTTTTACAAATATTTTTTTAAAAAAATAAACAAAATACTTTTGTTGAAATAAAGAGTAAATTTAAATGAATGTTTAAACTAAACATTGATCTATAAAGATAAGATGTTTTATTAATTAATTGATTAATGTTAACGATTTACTTCTATATGTTGGCAAAGTCCATCAACTTTGATGTATGTAACGTTTTTTTTTTCACTCTTTTTATTTTTTGATTTTTGAAAAAAAAAAAAAAAATTCTCACATAAAATTAAACATTATTGAAGCGTCTGCTTTCTCGTCTTCTCTTTCACAATCAAATAAGTTGATTTAAATTTGTTTATTTTTTATATTTATTGATATTATATTCAATATTTATTTAATTTGTAAGATATTTTCTAATCAATTTCTCAATAATAAGTTATAATGTAATCAAATGATTAACAAAAAAACAACTATCTTAAAAAAAAAAAAACAAAAAATAAAACAAAAATTAGGTTAAAAACAATAATAACTTTTAGAGTTAATAACAACATTAAATTCGAATCGATAGATAAAATATAGATAGATAGACAGATTAATATATAACAAGAATGGCAGATGATTTAACTCGTATTGCTATTGTTAATGCAGATCGTTGCAAACCAAAGAAATGCAGTCAGGAGTGCAAGAAGAACTGTCCGGTCGTGAAGATGGGCAAACTCTGCATTGAGGTGAAACCAACTTCAAAGATCTCATACATCTCCGAGGAGTTGTGTAACGGTTGCGGTATCTGCGCCAAGAAGTGTCCGTTCGAAGCGATCAACATTATCAATTTGCCAAAGTCACTACAGAAGGACACCACTCATCGTTACGGTCCAAACAGTTTCAAGTTGCATCGTTTGCCAACTCCACGTCCCGGACAGGTACTCGGTTTGGTCGGTACCAACGGTATCGGTAAGTCGACGGCACTCAAGATCTTGGCCGGTAAATTGAAGCCAAATCTCGGTATCTGGGATCAACCACCCGAATGGCAAGAGATCCTCACATTCTTCCGTGGATCCGAACTCCAATCATACTTTACAAAGATTCTCGAGAACATGAAGGCACTCATCAAGCCACAGTACGTCGACAACCTTCCAAAGGCTGTACAAGGAACCGTTCGTACCGTCTTGGAGGCCAAAGCACAAGCTGGAAACAAAGATCAAATGATCAACGATCTCGACCTCAAGACTGTCCTCGATAAAGATATTAACGTATTGTCCGGTGGTGAACTTCAAAGATTTGCAATTGCCGTTGTTTGTGTTCAAAATGCTGATATGTAAGATTATCATCAATATCGATTGATAATAGTTCAAACTTTAAACTAACATAATACTACTCACTTACATTATTCATTTAGTTTTATGTTTGATGAACCATCTAGTTATTTGGATGTCAAACAAAGATTAAAGGCTGCTCAAGTCATTCGTTCATTGATTCAACCAACAAAGTATGTATCTCAAGATAAGATAGTAGTCTTTGAAAAGCAAACACTAACAACAACAATCATCATTATTATTATTATTATAATGCGCATTTTATAGTTATATTATTGTAGTGGAGCATGATCTTAGTGTTTTGGATTATTTATCTGATTTCGTATGTTGTTTGTACGGATCTGCTGGTGCATATGGTGTTGTAACATTGCCATTCTCTGTTCGTGAAGGTATCAATATCTTTTTGAATGGTTTCATCAAGACTGAGAACATGAGATTCCGTAAGGAAGCTTTGACTTTCAAGTTCTCAGAGACCGCCGATACAGAGGAGGAAATCAAGAAGCATTGTCTCTACAAGTATCCAGCGATGACAAAGACATTGGATGGATTCAAGCTCGAAGTAAAGGCTGGTGAGTTCACAGACTCTGAAATCATTGTTATGCTCGGTCAGAACGGTACCGGTAAGACCACCTTCATCAAGATGTTGGCCGGTCAACTGCCACCAGACGACGGTGCTTCGATCCCAGAGTTGAATGTAAGTTACAAACCACAGAAGATCTCACCAAAGTTCCCAGGTACCGTGCGTGAGCTCTGCCACAAGCGTATTCGTGACACTTTCCTCCATCCGCAATTCAACTCTGACGTCGTCAAGCCACTGAATCTCGAGAACATCATCGATCAGCAAGTACTCAATCTCTCTGGTGGTGAGTTGCAACGTGTCGCCATCGTTCTCTGTCTCGGTCAGCCCGCCGACATCTACCTCATCGACGAGCCATCTGCCTACTTGGATTCCGAACAGCGTATTATCGCATCAAAGGTTATCAAGCGTTTCATCTTGCACGCCCGTAAGTCTGGTTTCATCGTAGAGCACGATTTCATCATGGCCACCTACTTGGCCGATCGTGTCATCGTCTACGAAGGTGTTCCAGCCGTTCACTGCATTGCCAACGCACCACAGTCACTGCTCACCGGTATGAATCAATTCTTGAAGACATTGGATATCACTTTCCGTCGTGATCCAACCAACTATCGTCCACGTATCAATAAGCTCGAATCCGTCAAGGACAAAGAACAGAAATCAAACGGAAACTACTTCTTCTTGGATGCTCAAGATACTGAGTAAAATGTACATCCATATATAAACAAACAAAACAACTGAATAAAAACAAACAACCAACCTCTCCTTTGTTTGTCTCTCCTCATCAAAACCCTCTTCCATTTCACAACCAACCAAAAGTAAATGATTCAATCGGAACAACATTGTCCACCAGGCTTCAGTTTTTTCAAAAAAATCAAGTTTTTTTTTTTTTTTTTGAACCAACAAATTCAAGTTAGCAAAAAAAAATCAAACAATAATAATTATTCAAAAAAACATATAAAAAAACAATAACAAAAAAAACTTATCAATTTTATTATTTATTTGTTTAAAAAATAACTAGCTAACGATTTAGTTATCTCATAGGAGACAATTTTTTTTTTTGTTTTTTTGAATCTCATTTTAAAAGTCAGGTTTTTGCTATAAAAAAAAATTGTTTTTTTTTTCTTTTTTTTTTGGAGATCTATTAACTTCAAATTTTTTGACAAGACAAACTACAAACATTCCATGTGTCGAAGAGTCGAATGATCACCCCATTTCACTTTAAACGATATTTTTTTTAACTATAACTATTTATATCTAATAAATTAATAAGATTAGAGAAAATAAAAATATAAATAAACAAATAATTAAAAAATGGGTTATATCACAGAGAAAGGTAGAAAGAATCTACCTACTTATACAGGTGGAAATACAATCGATAAATCATTACTCTACAAATATATAGTTTCACCATCTTGTAATGTAATAGTAGAATGGTTTCCTAAATCATTTCAGTAAGTAAACAAACTCGAGTTTATTATTATTATTGTTTTTATTTTTTTTGTAATTCTAAAAAAACACATTATAGATATTAATAGTATTTTTTTATTTTAATTTAATTTAATTTAATTTAATTTGGATAGTCCAAATCTTGTAAGATCTTATCTTATATTTGAATCTAGATTATTAAATTTCAATATACTTATTGTTATTATTATTATTATTATCATAAACAGGTTACAGCAACAGGATTCGTATGTAACTTTATAGCATTGTTTTTAATGTCGTCTTACATGAGACCAGTTAACGATGGTCAAGAGCCAGTTGACGATTCAAGTTTTAGATGGGTTCACTTCATCTCTGCATTCTTTATATTCTTTTATGTCATGATGGACAACATCGATGGAAAACAAGCTAGAAGAACAAAGACATCCTCTCCATTGGGTGAGTTGTTTGACCATGGTTGTGATTCATTCACTGTAGGAGTATGTATCAGTAGTAGTAGTAGCAATAACAATAGCAATAACTAATAATAGAGTTTTGTTTACAATAATGTTAACTAACAAATAAATATATGTTAAATATTATATAAAATTATAGTTGGCAACATCAGTAGTTGGATTATCAGTTGGATTATCATTCTGGGAGATATTGTTTACATTCATTCTCTCTACCATTCCATTTTATTTGGCACACTGGGAGGAGTATTTCACTCACCAGCTGATCTTGGGAATGTTTAACGGACCTACAGAGGCAGAGTTTATCGTTATCTTATTCTGTTGTATCTCTGGTGTATTTGGCCAACAGTTTTGGTTCCAACACGTCACTATCGCAGAAAACACATTCCAACTAAAGGAATTGATGTTCTACGTCATGTGTTTGTCATCGCTGATCACCTCATTCCAAAGTATCTACTCTGGTTGCAAGAAAGCAATCGATATGAAAATAAGTCTCATCACTGCATTCTCACAACTCTTACCGTTCACATCGTTCCTCTACCTCGAATTCCTTTGGATCATCGTATCGCCACAGTTATTCCTCGACTACCCAATCCTTCATATTCTAACCTTAACTTTTATTTTTTCATATCTTTCAGTAAGTAGTAGTATTATTTTAATCTTTTTCTTATTATTTATTATTCAAAAAATTTACTAATTATCTTTATTTTTATATATATATTTAGTGTCGTTGTATCGTACAAAGAATATGTTCCGAAGATTTTAGATTATTCTATAAACCATTGATATTCTTGGTATTTTCAGTTGCCAATTCCATTGGATTAAAATATTTTGGTTTTGGGTATGTAATGAATAGAATGATAGTTATTTTTTGTAAAGATGACCGAGAAAACTAACTTTACTTTAATTTTCATAACAAAATTAGATTGATGGAAGAAAAGTTTGCATTGTTTTCATTATTTACAGTCAGTTTAGTCTTTATTTCACATTTTGTTGTTAAAATCATTGGTGAAATGTGCAGTATATTAAAGATAACAGCTTTTACTGTTCCAAAAGAAAAACAAAAATAAAATTTAAAATAATTATTGCAAATATTTCCTTTTTAGCAAGTCAAAATTAAAAGAATAAAAAAAAACAATTTAATTTAATCAAATTTCAAAAAATATCTTTGTAACATCAAACACACTCCCATCTTACTTTTTTTTTTTATCAATCCTACAGAATTTATATTTAATTTTAAGATGAGTGTTTGTATTTACTTTTAGTTAGTTAGGTTTATTTTCACATCTTTTTAACACATATTAAACTTATTTATAGTTATTAATTAAGAATGGTTTGGTCACCAATGAAGACCGTCAATTTAAAGCAGATGTTCTTGTTCAAGATGGTAAGGTTGTAGATATCTTCCCAGAGGGTAGCAACTACAAGCTGCCAAGCAACGATATCCCTGTAGTAGATGCAACTGATAAACTTGTCATTCCAGGTGGTATTGACCCACATACTGTAAGTTTAATAATGTAATAATAGTTCAATATAAAGTCATTTTTAGGTACTAATATTTATATATATTCTAAAGCATTTACAATTACCATTCATGGGAACTGTTGCAGTAGATGATTTCGATATTGGTACACAAGCATCTATTTCTGGTGGTACTACATTCATCAGTATGTGTGTTAGTTATTATATTGAACACTTTTTTTTTTTTCATTATATTAAGTACCTATTTTATAATTATTTAGTTGATTTTGTAATTCCTGCAAAGGGTCAATCATTGCTGGAAGCATATCATCAATGGAGAAAGTGGGCTGATGAAAAAGTAAATCATGATTATTCATTGCATGTTGCTGTAACATGGTGGAGTGAACAAGTCGCAAAGGAAATGGAAATTCTTGTAAAGGATTATGGTGTCAATAGTTTCAAGGTTTTCATGGCCTACAAGAATTCTTTTATGGTTACCGATGAGGAGATGTATCATATCTTCCAAAAGTGCAAGGAGTTAGGTGTTTTGGCACAGGTTCATGCTGAGAACGGTGATTTGGTACACGAAGGTCAGAAGAAGATGCTAAAGATGGGTATTACAGGTCCTGAGGGTCATGAGATGGCCCGTCCAGAGGAGTGTGAAGCCGAGGCAACGCTTCGTGCAATCACCATTGCCAATCGTGTCAATACACCGGTGTACATCGTCCACGTGATGTCAAAATCGGCCGCACATGTCATTGTAAATGCTAGAAAGGAAGGAAAGCGTGTGTTTGGTGAGCCAATTGCAGCGGGTCTTGGTGTCGATGGTTCGCATATGTTCAACTGCGACTGGAGACATGCTGCCGCTTTTGTTATGGGTCCACCACTGAGACCCGATCCAACCACCAAAGACGTCCTGATGGATCTGTTGGCGAGTGGCGACCTCCACTGTGTCGGAACCGACAATTGTACATTCTGCGAAGGACAAAAAGCAATGGGTAAAGACGATTTCACCAAGATTCCGAACGGTGTCAACGGTATAGAAGATCGTATGGCTATAGTTTGGGATAAAGGTGTCAATAGCGGCAAGCTGACTGCATGCGATTTTGTTAGGGTGACAAGTTCCACCGCTGCCAAGATCTTCAATGTCTATCCACGTAAGGGTAGGATCGAGATTGGAGCAGACGCTGACATTGTCCTCTGGGATCCAAAGGCAACCAAAACCATTTCCGCCAAGACTCATCATCAGGCCGTTGACTTTAATATCTTTGAGGGTATGAAAGTAACAGGTTTGGCACAAACTACCATCGTAGCTGGAAAGGTTGTTTGGAATAACGATAAGCTCTCAACAGTCAAAGGAAGTGGTAAGTTTGTTCCACGTCCACCATTTGGAATGGTATTTGATGGAATCGATACAAGGGACAAAGTACGTAATGAGCTTTTAAGAAAAGTTGAAAGAGCTCCATATCAACCACCAAAAAATTAAAAAAAAAAACAAATAAATTATAAAAAAATATTATATTATTAAGTCGAATTCAACACAAAGAAATAATTTATTGAAAGAAAAGTTAGGCAACAAATCTCTAAAGAGAAGAATGTTATCGAAAATTGCTATTTATGATGATTTATTTTAGTTTTGAAAGTCTTTCGATTTCCAAGAAGGTTGAGTTATATGATACTCTCTGTTGGAGTTCGAATAATGGTGAGTTGTTAAGTTGATCGATTGCAATGAAATCAGTTTTGATTATGTTGTGGCTGACAGTTGACAATCTACTATCAATCATTTCCTCAGAGGACATCAAGCTGGATGAACGAGAGCTGGCATATCACTACAATTTTTTCGTAGTTGTTACGAAGTTTTTACATAGTATTCAACTCAATAAATGCAAAAAAAAAAAAATTTGTATGAAAAAGCATACTACGAATGGGATTCGTTATGCCCTTTTTTACACATTAAATTCGTAGTTGTTACGACAATTTATTTTTTAATGAGAAAAAAAAATGTTAAATAACTTTAAAAAGAACACTTGCAACGATTTTATAGATAATCTATATTATAAATGAGAATATTTATTTTTTTGTTAATCATAATTACTATATTAGTATTTATTCAGAAGATAAAGCTTTTAAATGTAAACATACCAATATTGCATTCATAGACATGTCTCATAGTTGAATCTACTATTGCAAAAGATCGTCAATGCATCATCGATCTCTACAATGTCAGTTTCATTTGTCTTTTGTATCTTTTCACCACCTTGTTTGAATTTGATACTGTTTTCAAATGAATTATTGATTATACTATACAATGTTTGTTATTGTAGCTTCCCACCAAGTGCTATATCGACACCATCTATTTTTTTTTTTTTTGTTAGTTCACATTCTAAACATCAATTAAATATACACTGGAATGACATACTATTTGATTTAGCAAAGACTTTTTTGTCCATTTTGGAATAACGATGGGCGAACATCAGATGATCGATTATTCTTCTCTCTCTTTGTGTTGTTTGTCTTTGTTGTATTTCAGAAGTTCGAACGATCGTTGTTGTTCTGTGGTTGTAGTTGCTGTAATTTGAGTTGTTGCTGCTGTTGATGTTGATATTGTTGTTGTTGGTTCGTTGGTCGCATTTGTAGTGTTTGTTGGTTTAGTAGCAATATCTGCTGAGAAAGATATTCGATCTCCATATCTTGACTCTCCAAATAACTAATAAATGGATTATTTAAATTAAAAAAACTATTGTTATAGTAATTATTGTTATTATTATTATTATTATAATTAATATTGTTATTGCTATAAGTGAAGTTATTGTTATTGTTATTGTTAATGTTACTGTTATTGTTATTGTTACTGTTGACTATCTCAAATTAAATAACTATTGTTTGATATTGCTATCAAATCTGCAAATCGATAATAAATAACTATTAATTGACTATCTTAAATTAAATCTTAAATATTATTATTAATTGACTATCTCAAATTAAATAACTATTGTTTGAAATGATCATTTTTTTTTTTTTTTGATTCGAGTCATCAAAATAAATTTTTAAAATTAATGTGGTAAAAATCTCGACAAATTGTAAAAAAATGATAACCACACTAGCACACCTTAAATTTTTACTATGATCAAAATGCACGTTTCAAAAGTGAAAAACTTTTTTCACACACTGATTTGTGGTGCCCATGACAACTACGAAACAATCGTAGTGTTGTCCTATTCAGGCTGATAAACCAAAAACTGACGAAGTCATAACTTGTAAAGTACCAGCTGTCGACGCAGCACTTTTGAATCAAGCAAATGACTTTAGATATGAGTCTTCAATTTCAGCAATAATCAATGGTGCCAATTCTAAAAATACATTCGGAAAGAAATTCACTTACTATCAACCGGTTATCAAATCAATTGATCCAAATCCTGCAATGGATAAAATTAAAATTTATCTAATTGAAGGTTACAACTTGGGCGAGATCAGCTCTATCACTATAGGAGGTGTCAGTTTGCCAGATCGTCGATATTGATTCAGAAAATGTTGAATGTGCATTTGTACTTCCGACAACAACAGATATAACCAATCCATTACCAATAGTCTTGCAAGAAGGATCTTTTACTTCACCACCCACCAATTTACGTTTTGTCAGTGAGTATATTCCATCCAAAATTAGTTTCCAAAAGAAAATAATTTAATATTAATCGTAATTTAAATATTTTAGAACCAACAATAACAGCAGATAGAAATGGAAAGATATCTGGAAATGAATTCATTACATTTACATGCACCAACTTATTTGAGATTCCTAACTTAATATTGTTGGGGGCATCGAAATGCAATATTATTCCAAGCAGTCTTGCCACCACCGCACCTTTTAATTCTTTCCAATGTACTTCATCAGCTACCAACGTGGCAGGTGCAGTTGGAGTTACTTTGAACACAAAAAATACCCAATATATTTTTGCCAATGCATTCACATATTATAGTAAGTTATTACCTATCAATAAAAAAAAATGAGAAATTAGAATTAACAAATTCAAAAGTTCCAACAGTTACTTCAACAACTCGACCACTTGAAACACCTCAAGGAGGTGATATAACATTGACTGGTACAAAATTCCTTGAAACAAGATCTGTTACCATTGGTGGAACTTCATGTAAATTTACAGTGGTCAGTTCAACATCCATGATTGTTACTGCACCTCCAAAATCACCAGCATACAGCCCATATCCTTTGGTAATAACAATTCAAGGAGGTTCAACTTCTACTCCAGTTAAAATAAATTATAATGGACGATCAATTACTTCAATTTCACCAACCCGAGGTAACAGAAAAATAGATACTTTGATCACAGTTACTACTCCCATCAATCAAAACACTCCAAACTCTATCCGTTTGGTTTTAGTAACTAATCTAGCTATTATTGTCAAAATTCCAACTTTCGATGTAGACGGAGTCACGAATATCAGATTTAATGCACCAGCTACAATAGTATCTGGTATATACAGAGTGGAACTGATTCATACAACATTTGGCACCACTGTTGATCAAGTGACATTCGAATATGTTGGTCTTACTTGTAAGGGTACTCGTCCAGTAGGTTCAACTTTTAATCCGGATAAACTTTGGTGGTTACAAATTCGTTTGCGTGCTAAGGAGGTTCCCGACCATTACCTATACTATGATAACACAATGACTGATATGATTAGAGGTGTTGGATTCAATCTTGAAACATCTCCATTGGCTGCTACGTATTCTCAAAAGAAAGATTATTTCTATATGACTTGGAACGATGCTGGTGGATCCGGAATTGCACACTTGAAACATATATTGTTTTATGATACCACTGAAAATGGTCAAGTTACTGAATCGATCCATATTATGCATTCACTTCCAAACTTTCCAAAAAATGATTTGGAACCTGGAAAATCTGGTTGGATTCCAGCTGCAATTAAAGCTCAACATTTCTTCTGCTACACAGTAACAGATATCGAAACCACCTCATTAATGATTGCGAGAACCAATCCAAAATTAAGTTATCATAGACATGCTACCAATATAAAAGTTGGAGCTTATCCAAATCTTAAAACTCTGATTACTCAAGACACACTTAATTATGGAGAAGTAAGTATTTTTATTCTCAGTATATATTCTATAAACTCTAACATTTTCATGATAATTTATAATAGACTTGTAAAGATGATTTACTGGCTAAAACACCAACTCTAGAAAATTGTAGATGGAATGTAAAATTAAAAATTCCTGGAATAAACTCACCTCGCTTTTTTTCTAAAGTTCAACTTCCAACTATTGATAATGAAAAATTTAGAACAAAAGGTGTTGCTGTACTCGGGAGATCGATTATTCTAAACTCTGAACCACTATTTAATGAGGACCAAACCGGTATTATCTTTGAATATGATGGATTGGATATATGGCAATATGTCGCTGAGATTTATAATACAAATCTTTTTGTTCAAACATATCGTAGTGGAGAGGAGAGATTATTCTCTTATAATTCAAAAATTGCAAATGTTGAAAAAACAGGTATTTAGTATCATATATTCTTAATTAATACATATTACTAATAATTTTTCGAAAATTTAGAATATACTGTCGGTCTCTCACACTATACTGGAACAAGTTATATTGGTCATTATAACCAAATACGTAATTTTGATCATTCGAAACTTGCTTACAGTATGTATCCAGTTTATGGAACAGAAGTTAAGGAAACAGATGCAAATGAAAATCTATTTTGTATTGGAGATTTGAATAGACATAAAGGACAAGTATGTAAAGTAAATTAAATTAATTCGTAACCCATTCTCATATCTGAATAAATTGATTCCATTAATATTAGGGAAAAAGAGGAGGAACTGTTTTATGTTTTAATAATCCAAAACTCTCGAAACAATTCAACCAATTTGTTAAAAGTTATTCATCATATGTATGTTCTTTATTTATTCATATTTGATCTTTTTTATTAACTATAACCATATTTATTAGTCATATAAATATGTTTTACTACAAAGTAAAACTGGAAGTCTGAAATCTAAAATTAAAATCGGATTAGATGTTGATAATAGAGTGGCATATGAATCACAATTAATTGAAGGAGGTAAAATCGTTCCAATTCCAACTTTTTTCCCTCAAGAAATAGGAAAAATATATGATGAATCTATAATTTTTAGAACACCAACAAGGAAAACAATTACAATTCAATCTGTAGCAACACTTTCACCAGTATCAACAGTTCTATGGACCAATCAGATCTATTTTGAGGTTCGTCAAGAATTGATTGGTGATAATCAACCACCATACACACCAAGAATAATAAGACAAACTGCACTTTCAACTGGAAATACAGTAATTTACAATGCTCTTCGAACAAGAATAACTCCAATATTCCAACCTGGTGTAGATATTGTACCTCCAGTTGGTCTCCCAGCTTTCGGTCCATTACCTCCCTATGAAAAAAATGCTCCCCCTCCAGTACAACCAGCGTTCACAGGTAAACACAATACTATTAACAGTGTTGTAGGTTTAGAGGTTCCAATCGTAGATAGTACAAATGAAAATCCAATTTGGAGTTACCGTGCAGTAAATTCATTGTCAGTTCACTATTTGGCATATGACAATTTGGCCAAAATATGCGAATCAAATGCAATTACACTAGCCATTGGATGCAATGATATCAACTATGCATTATTCACTAGGATTAGTGATATTTTACATAATGAACAGTTCCCACCCGAAAGAGATGTTCTGTACCCTCATGACGATGATGATGGTGTTAAGAACTATCAACTTCTTCCAACTGTTCCAGAGTTTGAAATAATTAGTTAGTTAATCAATTTAAAACTCTATATACTCTACCTACCAAAGATTATTCATTCATTCTTGATACGACACTCACAAGATCATACCCAACAGCAACAAATCCATTCAATATCATGTTAAAAAGTAGAGATTATTGTCCAGATGAACTGTCATATCTCCTTATTCTAAATTCAATTTATAGAGTAAGTGGAATTGAAAGTCCAATTTCATTCTTACTGACAGATCCACTCAATTGGGCAAATGGAATTGCTTTGGCACTTTCAAAAGTTGTTTCCAATCTTTATAATGATGGAACAATCGAATCAAACCCAGTATTTGGTGGATGTTTTAATTTAGTTCCGTCTTCATTCAATTTAGATACCTACACTGAAACAACACCAACAATGAACTCATATCAATGGACCGCTGTTGCCACTTGGAAATTAATGACAGAAGCTACCAATCGTGTTAATCATATCGATTTATTCAATTATATTACAACATTGGTAAAGTCAAGAGGTATGACAGGTCTTGGTGATATTTTCAATGGTGATACTCTAATTGATAGAGCAAACAAAGAATTGTTAATTGACAATCACATAATCAAACGGGAATCAATGAAGAGAAAGAACACACTCTTTAGTTCTTCAATAATCTCATCGATTTCAAATGACAACATTGTTCAATTGATTCAAAGTCAATTCTCAATCTTTGAAATTGCTTCATTGGATAGCATTGACTTTAATTTGTTATTGAATTCAATGAACAAATGGACGACAATCAATGGAGTCAATCTATTCATTTCAACATTCTTTAATCGCAGAACTGAAATGTCAAATGAAATTGAATTCATTTATGATTACTCTCTCTTGTCTGAAAACAACTTTGAAGTTTGTACGATATCTCCAACCAGTGAAGATTTGACAGTTTGTGCACCAGATTCAATTAAATCAATCACAAATCAATTGGAAAGAATGATGATTGCATCAACCTCATATTCAGTTTCAGATGATTTTGAATTCTATTATTTCTCAAAACCAACAGGACTTCGATTCATCCGAGAATATCCAGATTTCACAGGACTTGTAATTTCAAAATTCAATTATCAACTGTGTGATATAAAATTGATAAACTTGGGTCAATCTGCAACTTTCGATCCAAATGATGCATCTTTATCTTCAATTTGTTCAGATTCTGGACCAATAATCAATTCTATTTCCAAAACAAGTGGAAAAGCAATTGGTGGTGATACAATTACAATCAATGGATTTAGATTCACATCAAATATGATCATTAAAATTGGTGAAATCGATTGTCAAACAACAAATGTTATTAGTTCCACTCAAATTAAATGTATTACACCTCCCAATATTGGATTCAATTTAGCAATTACCAGCAACATTCCAATGAACCAACAATCCCAATTCACATTTTCATATGATGAACCATTGGTTTATGAAATTTCACCAAAGATTATTAACTCCAATGGACAACAAATCTCTATATTTGGTGAGAATTTTGGACCATCATCACAACAATCAAACTCTTTGATTTCTATTGGATCAATTCCATGTGTATTCGGTCCCAATAGTTTCTGGAGTGATTCATTAATTGTTTGTTCAGTTCCATCTGGAAGTGGAATATTCAAAACAATTTCAATTAAAATCAATCAATTCGAAATATACTACAATGTTTCAAAACGAACATTCAACTATCTCTGCACCAGATATCCAAAGTATTTCACAAAACCATGGTGATCCATTTGATTGGATATTGATCAGAGGAAATGGATTCAATAACAAATCACAAATCTATTTCAATAATTCTCAGAGTGATATCATCTCTTTTGCATCTGATTATATTTATACACAAGTTCCATATGGTGTTGGAAAGAATATTCAAATATCAATTGCAAGTGGAAATCAAAAATCAAACAATTTCAAATTCGATTATGATCAACCAATTTTAGAATTCATCAATCCAAAGATTCTTCCTACAACTGGTGGTATCATCAGATTAAATGGTTATGGATTTGGTAATTCATATTTCGGAAACATAACTTTTGGTTTAAAAAACATAAGTTGTGTATTCTTGTCTGATATCATTGAATGTCCGATCCCAGCTGGAATCGGAAAAGACATTCCTTTTAATTTCAATATTGAAGGTCAACCATTGGTTTCATTAATTCCATCAAACTTCTCATATTCAAAACCAATCATTGAAAAGACTGAATTTAATTCTGGAAGTATGACTATTTTTGGTCAAAATTTCATTCCCTCTGGAATTGAAGTAAATCCACTCAAGAATTATGTCACACTCTTCAAAGATAATGTGATTTCAACTCAATGTAGTTCAACAATATTCATAAACAATCAACAGATCATCTGTAATTTCGATCAATCATTTATAGTCAGATCAATATTTGTTACAATTGGTGGTCAAACATCATCAATCTATCATCCAACATCACTGATTAGTCTTTATCTTTACATTGACCAACAAATAAGTGGAATTAAAACAAATATTCCAGTAACATCTGAATCTGTTTCAGTTGCAATTTCTTCAGATTCAAAATTGATCCAAAATATCAAAGTTGATTCAAAAGGATATATTTCATTCAATGCAACTCTGGGAACGTTCAGTTTGATATATTCGACAACATCACAAACATTAATTCCGATTATCAATGATATCACAATTCAAGTGACATCCACCCAACCAACAAACTATAATCATGCTTTCTATCAATGGAATTCAGGAACAACTTTATCACCAGTTAAATTCTACTCATCAACACCAGGAAGTTATCTATCACTTCCCGTTGGAATATTCAACAATATTGCATCGATTTTCAATTCAATTGGATCATTCATATCAACAAGCTCTCTGAATGTATTACTCTATAAATCAGATGGAACTATTGTTTCTTCAAATCAACTATCGAATGGAGTTACAATTGATAAAATCGAAGTTTCATCACTAAGTTTCTTCACACCATTTCAAAATATTAATTGTGTTGAACAATCGATAACATTCACAAACAACTATATGAATCAAATTCCACAATTGATTCTTTCAAATTATGGAACATTAACTTGTACTGCTGATAATCCACAGATTTCATCAATGACATGTTCCATTCCAGCAGCCACAGGAACAATATCGCTCCAATGGAATGGTTTTACAAGTGCCAATACTTTTAATTTACAACCAAAAGGTAAGATTAAAAAAATATTTGATTACGAATAACATTGCTAACGATTTTTATTCCCATCAGAAATTGTATTTGGATATGTTTATAATGATCTCAATTCAAACAATATATTTGACCAAAATGAACCTGTCATTTTAAATGCACAAATTACATTAAGTAAAACTACTGAAGTCTCAATAACTTCTACCAACTCACAAGGATATTATTCAATTCCAAACATTACACCTGGACAACAATACTTGATGTCTCTTGACCCAATTACAGGATACATTGCACCTATGGGTAAGATTGCTTTCCTTGAAAACAGTTGTCCATCACCAACTCAAGTTAATTTTGCAGTGAAACCACTCTCATCCAATGGATGTGTTGGTTACATTTCAAGTGCTTCATCAAACAAATTGACAATCCAAGCTGGATTAAATAGTCTCACATCATATGGTTGGTGTAAATCACCATCAATCTGCACCAATCAATTCACGTCAGTCACACTTCCACCAAGATGTGTCTACACATATGACTCAACAAACAATGAAATCACAGTTTCTCTTGGTGGACAATCCAATATAAACCTTTACAATGATCCTTCTATTACAGGTGTTCAAAAAAATTCACCGATCACCATCAGTGTAAGTTTGGTCTTCAAACAAAGCAATGGTGTGATAATCAGCACACTTACACCTGACAGCAAAGGAAATGTTTCAATATCTCTTCAATATGATTCATATATAGTTTCAGTGATCAGTACCAATACACAATTGTTCCCAATTTTAGACAATATTCCATTCCAACTCAACAGTGCAAATCCATTCTTCAATAGCTCCATTGGATTTATCACTTGGAAATATAACACAAACTACCCACTTGTCAAATTCTACCAACAAACAGATTTCTCAGGAATTGTACTTTCACTTCCTCTTGGAATTTATAACAGCACCACCTTGAATGCATTAAATTGGAATATGAAAACACTTTCATACAAATCTACAACGGATATCAATGTTTTCATCTTTAATGGTGGAAGCTCACCCATTACTGAAAATCCTTTAATTGGAAATGTTCCATTGACAACCCCATCTGGTTCACAGTTCCAAATTATTGATAATGGTAAATCATCACTATTAATTTATATTTTAAATTCAATATTTTAATGCTTCATATTATTTAATTTTTTAGCAATGTTTAGAAAACCAATTTTTTCAGATTTCAAAAGCACTGGAAATCCAGTTACATTTACAAATTATTATTTAACTTTGCCAGTTATTAGGATTGGAGGTACTGTATTCTTATTTATAAAAATTTTATAAAATTAACTATTTATTAATTATTTTTTCTTTTTAAACTTGGTTTAGATGTAAATAGAAATCCAATTGATTGTCAGAGTTCAAATTTAAATTCAATGTCATGTCAATTCCCATTATTGTCTGCCGGAGTTGTTTCCTCTATTCTTGTATATCTCAATGGTTTTAAATTATATCAAAATATAGCTATCACATACGCAGGTAAGATAAATTTATAAAAATATCAAAATTCATATTATAGCTAATTTCAATTTTAAGCATCAACTATCTCTGGAAGAATTTTTGTTGATTCAAATCAAGATAATCAATACAATAGTGGAGAAACATTGTTAAATAATGTTGCAATCGGATTAACTTCTCCCACCACTACTTACACAACAAGTTCAGATGCATCAGGAACATATCAATTCATTGCAACACTGGATATCTTGTATCCATTGAGTATACCAACACCTCCAAGCTCATACATGATACCATTACAATCTCAAATAGTTTACGCTTCATATTCAACCCAAAATAACTTGGTTGTAAACATTGGAGTTGTTCCAATATCAGCAGCAGGTTGTAGTGGAACCATCAAAACAGCAAATGGTGAAACCATGAATATCCAATATGGTTCATTTGACTTGACTTTGTATGGTTGGTGTAAATCTCCATCGATTTGTAAGAATCCATTTACATCGATTAAAATTCCACCGGCTTGTCAGAGTAAAATTGTAAACAATGTTTTGACCATTGGTTATCTATGTTCATACAGAGGATTTACATTTGATTCAATTGGATTAAATTCTTATAGTAGTACAGGCTTCCCGGGAGTAAGTACAAACAATACATAATTAATAAATTTAAAAAATAAAAATATATTAACCTAATGCTTACTATTCACTAGTATACATACTATTGGTCAGTTTGTGGAATCAATCCAACATGTTCTCCATATTCCAATACAGCACAATCTTGTCAGGGTGGATCTAAATACTACAGTACTGGTAAAATTAGTAGTGGAACATGGTCTAAAAATGGTAAGAATATCCACTTTTCAATTTTTATTTAAATTAATTATTTTTTTTCCATTCTTCTATATAAAGATACTGGAAGTGGAGTTCAAGTAAAATACACCAATGGAGAAACATATGGCTGCACAACTGGTAGAGAGATGACAGTTCATATATCATGTGGTGCCACATCAAAAGCAATTTCCTCTTACGAATATCCATCGTCAAGTTGCAAATACCATTCACACATGACATCTCCGTTGGCATGTGGAAATTTCCCAGCTCAAGATTTGTGGAGTTGGTGATTTTACAATTCTATGCACTATCAAAGTTAGTATCATATAAATTTAATATCAAAGAAATAATTCCTATTATTTTACAAAATTAACTTATGATTTTTATAGTAAAACATATACTATGAGTAGCTCTGATACTGATACTACTAAATTTACATTTTCAATTTGTTCGACTTCAGTAAACAATGTTTGTACAAATGATGGTGGAGGTGATATTTCAGCATGCTATGGTCCTTACTACGGGAATAGCAATGGATTCAATGTTATATACTATATACGTTATGGTAAATATTCAACAGCAACTTGGAGCGCTGTTACCAACTATATCGGTGCAAAGGTGACCTATTCATACTCTGATACTCAAATAAGTAGTTGCTCAGATGGAAGTAATTCATTTGTAATGGAAGTGAATTTAATTTGTGGAGATGATTATGAACCTTTGTGGATTAAAAATGGAGCATGTAATCCAATCACCTACTTGTATACACCTCAAGCATGTCCAACAGTCATTCCAAATTGTCAATTCAATGGAATGGACTTCTCATCACTTGCAAAGTAATTATTTACAATAACAGATGGCCTCGTACTTTAACATTTTTACTAATACCAATTCTATTAGGACAGGATATAATAATCAACCTGTATGTAATAGCTCACTACATTATAATGCCCATCAAATTCAAGAAAAATAATTATTCACTCTTTTATTTATTTACTTTTCAAATATTTAGAAATATGTATTCTTCAAAATTTGATATCATAATTGCATATTTGGTTTTCATAGACACTTACAGCTTCGTGTGTATCACCACATGAAATATGAATGGTTGTTTGCCTTCCATAGTTTGGGAAAGATACAACTCTTCTTCCATAATAGGTAACTTGAACGCCTGTTCCAGTTGCTGTTTTATTTTATAAAAATAAGTATATCATTTTAACTAAATATGCAATTATGATATCAACTTTAAAACACCATATGCATGCTCTTCTTCATCCAGTTTGATGTCAACTGAAAACAAAATGATTGATAGCATAATCAATACCGATTTCATTGCAATCGATCCATATCTCCCAATTAAAAACTCATCGTTCTTCGAACTCCAACTGATATTATCATAAAATTAAACTTAAATAAATCATCAAAATTACTTTACCAACTATTTATCTTATTTGTGTTCTGTATCATATTTACAATTCTCTATTATATTAGATACTTTGAATTTGAATATATATGTTGATCCAAACATGACTGGTTTACTTGTTGATCCATCGACACAGCAGAAATTCTCAGGATTAGATACATTTTGATTCAATTGAATACTACTCAAAGCGATGGAATCATTAAAAAAAGATATTACACTCCAAAGGTTGGAGGTGTGAATATGCCGGTTGAAGGAGATACTGTTCTCACCTTTATTACGAAATCATCTCGATTTAGACTAATGATCAACAATATCAAAAATAAATTTTCATCCTCTTCAACATTTTCAAAGAAAAAGTGACTCGATTGGATTGTTAAGATCTGATTACATTAGCGATGAACGTGCAATATTCTATGGCAATAATGGTGCAAGATTAACTCTACTAGTTGGTATCTATCAATAATATTTCCTCTCCAATATTGGTTGGATATTTCAACTATCAGTTCAAGCACAACCTTTTTGAATCTAACAATAAGACTCTGGACATCCAATTCAGTCACTCAATATTATCGACCTATCACCTATGGTACTCCAATGACATTACCATCCAATATAATCAAACTTGAAATATTCTTGAATTGTAAGTAAACTTATTTGAATCTTGATAATTAGACTTTGTAAAACTTATTTAGCATATAAACAACACCAGAGAGTCTTATAATCATTGAGAATATTACTATTTCATGTAAGATGACCCTTTCATCCATAATCTTCTTAATTTTCTCAACTAACATATTTCTCTTTTTTTTTATTTTTACCAAATTTATTTCAGCACCAAGTTGTAAAGGGGATTTAACATTTGTTGATTCACTATAACAAACACTCACTCTTGGAAAAGGTCATTACGATTAAACCTATCTTCAATCGATTGGATTGTCATATAGAATTGTTTAATTCGATGAGATTATTGGTTGCAGAGTCAATATCAGCAAGACAGCACCAACAAACTCTGCATTCTCGATTTCAACACATTCCAACATCAATCAAGAAACTATGTCAACACATCTCTTGGCACAAATTACAACGATTGAGATCTCTTCGATCTGGTACCCAATTTGGACAATGTTGATTTTGGTGTAACCACATACACCAACCAATGGATTAACTTTTATGGTATCGATCAATCAAAACTTTAAAATGAATAGAATAAAAAATTAGTTTAGTTTATCTCATTAAAATAAATAAAAGAAGATAATAATAACTTTAATTTTTCATAGTCCCAATTCCTCAGTCTGTGAAAAAGATTAATATTTATATCCTAAAGTAAATATTTACCTGGATCAATTAGATAGTAAGAATTGTACTTATATTTACCAATTCTTAATTTAAGATTATTCGTTGGTCGAGTTTAAGAATATTGGTTTATATGAATTAAAATAAAAAAATTTAATTGAGAGTTCATCTATAATTTCGATAGTGTTGGTAATCAATGATAGATATTTATCTCTATCATTGAACTTTCTTTTACAAACTATCCTGTCTAAATTGTCATGAATTCTATTAATTATAAATGATAATATGATATGTGGTAAATTAACTATAATGATAATGACACCTGATCTATAATATTAATCTTTATCAGGAGTATGATCATTCATTGTTCAATGATGCTAAAAACCAATTTTTTTTATTAGATTTTAATTCTTCACCATTCTTATCATTTCCCTTTAAAAGGCAATAGAAAAAAAAATTGTCTATTGTTCAAGTCTCGATATTAATTATCTAGGTTTATTTTTCATTTTTACTGGATTTGGTTGTGTTTACTTTACTTTACTACTTTTTTATGATTAATTTATATACTTGATTGTGAGACGTATGAACTATATACTTGATTAATAAATTGATCATCCTGTGACATAAGACGCAGTATCATTAGTATAACATATTCTTTGGACTGTTATCAATATTATTATTTAGATAGTTACATTTACAAGTTTTTTTAGAATTTCTTTCAGTTGATCTTTAGTAAGAGTTGGTTGCTGTGCTGGTTGTGGTGTTCTTTTCGATGGTTGTTGATTATATTGGTGTTGGCTTTCTATACTACTGACGCTGATTGCTTGGATAGCTGGTGGTTCTTGATGTAATCCTGGTGGTTTGTTCATAGTAACAGAGCTCATAAGTTTAGCTAATATTGGCAAGTGTGTTTCTTGTTGTTGTTGATTTATTGCTAATGCTGCTGCCGCTGTTTGTTGTTGCTGTGACATTGGAGGTGGTTGTTGTTGCTGTAACATTGCAGGTGGTGGTGGTTGTGTAATTGGTATTGGTATTTGATGATGCATCATCTGTGCTGGCGGTGCCATCATATGAGGTGGTGGTTGTTGTTGTACAGGTGGCGGTTGATATATTGGTTGTGGAGAAAGTGGTTGTTGCTGTAATTGCTGTTGTTGTTGTTGTGGTAGAGGTGTAACTGGCACAGCTACTACAACGGGTGTTGGTGGTGGTCTTGCTGAAATCTGCTTTTGAATATCCTTTAGTTGATTGAATATACGTGGCTGCTCGGATTCTTCGTAGAACCAGATACCATTGATACTATTGTTACTCTTATAGATCAAATAAGGACCTTGACACTTGATTAGCAATCGATCGTTGATATCCTCAACCAAATTCTTTGTCGACAAGCGATTAAGCACGACCAAACGCTCGAATGGCTCCTCCAATCTTCTTACAATAAACAATGAACCTTCAACCTCACCTCTATGCTAGAATTATAAATAGATTGATTGGTAGGTATTATTAGTAATGATCATCTTCTTACAATAATCATAATAATAATAATAATCAAATGAAAACACACATACCCATTCTAAAGATGATTCATCGAATTTATAAACAGCAACATGTGTTGATGTTCCCAAGACACTAACGATCTTGTTATCAAGACGTTGAAGTGCAGATAGGTTTAGTTGTTGCTGTGATCCAGCTTCTCTATTCATTGTATATAAATATGTATATATTAAGGTTTACAAAATAATAATAAAAATATATTTAATAATTAATTATCCAAATTTTTTTTTAGTGAAATTCATCAAAAAATAATTGTTTTTAAATTTTATTTTTTTTATTATAATACTTTTCTTTATTTTATTTGTTTACTTTTTCTTTGTTTATCTTTTGTCAGCCATTTTTGTACTTTAATCTAGATTATCAAAGCTTTATTAGTTTTAGTTTTTTAGTTTAGAGTATGAGAGTTTAAACTTTAACTAACTTGATAATCAGAAAATATTCAGATCATGATCGTCCTTTTATTAGATAATCAAAAAATTATTTCATACAAAATCATTTAAACTGATTGTTATAGACTTTAATTAAATATAAGATCTTTTTTGTTTATTTAAGAAGCTAGTTGTCCTACAACTAACAAAACAAAGATCATGCAAGAACAAAGCAAAAACAACAAATTTGAGAATGATCATTAAATACAGATTTATATTGATTCAGACAAATAATAAGAGATGCAGCATTTTAAGTGATTCTTTAAAGAGTATATTAATCGAGATAGGTTTTCGTCATGATTTGGAATCCGATCAATTAATCGTTGTTTTGGTGCACCTATCAACACATTCCATATTAATGTGTGATTCCTTTAATTTGCCCAGAAGTGCTACATTATATTGGTTGAGTAAATCCAATACACAATCAGTAAGTTGGCAGTTTAACTGTTCATATTCATCAATTAAATAAAAAATAAAGATAAATTACAAATGATAATTTGTTTTGGGAATGTAAAAAGAAATTGTTGTATTTTTGTTTAAAAAAATAACATAGTTTGGTTGTTGTTGTTGTTTTGTGTATGTTTGTATTTAGAAGTAATACTAATATCTATAGTAAATCTTTTCTAGTTACAATTCCAACTACTTCATTTCGTTTGTTAACAACCGGCATATGTCTGAGTCCCATTGTTCTAAATAATTGGTATCCTTCTTGGAATGAGAATGTTTCATTTGCTACCACACTACTGAGATTCATGTAAGGTCTGAGATCGATATACATAGTTTCAATTTCCTCTCTGGTTATGTTCATTTCGCTAATGGGTGGGAAGTGTCTTGCCAGCGCCTGTGTCATTATTTGATAGTTCATTCTGCCATCGGCAGGGATATGACCGTAGTCGGTAGCTTTTCCCCAACGACGTTGATTCTTTCCGCGCTGATATGTGTTTTGTATGTGTGGTTGCTCCTGACAGAAGATCTTGTAGTTGAGCAGAATGGTCAGCTGTGAGCGCAAGATCATTCCACAGTAGATGCCGTCCTCTGAGTAGGCATCTTTGTTGGCGGAGCCGTGCTTCTCGATCACCGGGAAACCGGCATGCTTGTCGGCAGCCTGCAGCACCTCGATGATTCGCGACACACGCTCGACTTCGTAGAGTGTAACAACGTCGGTTTTCATAACATCGGTGATTCCGAAGCGTAACATCGACTGTGGTGGTTGTGTAGGCAGGAAAGGATAGCATTTCTGCTCCATCAGATGTTCGTAGATTGATTCATTAAAGATATCTCCGACCCACTTGGCAATCATCACCGAGAGGATTACAGGCAGCATATACTGTGTTCCCTCGGTCAACTCTACAATAATAATCGCCAGTGAAATGGTCATTCTAGAGAATCCTGCCATCATTGCTGAGGAACCGACCATGGCGTAGATCGATGGATCGATAGGTGGATTGGCATGCTTGAACATCAGCGCGCCAAACTGACCGGCCAGACGTCCGAGTGACGCTCCAATCAACATCATCGGAATGAAAAGACCGGACGACAACATTATACCGGAGGTGATGGTTGTGAGGATGAATGAGATAACAGTGAATACAATGAGTGTTTGAATCGAGAAGAGATTAGCGGAACGCGAATAGAGCAGACGCAGCGATGCATCGAGTGTGTTAAAAGAGAGACCAGCCATATCATTGTACTGACCCTCCGGACAAAAGAATCTGACAAATGTGATATTCTGTGCGGTGATTGTATCGATTGGATAGGTGACATCGGCTTCGTTTCTACAGCCAGTGAGACCGGCCGATGTGAAGAGAACAACCGATGTCAATGTGATAATAATGAAAACCTCGATTGTCTTTGTGTAGATGGGAAGTCTAGAGAAGAATTCAGTTCTCCAACGCGATAATCTCGCATTGAGATAGACAAAGAATGCACCAAACAAACCACCGAGTACACCGACAGCTGCGAACGCCAGCAGCTCTACATAACGATAGAGATACTCCTGTGAGAATCCAAATGTCAAGACACCGTAATCGTGCACCTGCACTTGGAAGCCTTGGAGAATGATATTGGTTGTGAAAGTGGCGATCAAACAGGCAAAGAAAGTTCTCCATGTCAGTTGACGCGACCAGAACGAACTGGCCTCCTCGAAACCAAACAGCACACCACCAATGGGCGCACCGAATGCAGCGGCAACACCTGCAGCGGCACCCGTCGAGATAAAGTCACGGCGATCTCGGTCGTTGTGATAACGCCAGAAGATCTTTGGATACCACTTGAGTGTTTTCGATTTCACCTGACCGATGGCACCACCGATCATACTACCGATGTGAATCATTGGACCCTCCGGACCGAGAATCAATCCCGATGAATAAGCGAGAATGAGAGATATCGTCTTTCCAATCAGTGTTCTCACATTCATAGAGTGTGGAATTCTAATACCGTTGAGGTAACCCTTTACCTCTGGAATACCGGAACCCGATGCAATCTGACCGACTGGAATGATAATAAGCGACGCCAAAACACCGAACAGCACATTGATGGAATAATAAACAAAGAATCCAATGACTTTACCACCATTCTGTGTATATTTCTCTGAAGAATGAAATTTAAAATCCTGAACAAACTCTACCGATTGTTTGACAATATATGCAATTAAACCAACACCCACACCAATCATAAAACAAATTGCCCATTTACCAAATGTTCTTAATATATGATTCTAGAATTATTAATTATTAATATAATGTTATATATATTATATTTATATTATTAATGTTATTATTATATAAACTTACTAATCTTGTTGATTTCTTATGAAAATCTCTATAAATTTGATTATCGATAACTGGGAAATCTAAACTCTCGAATTGGGACATCTTTTCTTTCTCTTGCTCTGTGAATGTATGTTTACCACGTACATGAGTGATACCACTTTTCTTCCCGTAGGAATTACTTCCGTGTGATGGTCTGATGACCTCTGTTTCGTCGTAGTAATCTGGCATTTGTAGTGTTTCGTGTTTTGTAGTCCCTACTGATGATGAACGACTATAACTGTGACCTCCTAAACTATTACTATTACTATTATTATTATTGTTGTTGTTTTCACCAAATGGATTACCATCATTATAATCACCAGAATTATAATCAGAGTCACCTATATCCTCATGATTCTGATATCTTTGATTACCCATTATAAAATATATTTAAATAAATTAAAATAAATAAAATACTAAAAAAAATAAAAATAATATCATTAATATTAATTAACAGTTTTATCGGTAGTAATCGTGGTGGTAGTGTTTATTAAGTTAAAGTTTTATTATTTAAAAGATTGATTAAAGATAGATAGAGATTTATATTATTATATCAAATATTAAATGGTTGAAAAGAACAACAACTTATTTTGTTATTTCAAAATTGTCGATCAATTATTAATAATTGAAAGGTTATTGTTATTGTGCTGCGACCAATCATTTAAAACAAACAAACGATTAAATATATAAATATATAATTTTATAACAGTTTGTAAAGTGTAAATGTTTGTTTACACAAAAATCAAAAAAGGAAAAGTTTAAATTATTTCTAAGTTGTTTTAATTTAATAATTATGTTTTTATCAAAAATTGGTTGTAGTTATAAAAATAATTGTGTATAGATTTGTAATTTAAATTTTGTAATAATTGTATATATTTATATCAACTCACAGTACTCTATCTATCTATTAAAATAAAATAGTATAAATCTATTCAGTGCTTTTACTCTTTCTATATTTACATTAACAATTTTGAAATAAAAGAAAAATAAGAGTAGTTTTATTATTCTACTCCAACGATTGTACTTTTCTATCTATGCCTGATGCAAATCAATAAAATACCTGCAAAATGTAATATTATGATAGGAATGATATGTTGTGATGAAAATAACTATAGATATGTATAAATATATCGGAATTGAATGTACATAATAAACAATCTGACTTAGTGATCAGACTTATACAATCTATTAAAATTATAAAAAATAATGATAATGATGAAATAAATAAAATTAAATTAAAAATGGATGGATGAATTGATGGATAGTTGAAATTAAATAAATAGTAAAGTAGTAGTATTATTAATAGGAAAAGAAGTAACTTAATTAAGTCAAAGTCGATAGGTAGTGTGGGAGAGTATACTCATAAAAATTAAATTAAAATAATTAAAAAAAAAACAAAACATAAAAAAAAACAATTAAAATAAAACTGGTCTTGATTATTGTTTAACAACAATAATAAGTAAGTAAACTCCACACCCAAACAATATTAAATTGTCAGTGTTTTGGGATTGTCTGCAAACATGTACAACAATAATAAAAAACACTTATGCAAACATTTTTTGACAAAATAAAAATAAAAATAATAAAAAAAAAAATTCAACATTATAGTTCTTAATAATGTGATATAAAAACCAGGTCTGGTTAACTATATGGCATTAAATATATATGTGTGTGTGTTGAGTGTTGTGTGTTTTGTAATATAACTAGTATATTTAACAACAACAACTACAACAACTACAGTAACATGAAGAACGAGATTCAAACTATCGTCTTGTCTAAATTTAGTATTTTTTAGTTTGCATATTTAATTTAACACCATGTTTTAAACATTCTTGCTTCAGTGTACTTTTTTGTTTTGCTATTACTTGTCATTCCTGATTATCTGTTTTACTCTTTTGTTGTTATTGTTTATAATTGTGAATGATGCTACTGCTAGCTACTACATTGTTATTTATTCTCACCATGTGTAATGAATGTCTTTTGACGTCTGTTAATTGCCTGCATATGCATAGCGAGTATGCATTTACCAAAAAAAATAAAAAAACTACACATTTTTTGAGCCTATAAATGATAATTACCTTATTGAAAGTATGTAACTCGCACAAATGCGTTGTATAATGTATTATCTATCTACAAGATGATTGATTATTTAAAGACTCGCTATTTTATACTATTATTATTCTATCTATTATTATTTTCAGTGATACAACTAACTTATAAACAACCAATGAAATGAAATGAAAAGAAATGTCTAGACTTGTAAGTTTACAGTATTGTTACTATCTTTACTATTATAAAAAGATCTGTAATTTTATATAATTTATTATTATCTACAACATACAAAAAATAAATGAATAAATAAATTGATTATATTATGTAACACCTATAGGTGGTCCTTCCAATTCACATTAAAATCAGCAAAAATCAAATTAAAAAAAAACAAAACCAAAAAAAAAAACATAACAACATGCAATACAAAATCGGAATTAGATGTGTTGTTGGTGTGCATAACTGCAAGAAACTTTCCATCGATTTATCTATTTTTCTGTTTTTTTTGAAAAAAAAAATCATGAATTTCAATTTTTGGAGATTTTTATGCCTTCGTGTTAATTTTGTTGATTCATCGTTTTAATTAATGTATGATGCAAAAAAAAAAGTGAATAATTAATTAAGTTTGAAATTGTTTTTTTTTATTTATTTATTTATTTATTCATTTTTATTGATAAATTATTTATAAATCTAATTAGTTTTATTTCAATAAACATATATTATAATATATCTTTATTTAAATTATTATCAATTATTTTTAGTATTTATATCATTACAAATTTTAAAAAACAAAAACAAAAACAAAAAATAAAATTTTGTTTGTTTGTTTGTTCAAAACATTATAGTATTTTAGTATTATTGTATTTTTCTTTATATAGGTTGTTAGGTTAGGTTATAGATTAGTTTGGTTATGAATCAAAATCAAATGAATAATGCAGGTGATATTGTTGCTAGTGGCGGAGGAGGTGGTGGTTTGTTCTACTACCTCAATCCTCTGAACTATATGAATAGCAACTTGTTCTATCTCTTTACAGCGTTGAAGTTTGCATCGACATTATATTTATTTCACAAGGCGTTGCTACCGGTGTTTGTAGCGCGCTACTTTGGACGAGTGTTTCATCTCGTTACGTTCCCGCTGGTGATCGTCTTCCAGATGAGCGGTCTACGTGGTAATCTCATCGATAAGATCAGCGAGCGTGTTTATTTGGGTGCGGCACCCTACTTTTGGGATTACCACTTGCTGAGCGCCAACAACATACAGGCCACCGTTAACTTGTGCGACGAGTACGGCGGTCCCGTCAGTTGGTACAACAAGAACAACATCACACAGCTCTACCTCCCGGTGGTAGATCACTACGAGCCAAGCTTGAACGAGCTGCGCACAGCAGTCAAGTTCATCGAGGAGCAAATGGAGTACGGCAACAACGTATTCATCCACTGCAAGGCGGGCAGAGGTAGAAGCGGTGCCGTTGCAATCTGCTGGGTTGCCTATCACCACCGACTCTCACTGGAGGCAGCTCAACAATATCTGCTGGAACGCAGAAGTAAAGTAAGAAAAACACTATACAAGCAAAAGAATGTAAATGCTTTCTATTCAAAGTATTGTTTAAATAGATCACCATTATAATAATCTATCTATAATAAGGAATCATAATAAATCATAAATATATACTTGTATCATTCACTTTATATAAATACTAAAAAAAAAGTTATTTGTTGTTTAAAAATGTTTATATATATATATCTTATCTTATCTTTTATTTAGATTGCATGCAAGTTCAGTTAGTTAGTTTGCACCGGAATCATTACTTCCGTTGCTACTACTACTACCGCTGCTTGTTAGTATATTTGGATTGTTACTGCCAAAGTTACTTGAGTTTAAGTTACTATTACTTCCACCTGTTGGACCTCTTCCTATTAGTCCTGCTGTTGATTGATTCAATGATGGTTGTTGTAAACTATTAGTACTGTTATTATTATTACTAAGATTATTATTACTAGTATTATTATTATTATTTAAAATATAAGTTGAATCACCAAGTAATTGAAGTAATCTGTCAATCTTTACAGCCATATCTGCTCTCTCCTCTTTCTTACGTTGTTTTTCTTTTTTCTTTTCTGCTTTCTCTTGTTCATCTGCCCAATCAGTCAACTGTACAGATTGTAACAATTTATTTCTACCTATTAATTTCAATTCAAATAACTAGATTCGACAAGAGATTTAATTAGTTTGAATTGATAATTATGGTAATAGATAGTTATTATTACTTACACCACCAGCTTGTTTGTTTGCCAATATCTCTTGAAGGAACTTCTTTCTTTCGGTATATACCTTCATGGCCAAGTCAGTGTAGTATTGTGCTTCATCGAATTTGAATCCAAGACCTAGATTCTGTATTTCATCAAACATTCTCTCTGGAGTGATACCTTTCTCCTCTATCAGTCCAGGTCTTTTCTCCATCAATATAGAACAAATTGCACTAATATCATAGATATTTCTTCTAAATAAGAATGATAATGATAATGAATATCTCTTCCATTTCTAAAAATATTGAATTTGTTAATAGAATTAGTAACAAATCTATTATTATTATATATGAAAAATCATAAATGATGATTTCAATACAAACCGATAAAAGAGTTTTTTTATCTTTTTGCTTCTTCATGATGTTGGCATGCACTTCACTATAACTATTTGAAATGATAGCAACAAACATATTGATTAAAATTAAAAACATAAATATAATAAATATAATTGTATACTAATTTTGTTTGTTAAATGAGAGAGAGAATTAGTTTTGATGATTGATTAAGTATTATGAAGAGATAGTAGTAAGTGAGGTGTAGATGCACATACGATTGGACCTAATGCTCTGTTTGTATAGGTCATATCTTGGAAGCTAGGTGGATTACCCATGATGAATTGTAAAGAGGTACCTAAACTGTTTAGGAAACCATTGTAGTAATCTAGATCATGACCAAATGTCAACCATGCTGAAATCAAGAATCCAATCATCATAATCAAAAACATAATGGTAAATGTCATAAGTTGTAATCTAGCGTGTGAAATAGTAATCCAAATAGCATACAATCGTCTGTGAATAATGAGATATCTAAATGTTTTGAATGCTAATAATAAAATATCTAAATCGTAGTAATCAATCAATTGATTGTTAGTATCATTCTTTTTTTGTTCATCTATTATTATCTATTAACTTACTTATAGCACTTAGTTGATAGTAGACTAAAGCAGTCTCACCTAATGCTTCCATATGTGATGGATAACCAGCTGTATCCAGTGGGATGTTATTTGCATTCTTATCACTCAAGAATATTAAGAATAATATAACTGATGCAACAAATAACTATAATGAATAAAAGTTGGTTATGTTAATCTTTGTTGTTGTTGTTGCTATTGTTTAGTATTATAAATACTTACAGAAATATTAATAATATCCAATAGATTCCAAAATGATGTAAGGAAGTATTTAATTCTACCAAGATGATAATCAATTCTAGCTTCATTTATAAAGTTATAAATATAATAAATCAAAAATAGCAGGAATAGAACCTCCAAGAATGCTCTGAATCCATCGAGATGTGAAGAATACATATTGACTCTATAAGTTCTCAATGCATAATATGGTTCTAATATACCACTTGCTGAATATTCTACTAACTAATTGATTAAATGAAAGAATGAATGAATGTAAATATAAATGAATTGCCGCTAGGACTGATGGAGTTAGTATAACATACCATATAGGCAACGGTTACTCTTGATTCATAGTTCAATGTGAATGCAACGAATGAAATGATGACTGCACGTGTCTGATAGTTAAAGAAGGTGTTGTTGATTAGCGATTCCACGCCTTCCTGTATGTTCTCCACATCGATATCTACATAGTGCCCACTTGGTTCGTATACATATTGATTGTAACCGAAAACCATTGGACCACCGGTGTTTGGTGTGAACTTATAGATGGTTCCATTGGTACCAACGATATCACGCTTGTCCCTAGTATAACTATTGTAAGTCGGTGAATAGCAAGTACGATTCAAACTGAGATTCGGACAACTGTTTGGACGCACTCTCAACTGTCTTATTCTTACGGTGCCACCTACGATATCATTCATTGAATAGGGATTCTCGTAGGTCATCGATGACACTTGAGGAGCAAATTGTTCTGTTAAATACTGTTAGAATTGAATTAATTGGTTGGTTAATGTTGGTTGTTTAATGAAATTATGTGATATCTATAATAATAATAAAGTTGTACTTACACTATTAAATTGAGCTTGTGTTTTTATTTCGGTGAATGGTTGATCACCGTTGAATAAAAGATCGGACTTTATTGCCCAACCGATTTGATAGACATAGACAGAGTTTCTTTGTAATATTACAATCGTCAGAAACGCTACAAAAAATACAATATGCTTAATGAGATCTTTGATGAGTTTGGCACGTCTTTGAATTTCGATGGCTGCCAACATCGTCGCTTTTTCATGATCATTTTTGTCGGCAAGTGCTTCTTTTATTTTTAGTCTACGAGATTTCAATGAAGTACCTCGTTTAATTTTATCCATTCTCTCTCTCTCTTTTACTTATTTATTATTATTATTATTAATATTATCTATATTTATAAAGAAAAAATTAAATAAAAAGTAAAAGTATATATATTTTGTGTATGTATTATTTAAAAAAATATATATAAAATATTATAAAGGTGACATAAATAAATAAGAAATAAATAAATAAATATAAAATGTTGTTTGTTACTACTACTCTAAAAATATATAATTTTAAATTGGTTGATTGATAGTGATTTAAAAAATTTAGATAAATCTATCTTAAGAATAAAAAATTTGATGTAAGATGAAATTGATTAAATTTAATTAACGTCGATTTGATTTGATGTTTAATTGTTTTGATGTTTTAAAATTGATTATTTGTAAACAAATAATGATCATTAATTGTTAATAAAAAATGTGGTGATTGACTGACAACTGTTTTTTTTTTTTATAAAATCCATTTAATCGGAAAAGTTTTTTTGAATGGGTTAAGTTTTGACAAAAAATAACCTTTCATTTGGTTGTGTTAAAGATCATGAGACCCATTCAAAAAAAAATGTAATTTGATTCTTTTAATTAAATAAAATCAGATTCTGATTTACACACTTCTTATTATTTGCAGAACTTAATAAATTTGTGTTTTTGTAACCCAAACTAATTCATTCTTTAAACATCGAAATCATTGTTTTCACTTTAAAATAAACAATTCATTTATTCCTTTTTTGTTTGTGTTTTAAAAATAAGAAAAAGAAAAAAAGATATTATATGTTAAAAGTACAACAATCAAATCCATCTTTTTTTTTTTTGTTTTTTTTGTTTGATTTTATTTAGATTACAATAAAATGAATGGTTGATCTATCCATCAAATGAAATGGAAAATAGATTGATTGGTATGTTTGTATTAATATGGGAAGGGATTACGATGTGTATTATATCCTCCCATACCGGTATTCAGTCCACCTGGTGGTACAGGACCTGGATTCTTTGGTTTAATTGAATCACCTGGCGATGATAATGGTATGATGGGTGAGAGTGCTAAAAACATACATATATATATATAATATAGACATAATGTTAGATATAAATGTTATTTCTAATTAAATAACTTTTACATACTTGGAAGCATTTAATTAAAAAGATATTGTTTAATCTAGATAATATGAAAATGAAAGAGTTTGGGTTGGATGATGTTAACAGTCAGCGGACTTTACTTTAAATACTTTCAAAGTTTTAAACTTAAATTTAATATCTTATTTTTTTTATTTATTTTTTTCGGAAGATCAAGATATTTTTGATATTTTTATTTTATTTATGACAACAAAATTGAGATTTTAAATATTTGTTTTACAATATCTGCTCTCCTCTCTCTGTAGAGTATCTTTCATATAAGGTCTTAAAAACACCAACCATTAGGGTTTTTCTTTGTTGTATAACCTGCTGGATTTTGTGGTGGTTTCTTTGGAGTAATAGCAATCAAAACGTTTGAACCTGGCTTGCTTGTTGGTGTTGTACCAGCAAAATTTGCTATAATTTTAATAGATAAACAATATTAATAAATCAAAATGTCATTTATTTTTTTCTATTTAAAATATATCACATACGGAATGTCATTTCTTGTTATTTGTTTTAAGATTTGTTTTAATATGATATAGATCTAAAAAACTTAATTCTACATTTTTTGATCATCTCACACAAAAAATAAAACCAAATTTATAAAATTTTTTAAAAAAATCTGGATTTTTTTGATCTTTTTGTCACAAAAAAAAAAAAGAAATAAATAATTTAAATAATTTATTTTTTTAAATAAAGAGTTTGATAAATATTATTACTGCAAAAGATATTAATGTACTTGGCAAAATACTACCAGAAGATGAAATTACATCTGTTGTGGAACCTATTTTTTTTTTGATTAAAGTTTTAATTAGTATTTTGAAAAAAGTAGATTACAATAAAATTGAAAAAGTAGATTAAAATAAAATATGAAAAAACTTACTTGTTGTTTGACTGGTTGTTGGTGTTGATGTGGTTGGTGTTGATGATGTTGTTTGAGTGGATGTGGTGGTTGCTGTTGTTGTTGATTGCGAGGTGGTCGGTGTGTTTGGACAGAGTTTGTTGACATTGCAATAACCGTTGGGTGTTTCGCAGTCACAAAGGATTGCGGCGGTGAATTGCCTCAGATATCCGTCGACAGATATCGTTAGGCTACTGGTTGGATTCGGTACGATTCTATTCATTGTGCAAATCAAAACGGTAGAGGTTGGCGAATCCAACATACAAACATCACCACCAATCTTGATCTGAATGAAACGCAGGTTTGATCCAAAGTTACCGTTGATGGTAAGTGTGAGACCGCTGTTATTCGCAGTTGTCACTGTTGGATAGGTCCATTTGAACTCAGAGAAGTTTGTAGAGACAAATGGTTGACTTTCCACAGTGAGATTGTACCAACCTTCCGGCAAAACCGGATAGATTTGAGAAATGATGTTTGTCGTGTTCGAAGTTACAACTTGAACCTTTGTGCCATTGAAATAAACATTTGGTTTGACCAAGTTTGTGAAATTACCATCAAACATATTAATTGATGTACCTGATACAATTTGTAAAAATTGTGTAATAAAAGTAACTATTTTATATAAAAAACAAATCAATTAGTTAACTAATGAATGACAGTTCAGCTAGTTTAAATGTTGATAACTTACTCTTAATATACTCTTTTATGTAGAAACTATCTGAAAAGTCTGATTTTACGGAAATATTATATGAACCAGTTAAAATATCTTCTTTGACAATACAATAAATATATTCTTCACTGCTTTCAACGATATTACATGAATAGTTTCCAATATCTACGACTAAACCACTGGTATTAAAGATACCATTTATCATCCAATGAACTTCATCATAAAGTAATCTAAATGTTACATTCTTAATATAATCTATAATTGATGTTTTTTAGTAAATATATTGATGAATTCTAAAAATGATTAATTATTTGCTTAACTTACATTCTTTGGACCAATCGATTGTGAATTGAATTCCATGGAATTTAGAGAAAATGATTATTTCAGTTCCTTGTTTTGCACTCGATTGGATTGTGTATTGATAAGTCGTTGACTTATTGATTTCTACCAATCCGTCGCTGTGATCGATTTGTACTAATTGACCATTTAGTCTGTTAAACAACTTGCTTATGTAAAGTAGGTTTTCACCGGTGATAGTGATGACACCGTTCTGAACGAAATAACTAGTTTTATCGAGAGTCGCACCACACATTCCTGTTTCTGTTTGATTTGTAAACGCTGCGTATCCAAGTGGTAAATAGGTGAGGTTGATCTTTCTGTTGCAATACAGATATTTCGGTATTGTATCATTGGTAGCAGACAAGTAAAAATTTGGATAATCCGACAGGTCTGGACAAACAGATTTAAAACAAATATAAAACGGTAGTTTATTTGATCTTTGAAGAACAACTACTACATTTCTAAAAGATAAAGTATTATATTAGTATTCATACACTTTTTCTTTTTTCTTTTTCTGTACATACGGATATATAGTTGCACCTGCAAGTACGAAATCCTTTGTCGACCAATCAACAACAAAGAAAGTAAATAATCTTGCTCTAAACATCACTGTACTTGTTACAATGATAACTCCATCGGTGATATTTGAGATTGACATAGTCGCTGCTGGTGCATTCATTTCGAGTGTTGCATTTGGCATGTCACCAATATTTCTATAAAATTAAAAAAGAAATGGGGTTGACAGTTGTTGGTAAATTTCTTTGTGGAATATTAAGATTATTGAGGTGTAGAAACTTACACTTGAGACAAAACAGGATAATAATATGATGAAAAATTATAGTAATATGGTTCAACAAATGAAGTAGTATTGACATAGGACATTACTCTAAAATAATTAAAAGTTAGCCTTAAAAAAAATTAAAAAAAAAGAATAAATAATTTTACATACAAATAAAGTGAAACCAATTTTGGCATGATTGTCAATGGGAAATTGGCTGGAATAATGGGACCATTACTAGAATAGTTCATTTCAAATCTATAGAAGCATCAAAATTATGAGTATGAGTAATGAATTGTTCATCTATATTGTTCAATGTATTTACCTGAACCATGATGCAGAGGATATATTTCCAAACAATGTCATTGGGTGAATGCTTGTATTATAAATATTTGGTTTAAAAAAGATAAAGGAATTGATATTTGGGAAATCAAGTGGTAAAATTGAAAAATCTGGTTTAATTTCTGGATCGATTGTTGCATTCTTTTGTGTAAATCTATAAGAATGATAGTTTTTTTTTTTTAGTACTAATTAGAAAATATAGTTTAATTATATTTTATAATATTTACGCAATTTGATATACATAAGAACCATCACCACTTGGAAAATTATTGCAAACAACAGTGTCAGCGTAATCAGGATTTGATACTGGACAGAGTGTTACATTATCATAAAGTGTTGGGTAATATGCATAGAAATCACCTAGGAACTTCAAATTATTCTCTATAAATTATTGAAAGTGGTGTTGCAAAATATTAGCACTCAAAATTTTGTCGTTGGTGCACAATTGTGGGTGTTTGATATGCTTACGTTCTGTAGAGGTGATTTGGGAGAAACAAACCGAACAAACAAACAAAATCAATACTGATAGCGTATATTTGAAATGGATAGACATTGTTTTTTTTTGGTACACTCCTTTGTGAGGTATAGTTGTAACAACTTCACTTTTCCTATATATTAATTAATACTATCTATCTATTTTCTGTTTCTGTTCTCTATATCTCTAATAATACTATGATTGTTTGAGTGAAATGAATGAGGGACAAACATTCAACTGGAGTATACTTTTACCAAAACAACAAACAAACAAACGGTCCGTATTTCTTTTTTTATGTATGTCACAAAATAAAAAATAAATATCATGCGGTTTTTGTTCGTCTTTGAAAATTTGGATCTACAAAATATGGTTTCTGTAGGCAGAGAATAGTGATTGATTTGTGGACAAAAAAACAAAAAAAAAACAAAAAATTTCAAACAAAAAATCGAAAAAAAAAAAAGTTTGGCTGGCGTTTGTGAAAGGTGTCAATAGCAATATAATTAAAAGATTTATACTATATCTGTAAACTTTTTTCAAATTAGAGAATGAACAGGATGTGACTCTTTGCAAGTGTTTTTGTTTTTTTTGTTTTGCATTTTGGAGGAGAAAAAAAACCCACACTTTTTTTTGTTTTTTGATCATGTTGATGTACCGTTGAATCAAAAAATAACCAGTGGTTGCCCTTTGTTTTGGCCCACCAAACATTTTTAGCTTTGTTTTTGATGAAAAAGGTGGTATTTTTTAACTTTGATCGTGAGAATTAAATCTCTTTTGTATTGAGATTGGAATTTTTCTCTTTTAGGAAAGTTTTACTGTGGACCAATAGAATTACAAAAAAAAAATTTTATTTGGTTAAATAAAAAAATTCCTTTTTTATTTTTGTGTCTTTTTGTTCGAAATAAACCTTGACGTTGCAACAATGAGATCGATTATAGATTTACAAATAATTGGATATTTTAAAAATAATTGGATAGATTGTTTTCAAAAAAAAAAAAAAAAAGTTTTATTTAAAGATACAAATATATGGATACCAAGATTGTTATTGTGATATATAATAAGTTGGTATGTCTTGTGTATAGATTTGGTGCTGCATTTAGTGGGGTGGTTGTTGATGTTGTTGTTGGTACAGCAGTGTTAGTGTTGGTGGTTGGAGTACTTCCACCCCCAGTGGTGGTAGGTGAACCAGAAGTGGTACCACCAACTGTGGTGGTTCGATCCGTTGTTGAAACTGGCGCTGACGATGTACTACCGGTGGTTGTTGTGGTCGAGGTGGTGGATTGACAAACACCGTTACTGTAGGTACCACCAACCTTTGGTCGAATACAAGATAGAGAGTAACCTTCGGAATCCGATGAGAATTCCAATCGGTAGGATTGGGTGTCAACCGATGCCTCTAGACATTTAGTGTTGGCACCGAGTTGAGTGCATGCAAGTTTGGACATCGAAATGGTGGAGGGCATTGCCGTGCTATTGTCAGCGGCAACCAACAGGAATGCTCTGGCATCAGGTGTTTCAGTTGGACCACCATTGAAACGGACTCTTACACGACGATTATAGATTACACCACTGAATGTAATGTTACCATCATAGACGAACTTTGGATTACCATTGAGACCTTCTCCTGCCACTCTGGCAACAGGAGGTTTAGATGTTTCACCAACATTTCTACACATTGGATTGATTTGCATTAGTTTATCATTGATTACACTCATTGTATTGGTAATGGTGTAGAGACCACACGATGTTGGATCTTGGTTATCCAATCCGGAATAGAAAAATTCGGAAATATCGAGGTTTTGAGTTGTAAATCTCGAGTGTTTGGTGAATGTATCGGCAATAATATAATGTCCACCCGGAATTGATATGGCATATCTATAGAATCTCTTCAACCAACCATCGTTTGGTTGACTCTTTCCGTAGACTTCTGATCCATCTAGTTTGAACATTTTAAAGTTGATACCATCTTGAGTGATTTCCAGCTGTTCAATGGTTCCACGAACCGGTGAGAATTGACTTTTGTTGATGGTTGTACTAACAGTGTTGTTGGGATATACAAAGAATGCATCTTCAACAACCAAAGTATTGGCACCCGCTGGATTGTTATCAATCTCCAATGTTTTGTCGGTTTTGGCAATGGTTCCATAGGACATATCATAAAGGAAACGAGCACCATATCCACTCCAAATAAAACCACCAAAATCACTCTCTGTATGTGGGTATCCATTGTATTTCCCTTCCATTGCAAGATTTGTAAACTCTGCCAACTTTGAACGACTAGTCATTGGTGCATTTACTTCCTTGACTTTATTACGGAACATACCGTTTCCACCTAACGGATAGAATGATACAGAATCGTTGAATGACTTACATTGACTTGTGATTTGTGTCCAGTTTCTCGCTATTACTTTGTGGTTATCAAAGTTTTGATCCAATCCAGAGCTAAAGTAATGATATAGCCAGAATCTAAGTACGGTACATGGGTCTATGATAGGCTGTCCGTAACCAATGATTTCGGGAATGTACATTGAATAGATTGGAGTCAGTGATCCATACTGAGAAAAATGTGAATCACCAAAATCCATTGTAAACGAGTCTGTCATGATTGCATCTAAAACCCATTTGTGAACCTTTTCGAAAATACTCCAATCCAGAGCGAATGTATGGATTCCCAGCGCACTGTTGATAAGATAGTCGATTTCCATAAATCCATCGCAAGTCATTGTTGTATAATGAGCCAATCCCTCGACATACACACCGTCGGACAAGAAGAATTGACGAGTTCTATAGAGTACCGATAGCATATCAGTCATTACACCCTGTGCCAGTGTAGCATTCTCGTACCAACGCACAACCGAATAGTATACAGCACCAGAACTAAGTACAGGAGTCCAATTGTTTCCATTCCACAGAGCCCAACCTTGAGTTTTATAGACTCTACGGTAGTCGAATCCTCTACCATCCATCTTGTTGACAATCATGGTGATTATTGTGTTATTTAAATTGTTCCAGAGAGTATCGACATAGGTGGACCAGAATTTCAAAGGAGCAGGTGTTCCAAGATCGAATCCAAACGTTCCACTTCCGTCACTGTAACCATCGTACCAAACACCCCATATGTTCCAAAATTTGAGTTCACCATCGATAACCTTTGGAATAAGGGTATTTAGATTGTCAGTGGTATAGACACAGTCTGCTCGTTGCAAGTAGAAACAAGACTGAAGGAATCTAATAAGGAAGAGAGCATTTCTTCCCTCTTTAAATCTAATATTTAAATCGGCGCTAAGTGTACCTTGAAGGTAGTTCTTTACAACGGGATTTGTCTCGAAAGGATATCTATTATTCTTACAAATACTACCACCGAATAGATTTACTTCCCAATCATCACGAATGTTATGAACAGACTATTGTAAGTATAATAGATAAAAAGATATTAATATTAATATGTCAAAGATTAGATATATTATTTCAGAAACATACCAATCCACCAGGTGCATAGTTATCACAAGCCAATTCCCAGAATGGTTTGACTTTAGTTTCCCAGAAACTGGAATGATTACCGAATAATCTTGGATGACCGGTTGGTGGGAGGGTACTGTAGGTAAAGTCAATACCCATATATAGACTGACAGTGTCTATTCTAAGAATCTTGTGTAGGTAGATATAGCAGGCACCGGATGATGGACAACCTGTATTATAGGGATAGGTACTGACTGCAAATACCACTACATCAAGTTCCTTGACGGTTTTGTATTCGGTTGGTATTGGAACGTCAATTACGGGATCATCGCTGAATGGACCGAGAATAGTGTAACCAGACGATGCGCCACGCTCTGCAGGTGTACCCAAGAGAATATAGTATCCAGCTTTTGCTTGCGGATCCCATGGACCTTCGGTTCTAATATTACAACCTAGTGGACCGCATGGACTTCCACCGAATGAAGTTACACCATAGTTGCCACCACGTGTATCCATCGAGATTTTGACTTTCTGTGGTGTTCCATGTGTTGCTTTGTCGGGAAGTGGGAATCTGAATTGTACCCAAGAAGGATTGGCAGACACCGGAACAGAGTTATCTGGTTGACGTTTGTTCATCAATTGAATCATGTTACCATCGATTAGAACACGACATGCACCTTGTTGGACACCACCATACTCAATAGCTTGTTGAGGAAACACCGATGTTTGAGACAATGATTGTCCACATGCATTGGCGGGCATAGAGCTCAAATCCAAAGTGAATATTGTAAATGGATTGTCTGGATAGCCACTAAAGTTTGCTTGTAACACTGAAGTTGGTATTTTAGGTAATCCATCAGTGAAATTTTGAAGAATCCTTTTTTGAAAAGAAAAAAGAGATGTAAATATGTTGTTATTGTGTTAGAATATAAAAACAACTTACAATGGTGAAATTGAATTCCAATTAGTTGTTGTCGGTAAAGCACCGAAACTATTGTTTATAAAAATACAAAAAATAAATATTAATAAATAATAAGCTAACCTTTTCATTTTTGAAATGATTATGTTTTAAAATGATTGGGTTTCTTTTTTTGAAGTTAAAATAATCCACAGTTTTATCTAGAGTACTTTAAAAAAAGAATGACTTCGATGAGAATTTGATCATTTAGTTGATCACCTGTGAAATCATGATTTTATTTTTAGTTAATGGTTATTTGCAAAGATATCTTCCTAACTTGGGTTACAAATTTCGAAAACAAAAAGATTTTTGTAAAAAAATGAGGTTATTGTTTGATTGTTAGATTACTATTTGTGGGGAATTGATGGGTTTTCAATGAAAAGCAAATAAAAATAATATCTTTATTTGGTTTTGGTTATTTTTGGTTGTTAAATGGGTTGAAATCTACAAATTATTATTTATTTAATAAAAATTATTTTATAATAATAATATCACTTTGCTTTTAATGATAGTAGTTATTTTTTAGATGGTTGGATATTTAATTGTACTTTTACTTTGATTTGTTATTGATTTGATATTATTATTATGAGGTATTTACATCTTTATAAAGTTGAGAAAATATTTGCTGCTAATGTGATGTTCTAAAGGGTTACATAATCTTTAAATTCCCATGCTGTATTGATCGTTCTTCTTTGTTCTCTAGTTTAAAGCTTATCGTTATCTTGATCATCAAGGTAGTCGTCGTCGTCGTTATACTTTGAAAGTGGTTCTATTTCGTTTTTGAGTCGGTCGTATCTGACTTGGTTTCTCGTCTTGCAATATCGGTAGACGATGGCCACCACGGCAAAGACAACGATGAATGCAAAGACAACCAGTACGATTCCGAAACCTGTTGGTGCCGATTGACAACGTTCACACATATCTACACCATCCTCCTGTCCGAGTACAGGAGATCTACAATTATACTTGACGAGTAGCGAGTTCTTGTAGGCACTACCACCACAGTGATAGGTTACTCCTACAACACTGTTACAACAATCTGCTTTGACATTGCTCGAAACCAAACTTAAATAAAAAACAATAAACAATATATAGTTTGTAATAAATATATAGTTTCTCATTTTTTCAAACTGTTAAAACTTGTTTAATAAATCTTAATTTTTTTACTTTAATACTTATTTTTTATTTGGTTTTTGATCAAATTTTTTTTTATTTTTTTTTTTCAATAGATATTTTTTGATTTGAACCAAACCAAACACCACTATCGCGTCGATCGTCGACTATTTTAATACTAATAATGTAATAATCATGATCATTTCTTAATACATTATTCATTTGGAGGTTAATAATCATTATATCTATTTCAGCTTGTTCAGGTTTGTTGTTTTTATTGATCAATGTACTTATAATGACAATATATACTTGAAAACTATTCATGGTGTGGATTCAACTTCTTCCCATTCAACATCACTTTATTGGATGGTGACTATTTATCAATATGAGAAGAGAACAACATTATAGAATGAAAAATTAACCAACAATTCATCATTATTTTTCCAAACAAGCAACAAAAAAATAAAATAAATAAAAATAATTGGCGAAAAGATTTTATTTTAATTTAATTTTTATTTACAAATACTATTAAATATTATTATTTATTTATTTAGACTTTCTAAGTAATTGAGAAATTAAATCTGAATTCTTTTTCATATGTTTTTCTCTGTGTCTGTTGGCATCTGCCCACTCCAATAGATGTAAACCAAGTGTGTTGATATGTATACACATAGGGGCATGACATGAACATACACCAGTGAGTTCACCATCTTCACAAACTGAGGCTTCTACATTGTATCCATTGACTTTTGCTTTTGCGAAGCCATGAGAACTAACTGAAAATTCCGAAAAGTTGGACTTTGACTTGTTACCTGTATAGTTTACTGGTAAATTCAATAAAAGCATAGAATCTTGCATTGTATTATTTGTTTGATTGAATTTAATTTCTGAATTATTTTTTAAAATTGATTCCATTTTATTTTTATTTATTATTATTCAATATCCTCTTATTTTTATTATTTTTTTAATTTTTATTTATTTCTTTAATTTTGTTAATGAAACACTTATATACATCGATTACAAAAACAAGTAATACTTATATAATTGGATTCTGTTTTATACTAATGCAAAAATCAAACCCCACCTATTCATTGTGTAATTTTTAATGAAAATTACCTTTTTTGGTAGATCTATTTAAATTATGACTCACACATATTTTAAAATGGTGAAAATTTTTAGTTTTTTAAGATAGACAAAGGAGAATTCAAGTCATTATTTATAAATTGATTTGAAAGTGCATTGATTTAATTCTATATTTAACATTTTTTTTAATGAATATTGAGGGAAAGAAATTTGACTTAGAGTTACATTTATTTTAATTTAAGAGGGACAGAAATAAAACCAAAGACGATCTTTCCTTTTTACATAAATAAATAAAAAAAAAACATTTATTCTTAAATATATTATACACCATTAACAAAGGGTGTTGTGAAAAAATATTTTTCTATTTTTTTTTTTTTTTTTTTTTTTTTTTTTGCAGAACTTCATGTGTGATGTTCAAAATAATTATCTTTAAATGTTAACGATTAAACTGATATCAGTATTATTACTGATTACTTTGATTTATAACATAGATGTTTGTCAAGGTAGAACATCATCTTATTATTCAATATTGAATGATATCTCTGCTGGTGTAAACTATTATAGTTTATTGGGTGTAAATAACGATGCCTCAGAACGTGATATAAAAAAAGCATTTAGAAAGTTATCTTTAGAGCAGTATGTTAACATTTATGTTTATCAATCTAATCAATTAAAATAATTTTTATTAACTTTTAATAACAATACATAATTACTATTGTTTAAACAGTCATCCAGATAAGAATAATGGTGTTAGTTCAGATATATATGTACAATTGACTCATGTCTATCAGATATTGAGTGATAAAGAGACTAGAGAGGAATATGACGATCTACTGGTCAATGGTATACCAGCGTATGAGAGATACTACGGTAGATATGCCTATCATTACACTGGTGTCAGTCATGACATTCGCTATGTGTTGGCAGGTCTGGTGGGTGTCATCACCGTAGTCAAATATCTCTATCAGCTGTCTAGACATAAACGAATGACACTGCTGGCAAAGCGTACTGCTCGCTATCAGAAAGCACTTCAAGAGTCGAGTGAAACCGGTGACACTGCACCAGAGGTTCATGTTCAAGGCGCAGAGAAACCAACTTGGCAATCGTTGTTTATCATCCAACTGGTGATGCTACCTCTAAGAATATCACAGTTTCTCTATCGAATCATAGTGGTTCAGCGTTTTAGACTATCGAAAACACAAGAGGAAATAGAGGAGGAGTATCGAATCCAAATGAACATGACGCCCGAACAATGGCAAAAATATAAAGATGATCAAATGAAGAAATACGAACGATTCAAACAGAGTAACAAATATAAAAAAATGGTTAGATATATGAAAAATAAATAAATAAATATAAACAGAAAGATATTAAATATTATCTTTTAATAAATTGTGAACTTCACAAACAAACAAGCAAATTGATCAATTAATTTTTTTATTTTATTTTTTAAAAACAAAAATGAAAGAGATGGTTGTTTTGTTTGTGCCAAATCAAACTGGTGCAAAATAGTCTTTCAAAGAATGTTGTTGTTGTTGGTTTGATTTCAACCATCAGAATGTTTAATATATTAAATCTCAAAATAGAATTTATAGTAAAATCAAAATGTTATGATTTCATTCGATTTCAATCTTTAAAATCAGATTTACATCAGTAATTGGGTGGAAATGGGATGTTAAGAATGATTAATCGATTCAATTTCTGTAAAAAACAAGAACTACCCAAAATTTATGGTTGTAATTTTATCACCCCACACCCAAACTATAAACAAACACCCACCAGATTATATCATCTGTTCACCTAAAACATATCATAAAACAAAAACGAAAAACAAACAATAATCTAATAATATTTATTTTTTTAATATATAATGAAATTCATTAAACAAACATTGTTCAATAACAAGCATTATTTTTGTACTTTTACTTTTATTTGTATTCTTAACAATTAATTGTTTATTTTCATTTTATTTAAAATCTTAATATTTCCTATTGTTTTGTTTATATCTTTTATAATAATAATTATAATAATGAAAAATATTTTATATTTATCAGATTTATTATTAATTCAAATAATAAATTCAATATCAAATGATATTGATAAATTTATTTGTTTATTTATAAATAAAAGATTCCATTCATTGAAAAACAGGGTGGTTTTCGATACCAATCTAAATTTATATAATATCGACTATGTTTTAAAGTATTTCTCTTTGAAGTTTCTTCACCAAAATCTTCAAAGATTTTTACAACCAAAGTCTAAAACACATTTTCTTTTGAATTCAGAGTATCAAGGAGATCGTGCATTGTCAGAGTTCATTCCTCAAGGCATTACTCACGTCACTGTAAACTACGACTATGAGTTCATCTCCCACCCAACTTACAATACCTTTCCAGCGGGTATCACTCATATCCAATTTCTAAATGCCACTCCTGTCGAATTCACAGAGGATATGCTGCCAAGTTCCATTCGACATCTCGCGCTAAATGATATTTTCTATCAGAATATCAGACAGCCTGGACTTATCCCAAGATCGCTCACAGAGTTATCTCTAGGTATAAGATTCAATCAACCGCTAGGCATTGATATTCTACCACCCGATCTAGAGTCACTCTCTTTTGTTGGAAGTCACTATGATTTGCCAATTCTTCCGGGATACTTACCAAATAGTTTAACCAGTCTGATTCTAGGTCACAGTTTTAATCAACCGATTTATCCAGATTCATTACCACCAAAACTTAAATATTTACATTTGGGAGCGAATTTTTCACAGACTCTCTTCCCGAGTAGTTTCCCATCACTCACTCACCTTGCCACCTGGGGAAACTCTGAACTTACTTTCAAATCTCTGCGTAATCTTGGATGCCTTACTTATTTAGTGTTGGAATGTGAATTTAATCAGCAATTTCAACCTGGAGATTTACCAAACACCTTGGAATACCTATCGTTTGGATACTCTATATATAATCAACCTTTCGGTGTCAATGTACTTCCTCCCAATATTAGATTTCTACAAATGGGTACCATTTTCGATCATCCAATCGGTGAGAATGTGCTTCCAGTGAATCTGGAAGTTTTGATCTTTGGAAAATTCTTCAACCAACCTTTGGAAGAAAATGTACTACCACCTAATCTTGAACATTTGGAATTTAGTGATAAATTTAATCAACCATTGAAACCAAATGTTATTCCTGACAGTTTAAGATATCTCTTGTTAGACAGTGAATATTCACATGATATTGGCGAATCAGTATTGGCAAATATTACTACCCTCTTCATTAGTGGAACAGGTACAGAGGAATGTACAATTCAACTACCCAGCTCACTTAGACATCTCATCTTGGGCAAAGCTTTCAACAAAAAGATCAAGTTTGGAAAGTATCCTGATGGTCTTACCCATTTCCAAATGGAATCATTTGTACCGGGATTGGAGATTCCAAAGAAGATCACTCATTTGGATTTAGGTTATGATTGTTCAAAGAAAAGAAGATCGAATATAAATGATTTAGTACCAGAATCTGTCACACATCTTTCGATTGGCGTTGTTGGATGTCCTCTGTTCCCAAGAGATCTTCTTTTAAGATTGGAAAAGATAACATTGTGGCATATAGGTTTGGTAGAGAGACACCCAATTGCATGTAGAACTCACAAGCTGGATATCAGAAAAATCAACCACAAGGATATAATGCTATTAAACAAAGAAAATCTTCTCGGTGGAATAATTGACACTTCATTGGATGAACCAATCAAGATTAATACAGAGTCATTAATCAATGAAATATACCCTCCAGTTGAATGGAAAGATTATAAAGAAAATCAATATTGGAAATTTAACATTGATTATTTCAATTTGTATTCACAACATTTCTAATTAATAAATTTTTTTAAAAATAGAATTTATTTGTATATAGAATAAAGATTTGGTTATCTTGTAAATTTTTATTGTTTGTTGAAGAAAACTATGATGAATTTGTTTGGTTTGGATAATTTTTCATTTGATAAAATATTATTATCAAACTTTTCTTTGGTGATAATAATCATCAATATATATATTAATTGTCGAAGAAAAAGAAAGTATAAATATGTACATATTTGTTTGATTTTTATTTAATTTCGAATTTAAATAAATACATGCTAGGATTGTTTAGTTTCTTTTCTAATAAATCGATAATAGATTGATTTGTGAGTAATTGGTGATCTGGTTTTTGTTTCTCTATTGCATCACTTATCATTCTCTTTATACAATCTATTGATATATATTTGTGTATTATCGATAAACCTACATTAAATATAATAGAGTTAGATTAAAAAACAATTGCAAACTATCAAATCTAAATAATCTTTGTCTTACTATAGTAGAGAGTATTAAAAATAGTTTTGTTTGAAAAGAATCGAATATTCTGGTGATCAATCTTCATTGTTTGAAGTAAAATTGGCAAGCCATCTTCTTTTAAGACCTTTTTACAACACTTTGCACAGTTGTAAGTCATATTGGTTAATATCTTCAAACAGTATTCTACAATCCTTGGATTATCAAAGTGAATCTGTATAGATGACAGAGTGAAACTAATGATTCCTTGTTTCTTGAATGTTTGAATAAAAAACCCTAGATATAAAACAAAGAAAAGATTAGATGAGAACAAGGTATTTTAAAAAATAAAACATACTGGAATTAGATAGAAAAACTAATGTTAAAAGACCATTCATTAGGATTGTATTTTCTAAATTAAATCTCTTAAGAATTTGTATTAAATTTACAACAATATAGTTTTCTTTAAACTTTATATTATCTATAATAATCATATTGTTAGTACTGATTTAATTTTAAAAACATTTTTTATAGTATAAATAACCTACATGATATAATAGTTTTATATAGAATAAAAGTGAACATCGATTGGAAAAATTTGTTTTCTTTATGGGATTGAGCTATTTTCAATACTAAAGATAGACCTCCATTAGATCCAAAAGTATTAATTGCCTCTTTGTCTTCAATAATTTTCGATATTAATAATATTGAATTATAATGAAGCTCGGCATCTCCAATATTCTCTGAAACAACTCTGATCAATATTTTTAAATTGTCAACTATTATGTTATAATTTTCATTATTTCCTATTAAAAAATTTAGTATGTATAATTGTTAGTTTTAAAAAAATATTACAAACCTTTAATAAGATTATTGAATATATTAAAAGATAATTTTAATAACTCTAAATTTGAATTGTAAAATGAAATTAAATCCATAATCGTACTAATGGATATTGTTGTATTAGGATTGGATTGGAAAAAATTATTTAAAATTGTTAACAATCCTTCTACTAATTTAAAATTTGATCTTCTTTCTGTTATTGTTTTAAAAATAAGATTAACTATTCTACTATCTTTTTCAACCGAATCATCTAAATTTCGATTTCTTTTTGAATGTAAAAATAATAATGATTTTACTATTGATGTATTATTGTTTAGCCATTCAATACCAACAATAGAATCATTTTGAACTATTGTATATTTTGGTGATTGAAGTTTCGAAAAATAAATAGAATTATATATACTAGGTAATGATTTTTCTAAAAGTTGATTCCAAATCCAACTATTATTTAAATAGAAATTGAAAAGTTTACAACTTTCACTAAGATTTATTAACTCTCTTGGTTCCAAAAATAATAATATTGAAGATAAAACTTCCAGAGGAATATTAAATATCTCATGATTTAATTGTGATCCTGTTAATAGATTATCTCTAAAATTATAATTTTTATTTCCATTTAAATATATTAAAGGAGAAGTAGAAGTTGATTTATTAATTTTTTTAAAATTTTTAAATAAACTAATCATTTTAAAAAAAGTAGGAAAATAAATATAATAATTTTTATTATTTATATATATAAGTATAAGTAAGAGATAAATGTGGTCAAAGAATGAAGAAATGTAAAGTTGATTATTATTTTGTTTAAAAATAAACTTGATGAACTCGACTAATTATCATCATAACTCAATCATCTACAGGGAATAAATATATATTCATTAAATTAATAGGTATCAGATGATATACAAATACATACTTTTTATTTATAGATGATCTTATATATCACCCGTTTTGGAAGAAATATAGGGGAGGGTTGGTAGGGGTTTATAAAATCACAAAAATAAAAAACCATCATCAAGGTAAATTTTCATCGTGATGATCACCCCACAAGTTGTTCAAAGAGGTGTTTGTTATGCATTGGATAGTGGTTGTTGATGTTTTTTATTTTTAGTTTTAAAAATAAAAATATTTTAAATTAAAAAATTAAATTAAAATAAAGAAATATATTTTTATTGGTTGTTTTTATATATTTTTCACATTTTTTCATTTTTTATTTTTTTTATGAATGAATTACATATTTGTATTGGTCAGTGGATAAAATTTTTTATCAAATCAATCAAATAACGCAAAAAATGACACCCTGATATTTAACTATTTGATATTAATTTATCAGATTTTAATTAATATTTAATTTTAACTAGTTAAACTATTTTATCATTTTTTAAAAAATTAATTATAAGATTAGATAATTAGCAAAGATAGATAGATAGATAAATTAGATAGTAATACAGTTTATTCATCTTACCAATCAGTCAATAATCATAATTAATTAAAATATGCAAAATATTTCTATCAAACAACTACCATCACCATCTGTTGTGGTTGATGAAGAGATCGTTAGAAGAAACTGTAAGAAGATGATCGATAGATCTAAACAGTTGGGTGTTGCAATTAGACCTCATATGAAAACACATAAGACAATGTATGAATGTTAACACTGATATATATATGTTAATCAATCAAATCAATGTTTTGCTAACATTAAAAATGATATTATCATAGTGAAATTGGAAAGTTTCAAGTAGAGGGATTAGAGTTTAAAAAGGTGATAGTATCGACATTGCAAGAAGCAAAGTTCTACGCTCAGAGCGGTTATTTTAAGGATATTCTCTATGCAATCCCAATTGCACCAAACAAACTAGAACAAGCTGCTAGCATTCACAGCTCGATTGACGTTCTTCACTTGATGGTGGATCATCCCGACCATGTACGTGCTCTGGTCGACTTTCGTGTGAGCAACAACGCTGCTCTCGCCGGCAAGAAATGGTCGGTGTTTGTCAAGATCGACTGTGGATACCATCGTGCCGGTGCAGATCCCTGCTCACCAAAAACATTGGATCTCATTGCATCGATCACCAAAGACAACAACCAGCATTTCGACTTCCAAGGAATCTATACCCATTCCGGTCATTCCTATCGCCAACAAACACCGAAGGAAATTGCAGCGATAGCTCTGGAGGAAGCGACCGTTGCCGGCCAAATGGGTGCCAGAATCAGAGAAGCTGGTTTGCCATGTCCGATTGTCTCGATTGGTAGCACCCCGGTCTGTTGTCACCTGCCTGACAACCTCGTCCAGCTCGGTGTCAATGAAATTCACCCTGGAAACTATGTGTTCTATGACCTGATGCAAGTGGAACTAGGAAATTGTCAGCTGTCCGACGTCGGAGTGTCGGTTGTAGGACGAGTCATCTCGGTGTATCCCGAGCGCAATGAGCTGCTTGTCGATGCCGGATCACTGGCACTCTCATCGGACCCTGGATGCACACATCTCCAGGGCAGACAGCCAGGCTTTGGAGTAGTGGTGGACGCGCCACATCTCCGTGTGGTTGGAGTAACCCAGGAAATAGGTAAATTGCAGTCTAGCGACCCCGCCAAACCTATTGACTTTTCAAGATACCCAATAGGTACGGTCATCCAAATCATTCCAAATCATAGTTGTCTCACCGCAGCAATGTTCTCAAACTATCAAATCTTAAAAGGTAATTCCATATGTGATACATGGACACCAGATAAACATTGGTAAAAAAAATCACAAAAAAAAACAAATAAAAAACTGTTACAATTCAAAGCACTAAAATTCACATGAATAATCATAATTTACAATGAAATATTTCTAATTCTTATAAGAAAATTAAATTTATATATATATATGTATCAAAAGACTTGTTATGAAAGTTACTTCTTATTAATGATATTTAATTGTAGGAATTACACTTTTCGAATTGACATAAAAAATAAATTATCTTTTTTGGGCCAAAAAAATCAATTTTGTTTTTCGTGGAAAAAAAAACAGATCTCCAAAACTTACAGTTTTAAAATAAAAATAAAGTGTTTTTTTTTTTTTTTTAATTTATTTTTATTTATTATTTGTTTAGATTTATGACATCGATTGAAAAGTTATTAGTTCAAGGTATAAGAAGTTTCGATCCAAATGAAAGTAGTGTAATTGATTTCTATAAACCATTGACTTTGATAGTCGGTGTCAATGGTGCTGGTAAAACTGTATGTTAAGATCTTAATTGATGATATCATATGACAGGCTGAACCGTTCAGTTGGATTGAATTCAAGTAGTTTACTAATCTTATTTATTTTCTTAATCATTGAATGATAGACCATTATTGAATGTTTGAAATATGCATCGACAGGTGAGATGCCACCAAATTGTTCGAGTGGACAGGCGTTCATTCACGACCCAAAGATTGCAGGCAACAGCGAGGTGAAAGCACAGATAAAGATGAGATTTAAGAATCCCAATGGTAAGCCGATCGTCGCTACTCGTTCGCTGTGCTTGGTACAGCGTGCAAACAACAAGCAGGAGTTTCGACAGATGGATGCATCACTACAGAGTTTCAATAGCGAGGGTCAGAAGGTTAGCAAGAGTTTCCGTTGTAGTGATCTCGATAAGGAGATCCCAGAGTTGATGGGTGTCGCCAAGCCAATTCTAAAGAACGTTATCTTCTGTCACCAGGAAGAGTCGTTGTGGCCGCTGTCAGAATCTGCCAAACTCAAAGTGAAGTTCGATGAGATCTTCTCGGCCGTTCGATATACCAAAGCGCTAAAGTCGATAAAGGACAAGAAGAAAGAGGTTTCCACACAGATTAAAGAGTCGCGTTTAAAGCTGGAGGTGGTGACAACCAATCGTGAACATTCCAATAGAATCAACAAGGAGATTGCCGCTATGAATCAGCAGTTGGTGACACTCAAAGATACGCTGAAACAGACTGCCTCACAGCTGAAGGAGAAGCGACAGCAATACGATTTGATCACTGCGAAAGTGACTCAGGTCGATGCAGCCGTTCAAGAGGTGCGCGCGATGGAAGTTCGAAAAGTAGAGATGGAAAAAGCAAGAGATAGAATGTATAGCGGTTTGACAGAGGTTTTCGATGAGTCCGATGCAGAATTGGTGTTCATGACAAACAGCTTCCAAGATGAAGTCAATCAGATGCTACAGGCGCAGAAGGAACTAAGCGATAACCTTGCCAAACTACAGACGGAAAGAGATACTTTGGCGGCAAAGAAGAATAGCAATAGTATAGAGATGGGAAAGCTTGGACAGCTGTTAAAGATGGCAGAGGAGCTGGCCGGAAACCGCGACAAACAACTGGCAGAGTTGGCCAGCAGATACAACCTGACGTACGAACCTGGCAAATCACAAGATGTTGTTGAATCGCTAACAAAGAAACTCAATGATATATCGGCAGTGATACTGGCGAACCAAGACAGATTCAAACAACAGATTAGCGAAGCAGAGTCTGCTGCCAACGAGTCGAACATTGAAAAGAAACAACTGGAAGAAAGAATAAATCAACTGGACTCGAATTTGAATGCGAATATGAGAAAGTTGGAGCAGATCGATGCTGAGAAGAAGAAGGTTCTGTCACTCAGCGAGAATGCGAATCAATATCACCAGGCTATTGCAGAGTCAGAGTCGACCATTGAGAAGCTGGAGAGTGACTTCCAGCTGGCTGGCTACGATGAAAAGATAAAATCGATGATTCAACAGCGAAAGGAGTTGGAGATGAGCATCGAACAAAAGCGAACATCTATCACTCAAGCGAATCAAATGGCACTGCAACGATCCAGTCTGACTTTCAAACAGAATGAACTTAGAACAAAACAAGCCTGTATATCAGAGTATCTCGTCAATAACAAAGCAATGTTGGACGATCTGTTGAATGGCGAATACACAGCGGAGAATCTATCGAGTAAACTTAGAGATTTAGGAATGTCGTTGGAATCGGATAGCAAGGAGAGACGCGAAGAGAGCAACGATGTCAATACTCAGCTGATAAAGAGTGAGAATGAATTGAAGATTGTCATTCGAGAGAAGAATGCCAAGATTCAACAGTTGGAGAAACTTGGCGTGCAGCTTGGCAAGTTGGATTCAGCCATTGTCGGAGATAACATCGATGATTCTATAAAGACACTATCGAACCGTTTGCTTCAGTTACAAAAGTCGTTGGCTATTCTCGAGTCGGAAGATGTTCTCTACAAAGAGTATATCGAAAAGGCAAACAATCAGAAGGAGTGCAGTCTCTGTCAGAATCAGATGAACGATGACGATCTTCATAGTTTTATCCACAAGTTGGAATCACACACCGATGGAATCCCGGACAAACTGGCGACACTGACCAAGGAGATCAAGACCACCAAAGATAACTTGGAAATACTGACTGCCAATAAGCCAATGTACGAATTGCAGATCAAGCTTAAACAAGAGGAGATACCAATGCTAGAGAAGCGTGAGCAGGACATTCAACAAACACTTACCGAATCGCTACTTCCATTCAAGAAAACTATCGAGGAATCACAGCAACTATTGGACAACAAAATGAAAAAGTTGAATCAAATGGTGTTGGTTGCATCTTCTGTCAATATGTTGTGTGTGGAAACCAAGAAGATTGTTGCAGAGGTTGAACAACAGGAACAACTATTGGGTGTGTCTGGCGGTGCTCTCTCTGTGGAACAATTGAACCAGGAATATGATCAATTGAAATCGAAGTCCGACTCAATCCAAAAGGAAATCGAGAGACTGACAGTAGACTCCAAGAAGAATCGATCAGAGTTGAACAGACTCCAACAAATCGTTATTCAGAATCGTGAGCTACTTTCAAAAGCAAGTGGACAAACAGAGATTGTCGAGCATCTCAAGCAGAGTGAGAAGGAGCTGCGTGCGATCAACGAAGATCTGATTGCGAAACTATCAGATTTTACACAACAACTCGAAGGAATTACTGCCAAATCAGTGGAGTTCTCTGGCCAGCTAAACAGCCTAAGAGAACAGTTGGAGAGCGAATCATCAAAGATGACAAAGGAAAAGACAATCTTCTCAAACAAGCTTTCAGCTATCAAGAATCTTCAACAACAAATACCAAGTGACTTGCTGGAGAAACAAGAAAAGCTGGAGTCACTTGCAATGTCAAACAGAGAAATCGATATCAATATCGATTCAATCAACGAGGATTACAGCAAGGGTGTAGCTCACACCGATCAAATCAAAAATGATTTGGCACAGAGTGAAATTACTAAACGTGTCATCAGCGACAACTTGGGGTATCGTCAACAAAAACTTAATTGTGAATCGCTCTCTAAAGAGATTACCAAGAAGAACCTATCGATCAACTCTATCATCACGCCCGAGGAGCAATCTTTATTAAAATCACTTACAGCCGACATCAATCTCCTCAAGTCCAAGATTGATAAATCCAGTGGACAAGTCGAGGCTATCGAACAACACATTAGAACAGCTCAAACCGAGCTAGCCAAACCGATCTACAATTCTGTGGAAACTGTATACCGTGACCTGTTGGTACAAGCGGAAACACTGGAACTCATCAACAAAGATCTCGATAAATACTATAAAGCTTTGGACAAAGCGTTGATGAAATATCACGTACTGAAGATGGATGAGATCAACAAGACAATTCGTGAGCTATGGACTGCCACCTATCGTGGAAATGACATTGACACTATCGAAATTCGTTCCGACGAGTCAACCACAGCCAAGAAGGTGATCAACTACCGTGTTGTAATGTTAAAGGGTGACGTTGAACTCGATATGAGAGGAAGATGCAGTGCTGGTCAAAAGGTTCTGGCATGCCTGGTGATTCGTTTGGCTCTGGCAGAGAACTTCTGTACCAACTGTGGTATTCTGGCGTTGGACGAGCCGACATCCAACTTGGATCGTGCCAACATCGAAAGCTTTGCAACAGCATTGCTCAATATCATCGAAGCCAAGAAAACTCAGAGTGGATTCCAACTGATTATCATTACTCATGACGAAGAATTCGTTCAATATCTAGGTCGTGGAAATTTCGCCGATTACTATTGGAGAGTAACCAAAGATGCAAATCAACACAGTCTTGTAGAAAGAAAAGAAATTTCTAAAATATAATATAATAAATTTATAATTTGTACAAATACACATATTTATTTAAATAACTATTATTCTTCAAAAGTGTAATATTACTATTATGTCATTCCATTTATTTTCAACTATGACCATAAGAAAGCGTTTCATTTAACTATTATTATATATTAATTTATGTATTTTTTATATTTTTTTCAAACTATATTCCAATCTATATATTATTATTGTTTATGGAGTGTTGGTGGTAGTTGGTGAGGAAGGTGTAGATGGAGTTGTTGTAGTTGATGTTGGCGATGAAGGTGTTGGTGGAGTTGAGGTTGAAGTTGATGGAGAAGATGGTGTTATTGAAATCTTGTTGAATAGCAAATCAAACTTTGATGGCTTGAAACCTGCTCTAGTTAAATCATTGACATGTTCCTGTGTGATGGTTAGAATTTTCTTTTTCTTGATGAGTCTTTCCTCGATGACACCTAAATAAAAGTCTCCAGATGCATCCAATTTATAAACTGAAACGTATGCTTGTTTTCCATCGATATCGATTTCATGTATCTTTTTCTCCACTCTTAAGTTTACTCTTTGAATTGGTCCTGTATTTTTAATTGCTTTCTTTGCTCCACCTAATTATTATTATTATTTGAATTCAATATAAAAATAAATATACTACTCCGACTTGCTAATTTCTATTGAATTGTAAGATCTCTTACCATTGATACCACCACCCAAAGGACTACCATTAAATCCCAGTGATAACTCTTGGTAGTAATGAGCATTTGGGTCCATCTTAATCAGCGCAACCAATGCTTCATTTGATTCATTGGACAACTGTATATTCTTATGCTTAAAAGTTCCCTCTTGGTCTTCAACTGTTTTTTTCTCTGTAGACATTTATATATATATATATACTATTTGTATTCTACAACTTTGTCACTATGTAAATAAATTAAAATAACCAGTTGTTTGTTTGATATTATCAAATGTCAATCCACTAATGTTTGACCATTCCCAAACTGTTTAAAAAAAATTAAAAAAAAAAACCAACTCTGATCAAAGAATTTAAAAAAAAAAACCCCTACAGATATTTTTGATTGACCAATCAAAATCACAAGGTAATATTTTTTGTTTCAAACAATTAATTGTAAACTATAAAAAATTCATTTCCAATAAAAACAAAGAACAAAAATAACTAAAATTTAATTATTCTATTTATTCATTTTTAATAAAAAAAAAATCAAATTAAAAAATAAAAATAAAAATAAGATTATGGTTGTGTTAACATTTATGTGATCATCAGAGATTTTAAAAATCTTTATATTTAATCTTTGGTTGTGACGCTTTTGTTTTTCCTTGTGTGATTGCAAAAAATAAAAATAAAAATAAAAATAAATTAAATCATTTTTGGTCAACTTCAAATTCTTGTTATTATTTTTTTAATACATTTTTCATTTTTGTTGTTATTGTTTGATGATGAAGTATAAATATATAAATATCATATTTTTAGTGTTGTTAGTTTTTGTTATTCTAGATAATGTATATGCATCTGAGAATGTCAGAGTTGTAGATGGACATGCTGATGCTGACAATCATCAACAACAGCATACTGAGAGTGTAGTTGTCAACAGTGTTGTCAATGATGAATCAACAGATCAACAACAGCAGCAGCAACAACAACAACAGATAAAGAAATCTAGTAAGATACATCCACCGATCTCACCAAAAGTAAAATATGAGGTGGTAGTAGGACGAGCAGATCAAATGGAACAACAAATACAACAACAACAACTGCAACAGCAAGACGGTGGAGTAGCAGTAACAACAAGCGTTGTCGTACCAATGACACTAGCCAATGGAACCAAGTACAAATGTTACATTCCAAGACCGGCAGGCGATCCCAATGAGAGTGACCACGACCAGTGGAGTCCGATACCATCGCCATCAGTGTTTGCAGACTCACTATCGAGTCTCGCAAAGTCACAGTGTATATTATATAAAACCGGTGGATGGTGGAGCTATGAATATTGTCACGGCAAAGCAGTTCGTCAAATTCACATTGATCCAGCACAAAACAAAGTAACTGCTGAATTCGTATTGGGAACTGCACCAAATGCTGCTTCGTCATCATCATCATCATCATCATCAACATCATCAACAGCAGATTCCACCACAACTGTATCAAATAATAATAACAATAATAATAATAATCATCATAATAATGCACATGGTAAGATAAGAGGATTGGATCCGTCATTTATGAACTCTTACAATCAAGGTTCACAGACATCATTACCAGAGAAATCATCACTACCCTACTACTCTGAGCTCTATGATGATGGTACACCATGTGATATATCACCAGGTAGCAGGTAACTATTTCATTCATCATATCATATTATTATCAATTACTAATCACAATTCAATTTAAACAACAACAACAGAAAATCGGAGATTAGATACTATTGTAATAATGATCCAAACAAACATTTCAACTATATTCAAGAAATGAGCGAACCATTTACATGTTATTATATTTTCAAAGTCTATACCAACCTTATGTGTATACATCCATTATTTAAACCAAAACACGATACAATTCTAGATATTACTTGTATAAAAGATTCATAAAAAAAATATAAATAAAATTATAAAAATAGTATTATATAGTAGTAATAATAATTGTAATTATTCGTTTTGTTGTTGTTGTTTCAAAATAAAATAAGAAAGAATAAAAACTAGTAGTTTTGTGTATTTAATATTTTACTATTATTATATTATATTATATTATAAATTTTTGGTTTTGATTTTTTGAAAGAGGATGAAAGAGTTTGATGATTTGTACTATTGTTTGTTTGTTTTGGTTGGTTTGCTTTGTTGTTTTTTTGTTAGTCAAAGAATTTTCTGGATTCTGTTGGACCATACAAGGTGGTTCTGACGATTGGGGTCATTTGGTCAAAACAGATATCGAGACGAGCGTCCAAAGTATTCTTACAGATGATTCTACCTTCGAGGGCAGAGAGAATGACACCACCGCAACAGGTTGGACCCTTGGAGTCGGCCTTTGGACCTGGTGGGAGGAAACGTTGCTTGTCGACGGTGACGGTGACGCTCTTACCGGACTTGGCCTTGTAGGCAGCAGCGGCCTCTGAGCAAGCCTTGTCAGCGATTGGGAGATCCTCTTGACGGAAAACAATGAGAACTTGGTCCTCACCCAACTTGTTCAAACCTTGGAGAATCAAATTCTTCAAGACGGCAGCATATCTCTCCTTGTCTTGTGAGATGACAGCCAACTTCTTGTGAGCTTCACTGACGACTTCACGGAGACACTCTTCTCTGACCTTCAAAACTGACAAACGTGCCTTGTTCAATTCATTTGACAAGTTACTATAATAATAATGATAATGATAGAAAAATGAATTAATCATCTGATTTTAAAAATGTTTAACTTTATCTATTATTGTGTCTGTTGTGTAGCAAAATATTATCCTCTTCTTCATTTACTTCTTTCCTATTATCTTTTATTGCCAATCCAATAATCACTAAATCATCTTTTTTTTTTTTGGATCCAAAGTTATTTTAAACTAGCTAGATTGAATATATCTTATTGACCTGTTGCTTGTTGCTTATTGCTGTTGAAGTTGTTGAGGTTGTTGTTTTCTATGGAGAGAAGAGAAATAGAGAGAAGGTGGGAAGAGTGCTATGTGTGTGTGTGTGTTTGTTCTAAACTTACATCTTCTTTTGTACTTCAATTTGCTTAACCTTCTTTTCATAATCCTTGATGATCTTTAATTTCTCAGATTGGAAGATTCTACCCTTCTCAGAGGTGAACTCTTGAGTGGCCTTTGCCTTGATTTCGTCGGCTTTATCTTGGGCTTCATTGAGAATGAAGTTTTGCATTTGCTTCAATTGAGCTGAAATTTGTGAATCATCCTATATATATAATAATAATGAATGAATCAAAACAATTGTTAGTAACTTTCTTTATTCACATACACAATCATTTCATCTTGATAGTTTTATTCTCAATACTAAATCATCTCATAATCTTCAACCATCAACCATCACTACCGACACAACAACAACAACTTATTTCTAATTGCCGATTTTCTATTAACTCTAATAAGCATCGTTGTTACTATTTGTATTGGTTTTTTATTATTTTTTTTGGTGGGTTTGTTTGATGATTGACAATTTAAGATGATTTCTTCTTGAAAACTATAAAACTAAAGATATATATATTTAATCTCTACATACCATGATTTATGTATATATAAATATAATATTAATAATAATAAATAAATTGAGTTGAAAAACAAAAAAAAAAGAGGACTTTGTGATTTATAAAAAGCAAAACTTCGTGTTGCTGGATAATGAAAAAAAAATACAAAATATCATATTCAATAGGTAGTGTGTGAGATATCTAAAGAACAAAAAAAAAAAAAAAAAAATTCTTGTTGTTTTTTTTTTAACTCTGGTTGACTATTTTTTCATACGACCTGGTTAAGAACTCCAAACAACTTTTCCTTTCAGTTGTTTGTTTTTTTTTTTTTTTCTTTTTTTTTCAAATTAATTTAATTTTTTTTTTGCGTATGATGTTTGTTTATTTTTAATTAATTGTACACAATTTCATTATCAATGCGATTGTTTAATAAACAAACATGTTTGAATTAAACAAACCCAACGCAAATATTGATAACAAGTTAGTTTGTTTCTAATTAAATTTTGTATACTATAATATTATGTTATTTATTTGCAAACATCCAAAAAAAAAAAATTAACATATTTAAGATTTTTATTTATTTTATTTTATTATGATATGATATTATGATCAATAGTCGTTTAGTTTTCTACTATTAAGATATAGTCTTTAGGATCTTAATGATAAATTATCATTTTTGAAAACCTTTTTTTATTTTTTTTTAATGTTTTTAAAAAAATTATTGTTTTTTTCTTTTTTTAGTAATAGATTGTCATTTTTCAAATTAATATGATATAAGTTCGTTGATTCTTACAGGATGTAAATACTTTTTATTGTTAATAAACCAATATCTTCAAATTTTAAAATACAAATATTTATTTTGTTGTTATTTTTCAAACTAAAAAGATTCACTCTGTCAAACTTAAAAGAACAACATATACATCATTGCATTGCAAAATATCAACAAAATTGATAATAATTGGTTGTGTGTTTATATTTTTTAATTTTTATACAATTGTTTTTTGAATTAACACAAACCTAATTCACACAATTCCAAAAAACAAAGAGAAAGAAACACAACTTAAAAAACTTAAAGAAAAACATCCACTGACAGAATTAGTAACAACATTGGATGAACTAAAAACAACTGCAGTAAACCTATTCAAGGCAAAATCCACTAAATTATATATCATTGTCATTTCTGTATTTCTTTTCTTATTATTATTATTTTAAAATCCAAATTATCATTAATTGGTATTATCTTTATATTAATTTATAATTATATATTAAATAGTAAGTTTTCAAAAAAATGTTATTTTATTCTTATTATTATTTTAAATTTTAATTCAGATTTTTGCAAAAATAGGTTTTAAAAAAACACAACCACAAAAAATAAAAAAAAATAGATGGATGATGTTTTTAATGATGACAACCTCGAGTTTGTGTTGTTACAAGACAGCGATCTAAGATATCCGCAGAATCACGTACCCAACCTATTTAGATCGAATTCAATGGCATCGCTACTGGACGATTCATCAGTGATGTCAGGCTACAGCGACAATGAAGACGACGACGACGGAATCAACTATCTTTCTTCCATGCCTATTGATGTATTAAGAGTAATCATGAGTGTTCTAGACATTGGTTCACTCTACAGTATGTCTTTAGTATCAACGTTATTCAATGATTTATCAAATGATTTCGAAATCTGTAAGTATAACAAAACACCACTCTCTCTACCTATCAATAATGATCAATATTAAAATTGGTTATCTATTCATTTTTCATCAAAATGATTTCTCTTCATTTCATTTTCATCTAATAATAATAATTTGATCAAATTAAATTATATATATTTTATTGTTTATAAACATTCAAAATAGGGAAACCAAAATGTAGATTAAATAATATGAAAAGAAATTATTTGGAAAAGATAACATTATTAACCAACCCACAAACCATCTCAACGGAGAAACAAACATTTCACCAGTTAAAGTCATCGATTATGACGACTAGAGAGTGTAGATTCTACACGGACGATCTCACGCCCTATTCCGATGAAGCCGGTGCCTGGAAGAGATTGTACAATGATCTAGGTTCAATTCTATTCAATAATAGCTACGACTTGATTGCGTCGGCAATAGAGTCATCTTCGTGTGACTCTGAAACACAGGATATTGAAAATACATTAGTACCGTAACTATCAAACAAACAAACAAACAGACAAACAAAAACAAATAACAAATTGTTAATCATTCATTAAACTTTTAATTATTCATTTTTAGAAATAAGAAATTTTGGAGTTCAAAAGGATCAAATGATATATCTTCATCTGAATATCTGATATACAAGTTGGAGCAATCAGTGTGTATAGTTTCATCAGTTCAAATTCATGTATATAAAGCATTTTTTCAACCATCTTCACCTATTTATTCACCACAAACCATTCGTATCTCTGTTGGATTCTCACCAAACAACATGCATTTCATCTCTGAAGAGTTTATCGTAGAACAAACCGATGGTAAGTAATCATTGATTTATCCGGAGACATAATTCAAACATGTTATATAACTAATATATTATATATTGGTATTATATCTAATTTAATAGAACCACAAACATTCTATTTCGATCCAAGATTGGTTGTTGGAGGATATATAAGAATAGATCTTTATGGACATCATCAAACACAGACTAGCGATGGAATGTATTACACTGTGATAAGATATGTTTGTGTGGATGGTCGATCTGTTGGATGCATTGAAAACAAACAGGAGCTCTGTCTCTCCATGTTAAAGTTTGCAACGAAACACATTGATACCAACACCATTTTGGAGACAGACAAATTCAATGGTTGCGACAATCTCAACCAACTACTTTCTCACCTAAAGAGTCAAATGGCACTTAAACTCGACAGACTCAAAGTCTACAATCACGTAATGAACTCCATTCTACAAGATATAGTTGAAGGTAACCATAAGAAAGCTGCCTACAATGCAATTAATGTAAGAAGAGAATCACATCTTTAATACGTACACACCAATTATAATTATAATTAAACTAACTTGTCTCTATTCATTTAAATAGTTTAATATGAGATCAACAAAGATATTCAATCTATTCTTGAAAACCTCTGATGAAGCAATATCAGAGTATTATATAAAGCTTCTGGAGAGTGGCAGTAAGTTCTCACAGGATGAAACTCTGTTTCTTGTGAAGGAAATATTTGTCACTGGCAAAATCTATATTTTCACCAAGTTTTTCTCAATGGATCTGGTCTATCTCTCAGAGGCACTGGGCGATTACCTCTTGTTCAATGGTCATCCACTGATGGCTGCCGAGGTGTTCAATCGATCGTTGATACCTGATAAAGTGATTCAGAGTCTTTTCATTTCAGGAAGTCACACTGACACTATCAACCTCATTGAAACAATCCAGAATGAACAAAGATTCAATTTAACTCATTTGATAAAATTGTAAGAAATATTATTATTGTTATTATTTTTCGAAACAGGTTTACACCAAACACATGTACATGTGTTTGTTGAAACTCCAAAAATCAAGATTAACTAACAAAATCTAAACTACTACTTTTTTTGTTTATCTGCAAATATTTCATAGATTTAAAAATTATTCACTTTATCAAGCATATCTTTTCACGATAACAATATTGGAACAATTGAATGACATCATCACTGTTGATGAGGTATGTATTTTTAAAATGTTTGACATTGAGAAAATCTTTTGATTTTTCATTTACTAAATTTTATTTCAATTTTATATTTTAGATAAAATCAATATTCACATTAAAATCAAATAATCTTGCTGATATTTTGGTTGAAATAAAGATGTTGATAAAATCAGAGCATGATTTCAAACCCAGTATAAAAAAGAGACTCGATTCACCACTCAACTCTTTCTTTGCACACTTTATCAAACAAAAAAAATAGAGACTTTGTAAATCAAAAAAAAAAATCGAAAAAATAAAAAAACACACTTCGCAAAACAAAAAAAAGGGGCATCACTCCCCAATCACCAAGGCTCAGACACATTGATTTTCAAAAAAATATCAAGATCCTGGTTTGTCGAAAATCTGTTTTTACATTTCTTGTTGTGTGTTTAAGGTGACAGTCGTTGAAAACTATTACATCACCAAATTAATATTGTTGTTGTTTAATTATTTAAATAGACCATTGATTTTGAGAGTTTTGTTTTTTTAGTTTATCAAATCACAATATTTATACATAAACATATATATACAGATACAGATAGAAAAGAAAATGAATAAGTTATTACAAGTTATTGCTTTATTTGTAATTGCTGCAGTTGCTGCTAATGCCCAAACCTATGTAGCCTTCCAAGGTTACTCGATGACACAGGTTTTCTTGTCAAACTACTGCCAGAGACCATCATCTGGTGATAACTACGCTTACCTTATCCTCGATGCATGGACTGTCCAATACAATACCTACAGTGATTACTATTGTCAAAGTATGGTTATATTATAATAGTTTATCAATCTATCCATCAAACAAACCAATATTAATATCAATTTTTATTTTTATTTTTCTAATAGATGTTTTCACTTCTCAAAAATTGACCGTTGGAATGCAACCAAATTCCTACGTTCAAATGTATTTGGCCAACTCTATCAACTTCAGTGCTGATGGATTCTACTACAATGTAATCTATGCCAATGGTACCAACTGCAATGGTGCTGTCGCCTACGCCTACTCTCAACCAATCAACTATTGTGTACCACTCAACTACATGAATCCAAACGCTCAATACCAAACGATCCAATGTACCCCAACTGGTTATATCCAATACATCTACAACGGTTACGGTTGCACTGGTCCATACACCTCCCAACAATACGTCACCTCCACCTCATGTACCCCAGCTGGTCCAGGTTATTTCAATGTAAGTAAAAAACAAAACAAAACAAACAACAACAAAAAACAAATATAATTCTAAATATTAATTAACCTTTTTTTTCTCTTCTTTCTTTTTTATTTTATAGACCTGTGTAAACAATTAAATTCATATTTAATTAACTAAATAAATTTATTTATAAATGGTTAAATCTATTGTGTCTCTATTCTTTTTTTAAAGTTGATTTCTCTTGAATAAATAATACAGATTATGTTTAAATGTATAGGTATAGATATTTAAATACATTTTTTTATCAATGTTTAATTATGTGATAAAATTACTGTCTAAATTTGATACATTCTCATAATGATAAACAGAAAAAAATTAAGTTCATTTTATTCCGAATCATTCGTTCGTTTTTTTTTTTTTTTAGTTTTTTAAAATTTTTATTTCTTCTCTTTTAATTTTTTTTAATTATTCATAGTAATAATAAATTAATTGATATATATATATTTACTATAGATATTTATAGATTGAAATAAAAAAAAAACCATAAAATAATGGTTAAATCAGAGATAAAGTTATTTAAGAAACCAGAAAAGAGTAAACACAGACAAGAATTAGAACAGTTTCTGGTGATAGATAACTCGATAGTCACAAGATATGTCAATGCTTTAAAGTCATTGGTATTTCCAGCCGACGACATATCGAAGGTAGCTGTCTCAGCAACCGGTAGCAATCCATCACTAAAGCAGAATCTAAGTATTAGTGGTACTTCGCAATCAACCATAAGAGATGTAGCAATCAAATTCCTAGAGTCAAAGTCACAAGGTGATCAAATTATATTTGTAAAACGATTAGAATCAACTACAACAACAAGATCATCATCAACAACAACAACAACAACGACAACAACATCCAATAATAATAATAATAATATCAGTAATGAACTAACTGAACAACTTGTAACAATGTCAATTTCAATATTATTCGAACAACGTTCACCTAATCTTCAGATTAACAAATCATTGATTGCAATGTTGAACAATCTAAGTTTGTCAAGCGACAATCTCGACTTGTTGAACAGCCGGTTGTCGGGTGTATTTAGTTTGAATGACGATAAAGTAACTATTTACTATGCTCATCTTATTACGCTGTTGTCAGATTTGAAGTTGGCAGCTGGCTATATGTGTCAAACCGGTTGCAACGTTGCTCTGGGCATGCTATCAAAGTTGCTATCGGAGCAACTCGGTGTTATGCAACAACAGAGTGGAACTGTCTACCTTAATGAAGTGTATGCCGACTGTGACTATACTCTACGTGCTCTGATGTCACTCTACTCTGTGTATCCAGAGCAACTACGTGTACTCCTACCGCAACACTCCAACATCCTGATATCGCTCGACAACATACTCTCACTCTCGCAATACCCCAAACAAATAGTAGGTTTAGCTGCCTTTCTATTCACCGAATACCTATCATTACAAACAACAACACAACTGCAATATCAACAACAAGTGATAGGTCATTTCATCTCACCACCATCCAACAACAACAACAACAACAAAGATAGTTTATTATTACAAAACATCATCTTTAAAGACAACAACAATAATAATAATAATAGTAGTAGTTACTTCAACGATAGATTTATGAACTATCCACATCTTTCAAGAGTTAGTATATTCAGAGGATTATGTCTATCTTCCAAGTTGAATTGGTTGACCGAATGGATAGATACATCTATTGTATTGAAACAACATCAACATCAACAACAACAACAACAACAACAAACTAGTAATAGACAATCGATATTCTTAAATTATATCTATTTAGAGATTGTTAATGCTTGTGTTACAGCTGTCGATGTATTTGGTCGTGTTGCGTCGATCGAGTATCTACATCTTTGGTATGATATTCTAAGACAGCAGCTAGAGACAACTGATATTGAATCGCTGTTGCACGTTGACTACCAGCATTTCTTTGGTAACTATTTCAATATGGTACTAGAGATTATCTTTACCAATTGGGAATCAACAATCTCATCGATACCAACTCAACTCAATGAGATATTCAATTGCTTACTATCGATACATTACCTTTGTATGAAACAACAAAGCAACAACAAAAATAACAATAACACCAACGACTGTAAGCAACAGCTCAGCGGTACAGCATCAAACTTCATACCAGACATTACAACTAGACTCATTGAGGAACCATGGACACAAAAGGGTAAATACGCTCTACTTAAATCGATTATCGATCGTGAAGGTGCACTTTTTATGTTCTCATTAAAAGGTAACTTTATGAAAGATATCTTACTTGCAATGAGGTATGTAGCAATATAGTTATCTATTTTATTATATTATATTATATGAGATAGATTAGATTACTTACTTTTCTTCAATTGTTTAATGTTAATATTTAGTGATCATACCATTTGTAATTCGGCAAAAGGATTCTTAGAGTTGTTGATGGAATCATTAAAGAATGAAGTGTCAAAGAGAATCAAGGCAGAGAATACATTCAGCGATGAAAAGTTGGAGAGTGAAGCAATTCAAGAACAATGTGAGCTGTATTGGTTGATTCCGCTGTTGAACGTACTCACAGAATGTGACGACAACACATGTTCAAAGATCATACTCTACGGTACACCTTGTTTCCTTAAGGTATTCCCAAGATCATTAATATCGATTTTAGATGTATTGAACAAAGATAACAACAACAACAACAAATCATCCAATAACAACAACAACAACAAATGTAAACAACAAATAGTAATGGATAATAAGATATCATTAAGAATATCACTATCGGTTTTAAATACTGCTAGACAACTTGCAATACTTGAGGGTATCGAAATTCTAAACAATAACTATTCAACTATCAATCAATCTTTATATAATCAAGATGATTCATTAAGGTAAATATATAGCAATTTGATAATCGTATTTCAATTACTAACTATTATTATTTTTAGAATGTTAGGATTAGAATTGGTTTGTTGTTCACCAAAGAATACAGAAAGACCAACAAGAGTAGAGATTGGTTTGTTAAAGGAATTCTTATCGCTTGCACTCAAGTCTAGTTCACCATATATTAGAAATCATACCAACTCTATACTCGATAAGTTTTGGGTTCGTCTTAGAGAATCTTATGCAAAAGTTTTCCGTACAAAGTCAGTAGCTACTGCTGCCACTACGACAACCAACGAACTATATCTATCAAACGACGAGATTGTAGAGTTTATTAATTGGTGTTCGAGCTTGTTTGTATCTTGCTTGTATCCAGGTGCACCTTACCCAAGAAAGATGCTACCGATCGATGCCATCTCGAGTATGGTCGATGCGTTCAGTGCGGAGCGATTCAAAGATAAACCGGCGGTAGTGCCATTCCTCAGCTTTGTAAACGAGCGATCCACCTTGTTTTCAAGTAGCAATACATTGGTATTGATTAACAATCTTTGGGATCAGTACGATCGTTGTCGTGAGGTTGCCAGCTCCATTTTGAATCGATTCCCATCGCCGCTGCCAGGATTCTCTGAGCAGCAACCGATTGCCTCGTTGATATTGTGGGGACTGAAGTTGGCTTGCAGTCCCAAGGCAAGAGAGAGCGACACCGGTGCAATGGTACTACGTCTCTATCTGAACAAGTACGTTGCACTCGGTCGCAGTGTCCCGACATTCACTGCCAACCAAGACGCTCCGATTGCTCTCAGCGAGTTTGCCGACAAAGACAATGCCGTGCTTCACTATATTCGACAGATCATGAGAGTGTTACGCTCACAGGTAGCGTTGGCATCTAGCAATCTATTGGAGGCAGCCAAGTATGCACCGATGCACGGATTGATTCTTAGCATTCGTTATCTCCTATCTTCGCCAACCATCGATTTCAATCGTATTGAGAAATCGGCGCAGTTGAAAGAGCAATGGAGATTGCTCATTTCCGATCTCATCGCACTTCTCTTCTCCATTTCCAATATTGTTTTGAGAGTGGTTGCTGACTCTGCTCCAGAAGGTTACAATCCAAACAGCAGCAACAATAGTGAATCGTCTTCACTTCTACCGAAATCATTGCCAAGCGGTATATTATACGATGATGACGAACGATTGGCATCTAGTTTTGCAACACTCTCAGCTGCCGAGAAGACTAGTACTTCGATTGAGGAATTGTTGGACCAAGTAGGTGGTGCTGGCGGCGGTGCCGGTGGAAACAATGAAGATGAGCAAGATGACGATGAGGAATCATTGATGCCTGCATCCGGCGACCAAATTAAAGGTAGTGCCGGTCAGATTATCACAGTTTGTTCATGGCAATCGATGAAACATCTCAGCCTTTGTTTGGGTGCAATTCTCGATCGTGTTACATTCCCAACTGCAAATACCACTGAACAAACTATCAAGGATACTCTCATCTCTGTCGAGCAAATCAATGAGATCGGTCGTTCCTTTGTGCATATCCTTTTGAACACCAGACACAAGGGTGCCATTGAGAAAGCATATCTTGGATTCCAAGTACTTTGTTCGCGTCTCATGGGATCTACTCTGCCTGCGCTCTACACCCTCCCATCGAGCTGGATCGACTCACTCTTCAAACGTGTACAAGAACAATCGCTCTCCATCACAAGACGTTCTGCAGGTCTGCCATTCGTATTCACCGGACTACTCACTGGAGAATCTACACATCAAAAGAACAAGATGGCCGGTCCTCTATTGCAGCTGGTGATTACCAATCTCTTGAAAATGGCATCCGGAAACAACAGTGGATTGCAAGCTAGCGAAGTGATTGACCACGATCTGGCGGAGCAGAGAATCTACCTGCCACAGGTTCATTCTATCAATATCCTACGTTCCATCTTTAGAAACAAGACTATGACCAACGAGTTGGGACAGTATTTCGCCGATACCATGATTGCGATCGTCGGTGCCTACTCATCGCCTTCCTGGTCGGTGCGTAACGCTGCCACGATGGCATTCAGTACGATGGTCGACAAGGTTGTCGGTGTCAAAAAGGTACGTGAGGAATCGAGTCAACTCAATACCACAACGTTCCACTATTTCTTTGGACACATGCCATCGCTCTATCCATTCCTACTGGAACACTTTTCCAAGTCGTTGACTGCCATCCAACAGGAGCAAGGACAGTCCGACCATGTGCTACAGTCCAGTGTCTACGCGATTCTCGTTCTCTTTGCGCGTTTGCAACCGTCAAACATGACAGATCCAGCCGACTCTCTCTCGCCAACTCCCTTCATCCAGTACATCAGTGAGTGTTGCACATTCTCCAATTTCATGGTTCGTCAGATTGCAGCGCGTGCACTCGTACCATTCATTCCATCGCGTGAAGTCATCGGATTCATCAACACACTCATCAACAATGTCAATCAATCGGACAAGCGTGATTTCAACAGAATTCACGGTGTACTCTTCCAAATCTATCATTTGTTGAAACTGCATATTCCAACTATTCTATCGCCAAAGGATAAGGAGACAATGGTAATCGATGCAATCGGTGCGATGGAGCGACTACTCTGGATCCTCTCTAAACGTGTTGTCCCACTAGCTTATTTGGTTCTCCAGATTTTCAATGAACTCAATTCATCGATCATCCACACCGATCTCACCAAATACAACGAGCACCAACAACAATCGATCGAACAAACATTGCTTCAGGTCAACAAAATGTCAAACGCAATATTACAATCTTCAAACACCAACTCTGAACAATGCGAAAGAAATCGAAAGATTCCACTTTACAGTTCGTATATCCATGAAGCCGGTATCAATGTCTTGAATCTCCTGGAAAACTCAATCCAAAAGAGACCGTTGGTTTCAAAGATTTTGGTGGTTTCCAACATCGAAGAGATTGTCAATCAATTGCTATCGATGGTATCACACCGTGAATATGAAATTCGTTTAGTAGCAATCAAGTTCCTTTTGTCAAATATCGATGCTATTGTTAAGCATCTTCATTCAACTGGCAATGACAACAAAGTAATCAGTTCCATCCAAGTCAAGCTTTTGGATATTTTGAAATCAGAGAACAATATACCAGTCCTAAAGAGAGCAGCTCGTATCCTACCGAAATTGGAGATCCCTCTTCAATTGGCTGGCAACGACCTACTCGAATTCACTCTGAATCTATTGCCCAAGAGTGGAATTAAGAAGGATGCTATTGTATTGTTTGGATATGCCTACAAGCAATATTGCTTGTCTGCCAACAGCAGCAGCAGCAACAACAGCAGCAACGACGAGATGTCAACGATCATGTCTGACAAATGGGTTGAAATGGTGTCGAGTTATTCAAACTCTGAGAAACCTCATGAAATAAGATTAGCAATCACATTGGCACTTGGAGCAACAAGCTCATTGCTCTGTGGCGTCGATGGAAATGTCATTTCAAATCGTGTTGCCATTGAGATGTGGTTGGCACTTGCCACTTTGTTGGAGGATGACGAAGATGGAATAAGATCGATGTCCCAAACCATCGCATGGTCGGTACTCAATGAACAAAACTCTTGTTCATCGTTGGTATGCGATACTACCAAGACCATCCAATCGATCTACTCTCATCTGACAAAGAGATACTCCAATGATAGTTATCTTGTTAACAAATATCAAAGTATCCTTGCCATAAATAATACTACTAAATCATCAAACAACAATATATACTCTAATGAATTTAAGAGTTCTGTTGTATTGTTTGATAAGGAAGAGGATAACTATTTCCAAGAGAAACTACTTACCATTCAAGTGGTAACAAAGAATCTGTTGGATATTGTTGGTCAGTCCAAGGCTGAACAGCCGTTGTTCAACTCTGGTCAACTAAAAACTTTGTTGGAGAGAGCCACCAACTATGCAAATTGGATCAAGAGATCGTCAGAAAACAACAAACACTCTGTTTGGACCAGTTGGCTTACCTACAATCAAGAGGTATTCCAACCTTTCTACCAGTGTATATGTTCACTTCTTGTTGTCACATCACAACAATCGCTATTCACCCAACATCAATCAGAAATCAATCAACATATCACCGATATCCAATCGACACTAGCCAATCAACCCATTCATCCATTGATGTTAAACATATTACATAAACTTGAAAAACAATGTATTGTTAACAACAACAACAATAGTGACAATAACAACTCGACAAATTCAGCAGTTGGTACTACCAATTCTACCAGGGATTATCTAAATACCTTCTTTTTAACATCGTTATAAAGATTATTTGAAAAATAAATCTATTCTATTCTACTATTCTTTCATACACACACAATCTCTAACCATATCACGACATCATTGAATTTAATAAGGTAAATAAATAATATCTAATCTAAAAATATGAATTTCCATTTATTTTATCTAAATTGTTTTTGATTAGTTGAATGATCACACTCACAACATTCTTTGCAAAGAACAACAAACAACCCAACAACAAGACTCTTTAATGAAAAATAAAACAAACAAAACAAACATAATACAAGAGCGATTTAAACAACATGATTTCAAGAGAGGTCCAGAAAGTCTAGAAAACAGGAGTGAATCAAAACATAACCAAGTTCTTCAAGTCTTAAAGTTAAGAGTTTTCTAAGATTACAACATGTTTCATTTTTTTTTTATTATTAAAAAAAATAATAATGATCGTCACACATTACATTAATTTTTTTTACTGAACAATAGATTCCAGAGGGTTGTTTGGTTGGTAGATGATTGTTGTCTTATACGGATCATGGCAACAGCAACCAAAAACACCAAACAAACTAAACAACCACTTATTACAATTGAAATCTTCTCTGATGGTTTCAGACCAATAATTAATTTATTTATTTTTTGTTTTCTATTCCAAAAAAAAAACACACAATTGTTTGTTTTGATCCTTCACTTTCTGACTTTTTTTGGGTTTTACAAAACAAACACAATGATATTAAAGTAAGTGACCTGCATCTTGTTTTTCAGCCAATTAGGATTGCATTCATACCTGTCACCCCCTCTCAAACCATAAATGTTAAAAAATAAGTGAAATTTTGCAAAACAAATTTTTTTTTTTAAAAATTAAAAATATAAAACTTTTTCTTTGCACAAAGTAAAAACAAAAAATTAACACCAAATTGTTTGTACATTTATCATTTTTTTTTTTAATATTATTTTTTCAATTTATTATTTTTGGTGATTTTTTTTATTTTCTTTTTTAAACAGTGTGTGGGTGCCGTTGTAAACCATTTTTTTTTTTTCCAATTCCAAAATATATATATTTATATATTTACCATTCCTATTTAATTATTATTATTATATTATTGATGATCATCAATAGTTGGTAATAATGAGTAGTAGCGAAACAAGATCAGTAGATCACGATGACTTTGATATAATAAAGGCTTTGGTTGATTTTGGTAACAAACAACAACAACAACAACAACAGCAACAACAACAACAACAATCTAACCAAAATCACCATCATAACAACCATCATAACCATAATCACCACCATACTAATCATAATCATCATAATAACCACCATCATAATAACAATCATCATCATCGTAGTCACAGCGGCGAAAATCATCATAGTAGCAGCGGTGGCGGTCACCATGTAAAGGATAATCATCACAATCACCATCATCATCACCATCACCATCAAAACGGTAGCAGTCATTACTTTCATCACCGTGACAGCAACGGTCATCATCAATATAACCGTGATCACGGAAGTGGCAGCAGTGGTAGTTACCATGTAAAGGATAATCACCATAATCATCATTATGCTCATCGCGACGGTGCACATCACCGTGGTGACCATCACCGCGACAGCCATCACCATGGTGGCGGCGGTCATCACCACCGCGACAACGGTAGCCATCACTATGAAAGTAGCAGCAGCGGAAGTCACCGTGATAGTAACTATCATTACGATGGTCATCACCGTGACACCAACAACCACCACTATAGTAACCATGTAAAGGACAATCATCATAGCGGCGGTCATCACTACAGTAGCCATCACGGCAGCAAGGATCACCACCACCGCGACAATCATCACTATAACAATCACCATGTAAAAGATAACCATTATTACAACAACAACAATGACCATTTCCATCGCAGTTCTCACCATGACCATCATGGAAGTGGAAGTGGAAGTGGTAGTCATAACAATCATCATCACTACAACAATTATCATCACAACAACAACAACACCCATGTAAAAGATAATCATCATTACAATGGTAGCAATAACAACAATAACTATGTAAAGGATCACAAGGATCACCATCATCACCACAACCACATTCTAAACGATCGAAATAGTAACCATGTTAATAATTTCGATATCAAGTGGGTCATTAAGAAGGAAGTCGAATCACCTTCTCCTCCACCCATTGAGACCATTTCAATCTCCTCGGTTGACAATGACGCATCTCCACCAACCACCACAACAACAACAACTACCACCACATCAAACATCACCGGCACAATCAACAGCAACCTCTTGAATGATATCAGCACACTCAGTGTCAACCAAGGGTCATCGCCAACCAGCTCACCAACGATGACAAACAACAATGCCAGCATTCTAGAGAGCAACAGCTCCTCGCAAACCAACTTGCAACAACCTGTAGTCAATTTGACATCAACATCGCCACAAATCTACAAGCAACGAAGAAGAGGACCAAAAGCCAAGCAAATCAAACCCGACGAAGACAAGCTTCCATGTCGACACGAGATTCATAGACATCTCAATGAAACAGATCGTTTCCTCTACAATGTGAAGCAGTCGAGATGTCGGCACGAGATGACACCGCACAGGTGTATTGACGAGGGTTTGGCTTGTGTGTCTTGTGAGCGCACATTACGCGTCGAACGCACCCCCGACGGTAAAAGAAGAATCAAAGAAACCAGAGTCAAATGTAGATATGAAACCTGTGACATAATGGTTACTTTGTCCAATCGTTCCGTCCACGAGAAGCGACACGAAACTGCATCGGGAGGTATCGGCGGAACAATTGTAAGCACTATATTAAACTAACTAATAATAATAATAATAGTAATGACGACAACAACAACCAACAACACCTCTATCTAGTTGTTGCAAATGACTTTTCGAAATTAATTCATTCTTCTTTATTATTATTATTCTTTTATCGTCTACCCTTTCTACTTTATCGTTTATCTTTCTATTCCAATTTTCTTCTTCTTCTTCTTATTCTTATGTTTTCTTAAACAAAATCTACTACCAAAACAAAACCAAACCACTACTCGACTCCTGTACCTGCCTACTATGTACCAACTTTACTCAAATCTTGGTTCTCCTGTATGTTTGACCAGCAGTTTTGTCCCGAGTCTGTCTAGATATCGCCGCTCTAGTCATTCCATCTCCAATCCCCATTGTTACCATATTACTTTTTATTCCCCAAAATTTCCACCCTTTTTTGATGTAAACATAATTAAAACTAAATATTCTTTAACAATAATTATTAACAATTTTATTTTTTTCTTTAATATCAAATTCTCTCAATTTTATCGCATTCTTTTTTTTTTTTTATCTCATTCTCTTTATTTCTTTATTTTTCAAAATCATTTTTGGGGTGGTCCTTTCTTTTTTCTTTGATCCTAGATTGCTTTAACTTGCATATATTAAATTTCTCTCTCTTTCTTCTCTTTCTACAATTATTTATTTCTTTTTTAATTTCTTATTTTTTTTTCTTCTATTTCATTTATTTATTTTTAAATAGTTATAATTATACAATAATTGTAAATCAAAACAACAACAACAACAACAACAACAACAATTCAACAACAACTTAAAACACAATCTTTTTTTTTTTTCAACAAATCCTGTCAAATATGTTGATCTGATTGGCAATCAACCTCAAATCTTGTAGATTTGTATTACCAACAACACTAGCCAACTATCACCCACTTGTTTACATATCTTATACATAATTATATCGTTGGAAGACAACTTTTAAATTATTTATTTATATAGAACATAGTTTAAAATACTTGTTTTAAACTTTTATTATCATTATTGTACATTAGTATTAAATATTTCTTTTTGATTAAGAACTATAAAAATACCTTCAGCTTTATGCCACACCAATTATCAAGATTGCTTGCTTTCAAAATAATAAATAGTATCCCTTTTATTATAATATTATAATGAACGATGAGTTGTAAATTTCCCAATAGTTAGAATTGAATCGTTGAAACATATAAAATTTAAAGATATATTTTAAAGATTGGTATGAATTTCTTTCTGAAAGAAAACTTGAGTGAGATCCCGATCTTTTTATTTCTGTGGGGATGGATTAAAACTGAAAACAAATAGTTGTCTATTGAAAATTAAATTATGTTAATTGAGAGGGAAATCAATGGTTCAGATTCAAGTAAATTTGGTGATCAAATATAAATGTTTATTGTTAAAGTTAGATAAATTTATTTGGCGGTGATAACACTTGTAACAGCACGTGTGACTTATGCGATAACTCTACCAGTTGTTGTTGGTGGAGCAGTGGTTGTTTGAGTGCCACCAGCAATGGTAGTTAGACCAGTGACACCAGTGGCGACACCTCCAGTTGCGGTGGTGGTTGGGGCAGTCGTAGAAGGAGCGGTGGTAGTTTGAGTGACACCAGCAACGGTCGTTAGACCAGTTACACCAGTGGCGACACCACCAATTGCGGTAGTGGTTGGTGGAGCAGTAGTTGTTGGTGGAGCAGTTGTTGTTGGTGGAGCAGTTGTTGTTGGTGGAGCAGTAGTTGTTGGTGGAGCAGTAGTTGTTGGTCGAGTAGTTGTTGTTGGTGGAGCGGTAGTTGTTGGTGGAGCAGTTGTTGTTTGAGTGCCACCAGCAACGGTAGTTAGACCAGTGACACCAGTGGCGACACCTCCAGTTGCGGTAGTGGTTGGGGCAGTAGTAGAAGGAGCGGTGGTAGTTTGAGTGACACCAGCAACGGTCGTTAGACCAGTTACACCAGTGGCGACACCACCAATTGCGGTAGTGGTTGGTGGAGCGGTAGTTGTTGGTGGAGCAGTAGTTGTTGGTGGAGCAGTAGTTGTTGGTGGAGCAGTAGTTGTTGGTGGAGCAGTAGTTGTTGGTGGAGCAGTAGTTGTTGGTGGAGCAGTTGTTGTTGGTGGAGCAGTTGTTGTTGGTGGAGCAGTAGTTGTTGGTGGAGCAGTAGTTGTTGGTGGAGCAGTGGTAGTTTGAGTGACACCAGCAACGGTAGTTAGACCAGTTACACCAGTGGCGATACCGCCAATTGCGGTTGTGGTTGCAGGGGCAGTAGTTGTTGGTGGAGCAGTTGTTGTTGGTGGAGCGGTGGTAGTTTGGGTGACACCGGCAATGGTAGTTAGACCAGTTACACCAGTGGCGACACCACCAATTGCGGTAGTGGTTGGTGGAGCAGTAGTTGTTGGTGGAGCGGTAGTTGTTGGTGGAGCAGTAGTTGTTGGTGGAGCAGTAGTTGTTGGTGGAGCGGTAGTTGTTGGTGGAGCGGTAGTTGTTGGTGGAGCAGTAGTTGTTGGTGGAGCAGTAGTTGTTGGTGGAGCAGTAGTTGTTGGTGGAGCAGTGGTAGTTTGAGTGACACCAGCAATGGTAGTTAGACCAGTTACACCAGTGGCGATACCGCCAATTGCGGTAGTGGTTGCAGGGGCAGTAGTTGTTGGTGGAGCAGTAGTTGTTGGTGGAGCAGTAGTTGTTGGTGGAGCAGTTGTTGTTGGTGGAGCAGTTGTTGTTGGTGGAGCAGTAGTTGTTGGTGGAGCAGTAGTTGTTGGTGGAGCAGTGGTAGTTTGAGTGACACCAGCAACGGTAGTTAGACCAGTTACACCAGTGGCGATACCGCCAATTGCGGTAGTGGTTGCAGGGGCAGTAGTTGTTGGTGGAGCAGTAGTTGTTGGTGGAGCAGTAGTTGTTGGTGGAGCAGTGGTAGTTTGGGTGACACCGGCAATGGTAGTTAGACCAGTTACACCAGTGGCGACACCACCAATTGCGGTTGTGGTTGCAGGGGCAGTAGTTGTTGGTGGAGCAGTAGTTGTTGGTGGAGCAGTAGTTGTTGGTGGAGCAGTAGTTGTTGGTGGAGCAGTTGTTGTTGGTGGAGCAGTGGTAGTTTGAGTGACACCGGCAATGGTAGTTAGACCAGTGACACCAGTGGCGACACCACCAATTGCGGTAGTGGTTGCAGGGGCAGTAGTTGCAGGAGCAGTGGTAGTTTGAGTGACACCAGCAATGGTAGTTAGACCAGTTACACCAGTGGCGACACCACCAGTTGCGGTAGTGGTTGCAGGGGCAGTTGTAGCAGGAGCAGTGGTAGTTTGAGTGACACCACCAATAGTAGTTAGACCAGTGACACCAGTGGCGGCAATGCTAGTTGCGGTAGTAGTTGCAGGGGCAGTAGTTGCAGTAGCAGTGGTAGTTTGAGTGACACCACCAGTTGCGGTTGTGGTTGCAGTAGCAGTGGTAGTTTGAGTGACACCACCAATTGTAGTTAGACCAGTGACACCAGTGGCGGCAATGCTAGTTGCGGTTGTGGTTGCAGTAGCAGTGGTAGTTTGAGTGACACCACCAATAGTAGTTAGACCAGTTACACCAGTGGCGGCAATGCTAGTTGCGGTTGTGGTTGCAGTAGCAGTGGTAGTTTGAGTGACACCACCAGTTGCGGTAGTAGTTGCAGGGGCAGTAGTTGCAGGAGCAGTGGTAGTTTGAGTGACACCACCAGTTGCGGTTGTGGTTGCAGTAGCAGTGGTAGTTTGAGTGACACCACCAATAGTAGTTATACCAGTTACACCAGTGGCGGCAATGCTAGTTGCGGTTGTGGTTGCAGTAGCAGTGGTAGTTTGAGTGACACCACCAATAGTAGTTATACCAGTGACACCAGTGGCGGCAATGCTAGTTGCGGTTGTGGTTGCAGTAGCAGTGGTAGTTTGAGTGACACCACCAGTTGCGGTTGTGGTTGCAGTAGCAGTGGTAGTTTGAGTAACACCACCAATGGTAGTTAGACCAGTGACACCAGTGGCGGCAATGCTAGTTGCGGTTGTGGTTGCAGTAGCAGTGGTAGTTTGAGTGACACCACCAATAGTAGTTAGACCAGTTACACCAGTGGCGGCAATGATAGTTGCGGTTGTGGTTGCAGTAGCAGTGGTAGTTTGAGTGACACCACCAATAGTAGTTATACCAGTGACACCAGTGGAGGCAATGCTAGTTGCGGTTGTGGTTGCAGGGGAAGTTGTGGCAGGAGCAGTAGTAGCAGGGGAAGTTGTGGCAGGAGCGGTAGTAGCAGGACCAGTAGTTGCAGGACCAGTAGTAGCAGGACTAGTAGTAGTTGCAGTTGTGGATTGTGTTGTCGAAGCTGTTATAGTTGAAGCTGGACCAGTAGTTGATGCAGTGGTGGTTGCAGTGGTTGATGCAGTTGTACTAGCAGTTGTGGTGGTCGCAGTGGTTGTGGCAGTGGTTGTGGCAGTGATGGTTGATGCTGGACCGGAGGTAGATGCAGTGGTTGTGGCGGTGGTAGAGGCAACAGTTGAAGCTGTAGTAGTAACTGGACGGGTGGTTGCAGTGGTTGATGCAACAGTTGACGCAGTGGTTGTTTGTGTTATTGTTGAGGCTGGACCGGTTGTAGATGCGGTAGTGGTTGCGGTAGTGGATGCAGTGGTTGATGCAACAGTACTAGCACTAGATGGAGATGTTGTGGTGGCAACAGTTGAAGCAGTGGTGGTTTGTGTTATTGTTGAGGCTGGACCGGTAGTGGTTGCGGTAGTGGATGCAATTGTTGATGCAACAGTACTAGATGGTACACCAGAAGATGGAGATGTTGTGGTGGCAACAGTCGAGGCAGTGGTTGTGGCAGTGATGGTTGAGGCTGGACCGGTAGTGGTTGCAGTTGTTGATGCAACTGTAGAAGCGACGGTACTGACACCAGTTGGTTGTCCAGTTGTAGCGGTTGTTGAGGCAACGGTGGAAGCAACAGTACTGGCTGTTGAAGCAACGGTTGAAGCAACGGTAGAAGCAACGGTACTGACACCAGTTGGTTGTCCAGTTGTAGCGGTTGTCGAGGCAACGGTTGAAGCAACAGTACTGGCTGTTGAAGCGACGGTTGAAGCAACGGTAGAAGCGACGGTAGAAGCGACGGTACTGACACCAGTTGGTTGTCCAGTTGTAGCGGTTGTCGAAGCAACGGTTGAAGCAACAGTACTGGCTGTTGAAGCGACGGTAGAAGCGACGGTAGAAGCGACGGTACTGACACCAGTTGGTTGTCCAGTTGTAGCGGTTGTCGAAGCAACGGTGGAAGCAACAGTACTGGCTGTTGAAGCAACAGTTGAAGCAACAGTGCTTGCACTTGAGGTGGTAGCAGTGGTAGTTGCAATGGTACTGGCAGTCGATGCTACAGTTGAAGCAACAGTGCTTGCACTTGAGGTGGTAGCAGTGGTAGTTGCAATGGTACTAGCAGTCGATGCTACAGTTGAAGCAACAGTGCTTGCACTTGAGGTGGTAGCAGTGGTAGTTGCAATAGTACTAGCAGTCGAAGCCACAGTTGAAGCAACAGTGCTTGCACTTGAGGTGGTAGCAGTGGTAGTTGCAATGGTACTAGCAGTCGATGCTACAGTTGAAGCAACAGTGCTTGCACTTGAGGTGGTAGCAGTGGTAGTTGCAATGGTACTGGCAGTGGAAGCGAGAGTAGTAGCAGTTGTACTTCCGCCTCTAGTGGTGGCGGTGGTAGTTGCAATGGTACTGGCAGTAGATGCAATGGTGGTAGCAGTTGTACTTCCACCTCTAGTGGAGGCGGTGGTAGTTGCAATGGTACTGGCAGTAGATGCTATTGTAGTAGCGGTGGTACTTGCACCTCCACTTGTGATATGATGACATTTCGTACGTACACAAACACCTCTTTGTCTGACGGAAGCACAAATATGATGAGTTGGACAGGAAACACCTCGACATCGATCAAGATTGTTGGGGGCACAATATTTTATACCATTGGATACTTGAAGAATTTCATCATTTAAACAAGTTAAAGCTTTGAAATTGAAAAAAAAAAAAAAAGATATGAAGTATTAAAATAATGTTTTATTTAATAAGCAGGATAAAAAAAAAGTAAAAATAAAGTTATGTTTCTGTTAAATCTTTATTCATACCATTTACATAGCTTAAAGATAAGAGCAATAAAACTAATAATAATGGAGTTTTAATAGTTTCCATGTTTTTAGTTTTCAAGGTGTTGTAGTTGTTGTTTTTAGTTTATCCAAAAAAATAAAATATAAAGAATAAATAGAGGTTAACTTTTTAAATAAATAGTTGATGCAAATTTTACTTTCTTCTTCATATATCAATTAACAAAGTCGGATCATATATTTGCAATAATAAATCATGGATGGAGCCATATGTTAAATATTTTTACTGTTATGAACATTCAAATTTTTAAATTATTTCAAAAAGTATCATGATACATACATGTAAATACCATTTGTTTTTTTTTTTGATACAGAGAATAGTGTGAACATAAGACACTACTCACATATAAAGAAAATACACTATGAATAATTATATTGGTCAAAAACAATCACACTTTTTTTCTTGAGAAAAAAAAAAATTTGTGTGTGAAAAACAATGATGTAAATCATATTAAATACATACCTGATAAGAGAAAATCAAAAAAAAACAACCAAGTGGGTGAAAGTAACAAATTGGGAATGATTTCAGTGTTCCATCGTTTCTATAGATTGTATATGTTGGTATAGTGGTTCCATTGGTTGAAAATTAAATTGATAATCCATTTTACTTTTGAATCAAAAGATTGTATTATAGCAGTACCAATGTCAATGTTGCCTGTCATGAAGATTGATAGCTGTAGGAATTTGTTTTTAAGCTGTTATTACATTATAGTGTCATGTTCAAGCGGGTGCTTAATGATAATGAATTTGTTTTACCATTTTGTTGATGATGATTTAGATACTCTCCACAGTTGATTTGTATAGATTTGTTTGTTCATAAAAAAAAATTTCGATTGAAAAGAAAGTAGTTAGCATATATACCTACAATGTAAAAAAATAATTTTATCAAATATTTTTTTCAAAAAACAATGTTAGTTTTTTTTTAATTTTATAATTAATATTAAACTTACCCTTGATAGATTATATATATCTCCACTGGTAAGGAATGGTATAATCAAACTGCTTTCAGAATGGATCCAGATATGTTGTTTCCAGAAAGTGATTACTGTATGACCATATCCAATTCAATAAGGTAATGAAAACTGAAGCACTTCAAGGTCAAGACAACAAATTCCTGTTAGAACATAGGTCATTTTACACTGGTGACATGACACCATGTTCTTTAGGTTGGACAGCCGAATCATACCATTTTCATCTTCGAACCAACGGAATGATAATTGTTTTAGTTGATACTGGCAGTGGTAGCAATAGTAGAAGCAGTGGTACTTGCACAAGATGAAGTGGTAGCGGTTGTAGTTGCAATGGTACTGGCAGTAGATGCAATGGTGGTGGCGGTGGTACTCGCGCCTCCACTTGTGATATGATGACATGAAGTACGCACACAAACACCTCTTTGTCTGACGGAAGCACAAATATGATGAGAAGGGCAGGTGACTCCTTGACATCGATCAAGATTGTTGGGGGCACAATATTTTATACCATTGGATACTTGAAGAATTTCATCATTTGAAGAAGATTAACTTTTTAACTAGAAAAAAAAAATTAACATTTTGAATTAAAAAAAACAAGATTAAATTTTTGGTTTTTTCATACCACATACAAAGGCAAATGAAAAAAAGCAATAAAACTAATAATAGTGGAATTTTTATAGTTTCCATGTTTTAGTTTTCAAGGTGTTGTAGTTGTTGTTATATTTTTCCAAAATTAAATAAATGAAATTATTTTTTACAATTAATTATTCGACATCGAATTTTTTCAGTACCTCTGTGTAATACTATTTCTCTTTCATCATATATAATATTCGGATTAGACCTATTTTTTTTTTTTGTTTTTTTTTTAATGATATCATATTAAATATGTAATTTCATATGCAAGAATACTGAGAGGACCGCAAAAAACAGCTGTGCAGATCAATACCAAAAATGAAATTACACAAACCATGGAATATTTTTTTCAGTATTAGAGATGTTGTAATTCATTTTTTTTTGCTACCATTCTATGTAAGTACCAATAGTTTTTTATAGCAATGAGAGAAATGACATTAGACCCACACCCACAACAAACACGCTATTCACTATGATTAATAATTGATCAAATTTTGTGCTCGAAGATACACACATTTTATAATCTGCTAATAAATTATATACATCTTTAAATTAAAACCAAAAGAAAAAATAAAAAAATAAGTGAGTAATTGTGTAACAGTAACACCAAAAATATTATTTTAATTAAAATGATTATTTTCACAAGGTGTATTATAATAAAAACAAATTAGTGTTAAAAAAAATTGTTTTGTTGTAGACAATTTAAATGCTGATAAATCATATTTAACTATTACTAGAGTTTGGATTCCTTAAGTTCAATAGCTATTGATAGAAGTTAGTTCATATTATTATTATATTTTATAATACAGGAAGAAATAACCCTTATCGATCAATAATACATATAATTTTGTTAAATTGATAATAATTATTAAATTGATAATCAACTATAATAATAATTTTAAACAAATGGTTAATAAATTGAAAGTTGTTCTAATTAAGATAAATAGTTGGTAAAAGTTATTTTGATTTACTTTTTATTTGAAAGTCTATTTCTATTCCAAGATTATTGAATTGAATGATAATATCTATTGGAGTTCGAATAATGATGAGTTTTTAATTGGGAAATATGGATCGATTGCAATGTAATTGATATTGATTACGTTGTTGTTGGTCGAGCAGTTGTTGTTGGTGGAGCAGTAGTTGTTGGTGGAGCGGTAGTTGTTGGTGGAGCAGTTGTTGTTGGTGGAGCAGTTGTTGTTGGTGGAGCAGTAGTTGTTGGTGGAGCAGTTGTTGTTGGTGGAGCAGTAGTTGTTGGTGGAGCGGTAGTTGTTGGTGGAGCAGTTGTTGTTGGTGGAGCAGTTGTTGTTGGTGGAGCGGTAGTAGTTGGTGGAGCAGTGGTTGTTGGTGGAGCGGTAGTTGTTGGTGGAGCAGTTGTTGTTGGTGGAGCAGTAGTTGTTGGTGGAGCGGTAGTAGTTGGTGGAGCAGTTGTTGTTGGTGGAGCGGTAGTTGTTGGTGGAGCAGTTGTTGTTGGTGGAGCAGTAGTTGTTGGTGGAGCGGTAGTAGTTGGTGGAGCGGTAGTAGTTGGTGGAGCGGTAGTTGTTGGTGGAGCGGTAGTTGTTGGTGGAGCGGTAGTTGTTGGTGGAGCAGTTGTTGTTGGTGGAGCAGTTGTTGTTGGTGGAGCAGTAGTTGTTGGTGGAGCAGTGGTTGTTGGTGGAGCAGTTGTTGTTGGTGGAGCAGTGGTTGTTGGTGGAGCAGTTGTTGTTGGTGGAGCGGTAGTTGTTGGTGGAGCAGTTGTTGTTGGTGGAGCGGTAGTTGTTGGTGGAGCAGTAGTTGTTGGTGGAGCAGTAGTTGTTGGTGGAGCAGTAGTTGTTGGTGGAGCAGTAGTTGTTGGTGGAGCAGTTGTTGTTGGTGGAGCAGTAGTTGTTGGTGGAGCAGTTGTTGTTGGTGGAGCGGTCGTTGTTGGTGGAGCGGTAGTTGTTGGTGGAGCGGTAGTTGTTGGTGGAGCAGTTGTTGTTGGTGGAGCAGTAGTTGTTGGTGGAGCAGTGGTTGTTGGTGGAGCAGTAGTTGTTGGTGGAGCAGTTGTTGTTGGTGGAGCAGTTGTTGTTGGTGGAGCGGTAGTTGTTGGTGGAGCAGTAGTTGTTGGTGGAGCAGTTGTTGTTGGTGGAGCAGTAGTTGTTGGTGGAGCGGTAGTTGTTGGTGGAGCAGTAGTTGTTGGTGGAGCGGTTGTTGTTGGTGGAGCGGTTGTTGTTGGTGGAGCAGTTGTTGTTGGTGGAGCGGTAGTTGTTGGTGGAGCAGTAGTTGTTGGTGGAGCAGTAGTTGTTGGTGGAGCAGTAGTTGTTGGTGGAGCAGTTGTTGTTGGTGGAGCAGTAGTTGCTGCAGTAGTAGCAGGAGCAGTGGTTGTTGGTGGAGCAGTAGTTGCTGCAGTAGTAGTAGGAGCAGTGGTTGTTGGTGGAGCAGTAGTTGCTGCAGTAGTAGCAGGAGCAGTAGTTGTTGGTGGAGCAGTAGTTGTTGGTGGAGCAGTAGTTGTTGGTGGAGCAGTTGTTGTTGGTGGAGCAGTTGTTGTTGGTGGAGCGGTAGTTGTTGGTGGAGCAGTAGTTGTTGGTGGAGCAGTAGTTGCTGCAGTAGTAGCAGGAGCAGTAGTTGTTGGTGGAGCAGTGGTTGTTGGTGGAGCAGTAGTTGCTGCAGTAGTAGCAGGAGCAGTAGTTGCTGCAGTAGTACCTGGAGCAGTAGTTGCGGCAGTAGTTGCTTGACTAGTTTGTTGAGAACTCATTTGAGTGGTTACAGGAGCTGTTGCTTGGTTAGTCGATGTTGAAGCACCAGTGGTAGCAGCAGTTGTGGCTGGACGAGTGGTTGCTGGAGAAGTTGAAGCAGTAACACCTGTGGTAGCTGGAGATCCAGTGGTGGCACCAGTGGTTGGTTTAGAAGTTTGGGTGGTGGAAGCCGTGGTAGTTTGGGTAATCGTTGATACTCCTGGGGCGATGGTGCTTGCAGTGGTTGTGGCAGTGGTGCTTTGTGTAGTAGATGCAGCAGTAGAAGGTCTATAGGTGGTACTTGCTACAGTTGTTGCTGTTGTGGTTTGGGTTATAGTTGAAGCTGGACCGGTGGTAGAAGCAGTTGTAGTGGCGGTGGTAGAAGCAGTTGTTGTGATAGTGACTGGTCTATTAGTGGTAGTTGCAGTTGTAGTTGCAGTCGTCGTGGCAGTGGTGGTTTGGGTGATTGTTGAAGCTGGACCGGAGGTAGAGGCAGTTGTAGTGGCGGTGGTCGATGCAGTTGTAGTGGCGGTGGTCGATGCAGTTGTTGAAGCTGATGTAGCAGATGTTGAGGCAATAGTTGATGCAACAGTCGAAGCGGTACTAGCAACAGTTGATGCAATAGTTGATGCTGTTGTCGTTGGACGGCCAGATGTTGAAGCAGTTGTCGATGCAACGGTTGAAGCAGTGGTTGTTTGGGTCATTGTTGAAGCTGGACCGGTTGTAGATGCAGTAGTGGAGGCAACAGTTGAGGCTGTGGTTGAAGCAGTTGTGGAGGCGACAGTTGATGCACCAGTTGGACGACCAGTTGTAGCGGTTGTTGATGCAATAGTTGACGCAACAGTCGATCCGGTACTTGCAACAGTTGACGCAACAGTTGACGCAACAGTTGATGCAGAGGATGGAATTCCTGTGGTTGTGGCAGTAGTAGTTGCAATGGTACTAGCAGTCGATGCTACAGTAGAAGCTACAGTACTTGCACCTCCAGATGAGGTGGTAGCAGTGGTAGTTGCAATGGTACTGGCAGTAGTAGCAATAGTAGAAGCAGTGGTACTTGCACCACCAGATGAAGTGGTAGCGGTGGTAGTTGCAATGGTGCTGGCAGTGGTAGCAATAGTAGAGGCAGTGGTACTTCCACCTCTAGTGGAGGCGGTGGTAGTTGCAATGGTACTGGCAGTAGATGCAATGGTGGTGGCTGTGGTACTCGCGCCTCCACTTGTGATATGATGACATGAAGTACGCACACAAACACCTCTTTGTCTGACGGAAGCACAAATATGATGAGAAGGGCAGGTGACTCCTTGACATCGATCAAGATTGTTGGGGGCACAATATTTTATACCATTGAATACTTGAAGAATTTCATCATTTGAACATGTTAAACCTTTGAAAGTGAAAAAAAAAAATTCGAAAAATTTGTTAAATAAACAAGTTAAATAAAAGAAAAATTTTGTTTTGTTAAGTACCATTTACACAGGCAAATGAAAAAAGCAATAAAACTAATAATAATGGAATTTTTATAGTTTCCATGTTTTAGTTTTCAAGGTGTTGTAGTTGTTGTTATATTTTTCCAATATCCAAAATTACATAAATGAAAATATTATTTCGATAAACATGAATATTTATAATTAAATAATTTATTCGACATCGAATTTTTTCAGTACCTCTGTGTAATACTATTTCTCTTTCATCATATATAATATTCGGATTAGACCTATTTTTTTTTTTTGTTTATTTTAATGATATCATATTAAATATGTAATTTCATATGCAAGAATACTGAGAGGACCGCAAAAAACAGCTGTGCAGATCAAAACCTCACCCAAAAATGAAATTACACAAACCATGGAATATTTTTTTCAGTATTAGAGTTAAGTTATGTTTTATGCCACCATTATATGTAAGTACCAATAGTTTTTTATAGCAATAAGAGAAATGACATTAGACCCACACCCTCAACAAACACACAATTCACCATGATTAAGAATTGATCAAATTTTGTGCTCGAAGATACACACATTTTATAATCTGCTAGAAGAAACAATAAAAAAATAAGTGAGTAATTGTGTAACACCAAAAATATTATTTTAATTAAAATGATTATTTTCACAAGGTGTATTATAATAAAAACAAATTAGTGTTAAAAAATTTTTTGTTGTAGACAATTTAAATACTGATAAATCAGAATTCATATTTAACTATTACTATAGTTTGGATTCATTAAGTTAGCTATTGATAGTTGTTAGTATTACTCTAAGTGTAATTTCATTTTATCCCTCCCAAAAAATGAACCAGAAGAATTACTAGCAGTGGTAGTTGATCCATTCATAGTGGATTGAATATACTTGCTAAAATTCAATAAAAGCTGTGCAAACAAAAACCAACCTAAAAATGAAATAACACATATTTTGTTATTAAATCTGATTTAATTTGTGAAGCACAGAAATAGGGAAGAAATAGGGAAGAAATAGGGAAGAAATAGACCCTTATCGATCAATAATACATATAATTTTGTTAAATTGATAATAATTATTAAATTGATATTCAACAACACATCAACTAATAATTAATTATTTTAAAAAAAAAGGTTAATTTGAATGTTGTTCTATATTATACTTACCATTTTGTTGATACGGGGGATTAGTTAAGTTAATCATTATGTTAGAGATGATTGCTATGATAGATAACAGAAAAAAGATAAATAGTTGGTATAAGTAAAATTTTGACTATTTATTTAAGTTTTGAAAGTCTTTCTAATTCAAGACTGTTTAATTTTATGATAACATCGGTTGAAGTTCGAAGAATGATGAGTTTTTAATTGGGAGATATGCATCGATTGCAATGAAATCGGTATTGATTACGTTGTCGTTGAGTGTTGACGATCTGTTATCAATCATTTTGTTTTCAGTTGACATCAAACTGGATGATGAAGAGCATTCATATGGTGTTTTAAAGTTGATATCATAATTGCAATTTAGTATTTCGTAGGCGCTTGCTGCTTCGTGAGTCTCACCACATGATATATGAATGGTTGTTAGTCTTCCATAGTTTGATAAAGCTCCATCTTTTCTTCCATAGTAGGTAACTTGAACACCTGTTCCTGTTGCTGTTTTATTTATAAAAATAAGTATATCATTTTAACTAAATGATTGGGATAGATTTTTAATATATTTACCATTCGGTGCCCATACACCACTTAATGTTTGACCAGTATCTTCAGTGAAATCAGCACCTTGTTGGCAACCAGAAATACCATTGGTTTTCAAATTTGTTGTGCAAGTTGGCGCAGATCCACAAACACTAAAAGAATATGTGTATTTATCAGCACCAGTGTATCCGATTACACTGTATTGAGTTCTATATTTGGTGGATATTTATATTGTTAGTTATAATTTTTGATTATTGAAAAATTCAAGAGATTAAAAAAAGTTCTCTTTATATTAGATTCATAAGAAATATATTAATATACACACTGAGAAAGTGCTGAGAAATCAAATCCACCAAATTGACAATTTGGAGCTTTGGTTGTGTACAAGCAAAATAGAATGCGATCAAATTCAAGAAAAATAATTATTCACTCTTTTATTTATTTACTTTTCTTCGTATCTATAATATTAGTTATATATACCTTTAGAGTTCTGATTATAATTGTGGATCTCATTTTTTTTTTTTTTTTTTTTGCAAACAAAGATTTGTTGACTCATGATCAGTCAACATGTTAATTGCAGGTATTGATATTAACCTGCTAGTTCGTGTTTTATATTATATACATTCTCACACAGGCCGTGAGAAATAGCCAATAAAATATTATTATTATTATTATTATTATTATTATTGTTTATAGTTATTATTAATTAATAAGTTGAGTTGTATTAGGATAGAATAGATCTAACAGTAGTTGCGTGTTGATGAACAACAGTATAAAGTGGTGGCACGTAGTTGGAAGAATTTAGATTCCAATCAGATTTAAATTTACGTTTTATTTCAGAGCAATCGACAGTGATTCCTTGGGAGATAGAATTAGTGATTGTGAAGTTAAGCTTGTGGTAATTGGCATCGTTTAATTTGGTGTAATGGGTGACTGCTCTCTTGACGGTATTTTCCAGTTTGTAATGGATACCATCACCAAACATTTCACAGGACAGCGCCTGCCATAACGAATGTACGATAGCAGCAGTAAGGTGGGTGAAGTGGACAGTAGTACGAATAGGACCGTCGAACTTGATGCACGAGTGCTTACAATTGCGAAGTCTATAGTTACAGTACTTGTGGTATATATGTTTGATAAAGGAAAGGAACTGCTGTGAAACTACATTCCTGCATTTGAAGAAGAAATGCTCATGTGGGTTGCAGAGTTCAGTGAATGCTGGTTATTTCCTGGAAATGGATTCCTTACATTACAAAACATGGTATATGTCCGCATGCGGAAATAATTTATCTTAATGCGTTGTCCGGGAATCGAACCCGGGTCTCCTGCTTGGAAGGCAAGAATTCTGCCACTAGACCAACAACGCTTTTTGATGAATATTTCTAAAATAAATCGATATAATAAGAATAAAAAAAACAATGTAGTAAAAAAGAAAAAAGCGAAGTTATATTTTCTTGTTAGTGAGATTGAAAACCCATTAAGTTATAGATGTCCGGGAGGGAGAATCCTTTGCTTGTGAGGATCCTTTTGTGGTTGGGGTTGGTTTTGTCAGAGTTAATTAGTATGAATTAGTTTTGAGTGGGAATATTGTGTTGGGTGATTCTGTGATTGGTTAGTTGAGGTGGGGTTGTGACAATGCCCACTGGCAAGTTTTTCCAAGCGTTTTGGCATTTGGTGAACAAGGGAGATGGTCATTGCTGAGCGAAAAAAGAGTTTTTAAACACACATGTGAGTGACATTAACAACAGTATCTTAATTAATATTAGGATTAGATTTTCGTCAGAATATTATCTATTGGTAAGTAAATTTTAATTTAAACTGATTTAATTATCATTTAAATTTACTAATTTTTAAAATCATATTAAAAGATTGCTCAATTGAAAGTAGAATCGCGGAACTTTGAACAACGACCGCTAATATCACTGATCTTTAATACAAACTTCTTCCAAAAATTCTAACTGGTACTCTCTATTGTCTTTGTTTTTCGCCTCATTATCAGGAAAATACACCAATCAGAACACCATCAAATACAGTTGTCAGAATAAAAGTTCACCTAGATCTAAGTGCACTTTTGTTCGTACGCTCAAGCAAGTATTAACAGTGGAGATCAGATCAACAATAATGATCAATACGATCTAATAAGAATTCTACAGTATAGGTGTAAATCTATATTTGAAAACTGTAGGTGTGGATCTATTTTCTCCAGAAGTATTATTAATACTTCATGGTGTTTTTTTTTTTGAATGGTTTGTTTAGAACTAAAATAAAAATTAATGTAGTTGAAATAATAACCTTTAAGAGATGTCTAAAACAAATAATAATGATAAATATATAAATACTAAAACAAGAGAAGAGTTATCAAAGTTAAAGAAAGATGAACTTTATCAATTTTGTATTGATAATATGTTATGCTAAATAAGATTTTGATAAAATTTAGCCAAACATGTTTTTGGTAATGACCTTGTTTTTCTTGGAATTGATTGGCAGTGTTTTTCTTACTTAAACCAACTTATTTTTTTTTTTTTTTTTTTTGGTTGGGTGGTGTTAATCAATCAAAAAAGATATATATATGTGTATCATTTATTACAATGGAAAAAGATAATATTGCAACAACAACTACTACAATGACTACCACAACATCTGCAAGTGGTAGTGTTAATGATGATAATACAGAAAAGAAAATAACACCTAGCAAGAAAAGAAAATCCGATCTATTAGCTTCGGTCAATTATCAAACATCGAGTGCAGATGAATTATCACAGCTGAAGAAAGAGCAACTCTATCAGATGTGTTTAGACAATAGAATCAAAGTGAACAAGTCTGCAAAGAAACAAGATTTTATTGATAAGATCTTAAGTAGTAGAGTAGAACAGAGGAAACTTCAAAAGGTATTAGTCGATGACAATCCTGCTTTACAATTTCACAGAGGTTACGTCGAGTATCGACTACCGGTCACTGTTATCACAAGGATATTTGAGCATTGCTGGAAGCTAACTTCTTCGCCAACCAGTCCTTACTACTCGTACCGTGATGCACTGAAACTAATCGGAATAAACAAACAGTTCTTTGGTTTAGTTAGTCAGCTGTTCAATAAAGTTGTATTACGAAACTATGATATCGACCGACACATCAGCAATCCATGGTGTCCAATTAAGAGAATCGTAAAGTTAAAGCTATATCATAGTGCTTTCGAGTTTCTCATGAAACATAAATCGACACACCTCTCACAGGTACTCTCCACCGTGGAGGTGCTGCACATCTGTTGGGATCCACGACAACACACTATACTCAGTGTCACCAGTTTCAAGAATATGGCATTCATAATGACCAATCTTCGTAGTTTTATTGCCGTAAAAATGAAGGTGGAACCCTCACATCTCAAAGTGCTATTCTCAATCAAGTCGCTCAAGAAGATCGACCTGCTACGAGTCTACAATCAAGACCGTTTCGAACCACTGATTTTCGGATCAGAACAACAACATCCACTGGAAACGGTGATCATCAGTGAAATGGATGTATCGTGGGTTAAAGCTGCGCATCGTCCTACGATAATAGAGCTTGGCGTTGTACGACTCGGTGCGAGTGCACTACGAGAACAGTTGGATCTACCAAATCTACGAAAGATATCATTCTCACAAAACTCACATATAACATCGGTATTCAAGTATTTCAAAGAAGAAACCTTCAATATCACTCATTTAACTGTATATTTGCTGGCGAATCTTAAAGAATGGTTTGAAGTCATTGAGAAAATGAGATGTTTAGTCACTGTCGAAGATCTGACCATCTACAAAAAGACGACTGCCGGCAAACTCTGTAAACAATTCAAAAACAGTGTTTCACCGACATTGTCTCGTTTCATCCTTTACACTAATATTGCAGCTCATGAATTCGACATAACCAACTATCTAAAACCGATCGGCTATCAATTCAGTTATGAAACGTCAAACCGACAATTACATTCTAATTCACTTGGTCTAAAGGAATCACCAAAACTAATCATTTCACCACATGCAAGAAAATTATATTTTGATAAAAAGAAAGAATAAATAATAATCAAAAATAAAATAATTATCTTTTTTAGATTCATTAACATTCAAAAAAAATGAACATCAATCAATTTATCTTTTTTAATCAATTATTATCTTTAGATTTTGAGAAAATGATCAAAATATTTTATTTTTTTTTATTAATTTATTTTGTTTTTTGGTATAGACACACTTATTTGTACAAAATATGTTTAATAATTTATTCTTTCAGAGATTAGAAAATAGATTAATACCACCATTTATTGGTCTTTCGAATAGAAATAGACAGGATGATCATTGTTTTAAAATCAATGATTTCAAAGTGAATGTAGAGATCACCGACTTTGTCGTGAAAACAATTTTCACACAGGTCTATTGTAATAGTCAAGTGTCACCGGTGGAAGCTCACTATAAGATGCCGATTGCACCGAATGCAACGATCACTCAGTTCCTAGTGGCACAGAACGATCAGGTGTTGTATGCAACCGTCGTCGATAGCCAGTCTGCCAAAGAGCAATACAACGATGCAATAGCGAACGGGCAACAAGCGTTCATCGGTGAGAAGAACAAGTACTCCAATACATTCGATCTCTCGATTGGCAACATTCCACCGGGCGCCGAACCAATTACCATTTCCATAACGATGCTATCGGAGTTAGAGACTAACTGTGACAGTTTTCTCTATTACTTACATCGCAGCATGTTTCCAACGACCTATCTTTTCAACTTTGATTTCCACATGAGTATTAAACTGTACAATAATAATATTAAATACCTTCAAACGGGTCAGTATCAATACGAAAGGAAAATACAGCTAGAGGAAAACAGTGTGACTCTAAGTTTCCAAACAAGCGCTAAACTTGAGAAACATATTATGGTTTGTGTAAGCACAGAGCCGAAGGATAGACCTACATACTCAATAGAAAAGATAGATAATACCTATGCAATCTCATTAGATTTCTATCCGAGTGAACTATTAAAACAGATCTCCAAAGACAATGTTGAATCAAACTCAGAGTTTGTTTTCCTAATCGATTGTTCAAACAGTATGTTAGGACAGCCTATCGAAAGTGCAAAGAAATGTCTGGAGATAATCATGAGATCGCTAAATGAGAAATGCAAATTCAATATCTGGCTATTTGGTACCACCTACATCTCTCTCTTTGCAGAACCCAAACCTTACAATGACGGACTCTGGAAGCTGCCAGTGACTTTATCAACCGAATACACGCTAATAGAGGAGGAACTCAAATGTTAGCTCCAATTAAAGCAATATTAAAGTCTCCAAGCGATAACAAATATCCAAGGCAACTATTTATACGTAGATATAATAACTATAAATAGCATTTATATATTATCTTTACTAATCCATTCATTCATCTCCTTTTAACAATTTTAGTTACTGATGGACAAATACAGAGTAGAGAATTATTAGTTGACTTTGTTGCAAAACACTTTAGTACAACAAGAATCTTTACATTGGGAATAGGTAATGGGGTTGATAGGTTTCTGGTTGCTGGACTATCGAATGTTTGTAGAGGATATTTCGAATTTATTAAGAATCCCGATATGATGGAAACTCAGGTGATGAAGCTTCTAAGTATCTCGTTGCAACCAATTGTATCCAATATCAGAGTGGATTGGAATGGATTGCCTGTCATACAAGCACCAAAAAACATTAGACCGATATTCAAGAACGAAAGAATCACTATCTATGGATTGTTGGAGAATTTCGATATTGTCGAAGGTGGTGATACAACCAAAATCTTTAAGATCACATTCGATACACCGGATGGCCAGACACTATCTTTTGATATTCCAATCGATCTCAATATCAAAGATGACAGCAAACGTTATACATCACTTCAGACTCTCATTGCCAATCTTGCCATTAAAGATCTCGAAATTGAAGAAGATCTATCCAATATAAAAGAGAAGAATAAGACAGAGATAACTAGATTGTCAACACAATATCAAGTTGTTTCAAACTATACATCATTCATTCTTACTTGTGACTCTGGAGTAGCAGTGGCTGTTGAAGATTCAATGGTTAAGGTGGATTTGAATGATGGACCAATGCTAAATAGTGACAGTAGTAATAATAGTAGCAGTAATAATAATAGCATCAGTAGTAGTAATAGTAATAAAAGTAACATTAGAAGTATAAATAAAAGTAGTACCTTTAAGAAATGTATTGATGTCGATGAAGAAAGAAGAAAACGTGAGGTGGTCTCCGCCAGCATTAGAAAGGAAAAGAGAGAAGATTCTCTAGCAAAGAAACGATCGATTCAAACAGATCTTATTCCAAATAGTTGTGGAATTGCTTCAACTCCAAACAACACTAATGGTTTTGATCAAAAGATACTTGAATCCAACAACTATCTTTGGTTACATCACAACAATTTTATGCAACTAATGAGAGCTAATAAATCACAACTACAACAACCACAAAGACAACCATTACCAACTCCACATATTGTAATGCCACAGCAATGTTTGCCACAGCAATGTTTACCACAACAATGCTTACCTCAACAGCAATGTTTACCACAGCAACAACAACAACAATGCTTACCTCAGCAACAATGTTTACCACAACAGCAATCCTTATCACAACAAACTGAGCAAAATCAATTGATAAATAATGAGAAGAATAACAAAAAAGAAAACGAATATGAAGAACATCTAATTGGAGAAGTATTAATGATGAAACTCATTAAATTACAAAAATCAAAAGGCGAATGGAAATCACTACCAGATACTTTAGCAAAGGCTCTTATTAACAAAAACCCAGGAGTTACCGATGAACTTTGGTTCACATTTTTAGCAGTGGCTATACTCACTGTCAAGTTCATAGAGAAGAAGATACAATGGCAACATATAGTAAACAAAGCAATTAAATGGATTAAAAATCAATTGGCAATCAATTCAACCTCTGATAAATACGACTATTATGCAAAAATAGCTGAAACAACTATCGATAGTCATTTATAGATCTACCAACATCTTTTTGTTGAAAGATAACTAAACTTTATTTATTTACATATGCTATTATTCTTTTTTTCACTATCATTATTATTATTATTATTATTGTTATTGTTGTTATTTAATGATTCTTTCTTTATGATAGATTTTGATTTCCTAATGAAATGATTCATGAAACTTTTGTATTCTCTTGAATTGTATGGATAGGAGAATGCTGACGATGATTGATTCTCGCCTGATGATTTCTGTTTGATTCTTTGTTCGAGTCCATCGATATATTTTCTGTGATGCTGCTTGACTTTTGATTTTTCTGCGCCTCTAAAACAACTTTGTAATGCATGTTTAAAACGTACAAACTGTTTGCCCTCGGGCGATATAAACAACCATCCACCTTTATCACTAATCTTTACATTCCAACCTTCTTTTAGCAATGATTGCATATGACCTATACATGATTGATTATTAATATGAAACGAATCGTTAACATTATTAACTTGCTTTGAATTCAAAGTGTTATCTAAGATACTTACTTTGTTCTGTTTGTTTATCTGTTTTCTTTGAATTGCTATATCTATTTCTAATATTTAATAGTTCCTTTAATTGTGGCTGTGCATTTTCCATTATCTCTTTTATACTATAGTTTATTTAATCGAATGTATATGATAACTTGTTGTTAATATTCTAGTGGTAGAAAGATAATAATATATTTTCAACAACATACTTTGGAACTTGATATAATGCATTAGCAGATTGTATAACATCTGGTATTTCAATCTCCAAATTCCTGAGATTGTATTTAAAGTTTGAGAAGCTAGCAGACTTTACCTCATCGTTGTAGAACAGATTATCAAGTAAGTCTGTGAGAAATGTAGATGACATCATCGATAATACTGTTATCATATTCGGTGTTAATTCAATCGATTGATTATCATCCTATATATAATGATCGAAGAGATGTATGTTAGTTATTCATCAAAAAGCTAAGTATAGTTATAATTTTACAAGTAATAGTTACATTTTTAGGATTAAAGATTGACCACAGTGATTGTATATTCTCTTGTAGATGATCGAGATACTCTTCGGTAAAGTTATGAGGTAAGACTTTCTCGCTGCTATAGAACTCGCTCTGATCTTGATTGTAATACGGCCAACGCAATGGTAGTTGAAACAGTTGGTTGTGAATTGCATCTGACTCTTGTGCGACCGACTTTCTCGTGGTTCGATCATCTGTCGCTGTGCCATGATCTACAGGTTTTACTACTCTATTCTTTGATACTCTTCTACGTTTCAATCGACTAACGATTTCACCGCCCTCAACAGAAGTGTCAAGTTCATTACCGTAATCATCATCATCATTATCTTCATCTACTTCATCACCATTAACAGGTGTTTGCTTTGATTTTCTTTTATCTTTATTTGATTTATTACTGGTGTTATTATTTTTGTTGTTGTTAGTTGTGCTAGTTGTCGTTGTCGTCGTTGTTGTAGTAGTCGATTGTGATGGTTCAAACTCAAACTCTTCCTCAACTTCATCATAATTTGTGTATGTCTCTTCTATTTGAGAGTTAAGTGATTCCCAAAATGACATTATTATGATTTATATCTGTAATTTGTTTTATTTTTAACGGAGAAAAGTGTTGTTTAAAAAATTTTGTAAAGTTTTATAAATATTTTAAATAATAAAAATATGAAAAAAAAAATATCATATCCTTTGGTAGCTATAATTATTCCACTGTTTTGAAAATTGGAAATTGCTGCTGTATACTTGGATAGTGGGAAGCCAGGCCAACATAAGTATCCAGCCGAGATAACAAAAGTCAATATTATTATACCCCGGTATTGGAAAGACCTCGACAAAATTTGGTTTCTGCGTTTCCAGTAAGTATTGAATTTTTTTTTTTTTTTTGTAAATTTTTAAATTAATAATTAATTTTTTTTTTTTTTTTTTGAAAACACTATATTGATTTTTTTCTGTTTTTCAGAGTGCTAACCTATTTGTTACCACTTCAGGTAAAGAATTCACTCAACGATATCAATAAGTTTATTGAAATTCTGCGTGAAGTTAAGGCTAGGCCAGGCATGGCAAATACGTGTCCATCTTTTACTCCACAAGCAGCTCTTTGCGATACTCTTTGGTTCCAACATGCCGATACCATTCCTCGAAAGAAAAATGGTGTATTGATGATGAAACAACTTTTACGAAGTGATGATTCATACTCGATTAACAGAGAGAATTGTATGGTGAAAAGAGATAATACTCCTTTTGCCCCAATAGTTTTTGGTAATTTTGAAGTATTTTCATTCAGTAAGTTTTAAATTTTTTTAGCAAATGTATTTCTTTGCTACTTACCCTAAACCTGTACTATCAATATATTAGTTAATCGAAGAAGAAATAATTGCAGAAATGAAAATTTAAATTAATTAAAAAATTAAATTTCAGCAAACTAGGTATCCAACGTTGGTTGGTGATGATTTCGGAGTGGTGGTCATATCTCGATGGAAAACTGGATTCAGTGGTGATCAATCTGGATTTTCACTTCAGAATCATGAAAAGATAATGTTTTCACTTGATGGATATATATTCTGTTTGGGTGATTCCAATAGAAACGATAAGTCTGTTCATCATGCTGGTAGTATCGTAAGTTGATTAATAGGGATTATATATATATTTCATTTTCTAATTCAACTTGCACTATAAAACAAAATAGCATTGTTTAAAACATCAAACACTCGTTGAAGCTCTTATTGAAAATATTAGGGGATACGAACGACAATTATTATACTATTTGAACGCAATTAGCCCATTGAAACCCAGGTGCAATGCAGATACCTACAGCTTATTCTACCCTCTTGATACAGTAACTCTATCAGTCGATTTTAGATTTTATAAAACAAAACAGAATCAAAGAGTTCAAAAATGAGTAGCTGGAAGAGCAGCAGAACTATCTCCGTCTGAAAAAGCAATGGTGGATTTCCTTGCAGCAATACCCTTAGTAGGGATGATGATGGTGATGATGGTCGCAAAAGGAAGCGTACTAGGCATGGCGGTGGTTTGTAAATTTAGACCAATTTAAATAAAAGAAAATATTTTTTTATTTAAATAAAAAACACTCTGATCTGTTTGTCAAAAATTTTATGATATCCAAACATCTTGTTGTTCAGATAGCGATTGAACTTTCGAAATAAATTCATTGAATTTGGACTGATGAATGATACCTCCAAATAGATGTCGGGTATTAGAAAGAAGCAAGAAACATTCATTGTCCAATCTTCTAAGACGGTGACGACCATTTGTACCTTCGAAAATGGTGAAATCGACCAGTGTCTTGGGAAGAGTTGTTGGTGGATTATATTGGAGAAAATCAATATGCATCGACACTGATTGTACTGTTGGTGGTATGGCACCTTGTTCAACTCTTCTTTTGTATTCTTGAAAATCTAATGATCTAACCGAATCTGGTATTGCTCCAGCTGGGAAATCAAAACTAAAAGAGTTACCAATTGAGAGAATTGCGAGATCCTTTGGAAATTGACTTGGAATTCTCGAAAGATTGAATGGAAGATTCAATTTTCTTAGTTTGGAAGGAAACATTTCGGTACAAAAAACATCTGTGTTTTCTTGGAGAATACTATTTATTGAAAGCTCTTCTAAATTGATTAGCTCAGACAAGACACCAGGCTCAATTGAAATTGGGCCACCACACAACGCCAGATACTTTAAACCTAATGGAAATACACCTTTTCTAATTTGATTGCGTTTGGAACTATTAAATACAACAGTTAAATCTACTACCGATAATGGGAGGTCACCTGGTTGAATTGACCTTGGTGATTCATACTGGTACAATTTCATCCATGTGATAGTGGTGCACCGCTTGAAATATTCGATATTATGAAAGTTGATTGATACTCTATGAAGTGTAGATGGTATCACAATGTCATTGCTAATTGGCGATTTGAGAGTGGTGCATTCCAATACCTCTAAATTTGGAGGTAATATGCTATCTGGTGCTATTGAGTATAGCGACAGATATTTCAATGTGCTAGGGAGATGATCAAGATCTATATAGTATCCTTTGTTTGTCGAAACGTTGAATCTCTCCAGAGCATCAGGTAACCATTCATCAAAAGTAGGTGAAGGTGGCATCGATATCACTTTGATATTCACAGGAAACTTTCCAACGTTATATTGGAAACCACCGGTGAAATAGACATTCTTGGCAAAGGAGAAATCCAACTTACTTACATTTGAACATGCAAGTTTCTCAATGAATCGACTATCAAGATTGACAGAAGTACATAAGAAATATATACAATCGATATTGTTTCTAATATTTATATTATCTATTTCTTCGTTTTCTTTTTTATTTTTTTGAGAATATTTAAATTTATTCATTAGATTCATGTATTAGTTTGCTATTGTTGTTTAATGTAAGTACTTACTTTGAATCAATAAAATATTTGTTTTATCGCTTTTTAGTTTATTTAGAAAAGTAGATTTATAATTGTTTAGATGAAATACACTTTCGAGATCGATAGATGTGACACCTCTTATGATATCATCTCTTAGTGTTAGATATCTATCTCTCTCTTGGAAACATCTCTTACAAACCAAACTGAAAGTGATTTTATCAATATTTGGTAATGTCTCAATTATCTTTGATAATAGTATGTGTGGTAGTGAAGTTATCTTATGTATCATTTGATCGTTGCATGCTTATATTAAAAAAAAAAACAAATCAATTCATTTATTTTTTTTTTTAACTCTATTTATTTTAAAAATATTACAGGGCTATTGTTTATTTGGTATAGAAAAGACTTGATTGTATTGTTGGTTGAGATTGCACTCTTTAAGTCTTCGACATTAGTATTCATAGGATCGGAATTGTAATAGCAAAGGCTAATGTATGCCAAGTTGGGATGTGTATTGGTTGCGATTATATCTAAAAATGATCGGTTTGTAACGTTATAGTCATCTGTAAAAAGAAAGTTAGTTTACTATCAATAATCTTTAATAATGAGAATGAATAAACTTACACCTTGTCGAATGGATCCTGGTTGACAAGGTTGAACTTAATTTGAGTGACTTTAGCGTTTGACTAAGGATATTGGTGCGCGTAGTCGAAGTGTAGAGCAACCCATTCTTGAGAGTGAGATCGGTGATACATGTGTTTTGTGCCAACGCATCGATAAGACTCTCAAGGAAATTCGGATAATAAGACCTTTGTATGTCCATACTGAAAGTCTTGATTGTTTTGTTACCTGCGATTCTGTTGAAAAGCTCGCTTGGTACAGACTCGTGTCCGTCCATTTCAAACCATACAAACCGATAGCTATCTGAAATATCCAAATATTCGAGTTCCGGCTGCGAAAAGAAATTGTCAACGAATTCCAACATGCAGCCGCATTTGGTGTCGATGGTTACATGAGTCAGATGGCTACACTCTGATAGCAGTCTCCATGTGTTTGACCATTGTTCTCCTGGAACCACCTGAGACTGTTGCAAATTGGTTTTCACTAGAATCTTTATCTTTTTGATATTTTTCAGATCACGCACCGCCATCGCAAATTTCTTACCGATGTCATCACGACATGAAGTGGCTCCATACAACGTGGCAGAACGAATCGATCGGTAGAACGGTAGTAGTAGTGTATACATTGCCGATTCGATTTCATTATATGCATTGTCTTGATCGGCACGCAATGAGATGTGACGAAGAGGAGAACAATCCCATAAACCTTGATCATCACAATCGAGCATCTTTTTGGTGGAATATATAGTATTTCTTTTCTCAGCCACCACCAGAGAGTGTAACTTTTGAATGATTGAATGCTTGGATGACAGTTTGCCAATAACCCAGCTACGTATGATTTGACTGGCCTTTACACCTTTCACATTGATAACATTCAAACCATTTACATTACTTGAAATCATAGCAAACCATTCTTTGCATACCAAAGCAACGTGTAACATCCATGCTCTAAAGTATATAAATTCATAACTCTCGATGTCATCGACAATCTCATCACTACTATCAAGTAGATATCTAATAATTTTTCTTTGTATATATAATGGTAGATAGATTTGCATTGATATATATATTAAATTTATCTTGTATTAATATAAAAAAGTAATGCAATCATTTTAAAAACATTTCTTTTTAAACTGTGTTTATTAGTATTAATATTAATAATAATAGAGGGAATTAACCCATCTTTACCCCTTTGCTTTTCTTTCTTGATCAAATAGACACCATGAAAATAGGGTTTAATTTCCTTTTAGAGAATCAAAATAAACCACATCATTTTTAACAAATTTATATAACACTGAATCTCTGGTATTCAATTCATCAAACCATAGAATCATTCGATTTAAATTGGTGTAATTCTATTTTTATTTATTTAATTATGTTTAATACTTAAAGTTATTTATTTATATATTTTTAATTAAATCATTTACTTCAATTTTTTTTTTACTCCCAATTGAAAATAATGCTGACCGAAAAGGATATGTTACGATTTTCAATGAAATGTTAAAAGTTTATTAGGATTGGCTGTTTAGGTGTCTTCCTTTCATGTTAGTGAAGATTGTAATATTCAATTTGGTTGTTCCAGAAAATACCGCTTTTCAATCTATTGATTAATTTTTTTCTGTTTTTTCAAGAGAATAAATCATTTTAATTTATTTTTAAATATAATATAAATAATTATTAATAATATGAAGAATCAAATTTAAAGGTATTAATTGATCTAAATACACCATCTAATTGATTTTGGGTGAAAAAACAACCCACTAGATGATTGACCGGTGTTCCAAAGAAAATGAAATTTCCATTGTCCAACTCTCGGATTTTACAACAGAGTTCGCTCAGCTCGGGCTTTGATGAAGAGATGCTGATTCTCATTGGCGGAAATGATTTGTGAAATTTTATCTTGATGCTGCTGTACAGGAAGAAGTTGGTCGATACTAGCTGCTCGAGGAACTGATCGATTCGCTCGAGTAGCTGTTGGCTGGGTGGTTGCACCGATGTCTGATCGTAGAATTTCAATTGCACCATATCTATACCCAATGGATACCTGGCGGAGAACACCGTCATCTTTTTCTGAAAGGTGTATCCTTCAACTATCAAACGACGCACTTTGATGTTGGCAAGCGACGAATTCAAGTGGGAACGACCGGTCACCACCAACTGATCGAGATCGAGCTTCGATCCTTTGGGAAAGGAAGCCGGATAGCTAGTTGAGGTAATCTCTAGGAATTTAACGGACGAAGGAATGCTTGAGTAATCTATCTTTTCACCTTTCAGTTTGAGAGCGCAACAGTTTGAAAAATCGTTGCAATTGATTCCGGCGGTCGACGACAACGATAGATTTCTCAGATTTTTCAGTTTCTTGAGGTGTGGAATCCAAGAAGCCGGAGCACACTCCACTGTCACCAAACCCGCGGGAAGTGTATCGTCCATCTCCAAATCATCGAATCCGCTGAATCTAAGTACTTCCAAGTTGGGTGGCATCGATCCTTTTCTTAGTTTCTGGATGTTATAAGAGGCGATGCCCGACAGTGATTTCAGTGAGATCGGGAGTATTCCAGGCGAAAAAGGCTGTGCGAAAAACAATCCAAAAGTGAGCTCTTGCAAACCCTCTGGAAAAGTGCCTGGAATTAGCGGTTGGTTGTATTGTCCAAACTCTAGTTTCAGTAGGCCCTCTGGGAGGCAACCTGGTGTCAGAGTATGATTGAATCGGTCGATCTTCAATGATTTCAATGTGCTCGGTAGTAGTTTGCACTGGATTGGATGATCGAGGAATGCCACCTCCAAGTAAGTGAGCCCTGCTGGAAAACAACCGGGTTCCATAGTGCGAAACATATTGTCACACACAATCGATTTGATATTGTTGGAGAGCGGTTGATTCTTTGAGAGTGGAATGTAATTCTCTATTCTCGTCACTCTTGACTTTTGTAGGATACGACTGAGATGCTCGATACTAGATTGTTCAAGTTCACAATTCAGCGTTACGGAATTACAATTTATCGGTAGTGAGTTATAACTATTTAAATTAACTATTTATTATATAATTATTGATATTTGTTAGTTCATTATATAAATACTATTAATTATTTATAGATAAATTAATATTTACTTTGAATTATTTTATAATCATAGCTTTTATTTTGTTCTGTATTAACAATTTCAAGTCGACAATCATTCTTTGATAACAATGAAGTGAATAATTGATTTTTGTAGGATGTGAGATGATTGTTGTTGTATTTGTGTCGATTCGACTCCAGACTGATATTGTCAGTGTTGAATGTGAAGTATCTACCTCTTTCTTTAAATAATCGCTTACAAGTCAAACTAAAACATATTCTATCAATGTTATCCTTAACAAAACTTATAATCAATCTTAATAAAATAGGTGGTATATTATTTATATTTGTCATTGTTTAATAGAAGTAACTTTAAAAGATACTATTAATAGTTTATTTTAAAAAAGTAACAATATAAAGCAAAAGGTATTTAATTTGATTGAAAAAAAAGTTAAATTAAATAAAGAATTCATTTAATTTTATTTTTTTATTGCAACAACAACGATCATTTGATGGATCAAAAATAAACAACCACACAACCCCTTTATCAATCATAAAATTCAGATAAAAAAATTAATAAATATGGAAAAAATATAGAAATCATTACAAACGACAAAACTTTGGTAAAAGTCTATCCATTTGAAAAAGAAACAAAAGATGATAATATGATCTTTAAAACCTAAAGTAATTTTTGATTCTCAGAGTTTGGACAAATCACTAAAAAAAAGATGAACACCAACAATAACAATGATAATAATAACTTTGTCAATATACCTCATATTATTTTAAGATATATTATCAACTATTTAGATAATATCGATAGATTATGTTTCAGTCTGACTTGTAAAAGATGGTTTCATGAAAGAAATCGATATTTTATTTTCAACCCAGATGATCTTGTGCATCAATCTTTGGAATATACATACCCATCATTCAAATTAAATTCCTATAGAGATATTATACATCGCTCATTAGAATTAAAGACAATTTGCAGACTCAATATTCGTGCATACCTTACACCCATTGGTTATTCTAACTTTGATTATGTAATTCATAAAGGTAAATAATTATTTTTAAATATAAAAGCCCCTATTAAAGTAATTACTTATAATTTAATATTATGAATAACAGATAGTTTAGTAGATTATAAAATTCCATTAAGCTGTCGATCTTTAACACTACCAGATGATCTAGAGGAATCAGATTTGGAACACCTTCGAAAAACATTGGTAGATTCAAGTATCACGGAGATCGAAAACTATCAGGTATCAAAGAGAGGTCCTCTCTCAAGCAAAATCACATCGATTTGCTACAAAGGTACAAAAATGCTTCCTTCCAATGTACTACATGGTTTGACACGACTTGAACTTGTCTACTTTAATAGACCTTTAGAACCAGGTACCTTACCTTCAACTCTTCAATATCTAAAGTTTAAATCATTCAATCAGCCACTTTCACCTGGATGCCTCCCAGAAGGATTGATAGACATTACATTTGGCCATGCTTTTCAACATCCCATTGAGAGTGGTGTTCTTCCAAACTCATTGAAATCGCTCACTGGCTCCAGGACATACTCTGAACAAGTCATACAGAAAGGTGCACTACCTCCAAATTTGGAAACTTTGAAGTTTGCTCGATTAGAACCAATATCAAATCTGGAAATTCCGGCATCACTTGTGACACTTGAAGGCATTCCAATAGCATGGTTACCATTAATTAAAGATCTGAAAAATCTAAGGAATCTGAGCATAGCTGGTTTTGACGGAGATCGCTTGAAGCCAGGAGATATTCCAGAGGGTGTTGTCAATCTCAAACTCAGCAGAGCTAAGGTCATGGCAAATGAAAATATGCCAAACATCATTCCATACTCTGTAAAGTATCTTCATCTCGACGACTGTGACTACGCATTCCCTGTGGATTTGGCATATGATTTCGAAGAGGTAAAAATCAGTGGATCGACAACAATCAACCACCAACTCTCATATGTCAAGATCAACAAATTGGATCTACAAGATTCAAAACTAGTGTTCAACCAACAAAACATTCCAGAGAGAACCAATTCCATTGTATTCTCATCGAATGTCACTGACAACTTTAGATACTCCAGTATGAAAATCAGTTTACCGTATATGTATCATCAGCTTATACAGACGAAATTCTCGCACCACCGTTGTATGAACTTGGTACTCTCCAGAGAAGACAACTTTACAAAGTTTAACCTCACCCTATCAACAGATCCTGCAAATGAATTGATGATAAAAGAGATCGACAAAGGATACTTTTGTATCTTTGGAAAAACTAGAAGTAATTTGGTATCGGGTTTCTTTCATGAATCCCAATCCAGGTATCTATTTGAATCTGTAGATACCAATTTCTATAAATCATAATAGCTTATTTAAATTGTTAACTTTCATTTCCCATGTCGGTGATAGTCTGACTTGATAGAATAATAAAAAAAAAAAAAAACTCACACAATAAAAAACAAATATTTAAATTGTCGTTTTATAAATACACATTATCTAAACAATACATACATATATAAATTATAATTGAAAATTATATATTTATTTATTATTATTATCTATTGATAAACATATATATTATATTATATTAATATGAATATTTAAAATTTTAAGGGACTGATGTTGATATTTATAAATAGAGGTTGATTTTGATTCTTTTCTAAATAAGAGGTCGAGCAGAAACCAAACTTTATTTAAAATAAATAAAACGACCAGAGTATGAAAATATTAATATTTATTTATTAATGGTGATCTATCTGAATAGTAATCTTGATCGGAAATATGAGAAAGTTCAACACTACCCTGGAAATCTACTGGATTTAATGGTAATCTTATAATAAAAGCATTGGATTCATGATCCTTTACACAATTAATTGCTTTAAATTCAAATACTAAACCTTTATCTTTGTATCTTTGGTTATATGTTTCTATTATCTTCGCAGTACGAATTGATACCTTTTATAATTAAAAAAAAGAAAGAAAAGTATTATTAATAAGTATACTGAATGTTATTTCTACTATATTAATATTATATAAGTACTTTAAAATCAATAAATCTACAAGGTAAGTATAGAAATACACATAATCCTGCCAGACCAATTGATATATATGATAGTATAATGTGCTTTGAAGTAATCATGGCCAAAAACAGACATAATGCAATTAAATTAACGACAAATGCTATCCTTCCAACCTGTAGTATCGTTCTGTAGATTTCTTGATTGGTCGTACTTTCTAGATCGCGCAACAAACCATCAAACTCGTTCTCTGACATAAAAGGTTTCAATCTACCATCATATTTAAACTGACCAACCGTTGGAAAAGTACGAAGTCTTAGACCAAAGAGATGTAAGAGATGAGGCCACTCCTGATGTATATGAATTTCGTTATCTATACCTATGCAAGGTCCAAAATCTTTAATATCACTTTCAAATAGACTATTAAATTTATCCATGATATAACTTATGATTAATATATATATATTATTTTGTAAATGAGCAATTCAGAAACATGTTATTAGAATATATATATCAACCAAAAATATCTGTAAAAATCGTGATTCACCATTTTCACACTCTATCTTTTAATAAAATCTTGATTCTTTTAAAATATCTTTGTAAAAATAAAAAAAACTACTACTTTTTTCACCAATTTTCACACAGGCATTTTATAAATAAAAATAAATAAAAAGTTTTTAAAATGGAGATGATTAAAGAATAATCATTTGAATTTTTCTTAAGTGCAAGCTGGTTTTCTACTTCTTTGATTTCTAAGAGATTATCTCTTTTTAGCCAAAGATACATTTTACAATTATTGATTACTTTCATCAAAGTCTTAGTTCATATTATCAACCACTTTAATCTATCTAAATATTCTTTGAAATTAAAGATAAATTTACAACTTTTTAAATAATTTGTATTAAATGGTATTTGATTAAAGCAAAGCAATTTTATTTTATTTAATTATGATTTTAGTTTAAAATAATGGGAAAGAAATGTTAGTATGAAAGAAACGTTTTGCCTAAAGATGATTCTTTGTGTATGGGTGGTGTTAAAAAACACCATTTGTTCAACATCAAATAATAATTATAAAATGACGATGAGTTAGAAGTGCAGTTGGTGGCTCGACGATTAACTTGTTTAAGAGTTGAAACCATAGAGGGTACGACCTTGCTTCTTGAGGGCATAGACGACATCCATAGCAGTTACGGTACGACGATTGGCATGCTCAGTGTAGGCAACGGAATCACGAATGACATGCTCCAAGAATTGACGGAGGACGTTACGGATCTCCTCATAGATTGGGAAAGAGATACGCTTGACACCACCTCTTCTTGCAAGACGACGGATGGCTGGCTTGGTGATACCATAGATGTAATCCTTCAAGACCTTTCTATGTCTCTTGGCACCGACTTTACCTCCGACTTTACCTCCAGTTTTTCCTCTACCAGCAGTTGACATTGTTATTGTTGTTGATTAAATTAAGAATTGAAAATTTAAAAGTTTTAACTAAATATTTGTATGTATAATTATTATTATTTATATGTATTATAAAGAGATGAAATAATAGAAATAAGATTTAGGCAAATTGTTAGTTTAAATGTTTTTTGATGATGGAACTTTTTATAAAAAAAAAAAAAATTCAAGAATTCCAAGAAGTAGATAATTAAAGTTCAAGTGATACTTACATTTGATGAGAGTGAGTGAATGATGAATATGAAGATAAAAACAAAAAAATGAGACTTTTTATTGCTTTGGCTGGGAAAGTAACGGTCATATAAATCTAGTTGAAATTTTAATGTATTGTTCCCTCCAATTTTAAAAATCCTGATGAATTTTTTTTTTCATTTGAATTTTTAAAAAATATGTATTTCATTTATTGCTTTTTTTTTGTGCTTGAACTATCAAACATTTCGATTGGAGGCTTTCTGTAGTTCATATCAGTGCTCATGCATTTTTATCTGCATAAATTTTTTTTTTTTTTTTTTTATTGAAATTGATTTGATCAAATCGCAGATCAGTGTTACCATATTAACTAAATATGAAATTAACTTTTATTTTGCATGAGGAGATATTGAATTATATATTCCAATGTTCGCATATCCCAATTAAGAATTGGGTTGGTGAGAACAACAGAAATCTATATTTCCCACTGAATTGGAAACTCACGCTAGCGTTGGTATGTAAGAGATGGTCGGTGGTTGTAGATCGTCTCTATTTCAAGTACACTTCATATTTGGATGTTCATTTTGGTAGTACTGATTTCATGGTGTCTACTCTCAACCACGTGAGAAGCACCGGAATGAAATACCACCCGGCCAACGAAGGTGAAGGACAGCTGCATTTCTATGATATCAAAATTCCATATCCTACCAACTGTATAGTCTCTTTTAAGATGACCATCACCACTGATTTAGCTGACCAGATTGCAATATACAACCGCCAAGTCGATCGTCTAATAGAGTTGCTCGATTCCGGTATGATCTATAGTCTGGTTCTGAATATTGGCGGATTGACCAACGCTACACTCCAATATCTGAACAAACTGAGACCCCATCTAGCCAAAGCCAACCGACTCATGTATCATATGACCCATTCCAAGCATTACAACGTACCTACAACCGAGCTCCAGAGAAGTAATAGTTTCACTCAGTACATTGAATATCTAGAGTCTCTAGAGAATGTCAACTCACTATATATCTTTAATTACCCAGAAGAGTATCCAGCCAACACTTTATATCGAGTATATTCCATCCAGAGTCTTGTCAAGTCACTTAGGTATGCTATCATTAGTTTGGATGATAACCAAATCCAGTTCATTACCAACCCAGAATACCGACGTGCATTGACCAGTCTCGAGAATCTCAACTCTCTAATTCTCCAATTTGAATTTGGAGCGGAACACACCCTGGATTTCTCGTTTATCAATCAGATGACCAATCTGAGTAAATTAAATATCAGATTCGATTTCGCTGATGATATGAAAACAAATGAATCCACAATTCGATCGCTAAATGAGACGTTGGCGACCAATAACAAGATCACCAGTTTCAAGATAAATTACGTTGAGGATTTCCCATTGCCACTCACCATCAATATTGGATCGATCAAAAAGTTGGCAATGCAAACATTCAACAATCTAGATGCTGGGCATCTCGAGAAACTATCAGAGTATTCAGCAGTGGAGTGGTTAGATTTGAAATACAATTTCAATGCAATGCTCAATCATCCTATTTTCACCAACAATTTAATATTCAAGAATATCAGATTCCTCTCTATCACTGAGAATAGTATGGATGACTTTTCATTCCTTAGTTCTCAATATTGCAACGTTGAAATATTAAAACTGTATACAATCAAGAAGATCATGCCAAGATGCAACATTCAATCGCTATTTAGCAACCTAGTATCTAATAAATCAGTTCACACATTCTCATTGGACTATCCAATCTCAGACTGCCCAGCGATGAACGTGTTTGTCAAGTCCAACAAGAACATCAGAATAATCAGAGTCAATAAGTTGTGTTGTAGCACATTGGTAGATTTACTCAATCGATCAAAAGATTATAGGTTTTTATATAGAGTAGTAAAACACTTCCATACTTTTTGTAGAAGTGTAGAATAAAAAAAATAAGAAATAATTTTGATAAGAAATATTTAAACATTTTATTAGTTATTTGTTTTTTATTTTTTATTTTTTATTTTTTTTTTAATATATTATTATATATTTAGTTATGGACTTGAAGGTCCTTGTTGACCATTAAAATTAATTGCCATAAGAGGTGAATAGTAAGGTGGACGGTATTGAGTTCCATTGTAATCTTGGTAGGAGTAACACTTGTCAAAGAATTCGGTTTGGTCGATTCTGAGTGGAAGATCCTCTTGGATGCTTGATTTTTGAAGGTCGATCGATTGATCCAGTGAGTTGGATTCTCCGGAATCGCGGTCGCGATTGAGTGGAATGAGATCTTGTTGGTCGGCATCGAGTACACCGTGCTTTGACTTGTAGTGGAACAACACTTCACAGTAGCCGGCAAATACAACAGTTCCAATCAGTGGAATAACAACGAGATTACCCCAGAAGAATTTATAGACATTGAAGACACCTATCATCAATAGTTGGTAGATGATCAAACCGACAATGGTACGACGGAATGCACTTGGATAGAGTGAACCACCCGATTGGTATTCCGGTGTCGATACCCAGATGATATTGTACTTGGAAACGAGATAGTTGATTCCGAAATACCACATTCCAAAGATGAGAATGAATGGTGTCATTGTGGAGTATGCCAAACAGATTTGGAGATAGAGCAAGCTCATGGCGTAGCTAGTGCTGTAGGAGAACGAACCACACTTCTTTGTATCGGCGATTTGTCTTGGTGTTTTGGCAAGCCATCTCAACTTGATGAGCTTGATGAGCAGTCCGATGAAACGGAGCAGTGCCATGACACCACCGGCAGCTGCAATCATAATGAGATTGGTCATTTGATAGGCTTGTCCTGGAAGTGCAGTTGCCAACATGGTGATGATAGAAGATGGATGGTCGACAATCGATTCGATCGATTGGAAAATGGAACCAGCAATCGCAGAGACCAAGAAGACATTGAACACCTCAAAGATAAAGTATTTTCTAAAGACGGATTCGTCGACTTCGGAATTGGAAAAGAATCCTTGGACTTGCGACACCTTTTTGATGATTGGAATCAGCAGTGCCATGAAGATGATAAGCACCAAATTTGGAAGGAAACCTTGAAGGAATCCAGCTAGTACACTCGACTTTTCAATGATATCTACGAGCCAGCTGAATGCACTGATCTTTGAGAGTGTCGCAAGGTTACTGAATCCAGAAAGGAATGCAACTGGAATCGACCAGAAGAATACCAAACCGAAAATGAAAATCGAAACGATCAACGAACGAATAAAGAATGAGTGGGAAGTGTATGATACGTTTGGCCAGTAGACATCGTATGGATCTGGAGCAGAGAAACGCACCATCTTCATTGGGAATTTCTTGTCCATTACGACTTGCTCGACAATCTTGGCAGTTGATTTATGATTGAAAACAATGAATCCACTACCGGAATCTGGCATATTCTGCTCGGATCTAGTTCTGTGCATTTCGATGGATTTGTCGAGGTCGTCGATTTTCTCTTGATAGAAATCCAATGCCTCTCGCTTCTCACCGAAACAACCACACAAACCAGTCTTGACATAGACAGTCTTGTTGGTGCGACTCGCCTTTTCCATAGCACATTCGTATTTCTTTACGAATCCCTCACGTTGATTCATCAATTTATAGATGATTGGAAGTTGATTAATGAGAATAATATCACGGATTTGTCCAGGGAAATAGGACTCCATGTAGCGAGTAAGTGATTCCTTGGTGAAAAGACGATCTGGGATGTCACGAATGAATACAGTATGGTTCATCAGACGATTCTGATGTTTAAAGGTGATACGACGCTCTGCGAAATCCTTGTAGTCGAAATAGATAAAGAAACAAACCACCGAAGTAACGATGACAGTGAAAACTACATGCACCCACAAAAGATTCTCACCACGTGCAATGTTACTCATTGATATGACCGAGAGACCAACCACCTCATCTGGAAGTGTACCGTTGTTCTCTTGTCTCGCAGCATTGTATCCACCCTGTGAGTTGGTAGGATACAAAATGATTGCAGACAATACTACCAAAACCACCATAATATAAAAACTAGTTCTAATTTGTCTTAGATAGAAATATCCATCCTATTGTTCAAAAGTTAATATTAATTATTAATTTATCATATTCATTAACTAATTAATTATCTATAACATACTAATCCAGCAGTTTGAATGATTTTCTCATTACTATAATTTAGGGTGGAAGCTACCCAACCAAAGAAAGAATCAGAGGGAGCAGTATCTACGCCAGGTTGTTTGGTTTGGTATCTATATTCATAGAAATCCTTGAACTTTCTTCTAAAGACGCAAAATGCAATGAATACCAAAACTGAGATTACAGCATTGATAACCACTGTTGAATAAATAAATATATTTTTGTTAGTAAAAAAAAAAAACACTAATTCTAAAATTTGAAAGTTTCCCTCCAAAATTGTATGAATTGAATTAATACTTACAGGTCACCACAAATGCTGAATCCTGAACTCTATATTGATTTGGCATTTTAAAAGTTTACAACAATAATAACAATAATATATTATTATAGCTACTATATTATTATATACAACATATATAAACTTTTAAAATGATTATTTTAAAATATTCTTTTAATTGAAAAAAAAAATCTATAGTTTTATAATTTTATTATTAATGAAATTAATTAGTAATATTTCAAATAAAATATAAATAGAAGGAAAAGGAAATATAAAGGAAGTTAAAACATGTCAAAATTGAGAAGTAAAATAATTTTCAACTATCAGTTGATCGAAAACCCACTTTGCTATGCTCCAGTTATTAATGACAATAAAAAAAAATGTGTATCTTTTTAGAATCTATTACTGTAAGATAAGGTCTAACAAACAAAAGTTTAAATTTGTAATATAGTTATATATAAATATGGTAATATAATAAATGTATGTGAATACAGGTATATATGTATGAAATGAATGTGTGGTGAATGTGACAGAGATAGTGAGGTATAGGATATATAGATGAAGGATTAGATTGCTCTTGTAGATAAAGAGAAAGTGAAAACAATATTATAATAATAATAATAATAATGTTAATTAGATTATTTTGATTTGATAGTAAAGTGATATCACTTTATCAAAAGGAATGAAAAGGATGAATAGATATCGGGAACTACTACTACTTGATCAATAGCATAGAATGATAAATTACTATTATACAATGCACAGTGTACAAATTCACTAATACTAAATTATAATAATGCAATTTAAATAGATCAGGATATTTAATGATGGTTATGATGTGATATTATGGTTGTTGCAGCTGTGATGTGATTGTTATTAATTTGCAAGTCACACCTTAATTAAAGGTGGGTGAGTGAATTGTGTCTTTTTGGTTGTCAATCAAAATATATACATATTCCTTTGTTGCTGATATTATTTACTCTGAGAAATGAGTGAATGTCAACATATTTATATTAATGAAATGTGGGTGTGTGGTGGTATAGGGTGTGTGTCACACCATTTGAGTGTGTGAGTTGTTAACACGTGCAAATATAAATGATGTTATATTATCAAAAAATAAAATATAATAAAATAAAATAATTACAATGATTTGTTTGACTTTTTTTTTATTTTTATTTTTTATAACATTTACTCTATTTCTTGTTGTTTTAAATATAATTGGAGTGTGACATTTAAATGAATATTTATAAGCTTGCTGTAACTAACTAATTATAAAGATAATCTAAAGATACCAGAGAAAGTAAATATAATTATTATTATTTGGTTTATATAAAAAGGTGATTGTAGATGAATGATTTTTAATAAGATGAACGTTGTTTCAAGTAATGATATTTTTAAATATCATTGCCTTATGAAGTTATTTTAGAAAATGATTGTCTTTATAAAAAAGTGGTGTTTTTCACCTGTTTGGCAAGAAATTTTTGAAAAAAATATCAGTTTTTTTTTTTTTGATTTTTAACTATTTTTAGATTAAAGAGATCTCCTAAGCAGGAGGACTTGATTTCAGTTAGATAAACATTTAGTACATTCAATATTAATTAATTAAAAATACAATTTTTATCATTAAAAATTAATTGACTTATTGAATTTTTTCTTCCTTTAGATTTAAGAATTGTTTTAAAGATTTTTGTGCTCAACAAAGCTTTGGAGGTAGAATAATTAACTAATTTCCCAAAAATATTTAAATGTTTTATTAAAAAATTATATTATCAAAATGGAGTTGATTTGACCAAATACAAATAAACAGATAAATAAAATTTACAAAAAATAAAATATCAATAAGTATTTAAGAGGTTTTCTAAAAAAAAAACTATTAACAAAGTTTTGAATATGATATTGCGTCAGTTAAACAAATTATTTTTAAAAAAGGGCGCTTTGATAAACTCGTTTGGTTTAGTTTTTTTTTTTTTTTTTTTTTGTGAATCAAATGAAAATAAACCTTTTTCCCACTTTTTCTTGAATTTTATTTTTTACCAATATTATTAGTTGTTGTCTAGTGTAGAGTAAAGTGATCATCTGTAAATAAATACGAATCAACAATAATAATCATATATCTAAATTAAATATTGATCAATAAAAATTAATGAAGAATATCTAATAATAATAATCAGCTAGAATAGAATTGGATAATTATATATATAAAAAGATCGATCGATCATCCTCTCATCTTCTTAGTAGATATATATAGATAGATAGAGATAGATAGATAGAGAATGAGTGATCAAAATCAAAATAATAAAACACCACCACTTTCATTATCAACATCATCTGCACCATCATCGCAATCGAGGATACCATTACCGCCATCTGGAAGAACACCTAACAGACGTGCATCTCTGTCAAGTGGCACAGGAAATAATACCATTTCAAATGGATTGCTTGTCAACACTCAATTGTCAAACAGTGTAAATAACAGTAGTATAAGCAACACTACTACTACTACTATTGGTGCTGGTGCTGGTGCATCTACTACATCTGCTTCTGTTAGTCAAAAAAAGAATAGTACTAATAATACGACTGTATCAACAACCACAACAACGACATCATCATCGTCATCGACCACAACTAAGAGAAGAGCTACAATTAGTGCTGGATCGTCATCGTCATCAATCAAATCCAATACATCAAACACCAGTCCGAGTATTGCAGAGATTCTTGCGAATACTCCAGCCACTCCACTCCCACTTCCAACAACAACTACCTCTACAACTAGCACTACACCATCGACATCATCGTCATCGTCATCATCATCATCATCTACATCGGCAACACCAACACCAATATTCCAAAGTATATTACCATCACCACTCTCACTTTCGCTCAATGTCAATAGCAATAGCAATATAAATCTACCACCTCAAATTAGTCATAATCATCACCAGCATCAACATCAGCGTCACAATAACAATAGCAATAATTCAACACCATCACATTCACCATCACCACCTCCAGACGAAGCATATTTGTTTCCACAATATAAAAGTATAAATTCGCACAACAGTAATAATGTTGGCGTTGTTTCAACTTCCTCGAGATCGAGATCACCCTCACCACTGAAATTAAGTTATAACTATGGTTCACATCACAACCATACACCAATAAGCGATAGGCAACTTCACGACACTGTACATAATCAACGCGATGAATTTGTTAAGGTCTACTGCAGATTCCGTCCACACTCTCACTCGGAGGGACTGCTAGACAACCAGCAACAAACAGTAAAGATATCGATCACCGACGATAACCACGTTGTCCGTATCAACAACGGCAATACTCTGCAATCGTTCCGCTTCACCGGAGTGTTGCCAACGAGCACCACTCAGGAGTCGGTGTTCCAGTCGGTCGCACTTCCGCTTGTGGACGACCTCCTCAACGGATTCAACGTCGCCATCATTGTGTATGGTGCAAGTGGCAGCGGAAAATCATATACCATTCAAGGCTATCTGTCTTCGGATTTCTTGGACAGTGGAAGTAGCATCGGACTCGACAAGAGCAACGACGATCTCCTCTGGGGAATCGTGCCGAGAACTCTGCGGGAGCTCATCAACAGGGGTGTCCGCGACAAGGATAAATTCAAGTCCAGCATTAGAGTATCGCTTTTCGAGGTTGTCCAAGAGCGAGTTCACGACGTCTTGGCGAACGGCAAGGATTTGGAGCTGCGTTTGTCGGACCAGGGATTCTTGGCGCCCGATGCACTGACACTCCAACTCGACTCACACGAGACAATTGTACAGCTCCTAAACACAGCGAATCAATCGCGCTCCAAAGGACATCTGTTGTTCTTGGTAACTGTTACTCGTGAGAATCTAGATACAAAGGAGACGACCAGTAGTTTGTTGTATATGGTGGATTTGAGTGGCTCGGAGATTGCCGACACCAACTCTGTCAACAAGTCGCTCTATGCACTGGGCGGTGTCATCGAGGACATTGCACGACGATCGAAACACGTTCGCTATCGTGACAGTAAACTAACACAGCTTCTACAGAACTGTCTAGGTGGTAACTCTAAGACCTGTCTGCTTGTCAATTGTTCGAGTTGCGAGCACGAATCGGCGATTCGCGATACCCTCGCCAGTCTTAACTTTGGCGAGAGAACACAATCCGTTAGAAATCAACCGTTTATGAATCATGAACTGAATAAAGATCAATTGAAACTGGTCGTTCAACAGATGCGTTCGGAAATGACACTGCTAAAGTCGGTCATTGACAGCAGCGCTGGCAACGGCAACAACGCAAGTGGCGTGGGAATCTCCAACCAACTACTCAAGATGCAGCTTACCATTGAGGAATCGAAACGCGCAGAATCAAAGCTACAAGATGAAGTCACCAAGATGGAGATAAAGGAGCGTGAGTATATCAAGGAGTTGACAGACGCGCGACAGCAAGCAAAGAACCGCGCGTCCGAAAGTGAGCGCGTTGACCGCGAGTCGCGCGCACTCCAAGCGCAACTCAGCGAACTCCGCAGCAGCAAATCGCTCGAGTTGGAACGACTCTCACAGAGTGTCGACGAGTGGAAGATCAAGTATGGATCGTCGCAAGAGCAGATCAATAACCACGCTGAATACATCAAGACACTGGACAATCAAAAGATGAAGTGGAAATCAAAGTATGACGCGCTCGAGCAGCAGTATCGCGCGCTCAAGTCGCAGGCCGACAACACCGACCGCTGGAAGTCGAAGTGCGAACAGCTTGAACAACAACTCGCTCACTATCGCCAGGTGGAAACAAACCTGCAGCTAGAGATTGCACAGCTAAAGGAGCAGCAGAAGCAGCAACTGGAAACACTGTCCACTCTCACGTCACACATTGACTTGCTGAGACAACGCGTCGAAGTAGAATTCCCTGCGATTGCTCAAATCGTTAATAATCAATCACAAACCATAACAACAACATTGGAATCTATAAATAATAATATATCGATAACATCATCATCATCATCTTCAACTTCAACTACATCTTCAAATTCAAATTCAAACTCTACAACCAATAGCAACAATGAAACAGGTGAAATAATGAATACTGTAAAGAGAATCGAAGATATATTTGAAAAGCTAACTGAACAACAACAGGAGCAGAGCACCAATATACAATCGTTTTTCTCCAACTTTGACTCCAACACCTTCTCAACTTCATTGATGAGCGAATTGGATGAGAAGCAACTTGAACAATATAAATTATTATTAAATAATAATAATAATAACAACAAAAATGATAATGAACAATCTTCATCGTCGTCTACAACACAAAATCAACAACAACAACAATTAACAACAACATCACCTAAAAAAGGATCTTTAGTTTTATTATTTTGTAAAGTAAGTATATTGAAATACTGACTAAATAACTTTTAATTTAAAAATTCTAATTATTTATTTTTTTCATTTACTACTTAATAGAATTTCATTATTTTATTATTTGTCATGCTTTTAGTATTTATTTTAATGGTTTGTGTTGGTAAGACACTGGAGCATAAAGATCGTTATAAATATACATTCAGGTCATAAATAAAAAGATATCCATACATACAATATATAAATATATTTAATTTGCAAAAAAAAAAAAAAGTTTGTTCGTTTTTTTTAGTAATAATATAAAGATCTTCATGAATTTACACCTTTTTGAAACTTTTCATATTCGATTTACGGCATTGTAAGCATGTCTAATGTATTATTTTTTTATTTTTTAATTAAAAAAAATCTAAATTGAAACAAAATGCAAAACACACAATTTTTATGGAATAAATTTTTTGGTGTAGTCTATGTTTTAACACAATTATTGTTTTTTTTTTTAATTATTCTTGCTCACAACTTACTAGTGTTACAAAAACAAAAAACAAAAAAACCTAATAATAAAGATATTAATAATACATTATATGGTTAGTTTGTTTAGTTAGTTAGGTTTATCAGTCATTTTGCAGGACAGTCTGTTTATTTAAATTTAATCGTTTTATATGTTGTGTGTGTGTGTGCATTGCAGTTCAATAACACATCAACATCAACAACAATATACAAATCAAAAATAATAGAATCATAATAAAATTAATTATATATATAAAAGTAATAACTATTAACTAAAGTAATAACTAGCTATTTAGTTAATACATATTAATAATAATATTGATGTTAGATTAGAGAGAGAAACAAATATTAAATATTTATCTATTTGTTTTTAAACAAACTAAAAAAGAATAGAATAGAATAGAAAAAAAAAAAAAAGAAATCTTTTAAAAAATAATATATTTTTAATTAATAAATAAATAAATAATAATGAAAAGTAGTAGTAGTAGTAGTAAAAAGAATCATGGGTCTTCTACTTTCTCTTCATTGCTAGCTGTATATATAGTCTTTGTATTATTACTATCATCTTCATTTACAACAATAGTAGTTGATGCTTTGGTATGTTATTCTTATATTTTATAATTTTATATAGAGATGTTTGTTGGTTATTAACGTTTACATTCTTATTTAAAAAGGAGGATATGAGAAATGTTCAAGCATCAACGAATTCGGCAGAATATAGTTTGAGTTCGGTGTCTTTAACATCGTCTGGAAGTTTAGGTGAGAATTCCGATTCAAATTCACATTCCAAAGTAAAGACAATCGATTATCCGAGAAATATCACAATGGTTTACAAGGGCGAATGGAACAGTACATCGGTGTCACACATACACTTTAGCAAACAGACAGGTCATACTTTGTTCTCATTGTTGAATCACGACATCTCTTCTATACCCAACTTGAAATTCGATACTGTCGAAGGTGAGATGGTATTGCGTGACGGTGAATACTCATCGGATCTCAGTAAGAAATATCTCCTACTTGGAATCTACGAGTTTGAATATGGTTTATTGACATTGATTGCATTTCCACCTAGGTATGTAAATGAAATGAATCTTCAAGTTTAACAAACAAACAAATAAACTAACAATCAACAATCAACAATCAACAACAGTCAAAGTCAAGCGATATCATTTAATGTAGTGAATACAACAACTCCACAAGATGTAAAGAATGAAATGACAAAGATAATGGAGAATAGTACACTCACTCAAGATTGTCTATTCAGGATTGGTTTACAATTTGAAACTGTTGCAAAGAATGAAAACAGTGAAGAGATACATGGTAGGTTCGCAACAAAGTTGTTCTAGAACAAAACAAACCAATAATATTGTTGTCTTTACAACAACAAGTTCTTTACTAATTATTTAAACTATGTGCTGTATGTTATGAATCTATAGATACAGAATTACAATATAAATTAAGTGGACACTATTCAAGTCCTTTCTGTAGGGTAGAGATGGATGTATCGGCATCGTCAATACTGATGAGTATCTATCGTTCGAAATGGATCAACTATGTAATTATGGTTTCGTTGTGTTCGTTCATTCAGATTTTCGTGTTGATCAAACAGATGGACTTTACTGGCACCCAATCCGGTGCTGCCAAAGTATCGTTGTATACGGTTGGTATGCAAACGATTATCGATGCCTATCTCTGTCTGATTCACTTGACAGCCGGTGTTTTCTTTGAGTCGATGTTCAAGGCATTCGCCACCGCTGCCTTTTTCCAATTTATCACATTCTCATTATTTGAAATGAGATACCTCCTCATTATTCTCAAGGCTAGAAGACCTCAAGCTTTTGCACAGGGTTGGCGTATGTATACTGCTAATAATGATTAGCACTTCAATCTTCATCTTTCGAAAAATGATACTAACTTTTAATTATCCTTTCATCATTCTCTTTTATCTAAACAATCATCATTGTAGCATCACTTCGTCGTGAATTTTCTATTTTTTATTTAAGATTTTGTATGTTGGAAAAACTTATGATTATTTAACTAGCTGAGAAAAATACAATTTGTACTAACTGATTATAATATTATTAATTTTTTTAGATACATTTTTAATTGGTGGATTTATATTAGTTTATTATATGAGCCATCTTTTCCATATATTTTTGTTTATTATGTATTCGTTCTGGGTACCTCAGATCGTCAGCAATGTAAAGCGATCATCGAGAAGACCATTCCTTTGGAGTTATGTTCTGGGAATGTCATTCACAAGATTGACAATACCATTATATTTCTATGGTTGTCCGATTAATTTCATTCTTTTGGAACCAAACTATTTCTTTAGTTGTGCATTGTTCCTGTGGATGTGTACACAAATATTTGCACTCTATCTCCAAGATAGATATGGTCCAACATTCTTTATACCAAAGAGAGTAAGTAACACATCATCAAACAAACAAACAAACAAACATATCCTATAATAATTAATTATCAAACTATAAACTAACCTATAATCAATTAAATCATTATTTAGTTTTTACCACCCAAATACCAATATACAAGACCAATAAGTATGAGTATTAGAAACAGAGAAGAAGGACAAGGATGTGTTATTTGTATGAATGATGTCGAAGCAAACGATAGCGACTATATGATAACACCTTGTGAACATCTTTTCCACTCAAGGTGTCTCTTACGATGGATGGATTATAAAATGGAATGTCCGACCTGTAGACGTACAATTCCACCTGCATAGCCCAACACGAATCACAATTCATTTATTTATTTAAAAACAAATACCAAAAAATCGAATAAAATAAAATTTATTTATAAACAAACAAAACTAGTTTGCAAACTTCTTTTTTTTCTTTTTTTGTTTTTTTTTTAATAATACTAAATCAATAATAATTTAATTTAGTTTGAAATATTTTTTATTATTTTTTAAAGATTTTATATACCTATCACTATCTATCGCACATTATTTAGTTTTCATCTTCATCCTCATCAGAGTTATCACCATCAACAAGTTCATTCTCACGCTCCAATTGTTCCATGAGATCGTCCAACTCTTGATCATCAGAAGCACCAACAGCACGTGCCTATAATTATTAAGAAAGAAAGAAAGAAAGAAGATGATTTGTTAGAACAATATTGTTGCTTTGTGGTGATCTATAGTTGATTGCTTTGTTTTGTTTGTTTTGGTTACTTACTGGAATCTTAACAGTCAATCTACCCTTTCTCTTTTCGAGTTCTTCACCGAGGATCTCTACACATTTGCTCAACATGGCCAAACCTTTTTCTTTGTCGTCGAAAGTACCAACCATAACGTATAATGGTGGGGCGATCAAAGTGACGGTGACAACACCAAAAGATTTGTCGTCGATCTGTCCCTCTGCGTTCTTTTGAGCAAATTGAATAGCGTGATTCTGTGAAGCTAAAACTGCAGCCTTAATAGCATCGATACCTTCATAGTCGAAACAAGTCATTTCAAGATCAGCACGAATCTTCATTGGTTGTGGTTTGAGCTTATGTGAAATGATCTCCATCAAAACCTTGAGTTGGTCCGGTGAAATATCGAATCCTTCAAAAACAGCTGGTTCACTATAGATATATATATAGTTATAATTATCAACAAACAATATTTATTAATCATCATCATCATCATCATCATCAACACATTCAATTTCCAAAAGCGTTTAATTTACAACTATACATACCTGATTGAAAGTCTGAATGCATCGTAAGCGTGTTGATATTTAGTGTATAAAGCCCATCCAAATTGTTTATATAATTGCTTTGGTTTGATGACCTTCTCATCCATAGTCAATCTAGTTGCAAGATGTCTAATAATGCTGTGGACAGCCTTTGATTTATTGTAACGCTCTTCACACTTGGTAATTTCCTCTGGTGTAACTCTTCTCTTTGACAAATCGATATATCCTATTGTTTTATTTGTTTTTATTTTGTTTAATATAATTTGTTATTTGTTATTATTAATTATTTCTTCTTCTTCTTCTTCTTCTTCTTACCTTTTTCTTTGTCGACTCTGACTACTACGACAACCTCTTGTCTTCCAACTCTAACCAATTTAGTCAAAGATCTGATACGACGACGTGAGATTTCAGAGAGCAAGATCATACCCTCGATGTTGTTATATTCCAAAAGTGAGACGTAGACACCCATCTCACCGACAGAGGTGACGGTGACCATGACCAATTCATTCTCCTCTGGGTACTTCTTTTCGTACATACGACAATTGAAATCCGACATCTTTAAGCTTTTTGTCTTTCTCTTATTTCCACAAGAAATTCAATAGTAAATTTAATTAATAAAGATAAAAGAATGTTAAAAATGCTTATCAAATGTGATTGTCTACTAAATAGTTTTTTCGAATGTTCAAAAAAAAAAAAAAAAAATTCAATTTTTTTTTAAAAATAAAAATAAAAACTTGAGAAAAAAAAATTAATTTTTTGTTTTTTTTAAGGATTAATATCAATGTTAAACAGCATACTAATAATCTCTATGATTTGTATTAACCGATTATTTCTTCTTTTAGAATGGTTTTCTTCTTTTTTTATCAATTAGTGATAACTGCACATATTTATTGAATTTATATTATTTATGTTTATAAATAGCAAAAAAGAAGATTAAAAGCTATTTAGACTAAACAAATAAAGTTAGGTTAAGTTTATTTGATCTGATTCTCTTTTTTTTTTTTGTTCATGTCCAAAGTAATTACTTAAGAATTCTTTGATGGTTCAAAAAAAAAACAAAAAGATACAAAGAGGATATCAAAAAAAAAAAAAAAAATCAATTTGTTTTTACATTTTAAAGAAAATTAGTTATTAATTGTTTCTACAATAAACAAGTTGATCTTTCTTTTTTGATGTTTATCTGTTTTTCTTTATTATTATCTATAATTAGCAAGTTTTTTTAAAAAAACAAAAAAAAACACAACATCCAATCAAAATCATTATACCTTTTTTAAGTCTGAAAAAAATAATCTTGGGGGTTCACACACAAGCAAAGCCCTAAATTTATAACTATATTATAATTGTCGAGCACCAAGCTATTGCTCTATCAAAAATCAAAAAATAAAAAAAACTTATGGCAGAACACATTTTAATCCAATAAGAAACAAACAAACAAAACATATAAGAAAGAAAAAACAAAACCAAACCAAAGCAAAGAAAGAAAAAAAAAAGAGAAAAATTAATAGTTAGATAGAGACTCTTGACTACAAAAACAAAAAAAAGTAACAGATAACAAAAAAAAAAAAACAACATTTCACTCATAATATTGGTTTATTTGGTATTGGTTTTGTTTTTTTATTGTTTTTCGGTCTTTATTCAGACATTTTTAATATAAATAGTAATAAAAATAACTTTAGTTTGAGATATTATAATCCACTCATCTACAATAACAACAAATAAAAGAAGCAATAGAACAAACAAATCCACTGCAACAACAACTACATCAACAAAAGCAACAGTACTTCTCACTCAAAACCACCCAATAATCTAAATTAATTCCAATTTAAATCGATCACCCACACAACCCTCAATTAATTCACACAATTATCTCATTTTTATATATATTCACACACAACACACACACACAACAACACACATGAATAATAATACTATCTATCAAATCTATTGTTGGACTATTGGTGCTAGTGGGTGTGTATGTGTCAGCAAGTGAATGAGGTTTGTGAGTGTGATTGAGTGAAGACAATAATCACCTAAATTTAATTCTAATTATTCAACAGCAAAAGGTAGAGTGCAATAAAACAACATACAACAACCCATCCTCACCTATACTGAATACTGCACTATAGTTGCTTAACCACACCAATCAACAAACAGAAAAAAAAAAAAAAAAAAAACTCAAACCAACAAAACACAACAATAACACTAATAATAAGAATAATTATAACATAAAAAAAAAAAAAAAAAAACAAATATATTAAAGATAATAGCAATTCTAATTTCGCTCTCTCTGGTTTTAAATTTAGTCTCACTATTATTGCCATTGTTTTTGTTGTTTTTTTTTTTTGTTTTTTTTTTCTTTCACCATTCACCATAATAATAATTAATTAACAACACAAATACACATATAATATAATTATAGATATACACCTACAAATATTATTCGGTCTATATTGGCAGATTTGATTTTTTAAAATATTGTTATCCAATAAAATTGAATCTAGACAACATCATCAACAACAACATCAAAAATCATCATTTATTAACAACAACAACAACAATCAAAAATAACAATAACAATAACAATAATAGTAATAACAGTTAAACATTAAACAATTCCTTTTATTAACTTATCCATCAACCTTCTGTTTTTGGTTTATTTTTTTCGATATATAACCAAATTAGTTATAATTTTAGCAACAACAGATAATTATAGTTTTAGTAAAAGTAGATTGTTGTAGTTGTTGATTAAATTTAATTCTAAATAGCCGTACAGCAGCAGCAACAGTAGCAGCAGAAGCAGAATCAACAATAACAACAACACATTAACATCAATAATAGCAATAGTTATAAACATATTAAAAGTTAAAGAGTATACAGAAGAAAGGAGGATGATCATATGTGGAAATAATAATAATAATTATTATTATTGGTGTTGATCATATATAATACAATATTGTTTTTATTTATTTTGTATAATAGTAATAGTAGTAGTAATAGCAGTCAAATAAAACTATCTATTTGCGCATAGTAGAGAGAAAAAGAACAACAAACAATCAAAAGTAAAGGATTTTTTGTTGTATTTATAAAAATCAGGAAGATATATAACATTTTTGAAATTGTAGATTGAAACAACACACCCTCAATCCACTCAATTCAATTTTAAATATAGATCACACAGACAACCAAACCAACACTAAGTTCTAATTTAGTTGCACTTGCGTTTCGTCATCCTTTTATCAGTAGTCATCACTGCTTGCTTCTTCTTTGCATTATTAAAGTGCAATAAACAACAATCAATCAATCAATCAAACAAAAATCATAAACAAACAAAACAAAACAAGGCAAACAAAAAATAGATATATTTTTAATAATATAATTATATTTTATACTTGTCACATTTTAAAAATACGATATTTAAATGACTGATAGTTATAATATTAATAGTAACAATCTTAACCATCATAATAATAATAATATTAATAATATAGTCAACACTAGTAATATTATAAACTATTTTAGTTGTAGTAGTAGCAGCATCAATAGTTGTCAAACTTCAACAATGCAAAATCAAGATATAATCAATAATAGCAGTCAGATTGGTGTGGTGGCGAGCGATGGTGATTCAAGCAAGTCACCGGTAACAGTCACCAAGTCAACTTCGTCATTTATGAACAAAAGAAAGTTTGGTCTCACTATCAATCTCGAGAACAATTCCGACACCGACAAGATCGACTCTACCAATATATTTATTGTTGACTCGTCCAACAAAGATGAGTTGCAACAACAATCACTTTCACCTAATACCATCATTAGCCAGCAACAGTCAAGCAGGTCACCAAACAATTTGCATCTCTCACCCAATTCCTTTTCACTTGTAAATAATAATGTAAATTCACTCTCATTGAAACTAAAGATAAATACCAAGCTGCTGCTGTCAAAGCAGAGCAACACCGGCGGTATTGGCGGTGCGGGCGCATCATCGGATGAGCCGCTCGAGAGTAGTCGTTGGCTGGGCTGCGACTCTGACAAAATCAAGATATACGATCCGATCTGCTCCAAAGTCTGCGACTACCTCTTCATGGGCTCGGAAACAATCGCCAGCGACTACGAACTGCTGCGACGCCACGGAATCACACATATCATCAATGCTTCACAACAATGTAAAAATTACTTTGAGGAGCATCCCGAGCGTCCCTTTATCTACAAGAAGTTTCCACTGCGCGACATCGCCACGGAAGACATTGGCGCAGTGTTTCCACAGGTCATAGAATTCATAGAGTCCGCTATAGCGTCGAACGGCAAGGTGTTTGTTCACTGTCAGATGGGTGTCAGTCGCAGTCCTTGTCTGTGCATGCTTTGGATCATGCACTCGAGGCGGTGCTCGTTTGACGACGCCAACGACGCGGTCCGTGCGATCCGTCCAATCAGTCGTCCGAACGCCGGCTTCCAACTGTGCCTGATGAACTGGGCAGTCAAAGAAGGTCTGCAAGAACCCAATAGTTTTCGCTCGGCAACCACAACATCGTCGTCGTCTTCAATAAGCAGCAACAATTCTTCACCACTTTTGTCACCGTTGAACTCACCGAAACTCGCATTTTCCAGTCTGGCAATACACTCGCCGCATCATTCACCGCTGAGTGGCAGCTCCAACAGCATACAACATTTCAATAGTATACCCTCCTCACCTTCGTCATCTTCACCGAAAATCTGTAAATTACCAAACACCAACAACACTTCAAACGCAACTCCAACCTCACCATCGTGTGCTCCAACCATCCCATGGGAATTTTCACAAAACTCCAATACCTCCATTCCTTTATCGACGGCAAACCTAATAATAGATCAATAGCAATAACAACAACAATAATAATAATAATATTAAAATAAAGAGTAGACTATATTATATAAATATATATATTTCAAATTAATATCTAAAAGATTCATTCAATCATCATCATCATTTCTTTTATATTGTTATATAACTATATTAAGATTTATTAATAATAATCATTTTGATTTTAAAGTTTTTTGTTTTTTTTTTTTTTAGGTTTTCCTATATTCTTCTTCTTCTTCTACTACTAATTATATTCAAACTTAATCTGCACCTGTCATTCTCTTTACTTTTAACATAACACTGTCTTTTGATGGGTCATATGGGTGATCCTTTGATGGAATCTCTAAAATAGTTGGGATAACTTGATTATATTCATCGATCAATGGTCTAATCTCATCTGCAATCTATATACATAAAGATAAGAAAAGAATACGTTCGTTAGAATTCTTTTGAGTCTACAGTAAAACGTTTACTTAAGTTGTAGAGTAGAATCTATTGTGGTATCATACTTTTTGTGAAATCAAAATGATGGCAATGTCATTTCTTTGGGTGAAGTTTTTAAATGATTGTTCGATTTTAGAGATTGAGGTTTCTATACATAACAATGAATGAATGTTAATAATTAATAATGAGATCAATGATCTATCATAATAAAACTGGTATAATTAACACATACTGTTGTCAACTACAAGGAAATTTTCAGTCTTTTTCTTATCTTTTTGACCACAACCAGCCAAAAGGAAACCTGTAACGATATCCTAAAGTAAACAGATAAATAAAGAATATTTGATATTAATAAAAATGTTTTGTTTTTTCATAGTTTGTCGTTTTCATTCATTCATTTATCTATTCATCCTATTTATAAACAAATGTCATTTATAAACATATATCCTTTATCAAATATGATGCTCTATTAGCACAGACTGATTCCAATAGAATCGATCTATATATATATATTGATTGTTTACTCATATCATATTATCTAATTTTATGACAGCGTTTCTGCTACTGATTTATTTGTTGTGTAAAGATATCTATCATTTCGATGGTGATTGCCAACTGAATGTTATATTGTAACTGATCGAACATAAATGAATGAATGAATGAATGAATGAATGAATTATGATTTATGATTCTTACTTCATCACCAATTACAGCGACCAAAGCATTCTCTGTCATATTCTTGGCAGCCATTTTATTTCTTTTCTATATATATATTTAATATTATTAAAAGTGAAATGTACAACTACAATAATGTCGGGAAGAGAAGAGAGATAGATCTATCTTGTTATAATTAAATATAGAATAAAAAAATGAAAAACAAAAAAAAATTAAAATTAAAAAAAAAAAAAAAAAGGCTAATTGCGACAATAATAGTGAGAGAGAGAGTGAAGCGTAGGAAGGAAAAGAAGTCTCTCACACAGTCAATACATCTGAAGCCTGAAAAAAATCAAAAAAATATTATTTTTTTGTATTTTTATCATTTTGTTATGAAGCAGCCACCTTGTTTCGTCAAAAAACTAAAACAAAAAAAACTAAACAAAAAAATGCTTTTGAAAAATCTCATGAGAACAGACCAGGATTGATACAAAAGTCAAGCAATTCACTGGGTATTCACACAAAATGGAGCAATTAATTAATGATTTTATTTTATTTACAAATGTGTATTTTTATTTGCAAATGTTAAATTGAAAAATGAATAAAATTCAATATAAATTATAACTACTATCTTACATTATTATTACTTTCAAAATAATAAATGTTTTGTAACATAGAAACCATCAATTTTGTCATATTATTATTATAATAAATAAATATGCCATATCTTTGTTTGTTTTTAAAGTATTGATAATAAACTTTTATTTAGATAAAAATGACATTTTTATAGTAACAAAATCTTTAAGCTATATTATTGTACTTATTTGTGTAATCTAAACTTTATTCGAGTAATAATACATATTCCTGACGAATTCATTACCAATAATATTGAATCTTAATAATTATTTAATTTAATTGATTGTTTGATTTGAAATCAATTAAAAAACATTATATTATTGAAGTTCATAAAAACTAGATGAGCAAAAATTTTTTAATTATTTAAAAAAAAATATTATAAAAATGATTAAAAAACTTGTTTGAACATCACCACTATTTTGAATTAAATTACTTTTTTTATTTTATTTTATTTTTAATAAATTTATATATTGTATTATCAATTTTTCAAACTATTTGTACACAGTTATATAAAAAGATATGTCATCGAAACACTTTAGATTTCCAGTATTTGGTCAAGTCGACTACTTTGGTCAACCACAACACTCGGCAGCTTCATATACACCATCAGAAGAGAAACAAAGAACAACGTATGTGTCTATCTTTAATTCAAAGTTAATAATAAAGTGAATTATCTTTTTTTTTAAAGATAGAAATAAAAGATAGTTTATTTTATTTTATTTTATTTTATTTTGACAAATATATTAATTTAATATATTTATTTATTTAGTGATCCAATTGTAACAGGTTCATCTGTTATTGCTATCAAATATAATGGTGGAGTTGTTATGGGATGTGATACATTGTGTTCCTATGGTTCGTTGGCCAGATTCAACAATATCCAGAGAGTCAAACAGTTTGGTCCAAAGACTATCGTTGGATACAGTGGTGAACACAGTGATTTCCAATCGATCACTCAACTTCTAGATGATTTAGTGTAAGTTGACATAGTCTGTTACGTGGACACTCTCTTTCTATTATGATAGATAATGAAGATACTAACATTAATATTGTTATACTTTTATAGTATTGATGATCAATGTATAGATGATAAATCTCAACTTAGCACAGAGGAGATCTGGAATTATTTGGCACGTGTACTTTATAACAGAAGAAACAAAGTCGATCCATTGTGGAATAATCTCGTAGTTATGGGATTCGATAAGAAAACAGATAAGAGGTATGTTAATGTTATTGTTTTCGGCTAGTTGTTTAGTTGATTGCTTAATATACTAATGAAATAAATGCATATCTAGCTTTTTGGGTAAGGTAGATCTCTATGGTACATGTTTCAAAGACGATTATATTGCAACTGGATACGGTCAACACATTGCTTTGCCATTGTTAAGAAAGGCTTACTCACCAGATATGACTTTGGAGCAAGCACAGAAATTGATTACCGATTGTTTGCGTGTTTTGTTCTACAGAGATGCAAGATCATCAAAGAGAGTTCAACTTTCATACGCCAACGCCAACGGTATGGAAATCTCTGCACCAATCGAATTGGAAACCTACAACTGGGATATCGGTGAAGCCGCTGTCAAGTCATTCGACCAAGTTTAATTTAATTAACATAACAAAACAATAGCAATAACATAATCATAATAACAACAAACAATTTAGTTTAGTTACCTTTTTTTAAATTAACATAGCAACAACACATAAATCATATAACAAACAACAACAACAACAACAAACAACAAACAACATGAACTTAATAGTTACATTATAATATATAATCATTCATTGAAAAAATAAAATATTTTAAATTTGTACAAATTATTATTTTAGTTGTTTTATTATTATTAATTTAAAACAGTTTGTTAGATTGGTTAAGGTTATGATGTTTATCTTGATATGATATCATGGTTTATAGTTCTTTCTTATGAAATCTCTTGATCTAAGATCGGCTTGTCTAACTGGTTCTGGTACTCTGTTGGTTGTTGTGCATGCTCTGATGATTTTGAGTGAGGAATCGAGTGAGAGTCGATGGCCTTGCGAGATGAATATAGCGTTGGTACTATTGCTATGACTGATGACAGCAGCACCCCAAATCTTACCGGATTCACCTTGCAACGGTAGATAGTCGCCTGCACTCTTACAGTGTTTGGCAACGTCGAGTTTCACTTGTTTACTGCTCATGCCATCGACGCAAAAGAATGTTTTGCCGACACCTATCGTTGGCAGATCCGCCAGAACACCGAGATGGCAGGCCAGTCCAAAACCACGAGTATGTAACATTCCGTTGCCATCGACAAGCAATACCTGTGGGAAGAGTTCAGGTCGCTCCGTTTTGATTCGTTCTATCAGTGGTATCAACGAGGGACACTCTCTAAACGCCAAAAACCCAGGAATATATGGAAGGGTCAGCTTTACAAACTCATAGATCTCATAGACGACCTTTAGCGATGGATACTTTAAAATTACAATCGATGCACATGCATCCTCCATATTATCTTTTACAAAGCTAATATCTACACCTCCAACATATCTTAGTTTATTACTTTTATTTGGTGTTGTAGAGGCTGCTGCTGTAGATGTTGTAGTAGTAGCAGTAGTAGTAGTTTGTTCTTCTTTTTCATCATCATCATCATCTACCTCTTCGATATCTATTTTATCTTCTTCTGTTTCATCAGATGTAGTAAAAGGTATTTCAAAATCTACATTATCTATTTCAATCATCTGTTGTTTCAAATCATTCTGTACACTAAATTTTATTCAACATTATAATAGATTTAATAAATCAATCTTTTTAAAAAATCATACTGGTCATACTTACTTTTTCCATTCATTTTCAAACTCTTCAAATTCATTTGTTTTCCCTTCTTTGCTCGCATTTTCGCGCTCATTGCCACTATTTTCAACTCTTAATAAATACTCCATTATTATTATTCGACTTTATATGTTTTAATGAATTACATGTAGTCAATGAATTAATTGCAAATTGACTATTTTTTTTTTTTTTTTTTTTTGTTAAAAATGAAAGAAATGATATCCCTCTGATTATTTCAAATGAATATGAACTTACATGGGTATGTCCAAGAAATTAATTATTCTTCACTCAATTCAAAATTTCGATTCCAAAGGAAATAAACCAAAATATTGATCATTTTTGAATTTAAAAAGACATAGAAATAATTAATTTATTTCAATAAGTTGTGTTATGTTAAAATTAACATGGGCTCAAAGAAAGCTAAAAAAAAAAACAATTGGGAAATGTGAATGACAAAAAAAGCCAAAAGATGAAGATAAATGTCTCTTTAATATTTGTAATTACAACGATTGTTTTTGATTGAGATAGATTTTCAGAACGATCAAACAGCACTGACTTGATATCTTAGCTCGATAAAATTCTCTTTTGTTTCGCTCACATGTTTGTCAAGATATTTTTGCAAACCAACAAAAAAAAAAACAATCACGTTTCTCTTTTATCTTTTTGCACATTGGTGATGATCATTGCTTTTTTGTTTTTTTTTAGCTATTAATAACTCACGACAATATCACAAAATGATTGATCTTTGCATTCCAATCTTCATTGTATCAATAAAATAAGGAACGAACGAATCAAAAAACAAAACGAATATAATATCTCTCACAGACTAAATCAAAAAATGCACAAAGTAATTACTTTGTTTTGATAAAAGCAATGATCATTTACATTATTGTTTAAAAATTACAAATATTTTAATAGATAGATAATAATTAACGTTCATCTTATTGTTATTATTATCTAATTATATAAAATATTTAAATTATTATTATAAATAGAATAGGATTTTTGTTTTTGCAACAAACAACTTTATTATTATTTTAATTTATTTAAACAAAAAAAAAAAAAAAGTTAATTTGTTTAATTCAAATTATTCATTAAGCAACATCGAACGATGGCAGTAAATAGGAAACTGTTATTGTCATTAACGTTGTTGTTGATGACGCTGGTGGCGTCAACATATGCCGCTACCAAACTTAGCTTTTTCCTTTTAGATATAGAAAAAGCTGTCACTCCAGGATTTCAGTGGTTTGTTTTAAACTCGGGTGTCGACTTTGTGGCTGAGGGTCTGTTAGATATAACAAAACTCAAAGTGGTATTTGCCCATACTGGATCACCAATGACCTGTCAAAACATTAAAGCATCCAGAAAAAATGCCAAAAGTACTTTTCATGTAGAATGCACATTGACATTCTGTGGAACATATGATATCGAGTTTGGAAAAGAAAAATTCAAATATATTCATTGTAAGTATTATAATATATTATGTAAATAATTTTTATTTTTATTTTTAAATAAGAATACTTGAATTTATTATTAACTTATTTGTTTATTGTTTTGTTAAACAAGATCCAACTAATATGAATGTACCAAGTAGATTATCAGTTGGAGCAACAACGATTTTTACAGCTGACAATGTTCGTGGTATCAAGAATTACACTTTAGATGGCATCGTCGGTACCACTTTCATCAATTACATCAATGAAAACACTATGAGTTTTCAAGTTCCGGTCGGATTCCCAATTGGCAACAATAATTTAAAATTCTTTGGACGTCGAGACGAATTATTGTTTGGACCACTCAAAGTCCAACTATTTGGTATGTCCAACTTTTAGTTTTGTAAATTTCAATCCAGTCATTTTTATTAAATTATTTTTTATTACTTTTCAGCTATATCTCTAGACATGGTTGAGGTCGTTGACTTTGTTGATGTTCCAACTATAAAGATCACTGGTAAAGGTTTAGAAAATTTGGGTTCTCCTCCAATCGTCAAAATGACTGATACCACTGTTAATCCTCCAGTCGTTACCAATTGCTTTGTCAAGGGTAAGTCAACCTATAACACCATACTTTGCCATCCAACAGCCACAATGCCTAGATCCTACAAAATCCAAGTATATTTAAATAAATATGGAGTGGACTTGAGCCAAGACGATTTTAAATTTCGTATGTATTATTATTTTAAATAGAACAGTACCATTCTATCCTTCCTTATTAATATTAATTCATTTATTTATTTCCATAAACAATATCTATATAGATTCATCGCTTTTTATTAGAGATAGAGTATTTAATCCAACCGCCCAAAAAAATATAATGGTAGTCTATACTAAAGAAATTGTCGCTGGTGTCGCACCGCAATTTTATGCTTCCACAAAATTACTCACATCCAATCTTCTGGCTCCAAAGGTATTGATATTTAATGACTATTATTATCAAATCAATGTCGACATGCCAGCAGAAACAGATTTTTCTTCACCAAATGCAAACCATCAATATGATATCGTTATGGTTTGGTCACCCAACCCACCCGTAGTCATTCCAAGTACATCCATTCCAATTTCATTCTCCCAATCCAATCCTGTCATTACCAAGATCTATCCGCCCGCTGCCAGATACTCATTCCAAAATTTCGCTACCGATCCAGTGGTAACACAAATCACCATCTATGGAACTGGATTCGATTCTAGAATCGCACCACAAATTCAGTTCACTGGAGAAGGTCCTTTTACAGGAACATTCGATTGTGAGACCATTCAAATCAGCACTTCTTATCTCACTTGTTTCATCAAGAGTCAATATGAAATCGATACCAAAGTCCGATTAATCTATAATAGTGCTATTCTATCTGCTCCATTCCCATTCACTTTCTTTGGTCTGTCTTGTTTAGGTCGTTCGCCAGACCTCAACGTTCCGAATCTTCCAGTGGATTGGTCGTTTACCTATAAGTTTCGTCAGAACGATAAGACACCGATTGATGAAAAAGACAGTTATCTCTATATTGACAATAAATACGATCTCAATGTCGAGCGACATCAAGGATTGACCGATATCACCAGATCATTATCACCAATGGCAGCGACATTCGATCAAATCAAATATGGTTATTCCTATTACTTCTACAATGATCAGGTTGGAATGCGTAACCCCGACGGTTCCATTGTGAATCCCAGCGTGGATCCACTCCACCTGCACAGTATTTATAAAAATTCCGACCCTGGACATACCAAAGGTTTGGTTATTTACGATCACGATACTGGAAGTGGTCTTCACATTATCCATTCGCAACCCTACTGGCCAGCTTTCACATACAACGGTCCGAACGCTCCGAACCCCGGTGTTCCATTCACAAAAAAGGCGCCATATGATTACTATGAAATCAATACACCTAATTGGCTTGGTGATAAAAATCTGAATCAACATTTCTATTGTTATACTTTCGGTCCTTCTAACGACGATAAGACTGGAATCAATATTGTTTCTCAATACATTGGCCAGAATATGCCATTGATATTCCAATCGGTCAACAAGGGAGTCGCAACACGATTCACATTACTATACAAACTCATAGCTACCGGTAGTACAAACGATGGTACTACACTATCAATACTTCCCATTAAGAGAGTAAGTCTGTTGATTAATAATATTTTTTGTTAATTTTTAATTGGACATTAACGTTTTGCTTTATTTTCCTCAATTTCTCTTAGATTTGTGATCAAGCAACTTCCACACCTCTCACAGACCTTAAGGATAAATGCTGGTGGCACACCGACATGACAACTAAAAGCGGTATCCCATTGAATATCTTTTCCAAATCATCAAATACTTACCATGAAAAGAATGTTATTATGAAGGCGGCAAGTCATGCCCAAGGTGCTCTTAATGTAGAGAAAGATCCCAATATAAAGTACCTATTGAAGGGTTTCGATATCTATGAGAAAATGCTTGAAACTTTTAATCCGCCTTCCGTACCACTTATACCTGAACGACCGTTTTTTGTTCAGTCTCTTCAGATGGGTGGTTCCAGGAGAGCTTACCAAAGAGTGGATCCTCAAAAATTATTGGCAAATGTAGAAGACTCTCTGGAAACCTACCGTCCTGAGTATCTTCAGGAGGGCTACGTTCACCATTCCGACAGAGACCATTCCAAACTGATGTTTAACATGCGTCCACAACCATGGTCAAACGAAAGGTTTGACAATATTTTCTGTGCAGGTGACAGCAATCGCCATCACGGTCAAGGTATACGTGGAGGTGGTGCAGCCTGTTTCGTCAGCAAGGAGCTAGTTAGCTATTTTACGAACAGAGTTGGTCGTTATTCCAATATTAACAGAGGCGCTTTACAGCATACATTTGTCATTCAGTCACACAAAATGAGTACTCTTCCCACTTGGTTAAGAATGGCCGTGATCAGCATAAAGATTACGACCTCAGATCTTATTCCTACAACAATACCAGAGGGTAGCCTTTTTGAAACTCTCCGGCAAGTAGCATTCGATGGAGTGACAAACGAGATTATTCCAACTTATCCAGCAACCTTATCGGTTTTGGACAAAAAAGAAACTTTCTCAGTGACCATTCCTATTTACCGTAGTTTGCCAAGTTCGCAATTCGAGTGGGCTCTAACGTGGCCAGTCAAAACCAAATCACATGTCCACCCAATTATTATCAGACAACTGATGGCAATGAAAACCCCAAAATTTGAATTGTGTTATTGCGCTGCCGAGCCATGTAACCTTGCTAATGCCATGCGTCTTGATACAAGAATAGATGTTGCCAGTGGCGACCTATTTGAGGATGTTTCATATTATGCATTGCAGACATACCAAAATTACTTATCATATGCTGTACCAGCAGAAAATCCATTGATATTTATCAACGAATATCTAAGATTAGTTCAAGACAAAATTCTTTTGCCAAGTATTCCAAGCTTTGTTATAGTGCAATCAAATGGACCGACCAGATTACAAAATAATATTCTCTATCTTAAAGATTTGACATGTAAAGAGGAAGTCGCATATGCATTAACCTTGAAGATTATTGATACACTTTTGCTTGGTAAAACTGATGTTGACAAAGTAGTTCTTCAAGGAATGGCATGGGCAGTCTCCAAAGTTTTAACCAACGTATGTACATAGCTATTATATTTAAATTTATTTTAATCCATTGTTATACTTATTGTTTTATTATTTACTATTATTTTAGTTAGTTACCCTACAAGGTGGGTCAATAGTAAGTGAATGTTTCTCAGAGAATCCAGAAGGTGTGGCTGGTATTGATTTAGAGGGCTCACAAAATAGAATCCCTCCTCCGACTGCATATTGGTATGCTGCCACATTTTGGGATTGGATGGATATATTGGATGATGATGATAAGGGTCCTTATCCTAAATCAAAGATCGGTGATTCCAACAAACCAACGTTAATTCCATGGATCAATTTCTTAGTAAATGTTCGATCTTGTCAAACTATCAAGTCGCTCTATGATTCATTGGGTGGATTCCTAAATACAGCAAATAAGAATATCATGTTTTATAATGGATATAGAGATCCTTCAGTTCCTCCTGCACCAGTAGTTCCTCCTGTCATGGCCAGCCGTTTCAATTTATTATTCCAATTAACATCGGATAATATCCCATCTTATACCTCTGATGTTCTCAAAGAGTTATTAGTTGATCCAGGTTATTTCACCATAGACCAATTGAATGACCTTGACCAGACTGAAATGGACAAGATTTTCGAATCCCTTGCACTTTGGCACTCCTCCAACGTGACAAACTATGGCATCAAAACGATCTTGGAAGCACCAAAGAGTTCAGCACAAGCAAACAAACCTCTTCAATTCTTGTCATCTCTCCTCCTCATTAATCCATTGGAACCATTCAGTATTTGTGAATCATCAGATCCATCGATCTTGAGATTATGTGATCCATTCTCCTTGGTTTCACTCACCAATCTATTGCAAACTCATATCTATTCTCACCATGAGCTACTATCATTGGAATCAGACCTAAAGTTCTATTACATTGATAGTAAAACAGCAGGATCACCGGTGTTGGCAATTGCAACACTCAAAGGTAGAATATGTGATTTCACACTTGTCACACCACCACTGAACACAATTCAAATTCAAGATAGTCTTTGTTTGGGAAGTGGTCCAGTCATTTATGGTGTTTCTGCCCCCAGTTTGAGACCAACCAACGGTAACTATCCATTGGATGTCTATGCATTCCATATCAAGCCAGGTATGATAGTGAGCATTGGAGATCAAGATTGCCTTCAATCCAACTATATCAACAGTACATACATCCAATGTGTCGTACCACCTGGTTCTGGAATTCAATTCATTTCCATTTATGATGAATCAACCGATTCATATGATTCTCAATCGACAGGGTTCACATTCTCATATGATTGTAAGTAGTTTTATTTTTGGTTTATCTTTTATTTACATTAAAACTAATTTTATTTTTATCCAAATAGTACCAACTGTTGATTCCATTTCACCAATAATTATCCCAACATCTGGATCTCAACTCACCATCAATGGTAAAAACTTTGGAACAGACAATTCAACAATTTCAGCTACCTTTGGTAATATTCGTCTAAATCTTGTATCAGTAAACCATACTAGCATTATCGTTGATATTCCAGCCGGAACAGGATCAAAATTATTCATATCGTTGAAGTTCAATGGATATACCATTCCAAACACTCTTACTTTCTCTTACCAAGTCCCAGTTATTACATCGTTCACTCCAACAACTGGTAATGCATTGGATATCTTGAGAATCGATGGTTCTGGATTCGGTGCCAATGTGACAGGTGTCAAAGTTTTTGTTGGAATCAAAGAATGTACTATTCTTTCAGTTTCAGATTCAATTATTAACTGTAGACTACCAGTTGGAATCGCCAACAAATACATTTCAATCCAAACACCAAACACCCAACTAGTCATGTCAAGCCAATACTTTAGATATAAATCATCTGTAATCAACTCACAATCGGCATCGATTCCAACACTTGGAGGATTAATGCAATTCAGAGGTAGTTCATTTGGTGACTCACTCAATGATATCGTCTATGCCAAATTTGATTCCCAAGCAATTGATTGCAAGTCATTCAACATATTCACTGAATGTATGATTCCCAAGGGTATCAACAATAACATTGAACTCAAGATTGCATCCTGTGATTATCTCAATACAACACTTGTCAATGTCTATCAAAACCCAGTTATTACATCTTTGTCAGCAATACCCCAGCTCAACTCTCTTATAATTGGAGGATCCAACCTAATTCCTAATCAATTGCCATATGATCAAAACTCATGGATTGAGTTGACCAATCAACAATCACAAATAACCAAATTCAATGAAACATTTGTTAATGAAGCCAAGATCACAGTGAGTACCAATGTCCTGCAATCACAATTCACAACCGTAAAAGTAGTAGTTGGAGGACGTCCTTCCAATGTCATGAATATTCAATACGACTTTAATGTATTTGTTCAACTTTATCAAGACAATAATTTTGATGGAATAAGACAACCAAATGAACCATTGTTAACTGGAACAGTTATCTTCTCAACTGGAACTATCAACCAAACCATTTCTATAACTGGAAGTGGAGGTGTGCTCACTACAGCGGCTGGAATCTACTCTACCATCATTAGTGTCGGTTCCAACTTCGTGGCTCCATTGAATAACTTTAAGGTTGAAGTGTTTGGTAGTATCACCAATCAATACTATATTCCAATTTGGGAAAAGAAATCTTGTGTTAAATCCTACACAGCGACCGACGGACAAACCATTGTCACACTCCAAGAAGGAACAATCAATTTGAGAAACTATGGAATTTGTTCCAATACTCAAAATTGTTTATATCCTATCACTGTTACTTCTCCACCTCAGTGTATTGCCACATCCACCAATGACGTTGTTACTATTACCCAAGGAATTCCACTTACCCTAACATTCTATATGGATAACAATTTGAATGGAATTAAAGATGCCAATGAGAATGCACCAGATCCAAATGTTATTACCATTATCTATTCAAAGGATGGAAGTGGTATTAACAATCAACAATTGGTGTCATCCGGACAAGAAACACTTTATGTTTCGAGTGGATTGCTTAAAGTTTCATTCCAATTCGATCAATATTCAAAACCAACACTCTATTCAATCGTCAGTGGTAAAGCCTATGATATTTCCGGTTCAGTATCCGATTCGTTTGGATTCTACAAATGGAACTACGATTCTGTACCACCGGTTGCATTCTACAATTCATTGAGATATAAACTATCTCTCCCAGTCGGTAAATATAATTTACAAACACTCCAGAATATGGGTTGGTCAGTTCAGAGCAATAAGATTTCCAACGGTATAATTACAGCAATCAATGCATTCAACAATAACCAAAGAGTTACATTCTCATCATCGAGCACAGATATCAATTCGGTTGTTCTCCAAACCAATGCACCATCGGAAATCTCGGTTTCACCATTCTCCAATGTTTTGATTGAAGTATCCTATATCCCAATGTTCAACTCGTTCACAGGATTAGATCAAGCAGGTGGTCAAACATCCACTGAATTCTTCTCACCCTATCTTACTCTCCCATCGATTTACTATGGTACTCCAAGCTTCAGCAATTTAATGAATTGCCAATCTATCAATGGAAATCAATCACGTTTTCAATGTATAATACCACAGGGAAGAGGAACAGTTCAATTGTCAATGAAATCAACATCACCATCACAAGAACAACTCTATCCATTCTCAGAGTACAAGATGCTCTACACAAACACTGTTATTCAAGGTACTGTCTATGAAGATACCAACGCTAACAATCAAAAAGCTTCTGATGAAAATGGTATTGCTGGAATTGTTGTTAAGCTTGGAACCACATTTACAACAACCACCAATGCTGCTGGTTTCTATTCGTTCACAGTGCCTTCAGACCAATCAAGTTATGTACTCTCTGTTGTTTCAACAGCCACCTTTCTTCCTACCAACCGAAATTACAGTCAATCCAACTCAATTGGTAAATCAAAACATTGGACTCCTCAGATACGGTAAGTTCAGAAAATGAACAATTGATTCAAATTTATCATATTAATTTTTTATTTATTTAGATACAAAGAAATGTCAAGTAACACTCACCTCAGGTACTAAAACAATGTATCTACAATATGGAACGTTTAACCTTGCAGACTATGGTTGGTGTAACCCTCAACTTAGTACAACATGTACAATGAGTGTGATTTCAAGTACAACTCCACCAGATTGTGCTGTAGATTTCAATAACCTCTCCTATGTCAGAGTTAGATATGCCAACCTTGTCAATTTAAATCTCTACATTGATCAGAATTTGGATAATATCATCAATGATGGTCCTTCACCAGGATTATTCGAACTAACAGTCACCAAAATATACAATTATTTCCCGGACAATTCATATTCTTTGGTTACATACACCGGAAGCACTAAAGCAAATATTGATGTTACAAACAAAATTATGGTTGAATTTACACCAGTCATCAATACTCGACCAGTGGTATCTGGTTCTACACATATTATAACCAATGGTCAGACTTTGAAATTCCCATTCTTCAAATACCAATACTCAGCTCCATCTCAGAAATTCTTTGACCAACCAGGTAACACTGGTCAAACACTCGAACTTCCAATTGGAGTGTATGAAAATGGCTATCTCTCTGGACTCCCAGTGTCTTGGGTAAACAAAGTGAAATCATTCACAGTGGCCACATCACTCAAAGTTTTATTAGTCTACAATGCTAACTTACCAGACTCTTATGGTGTTGTATATACTGAAGGACAACAAGGTGTTCCATCGCCAAATTTGTTGAAATTCGTTATTTTCTCAGATACCGCACTGGTCACAAACAACATCAATATTCCAAACACTGGTGGCTCGTTCATAATTAACAATTGGTCAAGTCAACCTCCACAAGTTAGATATTGTCCATATACCGATGCCCCATATTCAATTTGTCCACAATTAGCAGACCAATCTAAGTATCAATGTTCAATTCCCGCTGGTACCTATAACTGCAAAATCGAAATTAAATATGGAAATTTAGAAATGTATGGAAACTACCAATTCACCAGAATTGCACCCACGATCACAGGATTTGTCAAACAACCATCGAGAACGTTTTCCACCGAACTTTTGATCAAAGGTGAAAACTTCCCCCCATCACAAGAACTATCTTCTTACTATTCATATGAATCTTCCGTGAAAATAGGTGCATTATCTTGTGAATTGCTTTCATTCATCAACTCCACCACTATCTCATGTTTAACAGTTGCTTTTGGAAATTCTCTTCCTGATGCCAGTGTCATCTCCTTGAGAATAACGAATCAACCAAATACTTACACCTATAATTTCAACTTCCTTTGTAAATATTTATAACACTTTTTCAAGGATATGAATTTAATTATACTTACCCTTTTGTTTAATTTTAATTCATTAATGAATAGCTTCGAAATGTGCTGGTGCTCAGATTAAAAATGGATTCGCAACATATAACTATGCAATTGGAACAAGTACAAACACTATATATACCTTTGATACTCTGGTTTGTTCGTGGTTCTGCTATTGCACTGTTGCCATGGATTGGCCTGCAAATAATCAAGATTGGAATGTTGCTATGAACTCAATGACATACTCTGCACCTAGACCAATATCATTTAATATGTATCTAACTGTATCATGTAAGTATTTTAAAATCTATTTGCACCTGATAAATAAACTAACAAATCAATTAAAAATAGATGCAAAATGTATTAGTATTACTCTTTATCGCATGCCAGGTACACCTCGTCCAATCCCAAGAACCTTTGAGAAGGGAACTTATACATTTGATGCCGCCGAAGGTATGTATGCATTGATAACTCCACAAATCGGTTGCAAAGTTATCTTGTTTTTGGATGACATAACAGCACTCAATGTGGTTTCATCATTCGATCCACTAAATTTCCCCAACTACCGATGGAAATCGACACCACTATCCAAAATCATTATTTATGACTCCGATGATTATTACGGTGGTAACCCAGTGACACCAACCGGACCGCTTGTTTCTTCACCACCTCTACTTGGAATGGCCCAAGGTAACTTCAAAAAAACTTTATAGTCTGCTTTGAATCCAAACAATAAATATATCTTTTAATAGATCACCTAACTGATTGACGTATTACTATTATTTATATTAACAACAAACAAAATCTATTTAAACGAACTTTAAATATGGGTACAATCATGATCAAAAAATCGACATAAACTCTGTCATTAGAGGGTACCTACGTAGGTAACTAAGTGAGAAACAGAAAAAAAAAGTTGGTTGAAAAAAATTGATTAATTTAAATATGAAAAAAAAGAAAAAATCAATTACAATATTTACCTTAATTTTGAAATTATTAAAAAAGGTGACTGGTGACAAAATGATCAGTCTTGTGTAATTTTATTTTAAATTATAAAAGCTCGTCAAGATGTTTGTAATTTAAGATAGTGGAAGTCAGCAATGTTAAAACATTATGAGCGTCTATGCCGTACTTCTTACTAAACTATTTTCTTTTTTTTGTGTCATTTCTACAGCTTCAAATAATGCCTATTAATAATTTATTTGTTAGTATATTGTATAGCTTGGTAATTCAATTGAGTATACTCACTTTAATATTGCCTTTACCAAATCCAACGGCTCCCGAACGTTTAATCATTTCAAAAAAGAATGTTGGAGTATCACATATTGACTTTGAAAAAATCTAGATTGATTGCAAGCAGTCTCTGTTAGTTATTATTTGTAAACATAAAAAATAAATACAAATTTATACATACTTGTAATATATAATGATCATTCTTTTCTTTTGTAGTTGAATAATCAGAATCTATCAAGACTTTGTATTCGTAGAGATCATTGATGGTTTCTTTCGAGAGAAGTGGAAGTACCGTATCCAATTCCTCTCTCTTTGAAAGATTTTGATAGTAATAATCAGGTGCCTCTATAAACTCTAAAAGATGTCTTCTTGCATAGTCCACTGCTTCAAATATATTGTCTGTATAGAAAGCCAAATGTTGAATACCGGATCCTCCATTGAATTTTACAAACTATTAATTAATTAACAGAATAAAATGATTAATAATTTGAAACATTTGAAATTATAAATAAATCTACTAACAACATACTTGTTCAACTTGACCTTTTCCATCAACTGCAGCTTCACTTATTACCCACATAATGGGTGGAGTTGTTAGATTTACGCTGGAAACTGGTTGGTTTGATAGTACAACCATTTTAAGACCGATATCCTCTTCGACTTTGATGTTAAAATAGTTTTGTGATTCTACGACTTTGTGTTGCTTTGATCTTGAGTGCTCGTCAATGAGTTGCGCAACTCGAGAGTCTTCTTTTTTGTTCTTACCAGCCTCGACCTCCAACAAGTTAAATCCCATACAACGACTGTACCAATCTATGCATTTCTCCAGCTGACCATTCTTGACACAAGTTGCAACATGATCCATATGAATACTGAGAGGAAAACTTGGTTTGCTATAATGTTTGAATTGAGTTGCATCCAATGGATCAAAGTCTGGATACAAACTAAGAATACTTCCAATTAAAGTGTCCTTAGGTGCCGCCGGTCTTCTTTGGATAAAAACATGGTCGACGTCTTGGAATGGCGACTGGATAGTAGCGGTTTTGAAGCCTGAAAATGGTGACGTCGGTTTGACAACTGGAACGGCACCACCACGTACTGCAATGTCATAGTAATGTTCAGCGTCAGTACAGTTGAACGCTATGGTCTTTATGAAATCACCATTGTGACTCTGGCGCAACGAATGGAACTGGTTGTCCTCCGACGAGATGGAGGTGGTCACCACAAATGAAAGAGTGTTGAGATACTGTCCATCGATGACGTTGAACCGATTGAGATCTGGTGAGTTGACAACCAAGTATTTGACACGTTGGAGTGTACGCTTTACGCCAATTGGATGATAATTAAGTGGTTGAAGAAATGATTTTATAAAAGATTTCGAGTTTGACACCCAAAACTCTATATAATCAAGATTTCTTATACAATTATTATTATTATTTTCAATTTCTATCATTTTTGGATTGATTTTGATTTTTTTGTTATATAAATAATTTTTTGGATTGGATTGGATATTATTTTAAAATTGAGTTTTAGATAGTTAGAGGTTATATATATATTTTCATTTGACTAAAACTTGGTTTGTTTAGAAATGTACTATTTATGTGGTTTTAAATACTTTAAAAACTTGAAGTAATAAATAAAAAAAATGTAAAAATAAATCACCTGGAGTCTAACGGTTAATCAATTGGGAGTTAGTATATCTTTCAAAAATTAGATCTTAATTGGAAATTATATAATTGAATTCATGCAAAACTTACTCTGTATCTCGAAGAGTCCAATAATATGTAACTATATAAATCTGTTATAAATATAGTTGATTCTTTTGAACAGCAGAAAAAAAATAGTTCTGTGTGGATGGATAGCCCCAAATTTATTTTATTCTCATTTAAACTCCAAGGAATTTAAAGTATGGTCAAAGATTTTTTTTGTTGTTGTCGTTGTTGTTGTTGTTGTGGTTGTGGTTGTTGATGTGGGTTGTTATGGTTGTTGTGTTATTGTTATGGTTGTTATGGTTGTTATGGTTGTTGTGTTTGTATGGTTGTTATGGTTGTTATGGTTGTGTTTGTTGTCGTGGATGTTGTGTTTGTTATGGAGGTGTGGTAGTTGTTACTGAGTTGTGGTTGCTCGAACTGAGTTGAAAGAAAGAGATTGGGAATCTATCAACTTTTAAGAGGCAAACACTCAAATGTATTTGCAGTATTCTTAATTTGAATTGTCGTATTAGATACTATATTAAAATTGAAATAAATCTTATTTAGCAAACTTTCAATTAATTTTGAAGTTGGAGTGTATTAGATGCTATATATATTGTGTGAAAGTGAAAAGTATATCTGAATTTTAAACTTTCAATATTATTATTATTCTGCTCTATGTATGTTGTGGGCCAGCTGATCTTTTTGCTATTATTATTACTATTATTGCTATTGTTATTGTTATGATAGTGTGTTTAGATACTATGCTATTTGTAAACACTGCTTTTTGCACATTTATATATATACTTCTATATATATATATTTGATAATAGCTTGCTTGTTATAGATGTTTTAAGCGATATAGTAGTGAAACGAAATAAACGAGTCAGTGTCTACAATTAAAAGAAGACGGGTGTTCAAAGTTTGAATTAATTTGAAGATGAAAAAATGATACATTCTAAAGCCAATAATGTAAAATCATCACCCAAAAAAAAAAAAAAAAAAAATCATCTTTTTCACTTTTAAAAAATTTTTTTTCAGCAATTTTTGATTGCACATTACACAAAATAAACTCGTGTTATACACATAACAAAATCGTCATTTTTTTTTATTCCACATTTGTACAATTATGAAAAGACAGATATCTCTTTAGCAAGATTTAAAAAGTTTAAATTTATTATATATTTATATATCAATAAAGTTAAATTTACATTTATTATATTATTAGTTAAAATAATTGAGTCATTTCAAGCTTCTCCATTATCTCTACAATTGTTTCCACAAATGTTTCACCATTTTTCTTTTTCTTTATTTCTGAAAGGGTGGTAGTGTTGCTGTGTGAATTGACCATCATATCATTGGTTTGACACACCACACTGTCTAAATTTGTATTTATACACAACAAAGATAGTTTATCACATTTATTATTGGGTATTACTTTAATTTTGTGATTTTTTTTGAATCTAAGGTTTTATTCCCTGAAATCTGCTAGATTGATAATATAAAATATTTAAAAATAAACAGCTTAACAAAACAAAATGATATGAAACGATACTGTGATATTAAAATATAATTGTTCAATCTATACACAGTAAATCATAATATCATTATGGTTTACTGTTTTTTATTCTTTTGTAACAATTTCATTATTCTCTGAGGAAAACCAATTGTCATTCGCAAGAAGAACTTCTTGAAGAATTGATGACGACCAAACAAAGTTCCCCAGAACAACAGTACGAATGGGTAGCAAGTGAACATCGTAATAAAGTACGCTGCAGTGAATTGCCATGGTCCACCGAAAACAGTGCCCTCTACGTGCCAAAGATTCTTTAGGAGATAACGAACGACGTGCAAAGCCGAGGAACCAGTGATAGCGAACACTACCATTTGATAACTCTTCTCGATGATCCATTTCTTACTCCATGTTGGATGGTGTTCATATGTATTATTTAGATATCTATATAAAAATGATTTGTTTGCATTGATTCTATTTGGATCGACTACTTCACCTCCACCGTCTTGATTCTTTCCGTTAACTTCCATATTATTTTCACTGCTGCTGTTACTTCCACTGCTACTATTTGAGGTGGAGGTTGACATATTTGATATCATATTTCTTCTACAACTACTATTATTAAATAATAATGTGTGACCTAATCCAATGGATGTGTTACTACTATTACCACAACTATTAAATTTCTTAAACTGTTGATATTGCTTTTGTTTTATGTTGATATTGATATTACTATCAGTAGTGGCACTAAAATTAGATATACTATTGTTATTGAATGTGATTGCTGTTGGTAAAACAAAGGTTGATTTTGACAAACGTATACTCAATGATTGTCTGCTGCTATTTTTCAATGTGTTTAATAATTTTTGTGTGATCATTATTTTTTTTGTGGAAAAAAAAAAAGTGTTTATTGATATTTTTTTTAAAAACACAGATTTATTATTACTTATATTTAAGTAAATGATCAATTAATCATCCATAATTGGTATCATCATTCGTTTTAACAAAAAATAAAAAATTCATAAAAGTTTTTAAAAAAAATTGGAGTTGAGCGAATGACATTAAGTAATGTCGTGTGAAGTTATCATCAAAAAAGAGGTCAGTGATCACAAAATAGGAATACATAACAATTATGTATCATTTGATTCATTTCATCAACAAATCTAATATCTTTAGGATACTTTTTTATTTTTTTTAAAAAAAATATTCAGCAAATTTTTTTACAATCTTTTTTTTGATTAGTTACATTTTTTCATTTTCTTTTGTTTTATTTATAATATAGTTATAATTAATAGTATTTGAGTCGATTTCAAGTGTATACAAATATTAATAAGTCTGATTTATCATCAGCTGATGATATGACCACACAGGTCAATGAACATAATGGGTTCGAATTGGTTTTTTTCAATTTTTTTTTTTTTTTTTTTTTTCAATTTTTTTTTATGATATTTTTTGGAAAAAGACCAAATTTGATATTTGTTTTGCTGATTACTCTCTTCTTTACTTTTAATTTAAATTCTAATATATTATAATATTTGTTCATCATATTTGTTGTTGTATTTTTATAATTTGTTATTTTATTATTAATTATCATTAAGAATAGTCATGACTACACCAGATTTATCGGATCCATTGATTATGGAACATATCAAGAATGTTCAAAACGGCACTGAAAATTGGTGTGTTTTCGGTTACGTACCAAAATCCAATATAAAGATCAAGTTCTACGAGTGTGGTAACGGTGGATTGAGTGAGTTGCGTGAGGAACTCAGTGACTCATCAATTCGTTACGCCTACATTCGCTATCAGATCAACAACATGCCAAAGTTCTGCTATATCGCGTGGTGCGGTGACGGTGTCAACGGTCCAATCAAGGGATCGTTCTCCGGTCACGCCATCGAGTTTGCTCGCCACATGAAACCACTGCACCACCAGTTGAACGCGCGTAACGAGGACGACCTCGACGAGAAGGCGATCATGGCGGCGCTCACCAAGGCCACCGGTGCAAGCTACGATTCCGGTGCCAAGAATCAAGGATCGTCGCGTGCCTCTGTCGCCATCCCAACCTCGGTTGCTCAGGGTCGTATTGCCGCCACTCAATCGTCGGTGCAATCCAAGACATTCGACAAGAGCGACTACAACAAGAAGGACGAATCCGCTCAGTACTGGAAGAGTAACAACGCGCCTGTCGAGCCGGTCAAAGCCAAGCCAGAGCGTACCGACTACAACATCACAACTGAGCGTGAGAACTACTGGAAGCAACAACAACAGGAGCAACAACAAGAGCAACCAAAGCCAGCTCCATCGACTCGTCCAGCTGCCGGTGCACCAACTCGTACCGTTGCCTCACGTTTCCAAGAGGTCACTGCACAGCCATCGAATCCAGTCAAGCCACCACCACCCAAGCCAACTGGAAACATCGTAAGCAAGTTCTCACAAATGAAGGTACACGAAAGACAACCAGAACCAGTACCAGAACCTGAGCCACAATACGAAGAGCAACAACAATACTATCAAGAAGAGCAACAACAACATTATCAAGAGGAACAACAATATGATGATCAACAACAACAACATTATCAAGAAGAACAACATTACCAAGAGGAACAACAATATGATGATCAACAACAACATTATCAAGAGGAGCAACACTACCAGGAGGAACAACAACACTATCAAGAGGAGCAACCACAATATCAAGAGGAACAACACTACCAGGAGGAACAACAACACTATGAAGAGCCACAACAAGGATATGGTGATCAATCAGCAGGTTATGTTCAAGTCAAGGCATTGTATGACTATGCAGGTGAGAATGAAGGTGATCTTTCATTCGCAGTCGGAGACATCATTAATGTTTTAGATCAATCAGATCCAGATGGTTGGTGGCAAGGTGAACTCAACGGTAACACTGGTTACTTCCCAATGAACTTTGTCGAACAACTTTAAAAAAAAAACAAAAAAACAAACAATCATTTAAAAACAATTTTATCATAATATTGTTTTGACAAAAACAAAAAAAATTAAAATAAATGTATTCCTAATAATCTGATTGCACAGTACATATGTTAATTAATATTATCACTTTTATTTTACAACCACCTATTCAGATCAAGACATCTGCAAACTTTCAAGCCAGAGAAACGAAATCTCAATTACTTTTAAACTTGAATTCTTTTGTTTGAATTTTTTAAATTCTTTGAAGCGCATTGTTGTTTCTCATAGAACTCTTTTATAAAAGATTTTTATTTGATTTTTATTTTTTTTAACATTATTATTATTTAACATTTAATTGTATTATATAAAATAAATATTTACAGATAGATATCACACACAAACACATATTTATATATTATATAGATAGAGAAAAAGAAATAAAAAGAAAAACAATGGATGAAGAGTTGAATCATGTGATTGATGAGAGTAGAGCTAATTACTTGGATAAAGATAATTATGATGTAATTGTTGTTGGAACTGGTTTTGTTGAATCTTTGGTTGCTGGGTATGAATAAATAAATTAGTGATTCAATTAGTGAATTAAATCAACAATATAGGCTAATATTTTGATATAAAATATAATATATATATATATAGTGCATTGGCGAGAGTAGGTAAATCAGTATTACATTTAGATCAAAATTGTTACTATGGTGTCAATTGTAGTTCATTCACTTTGAATCAATTAAGTGATATGTTAACAAAGCCAAACGACGACAGCACTACTGCTTCTGTTGTTCAACCAATTCTAAAGAATCCTTATATCTATTATCAGCAACCACCAACTCCACCAACACCTGCACAACTACCAACACAAGTTGAGCAACCAACACCTGTTGAACAACCAGTTGCTACAGAACAACAAACAACAACAACAACAACAAATGTAGAGGAGTCAACAACATTAGATACAAATGATACTTCAGTAGAATCAACTACAACAACAACAACAGCAACAATAACACCAGTAGTTGAAAAAGAAAAAGAAAAAGAAACAGTAAAAGATGTATTTAAAGTTGGTAGACAGTTTATTATTGATTTGTTCCCATCTTTGTTGTATGCCAAGGGTGCTTTGGTTCAGTTGTTAATTTCATCGTCGACCTCGAAATACTTGGAGTTTAAGACACTGGATAAGAACTACCTTTATGCAAATGGAAAACTACATGCCATTCCATCGACAAAGGGTTCGATCTTCAAAGACAATACATTCTCATTGAAAGAGAAGCGTTATATTATGAAATTCATTGAATCCGTACGTTCCATCGTAGGTGACAATAGCTCTACTGAAGAGAATAACACAGAAGAACAAGAAAAACAACAACAAACAGGTGAAACACTAGAGTCAGTAACAAAGAAATATAAAAACTTTGTTGAATTTGTAAAGAGCTATCAGATGTCATCGAACGTTGAGACATTCATCTTGTATGGCATCTGTTTGATTCATCCGAGATCGGTAGAGCAAGTCACCGTAGAGGAAGGTATTCTTTCGGTTCTATTATACATGACATCGTTGCTTGTCTATGGTGAATCACCATTCTTGATTCCATACTATGGTTACGGTGATATTCCCCAGGCATTCTGTAGATTGTGTGCTGTCTTTGGTGGAACCTTCGTACTTGACCGTACCATCGGTTCGATCAACTTCAACGAAAACCAATACACTGGAATCACCTGCTCAGCTGGACAGCCTCTCACCTCCAAGTATCTCATTGCATCGCCATCCGTACTGTCTCCCTACATCGAAGCGGCCAACCTCCAACCCCAATACACAAAAGAACAATAGTAAGTTTTCTTTTTCTTTACGTACCTACTTTAATATATCCATAGAATCAAATTAACTTGTATAATTTTATAGTTCTAGATGTATTTTAATCACTGATAAAGTAATTGTTAATTCCAGTGAGTGTTCATATATTACTATACCACCAAATTCGATTGCCGGTAACAAGTCAACTATCAATGTCTATCAGATGGAGAATATCTGTGTTGCCAGAGGTTATGTTTTGATTCATTTCACTACTCTCTCGAATGGTGCAACTGCACGTGACGATCTAGAGGCTGTCGTCGAGACATTTGCAAAGAAGGGTTGTTTATATAGGGATATAGATGCTGACTCTAACAGCGACGCTAAAGACTCTAGACCCAATATCATTTGGTCTGGATACTTTAATATGGATTTGAACACCTCTATCGTCAATAACAAATCGCCACTCTCTGAATTGATGCCAAAAGGTATCTTTGTTAGCTCGGATTCACCAATCTCTGCGTCAATCGACTACCAATCACAAATTAACGAGGCTAAATCAATCTTTTCAATGATCGTACCTGGTGTACCATTTTTAGAGAAAGTACCCGATTCTGAAGATATCATTTGGGTAAGTAGTTAATGTTTTATCATCCTAATTATAATTTAGTTATTCTAATTTTATCATTTAGAATTCAGAAGAAGAGCAATCAGCAACCACAAATGAAACAACTACAACTACAACTACAGCTAATACTGATAATTCAAACTTAACCGAATCAAATAATAATGATGATAAACAAGAGTAATAAAGTAAGATAGATAATGCTTTTTTGTTTTGAAAAAATGAAGTGATTAAATAAAATATTTATTTAATAATGTGTGATTATATGTAGCCATAAATTAGTATAGACATATTGAAATTGTTAAGTGATTGATTGGTATTATTGGTTGTATTGTATTGGTAGTGGTGATACTGAATTTGTATTGGTATGGTGTTGAAATTCCAAATTCTTTATTGGAATCTACCATTGATATCTTGAATTTGAGTGAAGATATCACCTTGAGTTCCAGAGATGTCAGCGGTGGCGTTTATGCTTGGAGAACTAACACATCCACTTACACCGCTATCCAAACGAACTGGAATTGCAATGGTTGAATTCACACCACATTGTGCCTTCAATGAACCAGCTGGGTTACCAAGATTAACGAGTAAATCTAATTAATTATTAAATAGAAAATTAACAATTATTTTTATTAATATATATTTTTTTTTTTCTTTTATTTAATTTTTTTATACTTACATAAGACCATTTTTAATGAATTTAAGAGTTTAATTTAATTTGATTAGATTGAATTTGAGTTGATTTGATGATCTATATTGATCTATTGACCTACTATTTATAGTTAAAGATAAATGTAAAATGACCATTTTAGGCAATGATCCTTTTGTAATTTACATTGTTTTTTAATTAAATATTTCAATATTCATAACGATTGTAATCAAAATATTCTCTTTTTGTTGCTTCAGATTTAAATCATTTTCATCAAATAGATATTTATTATTATTATTTTTATGATTTTCGTCAGATAATGACCCACTCTATAATTTCACCCAAAATTCGAAAGAATTGTGTTAAGTTATAATTTTATCAAAAATTAATTGTAGATACACATTTTAACACACGGATAATCAAAAAAAATTTAATGAGGTAATTTCAATAAAATATTCAACTTTGTAAGTTTATATTAATTTTTAATAAATATTAAAATGTAAGTTTGTATTTATTTAATTTGTAATTGTTTTTTTTGTTTTGTTTTTTTTTTTTTTTTAGTATTATTATAATTTCGATTAATATTATTATCATTAATGTAATGTAATGTGTCGTTGTTGATTGCTATTGTTTGTTTTTAAACAACAATGATATTGTAAAATAATATATTTGTTTTTTTGTGTTTTTTGTTTTACTTTTCTGGAGCATATTGATCGATTGGATATTCCTCTGGGTAAAGCTTGATGTGTTCGATTAATTCTTTTTGTTGTTCCAATAAGTTGTTTGGAATTGTGTCGTAGACGTCAGTGAACAACTCTGAGATCATCGGTTTCTTTTGTGCCTCTGCCTTTTGGAGAGCTGCTTTGACTTGCTCACGTGACTCTTTAATGGTTGACTTTTCCAACTCCTCAGTCCACCATCCCTTTCTAATCATATAGTTCTTCAATCTGTTTACTGGATTCTTCTTTTCCTTCCAATGATTGATTTCCTCTGTTGTACGATATCTGCTAGAGTCATCGGATGTCGAATGATGACTAACTCTATAAGTCATAGCTTCAATCAAAACTGGAACACTTTAATAATAATTATTTTTGATGTTGATTAAAAGTTAGTCAATGAATCTGATAATATATATATATCCAATAAATGTTTATATTTAATTACCCTTTTTCAACTGCAATATCTCTTGCCATTTTAGTTACGTTGTAGACAGCCCAGATGTCGTTTCCGTCAACACGGAAGGTGGTCATACCGTAGGCGGATGGACCACGTCCGGCAATACCATCACCACGGTATTGTTCAGAGGCTGGAGTGGAGATAGCCCATTTGTTGTTACGACAGAAGAAGATGGTTGGGGTGGAGAGTGTGGCGGCAAAGTTCATGGCGGCGTGGAAATCACCTTCGGAGGCAGCACCCTCACCAAAGTAGACGATGGTACAGTTCTTTTCACCAGCCAGTTTTTGAGCGTATGACGAACCGACTGCCTGTGGAAGCTGGGTGGTCAGTGGCGAACTGATTGTCTGTACATTGATACGCTTCGATCCAAAATGAACTGGCATTTGACGTCCCTTTCCTGGATCCAACTCGTTCGAGCAGCACTGATTGGCAATCTCATCGAGTGTGAAACCACGCCACATCAAAACACCGCTCTCACGATACTGAGCAAAGATGGTGTCGTCCATCGAGAGTGCCTGAGCACTTCCAATGTGGATAGCTTCCTCACCAAACGAAGTCATATAAAAGGAGATTCTACCTTGTCTCTGAACATCGTAGAAAATCGAATCCATTGTGTTCAACAATAGCATTTGTTTATACATCTTTGTAACCAATTCTTGTCCAAACTAAAATGATAATATATAAAATGAGATGATTAGTTTTTTTTTTTTTGCTAAAGTGAGAAATGAACGTTCATTTCTTGATTGATTGATTGATTGTTATATCAATTCTTTTTTGCTTACGTTTGGGTCAGCAGATGGTGGATTGACAACACCTTCTTGATCCATAACAGTGTAACATGGAATGTAATCCTTCAATACTTGTGGTTCTAATTTGTTGGTGTAATCAAACTTATCGACATCGAGATCTTGTTGAGTTTCTGTCTTTGTTGAGAAATACTAATAAAATGCAACTATGTTAATATAACTTTACTCTTGATTTCTACTTCTTTTTCTTTTGATTGTATCAACTCACTTTTACATTTATATTCTTATTACTATTATTATTATTAATGGCATTCTTTACAAAGATTGAACTGTTATTCAAAGATAATGTTTGTACTCTATTTTGTTGGAAAAGCCATCTGTTTGATGATTGTCTAACTAATTTAGAAAGATTCTTAATGTTTTGACTCATATTCAATTTATATAATAAATTTGCAAATAATATGAATAAAAAGAAATGAATGATTTGTGATTAGAAATAAAAAAGTAAAATGAAAATAAATAGTTAGTTTTTTTGTTTTTTTTGAAAAACACAACTTTTTTGGATATAATGAAAAAAAAAAAAATCAATAGAGAAATTTCAAAAAAAGGAATTTAAATTTGAAAAACCCCCGTTTTTCTTGGGAACTGCGCATGTCATAGAATTTAAATCTAACGTTACACATATACATATTTATAATTTTGAAATATAAATCTATCTTAAAAATATCAATTAATTATATAAATTATGAGTAATATTAATAAAAGAGATAGAGAAAATAAAGAAGAACAAGAAATTAATGATAATAATGATAAAAAATTGAAATTGGAAGACGATGATAAACAAAGAATAGATAATCTACCTTCTGTTTTAAAAAAAGATGATGATATTCAAATAATAAATAATAACAATAACAACAACAATAATAATAATAAAAGTTTTAATGTATCAACTGTTACTAATAATAATGCCAGCAGCAGTAATAATAAGGTATGTTATAACTTATAATTCTTAAAAATTATATAATGAATATTACAACTGAATAACTAACTAACTTTAACATTATGTTTAATGATATAAATCAGTCATTTGGATTAAAATTTAATATAACTACTAAGGTTTTACCAACAAAGAGTGAAGATCCACCACAACTACCAGCATCTCCACCAACTAGCGAAGAAATCATTGATGAAAATATAGAACAAGAACAACATGTAAAAGAACAACAGCCAATAGCCACAACTAAACAGGTTGGACCACCCAAACCATCAGTTCAGTCAACAAAACAAGTTGGACCACCAAGACCTCCACCAAAGAAATCAACAAAAGATAGTGATGATAGTGACAGTGACAGTGACAGTGAAGACGATGATAAAACATCAACAACAACAAAAACAACAAAAGCAGCAAATACTAATAATACCAAACCAACTGTTGCAGTTGGTCCAATGATTGGTCCACCTAGACCAAATGTAAATAAGAATAACAAAAAAGATAATGATGATGATGACGACAGTAGCAGTAGTAGTAGTGATAGTGATAGTGACAGTGATAGTGATAGTGATAGTGATGACAGTGAAGACGATGAAAAAGAACAAATGGAGAATTGGTTAAAGTTGGCAAGATCGATTCCTATTACTCATGTCGAAGAGATGAAGTGTCACGATCGTGCGGTATCTTCTATTACAATCGAACCATCTGGTTCGAGAATGTTGACGGCTTCATTCGATTGCAAAGTAAAGTTTTGGGATTTCAATGGAATGGATCAATCGTTGCGATCGTTCCGTGAAGTCGAACCGGTGGAAGGTGCTCAGATCCGACAGATCGCCTTCAACACCAATGCAGACCGTTTCATCGTTCTGCCATATACCACACAGATGAAGTTGTATGATCGCGATGGATTCTCATTATCAGAGTTTGTTTCGGGTGACCGTTACATTCAGGACTTGAATCACACCAAGGGTCATGTGTCGATCCTTACCGGTTGCAGCTGGTCGCCAGTCGCCAAAGACGAGATTATCACCTCGTCGATTGACTCTACAATTAGAGTGTGGGATATCAATAATACAAAGAAGAACTTGACTGTGATAAAGTCGCGTGGAACCAAGGGTCAGGGTGCAGCGGCGAGAGTTGGATTCACCTGTTGTACTCACGATGTTCGTGGCGATATCATTAGCGGTGGATGTCAAGACGGTTCCATTTCATCGTGGGACAAAAGAGCGGGAATGTCACGACCAAAGACAACGATCGAGCCGGCACACGAGCCTGGAACAGACGTGTCATCGATCCAGTATGCAAAAGATGGAATCTCGATGGTGTCGCGTGGTCTCGATCACAGTCTTCGTTTCTGGGATCTGCGTAAACTGGATCGTCCACTGATGGTATTTGGCGACTTGCAATGTGATTTCCTCGAGCAGAATGTCGTGTTTGGATCGCACGACCGTTTGGTTCTGACCGGTACATCGTCGGTCGATAAGAATGGCGACGGCTCCCTGGTGATCTACGACATGGCGACACTCACAAAGATGCGACAGATTCAGATTCGCGGTGCCAGCGCCATCAATATCAATTGGAACGCTCGTATCAATCAGATCTTCGTTGGTTGCTCCGATGGTAAGACCCGTGTGTTTTACGATCCCACCCTCAGCGAGAAAGGTATCCGACTCTGTGTATCAAAGGCACCGCGCAAGAAGGATCCAGCCGACTTTACACCGGATGCACCCATTATCACTCCGTTCTCACTTCCACTATTCAAGGAGACCAATACTTTTTCAAAGAAATCGAAATTCAAAAAAGATCATATCAAACCAGAGACTGCATCGCCAGCTCCAGTTTCCTCAAAAGGTCCGAATCTTACTCAGCATTTGGTTAAGAATATGGGATTGGTCAACAATACCTCATGGCAAGAAGATGCAAGAGAATCATTCCTTAGAAAAGCTAAAGAAATGGAAGAACAAAAAAAAGATTAATAAACATTACAATAACAATATTTTTTTTTTTGTATTGGTTGAATTCGATCAACTCGAAATAGAATGTCATTTGTTTCTCTTTGTTCATTTCATCATATGTATAATATTTGGCGCCTATCCTAATTAGTTGTTTAATATTGATAAATAAGCCAATGGTTTGATCTAGATAGTCATCGAATTTGTAGATTTAATTGTGACTGATTTTCATTCTAAAGATTTATTCATGTTGATTGATTAACATGTAACCTTAATAACAACTTTGCTACCATAAATAATTCAGTTATTGCTAACCACACACAAAAAAATAATAATTGCAATTATTTTTGCAAAAATTGGTGATGTTAAAAATGATTTTTGTTATTTCTATTTGTTTCTCTTTGCCATTGTCATAAGTTTGTTAAAAAGCCACTACATTAACAACACACATTCATTGTTGTTTTTAAAATAAAATCAATTTGGGTAGATAAATGATTATCAAAGTAGTTTGTGCATATAAGGGGGTAAATTCATTATAATCGAAATGAGAAAATAAAAATAAATAAAAAAAATAGAAAAATTTATGATATCTTGTTATACTGAAAAAGGAGAAAGTATGTCCTCAAAGATTGGGTGTTGTTCAAATGAAAAAAACAAAAAAATAATAATTTACCCCCACACATTCAATTGGCAAAAGGTTAATAATTCAACATTTCACTCCAAAATAGGCAAAGTTCCTTTATTTTAAATTGGTTTTTGCTTTTAATTTAAATATCTTATTGGTGGTACCAAGATTTTTTTTTAAAAAAGTACAATATTATTATCGATTATTTATTTTGTTTTATTTGTTTTTTTTTATCATTAACACCCAAAATTGACTATAAAAAGTATCAGATATAATCCTAAAAAGAAACAACAAAGAGCAACAAAAACAAACAAATATACATATATATAATTTTATTTTTTCAACAAAAGAAACATCCATTTTTTTTTAAATATATACATATTCTGTTGTTCACAACACACATACACACAAATCAAAAAAATCAAATATAACACGCATCATATCTTTATTAGACACCAGACATCCCCATTTTTATCTTTCTAAATAAGAAAGCTCACAAAACACCCTTATATAACAATTAAAAAAAAACACACATCAAATAAGTAAGTAACATTAAAAATAAAAATAAAACCAAAAAAAAACACAAAAAATAAATAAATAAATATTAACAAATGTTTTTTTAACTCATTGTATTTATATATTGCTCCTTTTCATTTCATTTCTATTAACAAATTAGAATTCTTTTATTAGTTACCTATTTTATTTTTTTAACTGTTCTAATAATATATTGCGAATGGTATGTATAAATATGAATAAAATAAAAAAAAAGTTATATGTATACCTATCTCTAACAAATTCAATTTATCTAATAATATATTATTTTCAATTATTTAGTTATCAAGATTATTTACAAGACAATCTGTTATTTCTGGACAAGCTTTGACATCCAGAAGATCTCTATCTGGGTATGTAAAAATTAACAAAATTAACACAATTTTTGATATTTGAGATCTAATATTATTGTATTTTTAACAGTTTTTATAGAACCAGTGAAGAGATGTCAAAAAATAAAAAGTTGGACCTCTCGGATGAAAATATTAATGATATAATCAGAAATGCAGAGAACCACAAGGAATGGAATGTAGAAGCTGCTGACCAACAGACAACAGAAGATTCCAAGCAAAAGAACATCTTGAAGGCCAACAAAAAGATTAGAAAGATGGTACCTGAAGATGTTGAGAAATTCGATTAACTTCTTAGGCAATGATGAATTTCCAATCCAACAACAAAACAAAACAAAAAAAAAAACAAAACAACATAATACCTTTTAAACAAAGACCTATGAAATCAACACTCTTCCCTCCTCTCCCTCCCAAACAAATTATAATACCATCTAATCACTATCTATTTTTAAATTAAAAATAAGTTAGTGTGTACATATGTAAAAATTGTATGTTAACAAGCAAGCATAGATAAATTTTTTTTTTTTTAATAATAAAGATTTTTCGAATAACCCTTTTAAAATATTAATATTTTTCTTTTTCTAATACACACATTTAAAAATAACATTGATGTTTTTTATTTTATTTGATCTTTCTTCTTTTTTTTATTTTTTTTTAAAATTACAAAACTTTTATTTACTTATTTGTTTTTCCATTGCCATGATTTAATATTATTATCGGAACCACCGGTATATAAATATTTTCCATCGGTTTCCAAAGTGAAGATGGCAGATCTGTGTGCACGCATTGAGTATATACATTTGAGTTGTCCACCGTTTGCAATGTCGATGGTGTCCCATATCTTGATGGTGGAGTCCTCCGATGCCACAAAGATATATCTCTCGGTGACAATGATATCGGTGATAGCCTCACGGTTCTCCTCGTGCGTCGAGATTGGCATAAAAGTTGAGAGATTCCAAAGCTTTAGAGTTCCGTCTCTGCATCCAGATACCAAGAATCCAGTGTTATTCAAAGCCAACTTGGTGATCCAACCTTCGTGTGCATCACTAATTCCATATATACAAACTAACATCTCTATATCCCACACCTTTATAGTCTCATCACTCGATGCACTAAATAAATATTTTCCACTGACAACAATCGATTTCACACTCTTTGAATGTGCAGTTAAAACTTTAATACATTTAAATGTATTTAAATCCCATACCTAATAATTATTATTGTTATTGTTTGAAAAACATTTATATTAGTTAACTAATTCTTTCTTTCCAAGTTAAATAACTATTACTTACTCTTATTGATTTATCAGATGAACAACTAAATAATAAATTCTTTTCTTTTGATATACAGATAGAGTTGACATCATTGGTATGTTCCTCCAACTTGTGTTTCAATTCATTGTTTGATTTATCCCATATCTTGATTGATTGATCAGCCGATGCTGTTATGTAAGAATCGTTGGTCAGACAGATGGCTGTGATGGCTTTGCGATGTCCTGCTCTGTTGGTTTCTATACAGCTCTGTGTCTCTAAATTCCAGATCTTTAATGTTCCATCTGCCGAACCAGAGTATAGTTTCTTCTTGTCCTCTGATATGATAAGTGCAGTCAGGTTATCAGAGTGTCCAGAGAGAGTACTGATATTCGCCAGTTCCATCGAGTCAAAATTGATAGATTCCGGTGCCAACGAAGGATATGGATGCTTGTCCAAATCGGCAACCAAGTCAGGTAGAGCCATAGTTCCTCTAATAACTCTAGTGATATTTCTGGAATCTGTAAGATCAACTCCAATAGGTGGAAGATCCAGTTGTATACAAATTGGATTACATTTGTGTGTCTTTATGAAACGCTCCATTCCTTTCTCACCGAGATTACCTGCTCCATAACCAACACCATCCTTGGTGTGAATCTGTGGATCTGTATAGTGGTCGTCTACACCCTGAATATCTACTACTAAAAGATGATGCGCAGATGCTTCATAAGTGAAATGACTGAAAGCCTGTGGAGTATTTCTATCGGAGAAAACAGTACCGAAATTGGAGTTTTGTTTCTTAAACTCTCCTTCCATGAACATCTCTAGACCACAAAGAAGTGATTGGCCGTTTTGTTTTTGAATTTCAATTACCCATGCATTAAGGAAATCAATATTCTTTGGTGGATTGTTGTCGTTGTATCGCGCACCAAGTTCTTTGCACAACATCTGCATCTTTACATCCTCGAAATATCGCTCAAAGTTTACATCGGTCTTTGATATTTTCGCAACATAAGTAGTATCTACGGGTCCAAACAGACGTGGTAACTTCATTTGATTGACACGCTTACCTTCTTCATACTTGACATGATTGGGACTATTGAAATTGGCAGAATATATCACTGGATTCTTCTTGATGGTGAGTTTGTGTGCATTTCTCAGTGCACCCGAAGCAAATGCACGCGACTCCATGTGTACTGCGATAATTCCTCGTGTCCACTCGTCATCCGCTGCGTTGTATTCATAGGCAATCGCCCACTCACAACGCTCTGGCAACTCTGGCATTTGGAATCTAAGTATCTGAGAATGGGTAACATCGTTATTCTCACCCTTATTCTCTTCATCATAGTTTTGAGAGGTTCGCTTGGAAACTTTTGGTGAAGTTGGTGGCGCATAAAGTCCGATCTGATCCATCGATGGTTCTTTCTTGAAGGCACGTGTTCCACCCAAAACAAACTTTCTAAGAATGGGTGAACCTATTTCCTTCGATGTTGGAGTGGTTGGTTGTGAAGCTGGCTGTGAGTTTGGTGTAGCCGATTGTGAGTTGGGAGTAACAGGTGGTGACAATCCAGCCAATGTTGGTGAATTGGTTTCTGGTGTTGCATTTTGACTGACAGGTGGTGAATTTGTAACACTTGTTAGTTGTTGACTTTGTTGTAGCAATGAAGTAAATGAATTTGGTACAGTGAAGCTTGGTGTAATTAGATTCTTTGTTGGTATTGGAGGAACGCTGACGTTTGGATTCAAATTGATAGCTGTCGAAGTAGATGGTGGAGTTGTAGTTGAATCACTTCCAGAACTAGTAGTAGATGAATTTGATTCTATTAAAAAAAACATTAAAATTTTTTATTACAAAATTAATTTTTTTGAGAGTCTTGGTAAGCAATTTAAAAGCTTTTATACCTACCTCTTGATATGGATTGGATATCTGTGATTTTAGTTTCAAGTTGTTCAACTTTTTGGGTGAGCACCACCACAAGAGATTCTAGCTGTCTATTCAATTGGTTGGACTTTTGGAGCTCATCCTCCAATGTTTTCAATCGATTCAAAATTGAATCAATATCAGCCATGCTATTTTTATTGATAATAATTAAAATTAACTAATCTTATTTAATATAACAACATATGTTTTTTTTTTTGTTTTCGTGATTAGTCTTATTATTATGATTATTGATGGATTAATTTAAATTAAATTTGTTGCAAAAAAAAAAAAAAAGTAATAAGATTGATATTTTTTCTTAAAGTAAGTATTTTTGGGGTTTTTATTCGCCACCTGATTAAAATCCAAAAAAAAAAAAAAATAATAAATAAAATCAAAAAAAAAAAAATCAAAAGTAAATCGAGATTTAAACTGACACCATTTCTCAAAAAATTTGTTGAGGGAAAAAGTATACTTTATTATTATTATTTGTTTTTAATTTAAAGTAGACTTATGAAACAATTTAGTTTTATTACAAAAATATAAAAAAAGAGATTCCAACTTCATTGAACAGCCACCAGAGTTCGACCTTGGAGTATCCACATCAACTAAAGACTAGCAATAACACAATTTTGTAAAAAGCCTACCGGCAATCTGATTGAATACACAAGGAAATAAAATATTCTGGAATCGCCTAGGTGATCACCAGCTTTCATATTAAGTCAGGATGGTGTAGTTGGTTATCACAAAACCTTAACACGGTTTGGGTCATGGGTTCGATTCCCATTCTTGATATAAATTTTGTTCATTAGAATACTAAATGCGCGCATATTAAGCTTTTTTATTTTAATTTTTTATCTTTGTAGTAAATAAATAAATATCCCATGCTCTTCTATCACTTCTATCTTGAATCGCCCACACCTGATCAAATCAAGCTTGTCAACAGACTTATCGCTTGGTTCTTCACCAGTGCACCTGATGCCAAAGCAAAGTTCACCGCTTTGATGTCTTTGGACAGGTCTTGCTTTCACTGGAATGATGGTGGTCTGAATTTGTGGGATCTATCGCTTCGTTCTGCTGCTTATAAGATATGGGTCTTTAATAGATTCCTGTTGTTAAGTAGAAGCAACTCATTTGGTTACTTCAAAACTTGGTCATCCATGCTTGATTGTGCCAAAAAATTTACTAATCCAACTTCTTCACCATCCTTCAAACTGTTCCATTCGTCTTGGATGGATTTTAGAAACAATCACTTCTCCAGAGTCACACCAGGCAATCCCATCCTTGCTGATGATGGTAGTCTCCTTACTCTGAAGGAAATCTATTCTGTCCTGTTCAGCCACAAGTACCCTCGAGTCCGCCGTACTGAAGGTCAACTAACCATCCAGATTGGTCACTCTTTGGTTCTCCAATCTCAGTTCCTGCACATATCCAAGGTCAAAGCGCCTATGCTACGTAACAGCATATTCCGGCTGTACTCTCACACCTTCCCCATCAACCACAAGCGCACTGGTCATGTCTGTGAGTTCTGTGGTGACACCTTCACTGAACTCTGCAACCCACATGAACATTTCTTCTTCAAATGCAGGATTGTAGTCTCACAGCAGTTCCTTTCCTTTATCAAACGTATATACCACAAGTACTGTAACTATAGACTTCGTAATTGGAAGCACTCGTGCATCAAGTTCGACGGTCCTATTCGTACTACTGTCCACTTCACCCACCTTACTGCTGCTATCGTACATTCGTTATGGCAGGCGCTGTCCTGTGAAATGTTTGGTGATGGTACCCATTACAAGCTGGAAAATACCGTCAAGAGAGCAGTCACCCATTACACCAAATTAATCGATGCCAATTACCACAAGCTTAACTTCACGATCGCTAATTCAATCTCCCAAGGAGTCACTGTCGATTGCTCTGCATTAACGCGTAAATTTAAATCTGATTGGAATCTTAATCCTTCCAACTACGTGCCACCACTTTATACTGTTGTTCATCAACACGCAACTACTGTTAGATCTATTCTATCCTAATACTACTCAACTTATTAAATAATAATAATAATAATAATAATATTTATAATAATAATAATAATAATAATAATAATAATAATAATAATAATAATAATAACATTTTATTGGCTATATTTCTCACGGCCTGTGTGAGAATGTAAATATAATATAAAACACGAACTAGCAGGTTAATATCAATACCTGCAATTTGTTGACTGATCATGAGTCAACAAATCTTTTTTTGCAAAAAAAAATAAAAAAAAATAAATAAATATCAATACTATCTTGGACCCCATGAAGTTGACACCGACAGTAACTAGCAGGCTTATCACAGGTGAACACCGAGTGGTTTACACACGTACCCGCTTAGAATTCTAAGTGGATTAATTACTCCGTCTGCCAAACCAAATCAATCAATGGGAACATCATCCTCACTCAAAATGATGGCTATCTCAGCCGGCCTGTGGCTGAACTGCTCAAACAATAAATAAACACGAACTGTAGGGTAATATCAAGCTCTACACCTTGACTATCAGTAATGGTAGTACAAGGATAATTTTAAAAAAAAAAAAAAAAAAAAAAAAAAAAAAAAAAAAAAAAAAAAAAAAAATACTTTCCAACCCTCATCTTCTCCCCCTGAATTAAAGAAGGAGTTGTTCAAACTCTCTTTAAAAAAGGTGATCCCAACGATATCGCTAATAGGCGTCCAATATCACTGTTGAATGTTGATTATAAACTACTGAGTAAGATCATCAACAACAGGCTCACCAAAGTATTGGATGAGATTATCAAAATGGATTCGTACCAGGTAGATTCATTCATGACAACACCCTACTCTTCAAGGAAATTATTGACGCTGCAAAAGCTGGTAATCTTGATGGTTTGGTCACACTGTTTGACTCAATCTCACTTGATAGTATCAAACGTACACTGCTACATATCGGTGTTCAGCTCCTATTTGTTGATCTTATCATGTCAATGCTAAATAACTCTCCCTCTTCAGTTCTGGTGAACGGTTTCAAAACCAAGACTTTTTTCATCAATAGAGGCACCAAGACAGACTTATTGCTTGGTTCTTCACCAGTGTACCTGATGCCAAAGCAAATTTCACTGCTTTGATGTCTTTGGACAGGTCTTGCTTTCAATGGAATGATGGTGGTCTGAATTTGTGGGATCTATCTCTTCGTTCTACCGCTTTTAAGATATGGGTCTTTAATAGATTCCTGTTGTTAAGTAGAAGCAACTCATTTGGTTACTTCAAAACTTGGTCATCCATGCTTGATTGTGCCAAAAAATTTACTAACCCAACATCTTCACCATCCTTCAAACTGTTCCATTCGTCTTGGATGGAATTTAGAAATAATAACTTCTAGAGTTATACCGGGCAATCCCATCCTTGCTGATGATGGTAGTCTCCTTACTCTGAGGGAAATCTATTCTGTCCTATTCAACCGCAAGTACCCCCGTTTCTGCCGTACTGAAGGTCAACTAACCATCCAGATTGGTCACTCTTTGGTTCTCCAATCTCAGTTCCTGCACATATCCAAGGTCAAAGCGCCTATGCTACGTAACAGCATATTCCGGCTGTACTCTCACACCTTCCCCATCAACCACAAGCGCACTGGTCATGTCTGTGAGTTCTGTGGTGACACCTTCACTGAACTCTGCAACCCACATGAGCATTTCTTCTTCAAATGCAGGAATGTAGTTTCACAGCAGTACCTTTCCTTTATCAAACGTATATACCACAAGTACTGTAACTATAGACTTCGTAATTGGAAGCACTCGTGCATCTACTGTCCACTTCACCCACCTTACTGTTGCTATCGTACATTCTTTATGGCAGGCGCTGTCCTGTAAAATTTTTGGTGATGGTACCGAATACAAGCTGGAAATACCGTCAAGAGAGCAGTCACCCATTATACCAAATTAATCGATGCCAATTCCCACAAGCTTAACTTATCTATAGCTAATTCTATCTCCCAAGGAGTCACTGTCGATTGCTCTGCAATAACGCGTAAATTTAAATCTGATTGGAATCTAAACCCTTCCAACTACGTGCCACCACTTTATACTGTTGTTCATCAACACTCAACTACTGTTAGATCTATTCTATCCTAATACTACTCAACTTATTAATTAATAATAACTATAAAAAATAATAATAATAATAATAATAATAATTATATTTCATTGGCTATTTCTCACGGCCTATGTGAGAATGTATATATAATGTAAAACACGAACTAGCAGGTTAATATCAATACCTGCAATTTGTTGACTGATCATGAGTCGACAAATCTTTTTTAAACTTTATGAAATTTATAATTAATATATTCTACAATACCCATTGTTGTTAATTCTGCCAACAAAATATTTAGACTTGATTAATATAGCTTCATTCAATATACACTACAATTTGATGGTTTTATATATAATTGAAACTAAAAAAAATTTATTGTAATGCTTTATTCATTTTTTTTAAGTTACTTCATATACAAAAGAGGTAATATTTCACTCATCTTCAACTTCGTCTTATTTATTAAATGGTGAATATCGTGATATTTTTTGGCGTTTCAAAGGGGTACCCTCAGCAACATTTTTTGCTATATTTTTCATTGCAAGTTGATATTTTGAGGGAGGAGATGGTCTACCTGGTTGTTTGCGAGGAGGAGGCATATAACTTTTGGTATTGGAAATTTTTATATCAGTTGAAACTGTATCGAGTGGAAAGAAAATACTGTAGGTATCTGTATAACAATAACCATGTGTATTCTTTGACACCACGCCAAGTTTAGTCAATGATTCGTCATTTGCAAAATTAATCATTCTATACTTATTGTACCCAACTAAATTTGTGAAAAGATCATCAACCAATTCTTTATTCTTTATACAGTACTATATTTTTAGAATATTTGTTAACAATTAATAAGATAATAATAATAATGGATCAAAACACATACAATGCTTCCAGAGTGATGAGGAGATTTGTCATTTCTGTTTGAATCACCTAAACAAAATATCTCTTTATCTTTTTCAATGGAAAACATAATTTTTTCATGATTCTTTTTTATCATTCCAGGTTGCCCACTGAAACCGTTCTCCCAGCTATGAATGACAAATAATCCGAAATCATCACCAACCATTGTTGGAAATGCAGTTTGCTATCATTAGAAAAAAACATTAGAACAAAAATAATCGATTATTTTTGTGTAAATATCAAAACATACATCAGTGTTGACAAAAAAGAAGCTTTTATAATGTTCAGCAACGATTAACCATGGATCCATACCTATTTTGTTAAAACTGCATATTTGTGTATCTTTACACACCACCGAATTCAAACCAATATTGTGTGTTGCTGTACAATATTCCATACTATCTTTCTGAGGTGCATCTTCCTTAGTTCTCTCGATTTCAATTGGATCCTGTTCTGAAAAAAGAGATAGTTTAAATTTCTCCCGGAAACATCTATCGATAATTTCATAGTTATTTACGGTAACAACTGGTTTTGGTTGTGCTGCAATCTGTTTATTTGACTTTTCTTTTCTTACATGCTGATATCTTCCTGTTAACTTTTAAGATCAAAAAAAAAAAAAGATATAATATTAAATATTAATTAATTAATCAAATATTAAAACTATTTAATAAAATATATACCAAAAGAAAATACTTCGAAGTCACCTAAAACAATCGGTGCCCAAGGTACATCATCACCATCAGTCCTTTTAACCATACAATAATCTCTTGTGGTTTTGTAGGAATCCGGATCACGTAGTAGTTTTTTAATTATCAAAAGACCACTGATATCAGTTGCTAACTTATCTGTGTGCTCAAACCATTTTTTATCACATTCCTTTGCTTGTTCAGTCTCTGTTGGTTCTGGTTCGAACGATGGACATGTTGTATGTAATGGTCTTGCTTTAACAACTTTAAGAATCTTTACAAACACATCGATGTCCTCTTGATTCTTAAGGCTATTACAGAATGCATGTTGAGAATATTGTACTTCTGTTTTTGTTTTAAAGAGATTAGATTCCATATCACTATTAACTGGCATCGGCATTGAATGTGAGATATAAAATCCTTTTGAGTTGGTTTTATCAATTGAAAGTAGCAGCTTTAAGGAGCATATTAAAAAAAATAAAAAACTATTTAATACTACTAAAAAAAAAAGAAATCTATTAAATTACAATATATACCTTTAGATGTGCTTCTTTTATTGTTGCCTTATCATATGGATTTGCTTTACCTTTATCCAATTCGTGGAACCATTCTTTTGTGACATATTTACCACAATCCAATTGATCAATATCAATATCTTCATTTGCTTTATTGATGGAATCTAAATGAATTTTCATTAACTCGGCAAAGAAATACTTATTATCTTCTTTTTCCTCATCTTCTTCATCTTCTTCTTCATCATCAATGGGTACTACTTTTCTTATTGGCACTAGATCGATAATATATATATATTTAAATATTAATAATTTGATAAAAAATATAATTTTTTTTACAGAAATAAAATTATTTCTAATTCTATACCTTTGTCCTGCACCATTTTTGAATCAATATAAAGACCTTGATCAAAACTATTTTTTGGTCCTCCACGAACCGTATCTGCTAAATAAATCCACCACTTTACATCGTTACCATCTCGATTCTTACAAGATATGTCACATTGAACAACCAAAAAATCTAAAAATAAAATATATATTAATAACTTTATAACTCTATTCATATTAAATATATTATTGAAAGATAGTTTATTTGTTTCTTATTGATTTTAAGCTTGTTTTATATCAATATGAGTTATTTACATTTTTTAAAAATTATAATAAATACAGGGAAAAACTTTAAAAAACAAAAGGTTTTTTTGTGTGGGTATTAAACTAATCTTTTAAGATAAAAATGTGTGATTAAAAATTTATCTTGTACGAGTGAAGATGACAAAACACAATTGTGATTTGTGATATAATCCTTTTAAATATTTTATTTATTTATTATTATTTTATTTTTTTTTGGTTTGAATAAGCGTTAAAAAATAGCAAAAGTATTACTTTTGAAGAAAAAATTTAAAATTAGTTCCAAGAAAAAAAAAATAATGATAACTTGTTAAAATTAAAAAACCATGGTGACAAATTAGTTAAAAAATAGAAATTTCTGCATAGATAATGTTTCAAGAACAGATATATAATCAACATATTAATAGTATTAGTAGTTTATCAGATTATAAAACAGGATTAGATTTACTGAATGAACATTCACAACACATCATATCGTTTTGTATGGAGTTGGATCAGAAGCTGGGTGGCGGTATACCACTCCGTAAGATGACAGAGTTCTGTGGTGTACCCGGTGTTGGCAAGACTCAGATGTCACTGCAGCTGGCCGTCAACTGCTGTTTGCCTGTCGAATTTGGTGGTGTCGCTGGCAAAACCATCTACATCGATACCGAAGGAAGTTTCAGTGTGACGCGTCTGCGTCAGATGGCACTGGCACTCTGTGAACATCTAGAGTTAATCTCCAAAGACAACAGCAATAACAACAACAACAATGAAACAACTGGCGGTGGTGATGGTGTTGGTGATGGTCGACGTAAAATTCTCGAGAGCTTCACTGCCAATCATATTTTGGAATCGATTTACTATTATCGTGTTCACCACTATTTGGAGCAGCTGGCGCTAGTCAATATGCTACCTTCGATTCTCCAGGCGCGTAGCGATGTCCGGTTGATTGTGATCGATAGCATTACCTGTCCGTTTCGCCGACACTTTCAAGATATTGCGCAGCGCACCAGAGTGTTGACGCAGCTGGCGACAAACTTGCTCTCGATTGCTCAACAATATAATGTGGCGGTGGTGCTCACCAACCATGTCTCAACGAAACTCAACAACAAAGGACAGTCACAATTGATGCCATCGTTTGGCGATGCTCTCGGACACATCTGCACCAACCGAATCTTCCTCTACTACAAACAAAACAAACGATTCTGCTATCTCTACAAATCACTTCCATTTCAAGGTCTGGAAAGTCAGTTCAACATCGACGAACACGGAATCAGAGGAATAATAACTGAAGTTGACCAGCAACAAGATAATGAAGATGATGATAATGATGAAGACAATAATCAACAACAGCAGTAAAAGCAATTTCAATTGGTTACTCATTTCCAAAGAGAAAAAGAGAGAGAGAGAGAAGAGATGCAGTATTCGTTGTCTTTATTATTTCATCAAAAGGTGGTTAAGCTTATTCAGTAATTCATGTGAATGAGGCAGTCAGACATTCACCAGTGTTAACTTTTCAAAGTTTTGATAAAGGTAGAAAAAGAAAGTTTTTTTTTAAATTATTTGAAAATCAAAGAATTTGAAAGATAAGTCGCTCAAAATCACACACCCCAACAGCTCATAGTCTATATATATAATTAAATAAATAATTTATTGATTGCCAAAATCATCTTTTTATTTTATTTTTAATTTTGTGTTTTTTTTTCAACGGACACCACTTACTGATCTGAATTGCAATCAAAACAGTCACTGAAACTGTTGATGAATTTTTTTTTTTGATTTTTTTTGATTTTACAGTTTGTGTGGTACACACAATCCACACTTTTTTCATATGAGATTGTTATGCCCAACAATGAATTAAACTGTTGGTGAAGATTTAAAATAAAAGATGTTTTTTTTTTTGTTTTCAAAGTTTTTTTTCTATCATCACTTTTTCAATCTATCTTTTTTTCAAAATTAAAGATATTTAAAACAAAAAAAAGCACATCTTTCATTTACATTTATTTATTTATTTATTTATTAAATTAATTAATTTATTACCAAAATAATATATAAACATATAATATAATATTTAATTTATAGATTAGATATTAATCAAAAAAAAAAGGAAATAAACTAAATAAAACGACATTTGATTTTGATTGATATAATAGTTAGTTATTCAAATAAAATAAAATCGGTCGTTGGGGGCAGTTAAATTTCCAAATTTTTATTAAAAAAAAAATCAGCAAAAGCCTTTTACAAAATAACTTGTTTAGGAGTTAGTTTTTAGCTTTTTATTTATTTTTTTTTACTTTAAAGTAATATAAGGAGTAGGAATAAGCAATTAGTTAGAACAAGATCTACCTAATCGCAAAACAAACAAAAAAAAAAAAAAAACAAATCAAAAGCAAAAGCAAAGTAAATCATCAACACCATAGATAAAAATAAAACAAAAGCAGAATATATATCCAATAGGAATAACATTGGTATGTAGATATTATTAATAGCAACACTTTTGAAGATTGTAAAATAATATAATCTTTTTGAATAGTAACTTGAACACATAACACATTTACACCACACACTCACACACTCTCTTTAACTTTGCATAATTCACAACTAAATATCAACAGACTTCGCAAAGCTTATACTAAATGGTGGAGATAGATAATATTATTTTGATTGATGTTTGTCATTTAATTTATATATCGATATTTATATTTTTAAAAATAAACTTTAAAAAAAAACAAAGCAAAACAAACAACAAGAAAAAGTGGTGGAAATATCATGATCAACCAGTGTGTCAAAGATATATATTAAAACAATTGTTCTTTTCTAGTTATTATTATTATTATTGTTTTTTTTGTTTGAAAATAAATTTATTTTTTGTTTAATTATAATAAGTCCAGTAAATAAATTTACTATAGCCAATTTATAAAGTAAATAAAATAGTAATAATATTATCATCATATCACATTGTAATTACAATAAAGATCAATCTTGTTGTTTGTTCACAACAACAACAACAACAACAACAACAACAACAACAACAACAACAACAACAACAACAACAACAACAACAACAACAATACAAATCTAATTTGAAATTGAAAACTCCATATCGATAGATAATTGGTCGTTAGTTCGACTGAATATATATATAGTTAAAGAACAGTGGTACCCAGATGTATTGTATTTTATTTTGTTTTTGGATAATAACACCATTTGATGAATGTGAAAATAGAAAGAAGAATAAAGTGGTGTTTGATTTAACATCATCAACATCAACATCATCATCAGCAGCATCATCATCAGTAGTAGTATTATATTTATAAACCACAATTCCTGATGATGTTTCCTTTTTTTTCGGACAAGTGTTTTTTTTTAATAGTGTGTGAGATAGATAGATAGTTTTATTGACAATATATATAATATATTATATATTGATATTACTATATTTATTAAAATAACAATCAAATCAATCAAATAGTCAATCAAAAATATAAATAAAATAAAAAACAAGTCTATTGATTCATTCACTCAATTTTTCATTACAATACAATACAAACCTACCACTACCTGACTTCTTTTCAATAAATTACAGACACACACAATCTAAACAAATACAAAAACTCAAAAACATACACCACACAAATCAATACAAATATATCACAAATCAAAATCAAGCAATTAATATATAAGTAAATATATAAAAAAATATAGTTAAATTTATTATTTTTGGTTCATTCTCCTTTTTTTTTATTATTTTTTTATTTTATAGTTAATTATTATTGCTTTTTTAATATATCAAAACAGTGGTATTTGATTTGATTTGAATTGAAACAAGACAGTCAAAAAGTTAAAAAAAAAAAAAAAAAAACAATCCATTGACATAAATTTACAATCACAATTACAATCATAGTTATAATCATTCAATACATATCTCAGTGTAAATTTTTTATTTATTTCGAAATTAGTTTATAGTAAATTGATCAATAATAATAAATAATCTTAATATTAATTTTTTATTATCAAATCTATTTTATTTTCTAGAAATTTAAAGCTTTAGTTAGTTTTTTTGTAGTATCAATATCAATAGTGTAATAATAAGACCATTTTTAAGTAGTTATTATATATTAGAATATTTTGATAGATCACAATTAGATATTCGTATATATTCTTAAAGATATATACAATAGTTATATAGATATAAAAGAATGATGGCACCATCCCTTTCAAATTCAAAGTCCTCTCCTTCATTTTATAAGGTATGTTGATATTGAAAAGATGATAAAATATATAGATTGATTGTTAAGTGTTAATACTTTTTTACGTTTGTTTATGTGTAGGACGAGAATAACAATGTTGTTGTTGATGATGATGATAATAACGATATTGTTGATCAACAGCAGTTGACGGCAGATGGAGGTGATTTGGAGGTTGGCGGTGGTGTTGGCATGGGAGAGTTGGGCGATTTGAGCGAGTTGTTGATTCCCTCGTTGAATATACCACAGCTACTCGATGGACTGAACGAAATCGAGGGACAACCTCAATATTGTTTGTCGAGCAGCAATAGCAGCGCGTCAAGCGCCACCATGTCGGTGCACAGCAACAACAGCAACAACAGCTCGAATAACAGTTTCCTCAAGGGTAGCGGTTCCGCACCAAGGAGTCTGGGCTATCAGATATATCGAACATTCCCATACCGCGGAAGTCTACCACAACCATTACAACAGATTATCAACGCACTCGGTGAACAAACAACAACTACCACCACAACTTCAAACGACAACAACAACAACAACAACAATATAGATGGCTCAAAAAGCGAAGAGTCTACAACTGGCGAATTACAACAACAATCACAGCAACAGGAAAAGAAGAAACCATGTTCGACAAATGGACTGCGACACAGTCGTCAATATAAAGCATTGTTCCAACAACAGAACAACAATGGTAGCAACAACAACAGCGGAATCAATGATAAAGACAATGACGATATAAAGAAACAACTTCATTTAAATCTAAATTTGAATCTTTCAGGAATCAACAACAACAGCAACAACAATAGTAATAATAATAGTAACCCTGAAATCAATATAGAAAGTAGTAGTAATATAGTAGATAGTAATAATAAGGAACTTGGTGAATCAAGTGGTGTCAGTGGAGTATCGAATGTCGATGTTATAGTATCACAAGAACCATCGTTTTTGGATTCATCATTCTTCCAACCACCTCCAATGTTGTCACCACGTCTACAGCAATTGGAGAAAGAATTGAGCGACGCCGAACAAAGCACTCAAAACGCTGATGGTGAAAACGACGAAATGAAACAATTGCAAGAACAATTGGAAAGTGGCGACAACAGCGGACAACAACAACAGCAGCAATTTGACTCACCTGCAACCTCTTCTACACAATGGTCACAACTCATTGAAAGTCTGGCAACTGACTCTGTCAGTGCTGCCGATGCAGGTGGCGACTCTTTCTCGCCGCTCAACAAGAGCATTGGCGATCTCGGTGATCTAAAGAATCTCAACCTCGACGGTATCTCTTTGAATTTCAGCGGTGAAACTCCATTGATGTCAACGGCCGAGTTGAAACAAACCATCGAAATTCTGCCACCTTCATTCTCGAGCTCGCCACTCAGTGCGTCTGGCTCCAATCTTTCTTCGTCGCCAAACTACCTCACTGTTTCACCGGGCATGTTATCGCCATCAAAGAGAAGAGAAGGAAACAATAATAGCAACAACAATAACAATAACAACGCTACTGTCACTCCATTCTTTATTGACTCAAAGACAAATGCTTATCGCGTCAAAGGACAACTGGAACAGAGTGGCGATACCGACTTGAAGAAAAAACAACAACAACTAGCTCGTACCATTACATTCTCTGACTCTACATCGATTCGCTCATTCTTTGGCTCGTCTTCCAACGATAATTTGGAATCGCCAATCTCAACGTCGGTCGGTATCAACTCTGCGTCGCCGTCGCCATCGGCATCCACAGCCACAGCCAATACAAAACAACAACCAAGTCGTCAACTCACCTCGATATTCCCAATACAATACGACCACTCACCATCACCAGCGAAATTCTACTACCCACTGCTGCAACCACAACCCAGCGCTCTCATCAGAGAATACGCCATAAAGGCAGATGTAAATACAAAGGGTTTGAAGCGAGCAAAGAAACAGTGTTTAGACATGGAAGATGAATACTTGGGAATGCATCCATTCGGCGACGATCCTCAAATGGCATTGTTCGCAGTGTTTGACGGTCATTCTGGAAAGAACGTTGCAATTAAAGCAAAAGAAATTCTACCAAATGTAAGATTAAATATATTTTTATATTAAAAAAATACTGTATAGATTACTAAATAATTTTTGTTTATCTAGATTTTATTAAAATATATTCAATCAGCAAAGAATGAATGTGGAAAACAAATCTATGATATGAGCGGTGTATTTTTAGCAACTTTCAAAGAGGTCGATGCTCAACTGGCGAAATATGAATATGAAGGTTCCACTGCCACCATCGTACTTATTTGGAGAGTTGGACAACAAAGATTTTTACAATCTGCAAATGTTGGTGATTCTTCTGCTTTCCTAAGGTATATATTTATAATTAAAAATAGTTGAAGTGAACCGATGAATGATAACATTTTTATTAACTAATAATATTATTATTATTTGAACAGTTATGCTGGTGAGACATTGGTTTTAACAAAAGATCATAGAGTAACAGATCCCGAAGAACAACAGAGAATTAGAGATGATGGCATTCAGCTGGGTGAGAATCAAACTAGAATCAATGGTTTGATGGTCAGCAGAGCGTTGGGAGATCACTTCATTAAGCATTTGAATTGTGGTTTGTGTGGAGAGCCATATATCTCACCTCCCATATCGCTGACACCGTACCACTCACATCTGATAGTTGCCTCCGATGGTCTTTGGGATGTATTCTCTGGTAACAGAGCAATGGAAATGATCAGAACCGAACAAAACACTGAAAAGATGGCTACTACTCTGCTGAATTCATCGCTCATCTCGAAAAAATCCAAAGATAATATATCCATAATTGTAACAACCTTGTAATATATATATGTCCTGCGACAAAACACAACAACACAAACACTAAAACAAAACAAAACAAAACCAACTATACACTTTTCACTTTTATCTTTAACCATACATTAATAAAGCATTACTTAATGATGAATTATCTTCTCTATTTATAACAAAAAGAATAACAATAGAATATCTTTTTTATTTAATATATATACTTAAAATATATTTAATAATATAATAATAGTTTTGTTGTCGTTGGTTTCTACTTTAGTTTTTTCATAATAAAGAATCCAACTGCTGCGACTGCTGCCGATACCAATGTTAGAATCAAAATACTTGTAGAACCACTTTGTTTTTCGATGGCATTTGATTTGTTGTTGGTTGATGACGATGTATTTTTCTTTTGAGTTCCAGCGGCAGATTGTTTCGACAGTGAACTCTGTATGGCTTGTGCAATGTTTCTAAATATATTCTTGTAGTCTTCGCTTGTTTTGTTGATATGGAATTCGATGGGTTCGTTCTTATATGTATTGCTAAAGAAAGTTTTAACTTCATTCGATGGTGCAGCAGCAGGGGAATCACCCATCTGGTGATGACCACGTACAAAGTAAACTGGAATATTAGGATAGTTCTTAGATATTATCTTATAGAGTTCCACTGCATACTCAAATGATTGATTGACACTCTCGTCAAACATCAAACAAATTGCATCTCCTCTATTAATAACACTTGGTTCCTGTACTAATCCTTTTCCATCTACAATTTCATGAAGCTAATAAATAATTAGTTAGCTATTATGTTTTTTTTATCTATTAATAGTATTTATGATATACTTACAATTATATATCTTTGGTCAACTGGTGAACAAACAGTTTTATGACCGACTGTTGTTGGTGCGATTGAGTTGGTATCGATGGAGTGATTGATGAGTGAGTGGAGTAGAGTCGACTTTCCAGATGCACTTGCACCCAAAACATAGATATTGTAGACTGGCTTTTTGAAAGAGGATTTCTTGGAGATTGTCACCAAGTGTGAGGTCGATGCGTGTAAAATACTGTTGTATCCGAGATAGGCAAAACACTCGAGTGTCGTACGATAGCTGACATTGGTGAGCATCTGGAATAAACAAACAAACGATTGGAGACCGATTTCTTTGTCTTTGCCAAGTGCAACAGAGTTCTTATAGTCAGCGGCGAATGGAATCGACGGTGCAGTTGCAAAGAGTTTCTCTAGATCGCTGTCAGAGAGCAGTCCATCGTTGTTGGAATCGAATCGCTTGAACAAACTCTGAAGATATTCGATGCCGTCGGCCGAAAGCGAGACAGTCTCGTCGGTACCGACATGAAGTGACGGGTGGATATACTCGTCGGCCAACTGCAGTGAATCGTCGTAGTTGAAAGCACGCAGCGCAATCCAAGTCTGCTGTGTGCTCTTTGCCAAGAACAGCAGATTCATCAGGATGAATCCGTCGATGGTGAAACCACTGTCGCTTACACCGCTCTCGAGTTGACCGCCAATGAACGATCGCAGTGTTTCGATCTCCTCTGCCGACATTGGCTGGTTAAGACAACGCTGTTGGAAGTAGTTGATCTCGTTGTCGTTGAGCAGTCCGTCGTTGTCGAGATCACACAGTCTAAAGATACGTTGGAGTGCTACGTAACACTCCATTGTGAGTTGGTTTGTGGCGCGATTATACAGTGGTTCCTCGGGGAATACCAACAGACTCTGAACCGACTCCATCAACTCGTGTATGTTCACCATTGTCTTGGCGGAACACTGGATCCAACGAAGAGTTCCACTGTATTGCGAGGCAATGAAATTGAGGGTATCGAGTACCTGCTGCTTTGAATGTTCGTATTCCTCCTGTGAGACAGTGTCTACTTTGTTGGCTACGACCAACAGTGGCTTCTGAAGATTGAGTTGTTGGAGTAGTGGCAACCACTTGTTGCGGATACCAAGCAAGCTGTCATCAAAGTTGTCGTATGTATACACCAATGCAATGGCATCGGAACGCTTCAACTCCAAATGCATCTGAGTACGACCGCCTTGCTGCTCGTCGGATTCGCATGTATCAATAATATGAGTGGTACAGAATTCACCGGACAACGTCAACTCTGGTACCACTTTTTGTGGATTCTCAACGAATTGATCATTGACCAACGATGTAATAATACTAGATTTACCTACTCCAGCTTTTATTTATTTTTATTATATTTTATCAAACGTTAATGAATGTTAAATAGAAACTACCTATAACTTAAGTTATAAACATACCATCACCTATAAATACAACTTTAATATCTTTTTCATATTTTCTATTAACTTTTTTGTTTAATATGTCTCTAATATTAATAGCAAATGAAGTTAACTTTATTCATAACTATTCTTAATTCAGTTTTGTAAATTTACCCGCCTTCACAAAATTTGAATTTTTAAAAAATCAAAAAAAAAAAAAAAACATAAAAACATTAGATTGTTTAGATAACTAAGTTATTTGTTTAGTGTTAAAGAAGTTAAATAAAATCAATGGATAAAGAAAAGTAATCTATAAATATTATTTTATTAATTGTTTTTATTAAGTTTTACTATTTTCAATTGTTAATAATTAAATTTTGAACCCTTTTTTTTTTGATTTACAAAAGAGTAAACTTAATTTAAAATTATCTTGTTTAGTTTGTTCGCTTGTAACAAATAATTTCAAATCGAGCGAGGACTTACAATTATTTGTAATCCACAAAAACTATCAGTGCCTGTTCAATTCAATTCAATTGCCAGTGGGTAACAAAACACTCATTCAAAGATTGGAAAAAAAAAAATTAATATTTTTGAATTTTTTTTTTTATTTTTATTTTTTGATTTTAATTTAAACAATTATTTTTAATAAGCTAAGATAATGGATTGATAATTAATGATAATACAGTAAAGTTAAAAATCATCATCATCACCGTTGACAATAATTATTTACAACAACAGCAATAGTAAGTTCATTATTTAACAATTCTTAAAAAGATATTTTATTTGTTTTGTTTTGAAGTGTTATTTTTATTGCTGTGTTGTGCTTAACCAACCCACACATTAATTAATTATTACTCCAAAGCCATAATAAGTTATATAACTGTGTTAAAAATAATACAACACAGAATATGAAATAATTATAGTGAGTGTTGTTGTTTTGAAAAAAATAATATTATTAAAATGTACATAATATAAACAAAACACACACACAATATTATAACTTCAAATATCTTCAACAATAGAATTGAAATACTACTAGTATAAAATCTTTAAACTTTATTGTTGCTTGCTTGTTTCTTTGTTGCTTTTTTTTTTTTTTTTTAGAATATCAATTTTGTAATATTTATTAATATTGTTATATTATATATAGTTTATATATGAAAGGATTACACGAGAACAGATTAGATTTTGTGTAGATTATAGATTATATTTTGTAGATTTGAAAGAATGGATATAAATCATAGCCATCCAAATCAAGTTGCACACCAACCACAACAACAACAGCAACCACCACAACAACATCATTTGAATCAACATCATTTGATGTCAGATTGTGTAAAGGATGGTACATTGGCTTATATCTATGTGTTAGAGGATTCACTGCTATCGGACAACTCATTCCAATACCAAAATGAACCGGTTCCCAAGAACTATGAATTCCTAAAGCATCTCTCCACCAAATCTCCCGATAAACTAAAGAATATCCTACAGTCTCCATTCACCATAAACCCGTCTTCCGCCGACATGTCTGAAAACAAAGAAGTAAGAAACTTGATCAACATCAACCCCATCAAAAACACAAGATTATTAATTATTATATTATATTAGATATTCGATTTCACAAAATTCTTTGAAGTCAAAGATGCAACTATATTTCATGATAACAATAGTATAAAGAGATATGCAAGATTTCACTTGAATTTGACACTGAAGTTCATGGGCTGCAAATCGATCCATGCCCGTCACATTACGAGTGCCATCTTTGAGCAACTTGAAAAGTGCCGTGTCGCAGCGCATTCACAGAGCCTGCAGTTCAAACGCTGTCCTATGACTCCACCGACTTCCACTTCGACGGTGGTCGCTCTCAACTCGAATGCGACCGACACCATCTACTGCGTCGGTATGCTCAAGAGCACATTCTTTTACATCGTTGGATATATCATCTCCACCTACCAATACTCAAAGCCACAGTATATCTCTGATTTCCCAGTGGCTTGCGATGTACAAGAGAAGAAGCATTCGTTCACCATTTTGTTGGGTGGCACCAGTGGTTGCGGAAAGAGCACACTGACAGCACTTCTCGCCAGTCGTATCGGATTTGCCGCTGTCATATCCACAGACAACATCCGTCAGATTCTGAGGAAATTCATCAGCAGAACAGAATCACCTATATTATGGGCATCTACCTATCATGCCGGTGAAATCATTTCCGATCCATCATTATCACATAAAGAAAAAGTAACTAATATTTATTTATATATATATTTTAATTTGATAGTTTGAAACTAATTTTAATTTAATTTAATTAGATTTTACAAGGTTATGAAGCGCAGAATGAAATGATCTTTAATAAACTGGACGTGTTGATCGACCACTATGAAAAGAGAAATGAATCGCTGATAGTGGAAGGTGTGCATCTTGATACCAGATTAATTGTTAGACTAGTAAAGAAACATCCGTCGTGTATTCCATTCCTAATGTATATAAGTAACGAAGCTAAACACAAAGAAAGATTTGCCATCCGTTCGAAATACATGACACTCGATCCACACCAAAACAAATATACAAAATATTTCAAGAACATCCGTATCATCAATGACTACCTGTGTCAAGGTGCCGATTCAATTTTAGTAAGTTCAACAACTTCACTTCAATTCATATTATATTTATATTCAACAACATTCTATTCTACTTTCTACTTTTAGATTCCACAAATAGATAATACAAGTATAGATAGATCTTTGGCTACTATCCATAGTACTATATTTGCTTGCTTGAAGAGAAAGGTGATGTGTGGAGAGTCATATTTTAATCCAAACACCGGTCAGTTGAATATGTTGCACCAGGAATACGAGTTAATTCAGCATCAGTTCTGGTCGTCTAAGGGTATGTTGCGTTTGATCCAAAAGAAACGTTACTCGGTCGGCTACAACCAACCAGCCAGTCACACAGAGCCAGAGACCGAAGAAACCTTCAACAGTGACGATGACGACGAAGAGCCAGAACAAAAGAAACTCAACGAGAGAAACAACAAACTGAAATCACACAGCAGAGAGAAGAACATGAGTAGCACCTCTACTAATGCATCCGACTCTGATTCCGAATCCGACTCTGAACGTGTCGATTACTTTATTGAAGGATCGCTTGGTAGTTAAATCGGATCACCTATTAATAGAAAAAAATAAAATAAAATTTGTTGTTATAATAATTGCTATCGAAACTAATACTGTGTTGATCTCAACAAAGATAAAAAATTGTTTATTTAAACCCATTTATTTGGCATTGTGTCAGCCGATTGACAATTGTTGCTTGGACAAGTTGCAATCACATGGTATCTGAATCCTGTGAAGATGTTGAAGAGTCTTGCTCCACCTCTTTGGAATTGTTCTTCAGCTTGGTTACCAGTTAGCATTTGATTTACAAGTTTCAAGTAGAGGTGATTTCCATCGAAATAATACTGGTTACCATTGCCATTTAGTACTGACGCAAAGTTTGAAACACTTGAGAGGACGGATCTCTGTTGCGGAGTTGACCACTCATAGGTAGTGCGACCAGTGAAGGTAGTACCTGCTGGATATTTGAGAGCTAGAATGATGTACTGACCATATGGGATCATACGTGTATGAATATCAAATGAGGAAGGACCGCCAAGTGTGGTGAAGTAGACATACCAACCGATTCCGGTGACACCAGTGATACCGGCATTACCACTTACAATTGATGAACGTCTTGGAGTGGATGGGATGTTTGGACCAAACAAATGAGAATAACCAACGATATTATCATTTAAAGCCCATTGATCAATGAGACCCGGAACAAGAAGATCGATGTTTCCAATCTCACGTGATCCTTTGTTGCAATACCAGGTTCTCCAGTCGGATTGGAATTGGCAGGTATTATCAAATCTCCACCAGTCTAAATGGCTACCTACGATAGTTGGAGTTCCTGATCTCTGGGTTGCGGTTCCATCCGAATCGATCAAGTTGAAATAACGACTGGAGTCAGTCTCTTGTACGGTATGTCCAATGATTTGAGAGGTTGGTTGGCCACCACTGTATGTAATGTTCCTCACCACGGAAATACCTTGTGGTTTATAATAAGTGGAGTGAGTCATTGATACGAATATTCTGTTGTCTTGATACTGTGGATAATCTGTTTGATCGTTATAATATGGATTTCTAATAAAGTTTCTAAAGTTTACATCGGTGAGAATGGTTTGTGTCCAGGTATCGTAGAACTGGAATCCTTGGACCATGTGAAGACTATTCAATCTCCATGGATGCATAGTGTTTGGTGTTCTACCATTGACAAGCGCGAATCGGATTGATGAAGAACCGAAAACTGTTGCCGATCGATGGTTGTCATGGGATTCGTATTTCTCGATATCAACTCTATTACCCCAGTGACTTATTCCATCGGAACAAAGATAGGATTTGGTATTGGTAAACTTCATCCAAACTGGATTACCATTGACATCGGTTGTCTCACGTTCATCTCTTCCAGACATATAATATAATCTGCTATCACCTGGTTCATAATAAAGTTTACCTCCTACCTAATCAATTTTTAATTTGAATCAAAATTAGTTAGAAAAATATTGGTTTGACAATGTTATAGATATTTACATAAACACAAGCACCGAAATAAAATGTTGATACAATGGAATGAGCTGTATTACCATCGAATTCCAAGTTTGGTCTTGACGATGGGTCGAATACTTGATCTTTAAATGCACCGACAGAGTTTGGAAGCTTTACAAATGCATACGATGCCCAGGCAGAGCTTGCACTGTTACCAATAATTCTATTGTAGGCATTGGTAATATAGAATCCAGATGAACTAGAATCTGCAGGCTGACGAAGAGTTTCACTTTCTACGAATGTTTCACCACCTTGACCACTACCGGCAGCACCAGGACCGACTGTTGCTACTTTGGAAGCCAAGTTATAGGAAATGGTGTTGTTCTCTTCAATTCCATCTTCAATGTAGTAACAATGACCTTTGACATTGTAAGCAACATTTTCAGTGAGGAGAAGATCGTGTGTACCATGAATAGTGTAGCAACGGTAATAACTGTTATAAACTGAACAATCACTGATATAACTATTGGTAACGTGATTTGCCAAATGGAAATGGAGAGGATAACGACCACGCATATTGAGTTGTCCCATCTTGGTTAGTTCCAAACCAGAGAATTGACCGTTACCCATCGTAAGAATATGACCACCAAAAGATTCGGTATCAGAGTCACTTGCACCTCTTATAGAAATTCTTCTTGAGAGTAAGGCAACTTCAGCTTGGTATTCCAGTCCAGCATAATGATAGAATTGTACAGGTGTGGTGAATTGAATGACTTTACCTTGAATTGCAGCGATGGTTAATACTTCGTTTTCTGTTTCTTCTTGGGCATCGTTATGGTAGCGGGATGATGTAATCAATACTTTTTGTCCAACTTCCCAATTGATTGAATCTTGTACATAAATGATCGATTCGTCTGGATAGGCAGTGGCAGCTAATCTAGTCCAAGTAGACTTGTATTGTTTACCTTGGATAGAAATGAATCCACTGCTTGCAACAGCAATACCCTTACTACCAAGTCCAGTAGCAATGGTATCAGTAGTTGTTCTGGCACCATGGAAGGTAATTTGTATATTGGAATGAATTCTACAGTCTTTGGAACCAATAAGCAGCTTTCCTTGAACATAGAGGTCTTTGATATTAAGTTGAATTGGTGAATCTGAAAAGATTAGTTCACTGGTTGGTGGAACTATAATCTTGTTAAAGATGACAGAGCTATCAGAGATGGAACACGAGGAGATCAAAACTTTCTTATTGGCTGGTAGAGTGATCACTGACGATGGAGATGGAACGGCTCCACCCCATGTGCTCGGATCATGCCAATGTACTAGATCGTTTTGTAAATGAGGACAGTTGGCTCTATTTTGTGGGGTGAGTGTAGTTGGTGGTTTACGAAGAGTAACTAGTTCACTATCGCTGGTTAACAATGTTGGTGGTGTGGTTGTAGATCGAGATGGAATAACCAAGTCTAAATCCTTAAGGAAGAAGATTTGGTCATTTGGATAGACGTAGGTAAACTTTACGTGTAGACCAATCGAACCCTTTACAATATCTTTGGTTGTTGGAATGGTAAATGACACTTGGAAGTTTGTCCAACTGGTGGTGGAGGTGAGCGATCCACTTACAGGATAACAAGCAACCAATTCACTTGGATTTAGTTCCAAGTATATTCTATTGGCATCTACCTCTAGTCCATCGTAAATACATAGATTAAAACCAACGAATGGAATACTGGAAGTTGGTGCCTGACCAAGTAGCGACTTGAAGTTGAACTGATAGGTTTGGCCGGCTCTAAAGAATTTATTTCCACGAATGGAAGCAACATGGAATTCCGATGGACCACCAAACTTGGCACGCAAGGCGTTTGCAACTGATACTCCACCGACGTTATTACCAGATCCATTGGAAATCGATGAAGTGTCGGAGCGATAAGTCGACAGCATTGCAAACGATGCAATATTAGCTGGATAGTTGATTGTAAATTGTGGAATATTGTTGGGAATGGCTGGTGATGTTGGTGCGGCAAACGATGGCTCTGGATCTCGCCAGGTGGAGAGAGTTGGACATGAACCACTGCTGGTTGGTGATACGATATTGACACCTGTCAAACCTGTAACTTGTACACTACTCGATCCACCAGATCCACAGGTTCCTTGGATAGTCTTCTTGTTGTTTGCAACAACCGGTGCATTCAGTGAGCATAGTCCGTTGATGACTGGTGTCAGCGACGATGAAGTAGAGCCACTGATACTACCAACATAAGGATAGAGGAAACTGAGTTCAACATTTTGATCACTATTAATATTGATATTACCAGTGGTAGCAGAAAATTGGAATCCAGATATAGTAACACTAGATTTGCTACAAATGGTCAGCTGATTACTGATTAAATTTGTCAATTTAATTGGAGATGCTAAATTTATTTGAATGTTGATGAATGTAAATAAGATGTAGATATAGTTATATTGGTGTTTAGTTGATTATTTAGTACTTACATATATCGGTTGTACATCCTTGTATATCAATAATGTTTGATTTCAAACCATTGATATCAATCGAAGCTTTACTATAAGCTTGAAAAGTTATCGAATTGAATTGGTAGTTGATTGGTGCTCTTATGGTAGCTTCAATCTTTTGTCCTGAACCAATGAGAACTTCACTCGTTGTTGGACTGGAGATTAGATCACCAAAAGCATTAGATGAACTTAAAAGAGTGAAAGTAACCTTTGGGGTTGTTAAACTAGAGTCATATTGAAATGAATATTTAGTCTATTGCAATATTGAAAAAAGATAATTGCAAAACCAACAGTTAATATAAATATAGTGATATAAGTAATTAATAAAAAGATTACTTACATCAACAATTGATTTCAAAACAACATTGAAATTGATATCGATTAGTTCCTAATGTAGTCTGACATTGAATGGTGTTAATAAACAATGATATAGAACAAAGTAATAAATATAAAAGTAATATCTTTGTCATGATAAAACAACAATAACTAAAACAGTAAACAAACTGAATAGCAATCAACAACTCTCTATTTATATATTAAAGGTTGATATCCAACGAGAAGATGTCATGTCTCACCATCATCAACATAACCATCTTCAAATAAAGAGGTGTAGATATTTTAAATTTGACATATGGGAACTGGGTTGGTATGTGATGTCACCTAAATATCTATCTAAATACTATAATAATAACTTATAAAGATATTATTTTTCAAAAGAAATTAATGGGGACCGGATATAGATTCACCAAGATTATTAATCCAATCAGAAAATCTAGATATTCTCTCTATTCTTAAAAAAAAACACATGATTGTACACTTGTTCATCAAAGGTTACAATTTACCTTTTAAACGATTCTTACAATTAAAATATCATCTACCAGTGCCAAAGTACGTGTATCTAAGAGATTACCATCTTTACATAATATCTATTTAAAAAAAAACAAACTAAATTCATAAAATTTGAAGTTCATTTGGATTTTTTTTTTTTTTTTTTGAAATAAAATATTTGTAAATTTGATAAGAAATAATTGTTATTTTATTATTGTAAGAATTTAATTAAGAATGATTATAAAAATGGTGATTATATTTATAATTAATGTCAATGGTAGCAAATAAAACTTATTATAAATATGTAATTTCATTTTTAGGTTGGGTTTTTCTATTAGACTTCCTAAATATTGAAAATAAAAGGTGTCTACTATTGCAGTTGAGTTGGGATTTAGATGATGTAATTGATGAAATCACGATTGAATCTCGCGATTGGGTGATAACTTCCAACTGTAATTTTACATTCCACTCCAAATCAATGATAGAAGCTGGAAGAAGAGGATTGCTCGATTTCATCATCTATATAATTAAGAGAATCAAATCATCACATAGCAGGCTCCTCTTGAGCTGCTTTTCCAACAACATTTGAAAACTACCAATTCGAAGTTGTTAAATGGATTCAAGCCAATCGACCAACAGACAGGTATGGAACATTGAGTAAAGGACTAAAAATCCCTGAAGCCAATATTTCCAGAGATTTACCACTGGAGATGGATAGATGGTTCCAAGAGAACAGGAAAAATTCATACTTCACAGCAGATACAATGAAGAATGTTGCATGCTTCTCACTTGATATCGTTAGATTCTTGCATGAAAATAGAAGTGAAGTAGAGCAATGCACAATGCCATTCAATACAAACAATTAGATATTGTAAAATACCTTCGAGAGAACGCCACTCTAGAAGTATGATGAAAATATATCCATCATGTAGAAATTCATGATCTTGCACCACCAACATCTATCATAATAATCAAAAACTATTAAATAAACATTGTTGATAAATTATTATTGAATTATCTCCAATTCAGTTACTAACTGAGATGGATATGTACATATAAAATAAGTATTTTATTTTTTCGATTTCTTTGATGCCGTTGGAGTAGTTTGTTTCTTTCCTCTTTTCTTGGGAGTGACCTCTTCGTTGTCGCTGTCGGATGAGAGCACAATTGCACTGTCGTCGTAAGAAGATGGTGTTGATGGAGGAGTGGATTTGGGAGAAGCTCTAGGTTTTCTAGGTGATGATTTAGGTGTGCTAACTTTTGCCGGTTTCTTTGTTTCAGGTGTTTTGAAAATATTTGTATCTTTTACATTGAACAGTTCATCCTCTGAACTGGTTGGTTCATCTTTTACTCCACTACCATGATGATCATCCTTATGTGAATCTTCATCGAAATCTTCATCAACTGCATATTTATGTACATCATCATCATCATCATTGTTATTATTATTATTATCATCACCACCATCCATCATAACATTCTTATCTTTACTATTATCTGCTCTTGTTGAAGTTGTTGTTGTTGTTGTTGTTGTCGATGGTAATGCTGTCTTCTCGGTTGCTAATACATTCAAAGGTAAATGCTCTTCCACTACTTTATGAATCGATGTTGGATGTGCATCTTTTGGTGCTACATTTTTACGCAAAAATTGTGTTGCATTATTTAAAGATAAATTTACAAGACTATGTGTTGTTTAAAACTAAATGTTAATAATTGATAATTAATGATAAACATTACTAAATAAAATTACATACTTTAAAATTGAATCATTTTCTTCTTTTTCAACGAAATTATGTAGCGCTATATGTAGGTCGGCTTCAGATAAAACAGAGAGACGATCGGATGCTGTGTTTCCAAGAAACTCGGAAATGAAATCCTCCACTCTAATCTTATCGTCTGTTTTCTTCTCGTTTTCATATGGATTGGCGTTGAATTTCGGTATGGATGCAACCTTCTTTCTTGTGAACAATAGTATGTCGTTGGGATTGGCAACACGACCAGCGAAATTCTGTCCAAACTTTTGAGGATTGATCGTTGAGTATCCGGTGTAATCTATCTTCAGACGAATCAGGGGAAGCATCGTTTCCGATGGCTTACCCTTTGCCTTCTCCTTGGCTTTGGCGATCATCGACTCGACTTTACCCTCGATATACTCCAACACCTCGGTTTGCTGTGCCGGATTGATCTTGCTATCCGCTAGAACAATGGAATCCAAAACGAATGGTCTGACCGTTTTCAGTGGGAATTGCTTGAATCTAAATTGATTTTTAAAGACCTCTAACAGACCAACGAATTTATCTTTGGATTCACCCTCGGAGAGTGCAGTCGCCACAGAGGAACCGGGTTGTGTTATGTGGAATTCTCCGATCGACGATGCCTGTGGGTTGATAAGACACTCGTGTTCGTGTCCCCAAACAACGAAATCAATGAAATTGTCGATCATCTGCTCGTGTACGTAGTTCTTTGGGTTGTGGGCAACACGATTCTGATGCAGCACCAGAATGTTGAACCACTCGTCTTTCGACTCGATCGGACGCATCATCTTGACCTGCTGCTTCTGGAACGTACGATATAGACGCTCGTCTCTGATATTTCCAAGACCGTAGATCGACACTTTCGTTTCACCCTTTGACAACAACAACGGGTACACCGAGATGTCATCGATATTCTCTGTCTTGCCAAAGTAATTCACCAAATTACTCACACTCAACAAATCGAGTGCAGCCAAACCACCTTCACCAGTTGGATCATCGTGATTACCATGAATTGAAAACACCGGTAATGATATATTAAAGTTTGGATCTTCATAGTTTACTGTATGAAATCTTCATTTAGCAATAAGCTATGTTAGTAATATATTACCAAAATCCTAATTTATAGGTCTAATCAATACTTACTTGTTCATAAAATTAACAGTTTGATCTGAAAGGAATTGTATTTTCACAGGTGAATCACCTAGACAGTATTTTCTAAAGAGTTCGATAGTCCTGTAGAGACAAGATCTCGATGGTTTGTTGTCGTGGAAGAGATCACCACCCAGTAATATCATATCGACTTTGAGTGAATGTGCATACTGTAGAATCTCTTCAAAGGTATTGAATGAATCGTCACCTCTAATCGGATCACGCTCCAAGTATCCAAGATGATTATCTGTTGCTACTAATATTTTCATAATAGATGATTTCCTAAATAATAATAATATAACAGATGTCAATTAATAATGATGATGATTGTTTTGTTATTAAATATTATAATGATAGATCCTACATTTTAGTATCATCACCAGCACCTGCACCCAAATTGTTATTCTGTTTCTTGTTGTTTGATGAATGATTTAAATTGGTATGATCATGATTATGTTCTTCATGATTGGCATGACTGTAATCTTCGCTATCATTGTTATTGTTATTGTTATTGTTATTAGTAGTTTGATCTTCACCATCGATATCACGAGGACCACTATTCATATGATCATCATCAATCCCACTAAACATTCTATTATTTATCTATAATTAAGTTATCTATTAATCTTAAAAAAACCAACAGATAACTTTGACAATCATTTTAATAAAAACCAAAATGACAAAAGATCATTGGAAAAAAAAAATTCTAAGAAAAATTTGATTTATTTTTACTTGATACTTTTACCAAAATAAAAGATCAATATATATTTTATTCAAAAATGTCTGTTTCTATTAATAATAATAAACATATATGTTTGCTACCACATCTTTTACTATCAAAGATTGTTTATTTCATTGATGACAATATCGATAGAATATGCTTTAGTTTTGCCTGTAGAAGGTGGTACTTTGAAAGAGATAAATATTTAATATTTAATAGCAATGCAATCAGTATCATCGATGAGAAAAAGATAAATCATTTCTATTTGAACTCTTTTAAATCGATATTCATTAAATCTATCAATCAAAAGAGTAGATGTACACTTCTAATTCAAAACGACCACCACAATTGTTACAACGATGAAGAATATGATTTTCATATACAAAATCCAAGTAAAGTTAAAATTTAATTTTTATTTTTAAATAGAATCAATTGAATAAAATTAATTTTATTATTACTATTATGATTATAATTAATAGGTAAACTTGAAACTATTGATAATGGAATGAAATCGAATATCTATAAAATAAAAACAAACATAAAGTTTAATTCTAATGACAGAGGCAAAGCACTAAAGACTCTTGGAAATTGGGTACAATCACAACCGAATGTTGTCAAACTCAAGAATTTCTATCTATCGAAATTGGGTGTTAACAGTAGCAGTAGGAATAACTTACTGATGAATATAACATCGTTGTCTTTGCCATCGAAATTCGATGAAGCACTGTCAGCTGGCTATTTTCCACCGAATCTCAGGTCACTAAAGTTTGGTGATAAATTCGATCGTCCTATCAAAGCCGGTGTTCTTCCAAGCGGATTGGAGAAATTGATTTTTGGTGTGAGCTTTGACCAAGCTTTGCAACCTGGTGTACTGCCAGCCACTCTCAAATCTCTGACACTTAGAAATGCCTTCTATAAACCTAGTTTGCAAGTTGGATCACTTCCAGCCAGCCTTGAAACACTGCTTTACTCTGGCCACTATACAGAGATCGAAGATGTCGGTGTACTCCCCACGTCGCTTCTCACCCTGAAAGGTGCACCTCCAACATGGATTAAAGCGATTAGATCACTTTCGAATCTCAGATACTTGAGCATTGATAATAGTGAAGAGGAACAATTCACTATCGATCTTAGCGACTTGCCGGATTCTCTCCAAACATTGGTCGCTCCACACACATTGAAATCAAAGTTACCTACATCGATCAAATCTCTGGATATCGCTGATGCAACCTATCAAATGGATGAGATTTTCTCGTCGGCCGCCGATCATCAATCACAATATCGTTTGGATTATCTGAAGATATGTGACAATGGATCGAACAAAGAATCATTGGAGAATCTCGATATCAAGGAGTTACATGTTTGTCAGAACGAATTTACACCGTTGGAACAACCTATCAAAATTCCGTTTGGTGTTGCGACACTTTCACTTGAACTGTTTGGGGAGAGTAAAATTGCGATTCCTTTGTCGGTGACCAAGCTAAACGTATTACAGAGTGATGGCAGATTGGATGATATAGAGACATTGATGAAATTCAACGACAACAACAACTCCATCAAAGAAATGTCTATTGAGACAGCAACTGATTTATCACGTCTCGACAGTGAAATCATTCCGGAATCAGTTGAAACCCTAAAACTTATAACAACAGTGTGCATTCCACAACCTAGAGTTCCCAACAACCTTATACTGCATGTCAATGAATATGAAACAATTTATATAAGAAAGCTGGACAATGACCACTACATCTTCTTTAGTCAATCGCCACCAGACTTTCTATCTGCAATCGTTCATCACTCACAACTTAAAGCTATCTTAGAATTATTTTGTAACTAGTTAACTTTATAAATATTATTATTTATCTTTTTATTTAAAAATAAAATTTAACTAAAAACTTTTGTGTGCATGATTTTGTAAAAAAAAAATTACAAACATAATTATGTTTTTGAAGTTCAAATTAATTAATCAATTTAAACTATATTTAATTTGTTTATCATCAATTGATTAATAATATATGTACATATAAATATTATAAGAATTATTTAGTTTAGTTTAGTTTAGTTGTTAGTTAGATAGTTAGAGTTTAGTTAGTTAGATGATGGCAGGCAAAAGACTGTCAATAGTTATTACATTTATCGTTTTATTTGCATTGGGTATACCAGTTTGGTGGAATACTACAACAACCTATCGATCGAATGTAGATTTCTCAAAGATACAATCTTTTAATAAACAAATAAATAATACATTAAATAATAATAATAGTGGTGGTGGTGGCAATAATATTGATAACAATAGTCAATGGTCGTTGTTTAAAGATTATCTATATAGTAAAACAAGTGATAATAACAATAGAGATACTGTTGTAAAGAGTGCAACTGAATATTGTCTTTCTTTTACTCTATTGAATGCAGATCCATCTTCATCACCTTTTATACCAAGATGGGACTTCCCATCACTCTTTAAATGTAAACTACAACTTAAATTAAAACAATCATTATAATAATAATGATAATAATAATAATAATAATAATACTAATCAAATTTATATATATATATATAATAGCACAATTAGAACCATTCATTGAACAAATATCAGATATTGCAAACTTTACAATTCAATCAAAAGTTGCACATTATGCAACTCTTATGAAAACACCTTTATTTGACAAAGATTTAAATCAATATAATATACCATTACAATCATTATCTGAATATATCAATCCAAATGAATGGAATTTAGGTATGTTAACTAGATATTTACATAGATATGACTGATATATCTTGTTAACTCAAATTTGATATCATTTTGTAGATAGTTCATCATCAACCAATCAACCTACATTGAATTTCATTATATTCATTCCATCACAAAACAATCAATCACCACTGTACATTAGAGACGTAAAGAACAAGTCAAACATCAATTCATTCCTCATTCCACAGTGGGGTGGAATCATCATTCACAACGTTGTCGACACCGCCGACACTCAAGTGTCTGACAACAAGTATTTGGATATCAGCGCACAACTCCACAATGAGATGGCGACATTCCGCTATCAGCTACAAGAACTGCTCGGTCTACACCACCTCTCGCCAAGCGAAGCGGTTCGTCTGCGTGTGAGTGACGCGCACATCGACCAACTCATCGATCGCTACACCAAGCAGAACGTGAACGTCTCACTTCAGACACTGACTTCGCTGGCAGCACTCATCGACGGACTGCCCAATATGCGTGTACTCGACAACATCCAGCATCTCGTGGCAAACGCCACCGACGCACTGGACCGCGCGCACCACTGCCTCGAGAAGCACGACCGTCTCTGTGCGTTGCGCGCATCAAAGATCGCACTCGCCTCCTCAGAGACAGCGTTCTTTGACAAGAACATGCTTTCTCAACTCTACTTCCCAGACGAACATAAATACGCTGTTTACACGCCACTCTTTGTACCAGTATGTTTTCCGATTGTCGCCGGAGTATTTCAAGAATATAAAAATTCAAGAGCTAAAAAAGCAAAAAACTACAACAACAGCAACAACAACAATCAAATAATAATAGTGATAATAGTAATAATAACAATAATGATAAAGAGAAATCAAATTAAAATAATATAAATAATATAATAAAAAAGAAAAGTTAAAAAAAAACCATCATTTTTTAAAAAACAAAAAAAAATCTGAAAAAAAGAAATCTAAGATTGGGTATTATATGATATGAAGTCCTAAAAAGATCGATCGATTCAGTATTCATTTTTAAAATTCGTTTTATTTTTTTTTTTT